TGTATCGATACAACACCCCTAAAACCCCCTAGAGCCCCCTAGAGTTCAACCCATCCAGACATATTACTCTGCTGAGGTGGAGTTGGTGTATGCGGATAAGAAAGAAAGAAGTTGTCCAGTAACCACAAAGTCGATGGAAAAGAATAGTCAAAAGGAATAGTAAAGATCGAATTACCCCGAATTTGACATGGAGAGGACAATGGTTTATCGTTAGATTCAATGTCTTGGCATATTGAAGAAACAATTCTGGAATGGCTTGTTCCAGCGAGCACATCCTCCGAATTGGAGTTACTAAGAGATGCCATCGTGAGAAGACCTATGGATCTAGGTATTGTCCACGGCAGTTATAGTCGAATAGCAACGGCCCTCCAAGAGAAGATCCTCGTGTGCCGAGAATTTATTAGCATTTTGAATAATCATAGCATGGTTTATATATTTTACATTCGGCACCAAGCGAAAAACGTGGTTCGAATTATAATATCTTGCAACATGCATTCACGAGGTAAATAGAGCAAGGAGACTGCAGGTGAGTGCTTTGACTTCGGGTTAGATCCGTGAATACATCTGGCCTCACCGAATCATATTTCTAGTTGAGCGTGGGTTGTTCGTGAGGAGATATCTGGGCGACTTCTGGCCTGATTGAATCATATCTCAATTTAGGGATCCACTTAGGCTTACATCGGAGGGCAACTTTTGCAGTGTGATCATGACAAGGATTATTGGCAATTTTAGGGGGTTTTAGGGGGTTTTAAGGGGATAATCACATACATGGGCCCTCAATCAAGGTAGACGGAGCTGCAAGCACAGCATGGATGAACGTTGAAAGTTCTCCAACGCACCATCAAGTTGTGTCGTCTGGACTATCCAGTAGAGAGTCAACCACAGAGACAAGTAGTATTGTCACAACAACGGGTGCCGATACCTTTATGATAAGAGTAGAGCTATCAATGCCAAGTATGCTCCATCTTTTACAGCCAACAAGCCACTCGGCCCTATTTTTGACTCTTGCTAACACGACCATTATCTTAGACGACGCGAATTCAATACTTTTGAATGTAACTGGAGAGGTTGCACATATCCCGGAACATTCTCACGCGATGCAGAGCTCTGGAGACATATCAAATCCAAACACGTCTCTCCAAATGCATTCAAATGCCCTATTAAGCAATGTGGTCGATTGTTTGGTCGCAGCGACAAACTTCAGGGACACATGCAATCTTACCATAAGATCGAGGAGCGTTGACTTCCACAACAACCTGGAACTTGAAGGGCTTGTATGATCCCGGGGTTTCCCTCTCTGCTGATCGAAGGGCCGTGGATGTGGATGGAACACCAAATAACACCTCATGTGTTTTTATGAAGATGTTCTAAGCAGATATTGTGTATATTTTTTTTCTTTCTTTTTAGCTATGAGTCTGTTTCCGACGAAGGCAACCATTGAGTCCAGGCCGATAGTAGGGGTCTGAAGTATCTATTATTCTGACACGAGGGGTATCAAAATACTGATCAATATCAAATATAACAGGTAATGATGGATTCAGGTTCTAACCGTTGTAGCATTCGAGATTCGACATTGGTATGAGTAAGATCGGGAGTGATTTGAAGGTGGGTATTTTGATATAAACGATCACGAGTAGCTTGAAGAATTAGATCGCCAGCTTCCTTACCCTCTAACACTTTTAGAATGAGATCTCCTTTAACCTTGGGATCTAGAATCAATGCAGCGTAGTATATCTCAGATTCATCCATAAACGTATAATACTTCATATACTTTTTAGACCCTTTTTCCAGTGCAAAAGCAATATCAGGATCTAATTCCTTGAAGCACCCTTGTGATTCTGAACCTTCAGACAGTAGATCATGAAGTTCAAAATAGACTGGGATAGCAAGACTGATTTGTGGTCTCCGTTTTGACACAAGTAATGTAAGTTCATTGAACTTAGTAAGTATGCGATGAATCTGAAATGGACGTTCCCAACCACTGTCTGTAAAAGAAGGTATATCGGTCTGTAATAATACGAATTGATTGAATTTGAGCTTTAGCCTCGAGGCCATCACCAAGCATCCGGTATGTTGAATTCCAACGATTTTCCATATCGTATTGAATGTATTTTCCAGGAAGACTCAGGTATTCGCAAACTTGCTTCCTTTTTTGTTTCTTTGAGGATGGCGGTTGATCATAAGAGTGAGAATGCGAAGCCTTGCTGATGCTGATTGTGCTTGTATATATTCTCCATTTTGAATTCTATCACAGATAGTGGATACTTCATTTGAAGTGCCAGATTTCAAAACTTGAAGGATATCCTTAACGATTAGATTCAGGATATGAGCTGCCGGCGGATATAGCTATCAAATTCTTTAAACGGCTTGATGATAGGGGAGAAGTAAAAGGAAAATAGAACAAAAAGCCAGACCATCAAGTATTTTAGCATCCTGGGATGCCGAAATCTGGACAGTGCCTGTGACGCTACAACCAATCATGGATTAGGTGGAACCACACAGTGAGGCAGGTCGGTAGAAGTGGCTCGCTATCAGAATACGTCAGTACACTTTGGGAAGGGCTGGTGGTCATTGATGGATTTCAGAACCACTCTAGACCGGTTTCTGCCTACTCAGGGATATGGTGGAACACACATACGACTGTACGTACCCAATCATTGATGAAAGAATCACCTGCGCGGCTGCGCTCCTTCGTCCTCCATCATCCTTATGTATTAGACAGAGCTCATTTCAGCGAAGGAACGGCGCGTATGAGATGCCTGCTTACAGGCTCTACCTGGGCGTATCAGGCGAGGATGGGACATCCTCCAGTCAGAGGTGGACGGCAATATAAGCAGCAGAAGCAGCAGCTGGTCAATTCATACAACTATGTGCTCTCGATGAGGCGGGGAACTAAGAGTCAGAAGATGCAAGTTATGGCAAAGGACATTGTTGACTTGCGGCCTGAATGAAATGATTGCTACTAATTATTCTACCCATCTATGATACATATGATGCAATTGGGTGGATATGACCTGGTCTAAGGCAGAGGCCTACATGAATAGCCACAAACCTGGGTCCGAATGACTTTCTATATCTGCGTGGGCTAGACCAAGCAGCAAAGCCCTACCAATTGACGTGATACCGATACGGTAGGTCCAACCACCGGCACAGATCGCTTCAAAAAACGATTTCAACGCGTATCCAACGTGTTTCCGAACTAATTCTTTTTTTTTTTTTTTTTTTGGGTATTCGATTGATTGATATTACCCCTCTAAAGTGCATAATTTCTAGCTGGCAAAGTGGATGAGCCACAGGCATCTGTGCGATCGAGAGACATAATCGGGCTTTACGCAGTCTGAGCACAGTCAGTTTTGGGCAGTAGACTGCAAGGTCGCGAATGCGTGCAGTATCGATCCTAAACATCAAATCCAGTTCAAGGAATACGGTGTCTTTTGGCCCGAATAGATCAAACAACTGTCCATGCCGTACGCGGAACTTTTGCAAAAGCGGGCACCCACGCGCGATATCGAGAGCTTCTATGTCTTTGAGCTCCCGGAAAAAGACATCAACAACTCGTAGAACCCGGCACTTTGCGATTATTTCGATGACGTCGCCATTTGTGATACCAGAGGCAAGATCTTGGAGGGTGAGGATTTGAAGATTCTCAAACTTCGGAAGTTGCTGCAGCCAATATTCATCTCCCATTCCAAGATACAACGCCTTCAGATTCGGCCATATTTTGTCCAATTTCTCCGCTTTCATCAGCGCGGATCCTGACAAGGAGCCGGGAAGTATCAGCGATAAACCTTTGAGATTATGCTGCTGTTGCAGGCATGCCATGAGCTCTGATATCTCCGTCGAGGTCAGCTTATCTCTGCAGAGTTGCTCAAGATGAAACAATTGCAAGTCACAGTCTCGAATTAAGTGGCAGAGCCTATCATCACTTCGACTTCTCCGGGACCGATATATAGTGAGAGCCTTAAGGTTTGAGAATTTAGTCTACAGAAGTCAGACATAATGTCTTGGAGGCTAATCCTTCTCTCCCAAGGGCAGACCGAACTCACAGCAGGGGTAATTGATCCAGAGGAACTGTTATAGCTAGCCATCAAAAGCTCGCAGTAGGAGTTATCGACTGCTAAAAATTCAATAGTAGGAGGGACAAGAAGGTCAGTGATAAGTGACCAATCTTGATCTATAATCTCGAAGGGAATTGTGAGGCTAACAAGGCCAGTGCCCTGCGGCCGTAGAAGAGATTCAGCATATAGGCGATGGCGTAAGGGTCGAAGTTTCTCGAAACAAGCAAGCCTAGTGGTGTCCGGATGTGCAGCTTCATCAATTGTAGGCGTCTCGGGGGACAGCAAAAGGTGCAACGGATGATGTGACGAAGAAGAAAGGTAAGGCCCGCCGGGTGTCAGCCTGTGAGCATGGGACCGACTCAGCATCGATAACGGCTCAAACATCTATAGTATGAATGCTGGTCGGCGCTTAGCATTGATGAGTTCAGCCAATGGAATGCTATGTTAACAATCGACTTTGTCACGTTACTTAGTTAATGCTCATAGCAGGGAACCATTGGTCCATTATTGACTCACCAATGTCTCAGATCTCTCCGAGAACCGAGTCACTGATAAATAATGCCGCTCAACAGACCACGATATTTACTTCATGCGTTGACAGCGATCTAGCATCAGATCCGCCTTCTAGCTTTATACTCCATCGTCTATTTGACTATGGATCTTCCTCAACCGCAGACTGAAGACGCTGTCTCTTCCAAAAGAATCAACAAAACAGGGAAAAAACAACGCGATCGTGATGAAGAAGCAGCTTACATTATAGACGACTTGAAATCTGGAAACTTCATCCTTCTTCTCCAAGAGACTCCCAAAGTCAAAATGAGCCATTGCCAAGCATGGGGTTGTATGCCACGTAAACGAACCGGGAAGCCAGTTATCAAGTCCCATTATCGTTTCATGCTAAAAGATATCTCAGTGTCCTCAAGTATTGAGAATGATCCTTCTATATATAGAAATTCGCTAACGTGGGTACGTGCAGAGCCAAAAGGTGAATACTATCACGTCACATGTCTTGAGCGTCTCCTGCCTGATTTGTCTGCCCTGGTCCGAGATGGCCACTTGAAGATGGATGGCTATATTTCCGCACCGCTTGACAGCAAAGTGTGCCTCGAATCATCCGTGGAAATGATCGCAGATTGGTTCAAGTATGGGGGCCGTACCTTTGACCTTGGATGCTATGAAAACTTCAAGAAGGACCATCGTGAATGGGAAGAAGATTGGAGTGTACGGTGGATCGACCATCAGCTGGGCCATGGAGAACAGCCAGACAATGCATGCAACTATTGTCAGTCTCTACCAGACCCAGAAGAGCCGAAAAAATCGGATTACTTCCCAGAAGAGCCTTCTGTGATTTTGTTAAGTCAGCTGCTAGCAACTGTGAGCGGACAATCACATATTGATAAATGGTGGCGCTGGAAGAAACAGACATAGAAAAACTCAAATTGACTTATTCACAGTACGAATCACAATGCTATTGGCTAGCCGATCTTTAGGATAGAACTATGCTTCGACCACATTTGGATAAAAGTCTAAACAAAATTGAATCGGCTTCTGGCACTCAGGATAGGGACAAGGATACCCGAACACGTAACCCTTGGACTTAATGTCCTCCAAACAATCGTTACATAGAGTATGGCCACATCCTAGGAAGTTCCAGTTCTCGTTGAATGTTCGATGGCAGAGAGCACACTTCAAAATATTGCGCCGCTTCTGCTCATTGAGTTGTCGCTGTAAATATTGGACTTGAAGCTGTAACAGTTTCTTGTCCTTCTTCCATTGATGTCTCTCCTCGAGTCAATTGTTTGTTCTCCTTTTCTAAAGCCTCGAATGATTCTGTGACTTCCTTTGAAAATCGCTTCTGTTAACTGTTAGCCAATGTAGGAAAACTTAGGCAAGAGTCTCTTACGATTTTAGACCGAAAATCTACCGCATCGGAATCTTCTCTTTTCCGCTTGCGTAGAGGTGGTGCAGAGATCGCGTGTTCCATTGTGTCTTGATAATCTCGATAGGTATAATCAGGGCGATGACCCGTATTTCGACGTCGTGGTCGAGCATGATTATCCTCCTCATCGTCACTTATTTCAATGACTGGTGAAGGGGATCCCGCTGCTTCGCCAACCTCTTCACTAGGTGGCAATCGTTCACTAGGAGACTGTCGCGGAGGTGAATCCTCATCGAAGGGAATGGTGGAGGGGGGAGAATCAAGTATTATCTGTGCCGGACCTTCAGTCGCAAGCTCTTCTTCCGCTTCATGTGTGAAATCTGGGATATGCCAGTCATCAATCTGGACAAGAGCAGGTTGTTGTTGTGTCTCCATTTCGATGGACGTGTCCAGCGTTGGTGAAAGAATTTCGAGAGGACAGAGTCGCCCTGCAGTGGGAAGTCCCTGCTATTTATTCCAATCCTTGATCAATTGGAAAGGGGCTGAGCGATCCAACTCTCGTAATTTTAGGGAAATCAGGTGCATGGAAGTGGAGTGGAGATGAGCGAGCCCGTTATGCGAAACCTGGCCTCGTAACTCCAATCAGATATGAAAGGCACCCACCAATCATGCAGCATCACGGCGTAGTATGACCCTAAAATAGAGCATTCGTCATCGACAAGCCGAGCTTCGATTCGTCCTAATCAAGCACGAGGGTATATCATGCGTGGTGTTGCCAACAGCACCATGGCTCTTCATTGCCAGTCGACGCCAGCAATCCTGAAGCGGAAAATACTCAAATTGAGTGAACGGTAGCTGAACAACCATAATCATCTCAGGTGCTAGAATCAGTTCCTCACATACGGTGTAGATCTGGCATGAAGACTCCGAAATGGAGTTCTTCGGGAGGACACTGCTGGAAAGCTCGCTTCATGTATGATTCGTAGTCATGCACAGGAGCAACCCAGCACCTTTCTGGATACCATTGTGGCTGGTTCCTACATCAATGATTGGGTATGTACAGTCGTGCATGTGGCCGTGGATAGGCAGAATTTGCTTCCAAGTGGTCCTCGAGTTCCTGAATGAGCACCAGCCCACGCTCAAGCGTATTGAGAGAACCTATTAGCAAGCCATCTCTATCGATCTGCCTCACCGTGTGCTTCCGTCTAGTCCATGATTGGTTGTAGGATCGCAGACACGGCTGGGTTTCGGCATCCTAGGATGCCAAACTAGTTGGTGGTCCGAGTATATAATGGCTGCGCTCCGCACTCTTGGTCTGCTTTCCTTTTATTTCTTCGCCATCAAGCTATATTCCAATTTCAGTTCCGTGAAAGTTGATTGTTGACACCCTATAGAAAATGGACTCCGCTTTTTTCACCTCACGAATAGTACTCTTGCTTAGCCCACTGGCTACGACTTCGCTGCGTGATTTCCTTGAGAAGCTCAAAGAGCTTCATGAGGCGCGAAGGACAAGAAAACTTCAGAACATCGAACTAGAGGTATAGTTTCTAGTATCATAGAGTTGAGAAGCGTGCTAATCACAGAGAATTTTAGTTTCGTGAACTCATCCATCAATTCTGTGAAGAAGTCCCGGCAGTTGCTGAAGCCATTGCTGCGATGATTCAAGAAGACATGACAAACAATGAATCGCCAACCCAGCAATTTGTTTCAGACTCGTCTCACCGGTTACCAAAACGCAAGCAGGAACAAGATCCGCCTCATTCACTGAGTCATTCAATCGAGCCCGCTTCAAAGAAGCCGCGACGCATAACGCAATCAAGAGGTTTTCTCGACAATCCAACCCCTTCGATAGAGGGAGAAATGATTCATTTAAGTTTTTGACTTCCGAGGACGAAGACCCATGGTGTGAACAGTATTCAGCTCCCATATTCATCCCTGAAGGCGTACTGGTTGGTTTTTGGTCTGCGGATGCGAGTGAAAATGGGAGGCGACCAGTATATTGCTTAGTCGAAGAAGACTTTGAATTCGCATATCTCAAAGGAAACACATTCATCCTCGTTATGACGATTTTGATCCCCTGGATGAATTCGGTGACTGGCTGGGCGATGACACAGAAGACGAGGATGCCATGAGCCCAGAAGAGGTGAAAGTGTGGGTAGAAATGATGTGGGAGAGCAGAGTCTTTGCCAGACTCCAAGATATGACATTTGAAGATACTTTTGGCAATCAAGGTATATAAGATAGCAACTGGCAACAGTCAACTCCTTACATCTTATAGTATAGCGATAGAATTCGGGCTAGTGAAATATGAGGCTAGATTGACCTTTGGCAGACGTTATTCATAGATGACATTTAAATATGAAAATACCTCCTTGGTTTTTGCCCGCACACCGGAGCCCGTATGGGACGGCGGCCCGCGTTCGATGGACAAATCATTGTAGCTGCACTATCCCTCATGAGACGAGAGTCCACGGGGGATTGTCAGATTATGATGTCAGATGCTATCCCGTATGGGTCAGCAACCCGCGGGAAACGAAGAAGCCATCATATCCCATGTGAAATGCCATCCCTCAAAAGATCGCTGCCCGCAGGGGATGATAGCCGGCATGCAATGACAACCCGCATGCGAATGTCAAACCGTGGTAACCCATGTGAGCTGCAATCCCACACGGGGTTCAAGCTCCTACGGGCTATCATGGCTTGGCCTTCCCGTACGGGCTGCTACCCCTAGGGGCTTGGAGCTCACATGGAACAGAAAGGACGGAGTGAACCGTGGCAGCCCATAGGAGCTTGAACCCCGTATGGGACAACAGTGATCGTCAAACCGTGGTAGTCCACGAGGACTGTTATTGCAGGGGAGTGACAGGTATTTTCACGGCAAACCGTGGGATGCCGGGTATCGCAGAAGGACCAGAAAACATAGCCAAAACGCATGGGTAGCTTGTAGCGTTATGCTATGAAAAAAAACTACATGAGGTCCCATTGTGAAAGTAGTCAAAAGTAATGAGAGTTAATGTTGGTTTAACTACGGTCCGTATCACGAAGCATAGACGGTAGTAAGACGCGAACACGAAGCGGCCTAATGAGCCTGACAATATGAAGATATCTTGATTCCTAATATTGTGATTGACCCCCAAGAGTAATGGGGACGGGGGATAGCTAACTAGATATACGCGGCACGCATGTGTAAAGAAATCGGTGGATGGATCGTATAGACTCAGAGGATTGATATCGTTCAGTAATAGTGATCAATGATCAGTTGCTTGTCAGTATTAATAAGGAGATGATTCGATGCGTTGAATCTCTGTGTATTGCTTGTCTCTCTAGTTACATACAACTCAGGGGTTGAGACTATAATTAGCCTCGGAATCACTAGTCATCACGTGACCTTGTGATCATATTCTTTACACATGTGCCGCGTCAGACTAACTATATCCGGTGCCGAAACGTGTAGGGTTTGATATTCACGTTCCGACAGTTAAAAATCATGGGTAGCAAAAATCGTGGGTTGTATTGCAAACAAGAAGAACGAAAAACGTTAAGATCGAATAACTGTGATTGATTATCATTAAGTGGGTCCGTTCGACCCCGTTAGCCAGTCTGGCCAGAAGACACTAACTATCAATATAGCCACCTTCAGGCTCGCTTCGTCGACCTGCTGCGGTCGATAAGAGAGATTCAGGTCGCTCGCAGCCTATCAACCAGCATAAGTTGCCTTGAATTCGACACTACACTGCCTGAAATGCCGTCATCCTGCTTCAACAGCCACTTTGACATCGCGCAATACCCAGAAAATTCATGCAAGTGAAAACCGCCTCGTTCGCGCTCCTGAGGCGGTCCACAGCTAATGCATCGCAGAAGCCTGGCACTATAAATATAGCAAGATTTCGAAGTTTGCCCTTGGTATATTGTTCTTCGCAACACAACTCTATACCTCGTGCAATTGACAATCGAACCCCTTGTTCTTGATAATATTATATACCTAATGTATATAATCAGTCCATTGGCCCCTCAAGGTTAGGAAAACAATTAACAACTTCTACCTTCTGAAACTCTGTACGAATCGCAACTAAATACATGGTCGAACCGTGTTGCGGTTCGGGTACTGACTAAGCAGCCCTAGGGCGAAACGAACCACGTGATCTAGCTTCCGTAATGAAGCTATCCCCGTTTCTAAGTTCTCCGCCTTACATATCCAAGGTATTGCCAACACCACTATGACCAAGCCTTCCTGAGGCTCTCTAACCACTCGCGATTAACCTCCACCGCTGGATTATCCGCATTCCAAACCACCGCCTTCTCCTTCAACTCCCCTGGGACAGGCAAAAACTTCATAAACGGGTGATCTTTATTACACTTTCTCAGCGGAAGCTCGCCTTTCTTAGCCATCTCAATACACTCCTCGCAGAACTGGGTGTCATAACAGCAGGTGCAGTACCAAACCTCTTTGTAACCACCTGGTTTCTGGTAGTTATCAGTTGAGCATGGCCCGTCGCAGGTGAAGAAGTTAGTTTCCTTCGGGTATCCGCATTCTGCGATCTCATCAGCGGCATCAGGATACGTGAAGCCCATGCCGAGCGCGACGTTGGCCGCCCTGGCGTTGTCGAGATCACCTGCGGCAATAAGCGCAATGACGAGGTCGTCGTAGGCCTGGAGGTCGTTGCCCAGGTCGTCGTCGCAGAGCAGGTCGATGCCTTGAAGCATCCTGGGCTTGAGACAAGCTTTCCAAGTTGACTCCTCAGCGGCACCAGTCTCGCGCAGGTAAGACCCTAGAAGCACAGCGGCGGGCGCGATCTTGTATGTGCTGCTACCTTCGTCCGCGATAGCCAGGGCACGGAGCTTGTCCACAAATTCCTTGTCTTCTCGGCCGTCTTTGTGTGCTTGCCGCGCTTTCTCAGTGTAGATACCAGCGAGGTATTCCTCTATACTGTCACGAGATTCTTCGAATTTAATGCGCCTCTCTTTGCTTAGTTTCCCGCTGAAGCTGGGTGCTGCGATACGCTCAAGTAACTCCAGCGCAGCGTCGCTGGTTGGGTAGAAGTTGAGCATAAACTCAGCGCACCAGACCGCTGCCCACGGCATCGTTTCCAATATATTCCATTTAGGGTTAAGGACTGCGTCAATCCAGGGCTGGACAATCTGTTCTGCATCGTGGTGCATCCAAAGTGGAATACCGATTTCCTTGTACATGTAGTTGAGGCCTAGGAACATAGGCATGCCGTAATTAGTAGGAAGTCGCGACATATCAACGAGGATCTTGTGCACTCGATCGTAGTCGTGTAGCGCGAACAGTGCCCAAATATACACCGACACCATCTGAAACGCACCTGCATTGAATTCGCGTGGCATTGGCTCATAGTCCTCGGCTGCCCACTTGACGACAGATTCGTAGTCATCCTTCTCCAGTAGGAAAGCTACGAGGTTGGCCTTCAGTCGGGCTCTGGACACTTTCAGGCTCTCTGGAACATTCTCCATCGCCTTTTCCAGAGACTTAGTCGCTTCGTCGAAATTGTCTCGTCGCGAGCACCATCCGAATCCCTCGAGAGCGTCCCAGCAAGTTGGGTCAACTTCAAGTGCTTTTGTGAAAAGCTCCGCCCCCCGGTCGAAGTAGTCGGCGGCATATAGAAACCAACCGTGTGCTGAGTACCAATATTGCGTTTTTTCGATGTCGAAGCTGTTGACTACCTTCTCGTAGATCGTCTCGTCAAACACCGGATACTGGTAGGAGAACAGCGGATTGACGTTCAAGTCTTCCGCTCCTGTTGAGCCAGTTTCATCCAACAAAGCCCAGGCCCACGGGATCCACGAGAAGGACATGAGATGTACTCGATTCTCGTAGAAGAGATCATTAGGACCAATCCTCATCAACCACAACTTCGCAGCTGTTGCGGCAAGAGGTCGAAAAAATTCCTTGTGAGATTCGATCGATTTCTGAATCCACTCCCACTGCTCGCTTGAAAAGTCCTCTTGTTTAGCAGTCGCGAGCCAATACTTCCTGAGCATGGATACAAAGGTCGCGTCCTTGAAGAAGTATAGCAACGTCGCATAGTATTGACAGACCAGCATGCCTCTGATCAGCCCATTGAGAGCTGTAGAATCTGTGAATAGGGTGACGATGGTTTTCACGGCGTCAGCCTTCTCAGAGTCCGTAAGGCCAACTTCATTTGCTGACGTTAGATGGCTGCTCCAGTTTTGGCAGGAGTAATTGAGAAAGTCTGGCCTTTTGCCTGTGTTAGCATAATTGGTCCCAAATTCGATGATGCGATTCATGCAAACGTTAGCTATGTGGAGGTCAGCCAATCTGGGATCAACGTAGATTGGCATGGAGCCAGTGTGAGCATCGAGGCTGATGTTGCGGTGTTGAACAAGGAAATCTCGAATGCTGGCATGTGCAAAGCGAACATGGGTATCAGTAAACCGCTTGAAAGTCTCTTCGCTGAATTCTTCGACGGGCTGTGGCTTTCCGCCCTCATCCGCAGGTTTTCCCGCATGAACATCGACCCCAGAGTCATCCGCTTCATCGTCCGAAATTTCGTCGATGTCAAAGTCATCGTCGTCTCCACCATCGTCACCTACGCCAGGGTCGGGACTTGCCTCAGGCTTTGATGCGTTGGCTGCTGGCCATTCTCCTTGAACCAATGACTCGCTCCCTCCGCTCAACTTGAAAATGGAAGCAAATTTTCCCCGGAGGCGCGCCTCCAAAGCATCGTATCTGTTCGCAGTTAGCTCCCAATCCAACCATGTGGGCCTTTTATTTTTCGCGAAGGCCATATCGGAGGCGTCTTACTCGACTCTCTTTTCGGAATAGGTGCGACTTACGGTTGACCAGTCCGGACTTTCAGCACGGCATAAAGCTGGCTAACTGTAATCCACGACTTTGAAAACGCAACCCAAAGCAATAGCTCATTCAAGTCCCCCTTGTCCACATCCTCATTAAGCAACAGCTTATCAAAAACATGCGCAATCATAGCATCGAGCTGCGGTGGCGCCTCCTCAATAGCGTCGAAAACCGCATTCTTGCGCTCCTTGTCATGAATCTGATCCATGATGAGCACTACCTTGAAGAACATGCCGTCCGCCTTGTCCAGCACCTTCTCGCGGATATCGCGGGCAAGCTTCGCCGCGGCCTTTTTGTCGCGGAGCCGCTTGATCTGCTTCACGACGAGAACGTCTGTCAGGCGCTTCTTGATGTATTGCGCTATGTCTCCTTCATTGCGGCTTCCTATGTCCACCTTGGCCATGATTCGGCTGAATTTGGGCAACAAGAATTCCGACAAGTCTGGACGACTGAAAAGAGCGCAAGAAAGGCGGTTCCCGAACTTCGAGCGATCAGTCAGCTCTTCGAGAAGCGAAAAGAGATCTTTAACCATTGATCGCGGTGCCTCGTCTAGGCCATCAAGAAGGATGATGACGGCGTTTGAGATACTCCTATCTTGACCATAGAAGTCCATGAATAAGTTTTTCCACAACAGCCGTGGAGTTGCCACGGAGTCTGGCTTTGATAAAACTTTCACTGCAAAGTTCCTAAAAATATTGTCGTTCTGGGCGATTTGATAGGCCAAGGTCTTCAGCAGGTTTAAGAGGTCTCGCAGAGCGTCGTCGTCCTCTTTCGTGAAGAAGTAAACCACTGAGGTCCGGTTCGGATGCTTCGGATCTTGAGGATACTCACCCCTCAAAGACGTAATGAGCGTGGAGGAGAGGCAAGACTTCCCAGTGCCCGGTCCACCGGATACCCATAGAAGTGGCATTTTTTTCTCTCTCCAGCGCTTGACAGTGCTGTCGATCAGGAGCCAGTCGCCTGTTTTCTCTAACGTCGATTCGATATACTCGTGGTAGATGGCAGTGTTCTTCTTGTGCGCCACAGTGAGCAAGTTCTCGTCCAATAGCGCCTTGGCCTCGGAGGACCTCGCAGAGATGGACAGATCGTCCAACTTTTTTACCGCTTCCTCGGTAGCCTCCAAGGCCTGTTTCGTAGTCTTGTCAATCTCGATAGTTTTCTGCTCGACCCTCTGGGTCGTTGCGTAAGAGATGGCCTGGACCAGCGCGCGTTCATCCTCGAACAGCTTCCCAAGTTTGCCCAACGATCCCTTGACCTCATCGTCCTGCCCGAGAAATAGTACAGCCCCGTATTTCTTGAAGCGACCAGTCTTCATGACGGTCTCAGCGCGCGCAAGGATCTCCAACAGACAAGTGAGGATCGCAATGACCTTGGCACGCAAAACCTTATTCATGGCTCCTCCACCGACATACTGCTCGAGTCGTTCCGTGAAGCCGCCAAGCTTCTCGAACAACTCCTCAATCCAGTCGTAGCAATCCGAGACTCCGCCGGCTGCCTTGACAAGGAAAACGACGGCACCGAAAAAGGTCGATGCCGGTGCAAATGGCGTTAGCGAAAGGGCACTTTGAGCGATACCGGACAGCGCGATGAAGGGCTTAACGGCTTTCTTCAGGACATTGGTGAATTTGGGCTTTTTGTTTCTGAAAGTGCCGAATTTAATCGACTCCTCGTCGATTTGGTCGAAGAGGTCGTCGACCTTGTGCAGGCGCAACAAGAGCTTCTTGTCTTCGGGGCTCCTGTTAGTCGTGCCCATGTACTTGTCGACTGCTTCATTCCAAAGTTGATCGAAGGTGACGTCGTCAGACATTTCGTGCGATATACTATAACGGCCAAACTGTGATTGACACGGTTGGGAAATAGTCGCTGGTCAGGCGTGTGGAGTATGTAAACTTGGTTGATCCTGTCCATAAGATACATTCTCTGCACTCTAAGTCTTCAAAATAGCCAAAGCCATCTTCATTTTAATCGATTTTCACCCCGCCTGCCACGTGACGCCTATCTGCAAGGCTATCACATGCATGTCGTGCATGCGCCCAGTGGCATGCATAGGAGATTTATCGCCTTCGAATTTTTGGACGCAACATGCGGTCGGTACGGCATCAATATTGTATTCTGTTGTCTACGCCCTCCTGGGAAATGATCGCTTAGATATCATGATAAGTGTAGTTTACAATGACCTAGGTTTGGCCACATCGGTGTTTCGTATAGTACAAGCGAACATTCTAGAACACTGAAAACTTGAGGAGCTTAACCGTATACGAACTAGTTTGCTTCAAGTATGGATTAGAAAAAAAAATCTAGTGTGTTCATGAGGGAAATTGGTTTTGCAAAGGAGGGTACCAGCACTAGACTCATTGAATTTGCACATCGACTTGATATTTCTGCTGCTTGTTTTTGTTTTTTCAGTTTCCATGTAATAAGGGTGCGCCTTGAACCCATCAATGTCATTTCTAGAAACTTAAGCCTACGCTAGCCCAGTTGAGGTTAAGGCTCGAAGATCTAAGAGTGCCCTTACATCTATATGCATGAACACTGGTGTGCACGGACACCAGCTGGGCTTGTATGTTTCTAGAAAAAAACTGTTGAATATCCTGGTGGCTGAAACGACATGACAGGGATGTGAGGCTCAACATATATGTATATATATATGAGGGTTGACTCACCTGTATCTAACTGATAATAACAACAATATTATCACCTTCAAGTGCAACCTACTTCGACAAAAACAACAGTGCCTTTACGCCTGAGTGTATTGGCACTACCTAAGAGCATCCGCACTATTCTCGTGCTCTTACTGCATAGTGTCTTTACAAACTTTTATTGCTTCTGCGCAGCTTTTGTGTCCTAGCACTTTTGTGTGTCCACATAGTAGTGTGATTGCATTCAAGTGTTCCTACACTACAAGGTGTCTGCACTATTTGACAGGCTCTGCTCTCAGAGTCTAGACACACCTTTGATTTACGACTTTTCATAAATTTATGGTTGTCTCGGCATTTCAGTGCCTTTGCTCCTTGCTGCCTTGACTAGTGGAACTATGCAACACAGCTTGTAGCCCCTGACGGCAGGCTCAGAAATGGAATTTACCTGCCTCGGAGTTATAGAAAAAGAGTACTATGTACATAACATACACAAACGGAAAATTTTGATTAGCTAGACAACGACGTCAGTGGCTTTTGTCTTCTCGTCTTTAGCGATCTAGGTCAGCCCAAGAGAATCTCAATTAAATGAATAGGAAATATTGCTAATGTAGCGGGAGGCAGGGTGAATAAAACCATCCATCTATCCATCCATCCAGCTGTATGGGTTTCTTCGAAGTAAGCAATCCGGCCATTCTGCTGATATAGGTGGCGTGGCTATTATATGTATGCACATTCCCAAACCCTCTTCCGTTGTTTCAGGTATTGAGATATATGCAGTACGGGTTTATGAGCCCAATCTCGTGAGAGCCGTGAACCAGAGTGTCTTGAATGAGTCGCTGTCTCGGAACAGCTCTCTTGTGGTAAAGGGTGCTACAGAAGGATTGTCTCAAGACAATTTTCTTGAGATCAATTGTTTGGAAGAGTGGGTCCGAGACTTTTAGCCAAAGACATGGCTTTTAGATGTATATATAATCTATACCAGGCAGCATAGAACAAAGTCTGTCATGTGCCATTCGTCCAAATGAATTAGATTATATAAGACAGTGCAAAAGCCACCGGGTGCTGAGACGCGAAAACGCCACTAAGCTTGCCACTACGCAAAACCGGATTGAACGAATGTTTTGTGGATCATTCAAAGTAGGTGCTGTTCGACCTACTAGGTAGTACATATTGCTTGTCATTTGCATCAGATAATCCGGCGAGTCTGGTTCTCAATCTTTGATAGGAATATGAATATGCTTCTGGCTAGGGCCCGCTTGGCGTAGATAAGTGACTGATTGAGCTCGGAATGTTTTTTTAGCAGAGCTGTGATCCCAGGATACGTCACGTTAATCACGGTACTATGTATGCCTGAGGCATGAGGAATTTCTATTGGTCAACCCCTAGGTACACTCCGCCTATGCGGGTCTGGGCCGCTTTTGTGGGGAGGCTGCGCGCTAGCCAAATGCCCTACATATCGCAAATTGGTAGCGCTGCTCAGGGCGCAGCGCATGGAAGAATTATCATGAGTGAAAATTCCCCTGAGGGTGCCAGTGCCACAGGGTAAATTACCCATGAGGCATCCAATGCCCTGAGGGTGCCTGTGCCACAGGGCAAATTAGCCATGAGGCATTCAATGCCCTAAGGATGCTTGTCCACGAGGAATAATCACCCCCAGGAGGAAATGGAACACCCCGGCCATCTTTTACAACCCTCCCATTCTTGTGTGTTCGGCGGTACGTAGTTTCTGGTTGTTAGGAGGAAACGGGGTTAATCTACTGTCGATAGCTAGACTGATCATCGTGATGGTGTTAAGCATGTAGCATGCACAAATTAGGCTTCAGCTGTGACGGTCAGCAATGAGGTTATTCGCAAAGTTCGAGTTGCGCAGTCACGTGATAGGGTTACGTAGGAGGGTTCGTGATCCTGTCACGTGATCACGAAACAGTACATCTCGTTTGCAGATAGCCTCATGTTCCTAGTTTTTTTCTTTCTTTCTCCATGTTTGGTTTTCTTGTACTTAGCTTCCAATATGACTATTGAATGAGCCCTCACATCAGTACATATTATATGGGCAACTCCACCGGACATCAACATGTACTCCGTACAGTAACCCCACGCCAGTCTGCTTGCGATGTGTATTTATCACATTCCATGCTAGCCTAGACACTGGAGTGTTCCATGACATTTTTATTCTGAAGCTGAACTTTTCGTCTCTCCTTTCCACTTTCTGGTTTGAAATGTCAACCAAAGGAGTTAGTGGTTGCACATCCGGCTTCGTTCTCAGAAAGGCATCGACAGCAGATTGCTCTTCTCCAAAGAACATATTTTCACCCCGTCAAATCGAGCCAGAGCCAGAGCGAAAGAATGCCTCGGAGTAATTTAGCCTCAGGGTACAGACAACCTCAGGGCAGAGAATGCCTCGGGGCAAATTAAGCGCTGCGCCCAGCGCAGCGCTTAAGAGTTTGTGATAAGTACCGTCCTTCACCGCCTGATGCACGGAACCACCTGATGCTGTCGGATTAGCCGGCTCATTCCAGGCCAATCCTGAAAGTGTCTTTACTAGGATCAAAGAAAAGAAGCGACTAGCAAGATTGTGTGTATATTGGGTTCTGTCTCTCTGTCCCTGTCTAATACATCAGGTTCAATGCCGGGTCCTTTATAGACACTTTTGGCGGGGTCTTTTGTGAGCTATCATGAGGGGTAAACTATCAGGGCTATATTGAGCCCTGATAAGAAGATGACTCCTTATTTGCTGAAGTGTAGGTAGCTTGAGGTGACTGGTTGACCTGATCAAATAGCCTATCTTCTACATCGCCGGATATCCCGGTTATCTGACAGATGCACGGTTTTCGCGATAGGCCATGTAAACTATTTTGAAGCTTTACAACACCATATAATAGTAAAAATAAAATAATAATTTGTAGTATTACTAAATAAACAACTGCAAATCTAATGAACTAATTTTTACCTAGCGATAACGCTGGGGGAGTCGAATCTGGCGGCCTCGGCGATTTGTAGTAATAACCTCATCAATAACCTCATCCTTGACCTCACTACTCTGTTTGGGATTCAATTTCTTTGAATTTGGGTTTGTTCGGTTTATACAGGGCTTCGCTTAGCTAGGGCATCTTTTTGAAGCTGTAAGTCTGCTTCCTTAGCTGCTTTTTGCTCAAGCTTTTGGCGTTGTTTTTCAGCAGCCTGTTGCGCGCGTTATTCTCGTATTTGTTGACGGATTTGAGCCCTTTTTTGCTTTTCTTGCTCTCTACCTTCCTTTAGAAGCTGTTGTTGAAGTCTTTTATCATCTTTTCTAGCGTTTTCCTGCGCGGCTTGATCCTCTTTTTGTTGCTGTAGTTCTCGGGCTTGCTAAACCTGTGAAGTGCTGAAAAAGATTGTACCACCTTCCTTTTCATTAGGTAAATCCAATAATAATGGCTTTTTCCTAATCCGGCGCTTTTTCTCTCTTTCAAGAGCCATCTATAGGCTCTTAAGACGTAATCTGAACGGTACAACCTCTGTAGAAATTTGTATAACCGTATTGGTTAGCTTTTTCATGTTTTTGCTTGGATTTTTGCCCTCAACCACTTCAACAAATTGACGAATATATCTCCAATTTTCAGCTGAGAGAATTGAAGCTGTAGAACTAGCTGAACTTGGCCGGCTGGTGGGTTTCTCATTATATCGCTGTAAAATGATCTCCGGATTGAAAGGAATCAAGCCCGTATTTTTGGAGGCAGAGCTAATATTTTTCTTAGTAAAAGATAATTCCCAACTCGTCCAGAAAAGCCGAAAAAAGTCGCGTTTAGTAATACGGCTAAAGCCCTGGCTTTCATCAAGAAATTTGCGTAAAGCCATCGTATAATAAGTGGCAAGAGGTCCAAACAAGCCAACATCAAGAGTCTGTAAAGTATGTGTCGCATGTGTCGGAAATATTGCCAATAAGATCCTGTTTCTATCACAATATTCAATAAATCTCATATTGACGAGAAAAAACTCTTTTTTCTTTTGTCATAACCCCAATTGCAAAGCCCTTCTCATCCATATTGTAAATCTGATTTGGCCGAAGATTATATTGCTCAATTTTCTGGTTTATAAGCTCAAAATATAGAGCATAACTCCATGCACAATCCGCTCTTTTTCGATTGTTCTCAATGCCCGTAGAATAGCGAGAAATCAACGCATTTGGATGCTTCTAACCAGCGAGAAACCCAGCTCTTTCCGGGCTTTCTACTGGTTATCTTATGCGCGAAATTTGCAATCATTGAAGGCGTAGGTGGTATACCGTGCTCACAGAGCATATCTATCCATTGTACAAGCTTTTGAGACTGTTGGTTATTGAGTAATCGTTGATTGTTGTATTGCTCCTCTTTTGAGCCCGTAACACCTCGGTATCTTCTCGAGAGCGTTGAACAATTAACACCAAACATTTTTGCAGTCAAAGTGGAATTCATCTGTTTGTCTTCTTCCAAGAAATTCAAATATTCAATCGCATCCTCAATTGCACCCATTTTGACTGATTTATCGCGCTTTGAAATCTGTATTGTTTTTCGTGTTTTGACGCGATACCGTGCATCAGGTGGTTCCGTGCACCAGGCGGTGAAGGACGGTACAGTATCGTACTTAGAGAGCGCTTTTCGTTCTTTCATGAAAGTATACCGCAATACCTGACCATATAAGCTTTTCAACCTCTTTTAGTTATACTATCAATTTGTCTTCTTCGGGATTGTACTCGTTACCTTTCAATGATACAATCAGCCAATCAGAGCGAGCCACACACTTTAGAGAAGGATCCACCGAATAGGGGCTAAAAGAAAGTCTCCCACCTTTACGGTACTTAGAGGACGACAAGAATAACAACAAGGATAAAAGATTCCATACTTTTGCATACATAATTTGATACGTTGAGATATACCGCTAAAGATTGTTACGTTCAATCCAACAGCATGCACCGGTACAAATTGAAAATTCTACTCTGTAACGTTAGGCAACTTATCGATGACAAGCCTGATCCGCAGACATACGAAGCTAACTTTGCACAGAGAATGTACTACATCGGCCTTAATGGCTAGAGTTCCAAATCATGTTATTATGGATTTATTTATTCCATGATATGCCTACTCAGATGCTCAGAACCAGGAATTTAATGGACGAGCTCATAGTGGAGTCATTCCTCAAATAGCACTAGCCCTAGCCCTAGCCCTAGTCCAACCAAAATAGGAAAGTTTCCATCCAAAATTTTACCTAATTAGGTAGCAGATATCGAGACTCAAAATTTGCTTCGTGGAAGACATTCGAAGAGATAAGTGCATTTCAGGAAGCTGAAGAAGCGATGCAGGCCGTTAGAAATGCTCTCGCTACACTACCTGATAACAGCTCTATGGAAGGAGGTACCCTGACGGAAGACTATTTTATACAATTCATTCTATACTGCCAGATATAAACAACACAATACAATATCAAGAGACGTCTCTTGTCCTCCAGTAGCTATTCCTCCATGACCACATCCAGAATTGATTATGATCCGAGTTTCATCCCTGCCCGGTCCTTCCCGCTCTATTATCTCGGACTGTTTCCCTTCCCTGTCTCGCCTGTTGCCGAGGTGACTATGCTGCACCCCCTGCTGTTTTCTTCAATTCGCTCATCTGAAGCCTTTTCCAATGGCCCATGAAACCAACTAGGGTAGCAATGCCGAACGCAGCAAGCGTGATTGCAAAGACAGCTTTCAGGCCTACCATGTACGCATCAATGACAAGAGGTACCTGTGCTGTCGTAAATGCTTCACGAATCTGCGCAGCTCCGATTCCGAGAGCCGTTCTCTTGGCATGCCACATCTTAGTTTGAAGAACACCCGTGGTATAGAGCATATCTCTATAAGCACCATCGACGTTACATAGCTAAATATGCTCTTCTCGTATTCCATCTAGTTTCTCCAACGACAAACTTCATCGCTTGGTTCGTGAGTCCTGAGACACGGTTCCTCAACTACGACTTCCTCTGGACAAATAAGGATGTCTATGAGCTTAAGGCTGAGCTAATGAAAATGTATACAGTTTGACATCGTGATATAGATGGCCAATTGAGACTGCGAAATAGATATCTCAAAAGGCCATCGCAATATTACGCATAATCGGGAGACATTATCGTCAAAAATAACTTGTTGAGAACCTTTGTACAGAGAATTAGTCGTATGTAATTAAATAGCTAAAGTTATTGCATCCAGAAGGGTACATAACAGCTGTCAGCCGGAAAATATGCCTCATGCACCATTCAAGTTGCTAACCCTAAAACAAATTTCCGGTGTTCATCAACATTGCAGGTAACTGGGTAAGGTTGTACTTAGTAGGGCAAAGATGAAGCTTCCATAAAAGTCATTTGTCAGTACCGTCGGCCGAATGCTGACCCACGCCCTCCTCTTCGTCTTCGACATCTCCGAACTCCTTTTTATCAAACCTCCAGAAAGAGGAGAAGTCCGGGGCTAGGAATTGAAAATCCAAAGGCGAACGCTCGAAGTTCATGTACTCAGTTGATTACGAAATTCTGCTGAAGCGATCGAGCTAACACATTCAGTATCCGAAGATGAATGCGCGCTAGGGCGAAAACCCAGCAAAGATCCGAGAAGTTCGAACAGGGACTCACAGTTGTCGAGAATGCAGATTGCGAAAAGTCAAATGCACTTTTGCATCTCCAAAGAATACCATCTGCATTACCTGCCACCGTGGAGGAACGCAATGTGTCAGTCAAACAGTCGTAACGGCAGATACTGTCGACCACATTTGTGCACAGGGACAGACTGAGCAGATACTTTGGAAATCCGCCAACACCTCTGTCTGATAATAGAAGGTCTGCTTCTATTTTAGTGCCGATCATCTGCACATGCAAGTATCACTCAGGCACTCCTTCGTGTCCTCCCTTCCAGGAAAGATGTCGAGATTCTGCTTGGAAAGATCTTCAGAATTTCCACAATTTTCTACCAGTCCAACTTTAAAAGCTCAACATCAGCAGAACTACAAAAAGAACGGATTCCTTTGCGAAGTCTACTATATCCAGGAGCTCATCCTGTCTTGTTGGTTAGACAGATGTTGGTATTCGCAGCATATTATAACATATCCCTCTGACTGCAGAAATCCCCGGATTCACAAAACAGCATCACTTAATTATGGAAGAACTTGCAGAGTCTGCAATCAGTATGGTTACAATAAATGATGTTCTGCTAAGCACTTTAGAAGGTCTTGAGAATGTTATCTTCGAAGGCTATTATCATGTGGATAGCGGCAATATTCGACGAGCTTGAATAACAATGCGTCGTGCTGTCACGGCAACACAACTGATGGGTCTGCATGAGCGGCGCCATTACCGCTTCAAGGTCCTCAATGATGATAACGGCCTTGATCCTGTCAATATTTGGAACTGTATTGTCTCTATGGAAAATATCATGTTTCTAGTACTGGGTCCGCCGTCGAGTACTGGCGGTACAACTTCAAACCCTGCGATGGAGAAAGTAGCAGCTACATCATCAACGACCGCCCCTTCTCTGCGAAACCAAAGCAGTAACATTTTGCCAACACTCATCATACATGCAACATCTAAGATACTTAAACGGAACCAACTCTACATACCGCAGCAAACATTCGATATGACCCGAGAGATAGATCAAGAACTCATCAAGATGACCGAACAGCTACCGTCTTCATCCTGGAGACCACCATCACTTGCAGGGCTCGAGTTAGATTCAGTGCAGGCATTTTGGGAAGCCCGCAGAGCATGGGACCACATGTACTACTACACCATTGTGAACCAGCTCCATCTACCATACACGTTATGTATGCGCCATACCCCCCGCGTAATCTACTCCAGCATGGCCTGCGTCAATGCTAGCCGCAAGATACTCATCCGACAGATTGCCATCCGTACATTCAATCCGCACTAATTACGCTCTCGAATGGGTGGAGACTTTGTGGCCCTGATTGCGGGAATGACCTTGATACTGGCACATCTTGTAAGCCACAGTCATGACGAGAACGACAAATTCAATAGCGATAACGTTCTTGTACACCAGCGATCGAGTGACCGTGTGACTTTGGAACAGGCCCTGGAATGCATGAAGTAAATTTCAGGATCGCAGGAGGACCTACTTGCTACAAAATGTGTTTCCCTTCTCAAAGATTTGTTGGCTATTGAGAGACATGCCGCTACTACTGCACAAGAACATAGCTTCAACGGCATGTGCAATGACAGTTCTGGAAACGAGTTGACAATTAAAGTGCCATATCACGGTATAATTAGAATTACTTCAAGGAGCATCACGAGCACAGAGTATTCGAAGACGGGGCAGGATCATACTTAGACTCCTCCAAAGAGGTTACAATTGGTGGCATCGGCTCAATCCATCTGCAAAGTACGGGGCTTTCATGTTTGAGACCTCATGTTAACGATAATAATGGGAATATTGCAGCTCCAATTCCACTTTAAAACGGCAGTACCAACAACGACCGCTCAGGGAGGGAGTATCGACTCAACATGTAACACCTGGTACTGAAGTCCCGTCAGGAAATCACTTTCTCGACCAAGATAAAATGGTCCCCGATGCGAGGGCCAGCTTAGATGATTGGGTGTTTCAAAGATTTGATACTGCATTCTTGATACTCTGATGTGTGGAGCTGGAGAGCAGCAGGAAAATGGGACTGAATGATACTTCCTTTTTGGGCTTAGTTAGGGCTCGGTATTGTTCATTGTCCTCAGTTCCTAGCATACATGTGCTTTGTCTCCCAGACACCTCCAAGGCAAATTACTAATAATCCAATTTACCAAGGCGGATTCTCCCCCGTATAAAAACCCTCAAACCCCTCTACACATATATCCCTAAACACCCCATTATCCCGTTCAGGCTTTGCTTCCAACACAATCCTCACCACTTCCCTTGCACCAACGTCAGGTCTCAAATGAGCATGCTCACCACCCAGATCCGTCTGTAACCAACCAGGACTAATCTCAAAGACCGTAAACCTCTCCGAGGCCAATTCGGCGGCATATTGAACCGTTAACATGCTCAGGGCTGCTTTTGAAATTTTGTATGCTGTACAAGGGACTGCGGAGAGTTTGAGGCCCCATGTAATAGAGCCCAGGGTGCTGGATATGTTTACTATCTTTTTGGTATTATCAGCAGTTTTATTATTACCGCTGCTACTGTTCTCCTCGCGTAGTAGAGGCAAGAAAGCGGCCGTAACGCGATGCACACCCATCACATTCGTCGCAAAAGTAGTCTCCAGATCTGCAGCAGTCATTGCACTTGCTTTTCCCGAGTTCTCGCCCAATCGTCCCGCATTATTGATCAGAATATCAATCCCACGGCCAGAACTGAGTTGGTTAACATTGTGAACTGCGGCCGCAACGCTGCTGGCATCCGTGACATCTAGCTGTACATGATGTACGCGACCATTTGAGGAATTGATTAATTCTGATAGTGCTTCGGGAGCAGATGAGGCGCGAGTCGTTGCATAAATTGTTCCGATAATTGTTGAAGGGAGGGTGAGAATATGTTCGACTAATGCTAGTCCTAGGCCGCGAGATGTGCCGGTGATCAGGACGGAGGCCATTGTTTCTCGTTCGTATTTAAGATGACTCGTGAGTGTTCAAGTCAATGCAGGCCCAAAGATTTTGTAGTCATTCAACTTGGCTATTTTATATACATACCTAGATACCAATCTCGTCCGGAGTTTATATACCTTACATCCGTGCTGTCTCTGATCGTAAGCCGACTTCTTGAATCCGACCCTACACCTGCTCGATTTAGAAATGATTGCAATCGTTTCTGAGTAATAAGGACTATCTCATATGTAATCTGAGGAAAGATTTGTGCGAGAGTATGTACATGGCTTTGGTTGCTGATTAATTGGCATTGTATATGAGCTCCCGAGGTCATTCCCAGGTTTGTCAACTGGCCTTGATAACTATTACTAATGCTTGTTAATTGAACAAGTAATATCAGCTTGTAATGTATGTTGTTGATCTGGTCATGTTTCATTTGGTATGCACCTGAGCTTGAGAAATATTGACATGCTTATTCAGGTATAGTTGCATTCGTTATCTGGTGTCCCTATGTAGGGGGGTAATCAGGGTTCCTCACATTACCCCTATAACCAGATACTTTCACCTAGGTATTGTAAATACTTCATGAAATACAAGATCAGAAAAGAAATGTAAACTTGTATTGCGACGAAGCTACACTAGGTTTGCCTCGGCCCGGATATTGGGCACTTGACCAGAACAATCTAAGACAAAAACAAAGAGTCAAGGCGCAAAACAGACGAATAGAAGATGAAACCAATCGCTATCATAGAACCCTATACCACCTAGAACGCCTTTTGAATTCATATATATTATGATACAGGTTGCACCGGTGCCGACGCAGGAGTCTGACGATTAACCATGTCAGAACTACCACCAAGCACCGAGCCCGCAGCTCCACGCATTCGTAGCAGACCCGGTCCCGTACAAATTCGTCCGGTTTGCATCATATTGCGCAGCCGCTTTCGTCGAGCGGCTCCGCTACGCTCTTCGCCGCGGGTTGATCCTTCGTCTACCCATTCGATGCGTTCAATTTTGAAGCTCATGCCGTCGTGGTTTCCGTCCCAGGCGCGGGACTTGAGACCAAACATGAGAGTGGACTCGTAACGTTCCAGTCGTGGTAAAATGAGTAATGTGATGTGTAGATCTTTGTTTGGTGGAGGGACAGGTGGGATTGATAGCTTTGCTGTCGTTCCTGTCTCACCGGACGCTTGTGGGGCATGGTGATAGTCGCTTTTGATCTCGAGATCGAGCATTGAAATATCGACATCTTCGCCCCATGCCCCGCGGATATACCCGGAGTGGATGGCAGCAGCTACAGGATCTGAGTCGTCGGTATAAACTCCGGTACCCCAGACGGCTCGACGTGCACAAATCTCTTCTCGGTGATTTGGATCAATACGGAAACGAGGTACACGAATGGTAAATGTGCAGTTGTCTTTCCCTTCAAATCGAGGTATAGGAACTGGGGTACTAGTATATCCGAACTTTTGACTTTCTCCAGATGAGTTTGCACTTGGCACGCCGATACGTGGCGAATACAAAGTTGAGCCCAAATGGTGTCGTGGTAGATGAGCGACGCTTGTCAATAGTGGCTCAACATTAACCAGCGTTCGAGCATCCCGTAGCGGAAGATTGGAAGGAGCCGAAGTAATATTAGTTGACACGTTACGTGGCGCGTGGTGGTGATGGTGATGATGGTGGTGGTGGTGCGCCGGTGTCATAGATGGTCCCGTAACTACCTGCTCAAGGGGTGCAGGGCCTTGGCCTAAAGCACTTGCTCCAGTAGTCATACGTGGTATAACACCCTCATCCTCATTTTTGTATCGATGGTGGTGATGACTGTAAAGGTCAGGTTAGCATCCTTCCCAGAAGTGTTTGAAGCATAAATACATACTGATGATGGTGATGATGGAGATGCCGACCTCGACGAGATCCACCTCGCGTTGCTTGAGTCTGTTCGCCGATGTCACCTGCAGGCTCCTCGTCCTTTGCGCTTCGCTTCCTCCCCAGAGTAGCACCACCGCGACCACCTTTGCCCTCATCGACATTTTCGGATGTACCGTAGCCATCTCGTTTGAAAGGGCTTGCAGTCATCGGAGTTGAAGGGCCGCTTCCTGTTGAACTCGAAGGACCTGTCCCCACGCCGCTGCCAATACCCGCAAACACTCGGCCTAGTTCTCCTTTGAGGCCAGACTCTCCAGCAGAACCGATGAATTGGGCTTGAGCTCCTTGTACAGCCTGAGGTAAAGGTGATGCACGTCCAGCACGTTTGCCGTCTGCACCTATTCCTAGTAGAGTTCGGTGTTGCATCAGATCATCACTGCCCTTCCTACGCTGATCGTCGGTTACTGCTGGCCCCGGTCCTCCAAGCGATGGTTGGCTGCTGGAAGGTGCAGAAGTGACGGAAAGTGGACGAGGCTGTGGTTGATGTTTCCCTAGGAAAGATTCATGGGGAGGCGGTGTCGGTTGGCTTTGGCGAGAATGAAGCGAGAAACTCGAGTTGGGTGGCGGGGCTGCAGGAGCGCTTCTTGTGCCTAATTGCGAACCAAGAGACTTGGTATAACTCTGAATAGCGCCAAATCCAAAACTTGATCCGGAACCCGACTCAGAGGCAGTTGTAAATCGTCGCGCCTCGGGGGACTGGGGTTGGCTTCTACCAATCTCCCATGACGAACGCTTTTGAGGTCGATCTTCATCCCGCTCCACCGGAGGAACTCCATATCTACCATGTAGAAATCCAAATGCTGGCTTTCTGTCCGCCTCAAGGGTCGCATTCCTCTCTTTCTCTCGTTCCCGCGCCAGTTGTTCCTCTCGAGCTCTGTCTGAGTATATGCCACCATATCTAGGACGTGCATCGTGGTCAAGATACGATGGGTTACGGCGCGTACTTCCGAAAATACTGTCGGCAGACGTTCGGGACCGAGGACTATATGCGGATACTCGAGTTTCTTCTTGTTGTGGTTGACTGCTGGGTCGTTGAATAGTGCTGTTGAGACTCATTCGGCGAGAGTGACTGAAGGGTGGATCGGAAGAGGTAGCAGTGGTAGGGGACTTTTGACTATTGGTTGATTTGTCGGGATACTGTGAGAAAGATGATCGACCAAAAGCGAATTTCGTCGAGTCTGGAAATCCACTAGAGTCAGATCTCGAGGACTGACGGGAGAGTGTTTCTTTGGCAAATGGTTTGTCTGGGGTTTCGGAGCGGCGCATTAAAGGGTGGTCGATAGACGACGCAGGCCGGGCAGGCGCGGTTGGTGGAGACATTGCGCCCGTAGAATTTCGGGAAGCTCCAAACGAAGATGTCGACACGGATGGCCTTGAGAAGAGCGAGGCTGGATGATCGCGGGACGGCCGATCAGGGTCTGATCCGAGCATTGACGATATTGACATGCTCGTTCCAGGACGGTGTATCGATCCGAAGCTGTGATCACGAGGAAACAAGCCTTGTGAGGTTTGTGATAAAGATCCGGCTGGGTTGCGAGCTGGATACGGCTGCGGAGGCGACGGAGGGGGCATTTGGCGGTTTCCGAGAGAATGCGCAGATGATGTTTCTGAATTTACTAAAACTGCTGGTTAGCACAGCGCTCGTTTGAGAGTCTCACTGACGATGATGGAAACGGTGTTATGATAGGCAGGACGTGGAAGAATGAGCACCAGCCCCATTGGAACTCACCACCAGGTGTAGAAGAAGCTGATTTGGGGTTCCGATTCCGATTCGCGGACCAACGGTTTTCCTGATCGCGCGGAGATGAGGTACGTCGCACAGTCAACACTATGACAGACGGTGTAAGAGATATATCTCAAGATAGACCATGGTGAAAACAGAGAACGCGCTGTAGCAAAAAGGAAGCAGGGAGGAACAAAATGCGGGAAGCAGCCGAATCTCGTGGCCTGAGGTTTGGTACGCAATCTTCTGGCCATGCGGGTAGGGATGCGCGCTAGTCCATAAGAAGCTAGCACGGAAGCTGGACCAAAGCGGCTAGCTCAGCCGATGATTCTGGTCTGGTCTGGCCTCACAACAAAAACGCATCATCGATCGGCGCTTTTGCCGAATGCTCGTTTGAGGTATACACACAACCTTTGCCACGAGATAGACATTCCAGAGTAGCAGATATGGGCCTTGGTATTTCCATTCTGCTGATCAGGTGGGCACAGGCATCATGCTGCGGTTGTACTACCCTGGCAGTTACACAGTGCGCGTCACACAGATCTGCCAAAAGACAACACCTGAATCTAACACAATCGCTCGCGAGATGGTCTCTGTGTATGTGGCAGTCTCGAGGAACAGGGCCTTATATAAGGAGAGGTTTGTATATGCGAAACAGCAAGAGGTGGGTGATGTGTCTAAGCGGAAAAGCAAGGGGTACGGAGTATTCAGAGCTAAAAGGAGAATTTTCTTACCGTCACGATAAAAAGCGCTGTCTTTCCCCAGAATTCCATTATTCTTGACAGGCGAAGCAAGCGCCGAGCGTTTTGCTGGATCCGACTGCATTGCGCCAAAACGCGTAGGGGACGTCGACCGAGTTTGAGATCTCAAATCCGGGTTATAGGAATGTGCGGCGTAATTATATGTAGGCATCACGCGAGAGGGCTCGTCTGCTGGTCGATTTAGCGAATCGTAGGTTGTTTGCGATCGTGCCTCCGGTCGCGACGGCGGTTGTTGGGACGATCCATACTGCCGTGAGTGTTGAGGAGCAGCGCTAAAGAGCGACGGCCGAGGAAAGGGGGGGTGAGGGATAGACGGTGGCCGAGACTCCATGTTATTCCAATACTATCACTGACATGAAGTAAGATGTTCTCGATAAGTCCAGGTCGATGGTTGAGTCTCGAGTCGGGTCGGAAGAGAAAGTCGCGAGCTCACACGTGCCAGTCCAATCGCGCGGAATGCGAGAGGCAGTGATGGAGGACGAAGACGATGACAACTAACGACAAGTTACGCGAGAGTCGATAATCAGGCGGTGCGTATAACTTGAATATCGTCGACGACGGTTTAGGGAGACTGTCGGGGGCAGTTTGCTTGGGGAGAGAAGAAAGGAAAACACACAGAACGGGTGTGGAGAAGGCACTTTCAGTTTCTGCTGTGAATCAATGGGGTGCTGGTGGGGCGAGCCGTCCCTTATCCCTGCAGCTTACAATCATACTTACCCTAGCTGTACGCCGATGTCATATATTACTAGGCGCTGCTTGTGTTCTTGGAGCTTGGGCATCATGGCAGAACGAGAAGAAGTTCTAGTAGTGTTACGGTCTTCTTGCTGATATTGAGCCACAAGCAATATATGATTTCATCAAGGGCAGACTGCTGATCGACCTCGGAGGATTGCGATTTGGATCATCTGGCATGCGAATTGGGTGGTTAGCGCGGAATATAAGCCGCACCATACATTACAGGTACGGTAATGGTCTGTATTAGTACACCCGAGCAAGCCGTATCTTATTTTGGAACAGCCACTCGTTTATTTTCCAGTATTTCTCCGGCATAACATAATGACCAACGATCTGATGCCTTTACTCAGACTGTATTTCTAATTTCAGCTGGTCAGCTAGTTATACCTCACTCAATTATGCTTGTGCGTTAGGCGACAGTGATCAGAGTGCCGTGCCCAGGCAAATACTACTCCGCAAATAAGGTTGAAAGATCATGCGCCGCCGGAACACGTCAGTTATTTCTCTCTCCGCCAACAAGATTTTCATCTCCAGCCTGAAGACAGGGTTCACGCATCTAAATAGAAATTCGATTGAAGAAATTGTTGGGAGGCGTGTAACCTTGAAGATAGAGCGTTCCTTCATCCAATTTTCAAGCCTCAAATGCCGTACCTATGGGGCTATGGCCTAAGTGTAACCGGTTTCTGGGCCCGCTAGTAACTTAGGTTGACACGAATCCTTCAGACTTTGGTGCAAGATCTGTCACATGGATGAATAAAAATTTTCCGCATATTTTTGTCGGTATATACCACATATCATTCATCTTCTGAGAATTGATTTGTTCTCTCCCGTCCAAATGTCCTCCGTACGGAGTGATACAGTCAAAGATCGTCTCACCGCCCAGCCGTACCCGCTAATGCAAGGTGGAGCAATGCGCTAACCGTACCTGGCTAGGGCGTTCCTTACCGACTTCTTATCGTTGCGTATCTCCCATGTGGCCCGTGCGCGTTGTGTCATCTCTCGAGAGCTTCATCTCATCTCCGGACGTTGCACACGACACCATCCCATCTCCTGTAGTGAGCAACGCTCACTGCGGCTGAGATAATGTAACTGGAGTGAATACAAGGATTGATATCAACCCTCACAACATCATCGACTTTCATCTGTTATGTCTGATAGCTCGGACACGGATACTGTTTTCCCTGCCATGCCCCTTCCTCTTCCTGGAAGTCCTAGCTCATCATGGGCCAGTTTTCGGGACAGATTCAAAGCTCTCTTTCATGATGCAGATCCACGAGTGTGCACTGCTTTCTGGTTTTTTGGTATGTATTCGCAACGGTCGCGTGCTCTCGCAAGAAACTCAAAGCCACTTTATCGAAACTTACACTAATACGATGAATCATCAGGCCTGATTAACAACGTTCTCTACGTGATCATCCTCTCCGCCGCCCTCGACCTTGTCGGCTCTGGTTTCCCCAAAGGAGTCGTCCTCCTAGCCGATGTCGTCCCATCGTTTGTGACTAAATTGACCGCGCCGTATTTCATCCACGTCGTTCCTTACCCGATTCGCGTCCTGGTATTCGTCGCTCTGTCGGTATGCGGCATGCTCATAATCGCTCTAACCCCCGCCCATACAGATGGCCGGTCGATTTCTACAAAACTGGCCGGAGTCGTCCTCGCGAGTCTGTCAAGCGGTGCTGGCGAACTCAGTTTCCTGGGTCTGACACACTTCTACGGCAGATTCAGTCTTGCCGCATGGAGTAGTGGTACTGGTGCAGCTGGATTGGTTGGTGCCGGTGCATATGCCATTTCCACGACTTCTTTTGGTCTGACCGTCAAGTCTACGCTGCTGGCATCGGCTTGTTTACCGGCAATTATGCTGGTGAGCTTTTTTGGCGTTCTACCTTTGGCCCCGTTGCGCCATGCCGCTCGTGAAGCAGCACACTCCCAGGATGCTCTCCATAGAGGCGACGAGGTTGAACCGCGACACGAAGATGAGACCCACGAGCAGGATAGCCTCTTAGGTTCTGGGCATGGCAGACTTTATGTGAGAGCGGTCGAGCGCAGCAAAGTTTCGCAGGCATGGACCTCATTCCAAGCGAATCTAAACCGTTCCAAAGGTCTTTTTTTTCCATTGTAAGTCGAGCCATAGACACTGCTACTTTCACATTCTAATTCCTTCTAGCATGCTTCCTCTTCTTCTAGTATATGTCGCCGAATATACCATCAACCAGGGCGTGACACCCACGCTTCTATTCCCACTAAAGGAGACGCCATTCGAACAATATCGCGCATTCTACCCAGCGTATAACGCCATCTACCAAGCCGGAGTTTTCATTTCCCGCTCGTCCATACCATTCTTCCGGGTGCATCATCTTTACTTTCCGTCGTTTTTGCAAATAGCGAATCTGGCCGTCCTCACGTTACACGCTTTGTTCAACTTCATTCCGAATGTATATATCATCTTTCTCATCATTTTCTGGGAAGGACTATTAGGTGGATTAGTATACGTCAATACATTTGCCGAAATCGCAGATCGAGTGCCCGCTGCAGATCGAGAATTCTCCTTGGCTGCGACTACCGTAAGCGATTCGGGGGGCATTTGTATTGCGGGATTCCTTGGGATGGCGTTTGAAGTGTGGTTGTGTCGATGGCAAGTTTCGCAGGGCAGGAAATACTGTACAATGTCGTAGTCGATCATCTGTCAGATAGTCACATGCATCCCGTCTCATTCTCGACCAGTCTCGCTTAGTCATGGTTACGCGTCGCTTTCACATGCAAATTCAGTCTTGGAACTTTCCGAGTCGTTCCATACTATGCATATAGAAACCATGTCAATATTCTAAACTAAATAAGAGAATGCGCGAGTAGATACAACAGCCATCTAGGCAGATAAATCATTATCGTAACAACCCTCTCTGTAGCATAAGTAAGTGGCTATCGCCGGCTGTTCTTTCGTCATTCATCCCCATATTCGATTCAATAGGTATTTGCATGTGACATCCCTCGATCCATACTCCACACTTTTCGAACTATGACAATAACCTATCTCCTGCGTATCAGCAATACAGTCTTTAATATCCATGTTGTTATTGACTAGAATCATATCATGTCTTCTTTGCTTATACCCGGTTTTGGTCTATAAATCCCCTGACGTTTATGGCGGGCCTTGTCCTTTTAAGCGGCGTTTTACCCCGGATTTTGGCTTGTTCTTTGAGTTGGCTAGATTGATGTCTTGTCAGTGGTTGACTTGGCTAGATATTTATGATATATCGATGAATTTTTGCATCTATCATGGTCTATGATATTTGAAATGATTTGTTAGGTTATTTGAATCAAAAGATTTACAAGATGATAGGTAAGTTGGTCGAATACTCATACCGGAATACCTCACTGACGAAACAGACCACGTCCTGGGCCGGCCATCCACACAGTTCAGGAAAATACAAGTCCTGACTGTGGTGTCATTTTGGTCTCTATACCTATTCAGGTGCGTACCCTCAATATTCAAAAGATCACAATCCAATTGACCAAACAACAGAGGCAACAACCACGGCCCTCCAGGCCTCCGAAACCTCTCAACCCGACTCCGAGACCGTCTCACTCCATGGCAGACGATGGTCATAACCCTCCTATGGCTCTACGTAGCCCGCAATTTCTCCAAAATTATGGGCTTTGAAAGCCCCGAACCTTTGGCAAATCTTTATTCAAGGTCTTACTTCCGCGCAACATGGATCACAACCGCGCTCGATGCCGGATTCTGGACAGCCATGAAAATACGACCCAAATGGTTACGCGATATCGCGTCGATGGTGTTCAGTCTCTACTACCTGGTTGCTGCTGAACAGGCAGATGAAAAAGTGCGTAGGGTACGCGCTACATTGACCGTGGAACATCTACGAGTTTCATGGAATAAGGCTACGACGCCGTATCTGTCTGTATTGAATGCGGCTGTACGGCCTAGATATACGAAATACGCGCCGAGACAAATCAGGATTGCGCGACTGAGGGAGTCGGCGTATCGAGAGCCAGTTAATGCATGGCTTTATTTCGATGGTTCACTGGCCGAATTACGGGAACAGACACAGCTCGTCCTGGATATTCCCGGTGGTGGATATGTGGCTATGAACCCCCGGACAGCGGACGATAAACTCCTAGCTTGGGCTGGAAAGACTCGAGTTCCGATTTTGAGTCTGGATTATAAAAAGGCTCCCGAGTTCCCTTATCCGTATGCGCTGAATGAGTGTTTGATGTTTATCGGTCTATTGTGGCTAGTAAAGGCCGTTGTGTCGGTCTTGCTGGTCATAGTCGGCCTCATATCGTCGTCTCGGGTGACAGTGCTGGTGGAAATCTGGCCACGGGCATGACAATTATGATATTGCAGTCTGGTAGGACTGAAGCTAGGAAATGGTTAGGTGAAGTCCCGCTTCCGGCACCGGATGGATTGGTTCTGATTTATCCTTCGTTGGATATGAATATTGGTAGTTGGATGACGGAGGAGCAAATGTCTTTGATACAGGATAGGGGTATGCGAAGGACGAATGAGAATGTGTTACGACGGAAGAGTGAGGATTATAGTCGCCTGACACCAAAGTCTTCGCACTCGCTTTCATCTGGTCATCACGACTCCTCTCCGGTAAAGGACTATTTCAGCAGTCGTCCTCAACCGGTCGACAAAACTGATCCAACCTCTCAAAACCAACCAACTCAAATAAAAACCCGCATAGCAGTTTCTTCCATGATCTCCTATTTCGGCGACCGAATCCTCACTCCCGAAATGATGCGCGCAATGATAATCCTCTATATCGGCCCTCACAACCGTCCAGACTTCAAGACCGATTTCTTACTCTCACCCATCCTTGCCCCGGACGCGATTCTGGCCGCGTTCCCCAAAACATATTTCCTCACTGGAGAACGAGACCCTCTCGTCGATGACACGGTCATCTTTGCAGGACGTATTCGACAAGCAAAATTACACCGTTTCCGCGAACGGCAGGAACTTGCGTTGGAAAAGTCTAGAGTCGAATTTAATGAAAAGGACTATGTGGAGGTTAATTTGATCCCAGGGATATCGCATGGATTCATCAATTTTCCGGGTATTTTTCCGGATAGTTGGAGACATATTCATAAATGTGCGAGGTGGATTGTAGATTTGTTGCAGTTGGCTGCTGAGAGGGAGCTTAAAGCTTCGGTTTCTAGTGTTTCTTCTACTGCTCCTGAAAAGAGTTTGAAGACATCTGATCCCAACGGCCAGGAAAAACGACATGACACAGAAAGTAGACGCAGTTCTCTCGCAGAGTCATCGGCCGATGAAGATCATCCATTGGAAATGAACTTCACGCCTATCAAGAACACCAATATCATCAGCAAAGACTCAGACAAGAAAGCAATCTCCACAAACACACAAACCAAGCCCTCGGATTCATCGAACCTAAAAGATATAAAACAACGCCGTCCCCGGCGACCATCACTGAGTACTCCAAACAAACCACTCTCATTCCCCCTGCAACTCCCATTACTCAAAACAATCAATAAATCAGCCAACAGGACCGGCCCAAAAGAGTATTATGACGCTCAAGACAACGATGATGATGATGCAAACAGTGCCGTATCCGCCGAGAATGGGAAGACGTTTACTCGGTTACCGAGTGAGGAGGATTTGATAGGGAGACGAATGGATGGGTTGGCGGGTGGATTGATGGGGTTGGGAGAAGGTGTTAGGACGCCTTGATATGGATATATGATTGGGATATAGAATGATAGTGATTTCGAACGAATAGATATGCTGTCGTGATGATAGGAAGGATGATATACGATGTTAGCATTAGACCTGGTTTTACTTCTTCCAGTTCGTAGTGCATGCATTACCCAAATGCTTAATGGCAGGCATCCTCTATTCCACAGAATCGAGACAACCTCCACGCTCTCTCATATCGTCAGTAACAACAATCGTGTAGTTGCTGAGAGATGTATCCGCCAGCAAACGCAGATTTAGCAACAAATGCCTCCCTTGTCATCTTCCCACTATCCACAAGCGCTTTTTCCGTCCGGTGCTTCATCATACTCGTCCAACTGGCTCACCTTCCGCATTGCAAATGTGTCAATCTCCTCAGCATCATCAAAGATTTCCTCGTATTGCGCCCGTTTGGTACCCCTAATATAGCGACGCAGTTGTATAAACGGAAAGCTGCGGTGGTCGTTAAATCCGAACGAAATCAACATATGTAGCCACATAGCTCCCGAATCTTGCGGCCACTTAACCAGACTTGAAAGTTCCTTCTCTTCATTCTCAGGCATACACTCCTCCTTTTCCTGCAAAACACGTATAAAAATGTCCAAGTACTTGAATTACCGACTAGCAATCTTGGGTGGCTCGTCACCTACGCAATCCTACGCACTATTGACAGGTCTATCCTGAAGCCACCAGGGCGCCGATCCAAACAACTGCGCAGGCCCGATATAAGACCATTCGAGGTCCACAACTCCGACAACAGTGAGGTCTTCCTTGCTTCGAACAATCAAGTTGGCCAAGCCAAGATCATTGAATATCAGCTTAAAGTTGCAAGCATCATATTTTTTAGTGATGAGGCCCAGTATCAAAGCTTGTAAAGCTTTGAAAACCATAAACTTGTCTTTCGCATCATATAAGCCACACACTAAGTTTGGCTGATGAACAAGCTGATCCCAGTCCCCCCCAACGACTTATTGGAAATACTCGGTAGTTGTGGCAAAGCCCTGTCTCGATCACCTTGGTTATCTGTCAGTTGATAGTTCACGGTATGGTAGAAGATCAATTATACAAAATGTGTCCACTCCCCCAATTTGTAAAATGCTATGCCCCTCGAATATCAACGGCCGTCTTGTAGGTGTAGCATTTGCACCTCTTTAGTTTTAGGCCATGGTAAACTATCAATCTGATCAAAATCCAGATTGAATAGCTGGACCAAAATTCTCACTATCTGTCTACATATGATTTCAATGTCGCTGTCGCTAATGCCCTCTCTTATGAGCCTGGTTGGCCGTTCAGCAGTCGAATCACGGAGAATGTCACTGAGGCTCACTCCATCATAGTAAATGGACTCAAGCCGAGTTTGTTGCTTGCAGCGATTCCCCATGCTCTAACCCTGGGAACTGGAATGGTAGTCCTTTGCCCGATGATATTCAGAGCTGTGATCTCCATGGCAAATTTTTCATCGGTATGGACATCACTAACCATCCCCATGCGAGCGAAACTGACCATCCAGGCAGTATTGTCACTAAAGACCATCTTCATACCGACATTGAATGTGCCATGGTGGAATGTGCCTTCCAGGTAGTAGGGAAGTTGGTGGGGATGGAAAGTCGATATCCATTTGCAGAGGCGGCCGGCTTGATGTTTCTCATTGACCTTACGACCCAGAGTTGCGACTGGACGTCGTATGATTGCAAACTCTTGTTACATGACGCATGTGGACAAATATGTGGTCAAAGACATGCCCGCTTTGATGGGCTCATCATTGTATTTAACCCCGTTCTCTCGTATAAGTTCCTACGACTTCAACAAATTCTAAACGTAAAAATTGCATTGTAATAGCTCAAATACCTGTCTATCGTGATTTTGGACTGTCGCATACTTGCATTCTATGGCCTGATACGTAGTAGTGTTGGGGTTAGGAATGGCTGCATGGCGACACTCAATAAAGATCCGATACGAAAAGAATCACCAAGAATGTGGACTGCCCCTTGGAAATTCCCCTCCAATCATCCTCATATCGCGTCTTGAAGCCACATAGATTTGATAGCGAAGGCCATCAAGGAGTAAAGATGGTGGAGGTTGTGCAGGATTATGGTGTTGCTCATTTTCGTGCAGTATAACCCCCCAGGGGTGGAGTGATTTTCTGCTCTTCGTGGTTCACAGGAACAGTGTAGAGAATCTAAGTTATTATCTTAGAATACAACCCGCTCTCGAAGGTGAATGAATAGTAACTTACTTGTCTTGACTGCCATGATATAGCTTCCTCTTTATCATGATCATACCTCTAGACCTCCACAAACCCGTTCTGAATAGCTTCCTCTTCTCCTACCAAAGGTTTCAGCTTGACTAGGATCACTATGCCGATATGACCCCGTGACCCTTCCAGAAGAAGAGTGACATCTTGAACCAGATCATCATACGATTGACTATAACCCGATTCCACACAAATATTAGAGAACCACCGACTTTCGGGCGTGCAGAAAGCAGTCTCCATCTCTTTCCGGCTAGAATATCCCAGTTTATAAGCTTTCAATCAAGTAGGGATAAGTATCAAGTAAGTAACAGCTTACTTCCCGGCAAGACATCCTTCAAATAGTCTCATCCCCGTACCGCGCCAGCAAATGAAGTCTTTTTGCATTCCCAGGATCTCTTCCATTGTTGTATATACCAATTCCAGAACCATGAACGAGCGCGGCCACGCATTTCGGTTTTCCTCGTTATAAACTTCAATATCTATTGTTCGGAGTTGAAACGACCACTTGCACGAGGAAACCTCTCGAATTCTCCATCCTCCATAAGCATCTTTTCAATCTCCATGAAATCTTCGGTTGTGCATTTGAAGTGATGGGCGGCCTCTTCGTCGTCCGGTGGACGAAGTATGGTGTCTAGTATGGTAGCGACACTTGCTTGAACGTATTTTTCTCTGATAGCCATGGCGGAGTGGTATACGGGTATTCAGTCTCGACTTCACCCAAGAGCGGCTTAACGGAGTTTACAGAAGAAAAAGAAGAAGAAATTATACACTCTGATGATTAGCAGTATTTTTGATGTCAACATTCAACCTACTTACCGAAACTCAATATCTATCACATCTGAAGCGCTCCCGAAGATGAAATGTTTTCGCAGATATGGACGAGGTATAATCTCCATGGGTAACAGTGGAAGCGAGATGAGACGATGCCTCATTCCCTTGCTGGCGATTTGAAAATCGTCGAATGCCACCAGACAATCAGCATTACCCCCATTATATCAAAAACTAGAAAAAGCATCACTCCCTCTTCGAACCAACCCGACGAAACGTTCGAAATATCCATCCATCCAACTCCTCCCGGCCAGCCAAGTATCCTATGTGAAATTTTCCCAATTCAGTAATGAAAATAACCCTAAGAACATCATGTCAATAACACAAGTATTAAGTAAGAGTAGTATCTCCTGAGGTGGGGTTGCGGTATACCCTAGAATAAGCATGTTATTACATCTGATGACATGTAAATCTTACGTTTCGCTCCCCGTTTCATATGTTTGAAAGTATCATTATGAAACATCTAAGAAACTGCATGGGAAAGAAGATTAAACATGTATTATATGGTATCAACGGGCACGTAACAATAACTAGGAATAACATAGGAGATCAAACGAATGTCTCTTGGCCCGGCTAAAAGACAAACATGCAAATGATAAACAACGAGAGGGCCTGCCCGACTCCTGAGCTCCTGCGCCATGTAAAAACGTCGGGAAATAACATGATAAAGTATATCCGGAAGAATATTAGGAAAAGATAAAACGAATAGGTGGTCGTTGTCGAAGTAAAAAAGCACCGACTCAATTAGGAGTGGCCTTGTCACTTGAAAATCATGCTCAACATCAAACAAACAAAAAAAAAAAAAAACACTAATCGCATGCCTTATGGCCTGAAAGACGACTAAGAGGCATGTGGCTTGCCTTTGTCGGTGTCCTCTTGGTCATCCATGTCGTGGGAAGTGGCTGCCGAAGTGTCAGAATCTGTAGCACCTTCATCAGACTGGTGCTCATCCGAGAGAGTCGATGATGTGGGAGAAAGAGCCCGGGCCAGGTCACTCTCACCTCGGCCTTCTTGTTGTGCTGAGCCAGTGCCGTGGAGAGTATTATCGCCGTTCTCGGCCGCAGCGTCCTTTGCGGCCTGCTCTCGCTGAAGAAGCTCTTCAGCTTCGCGAATTCGCGCTTGGAGGGCCTCAAGCTCACGTGTCTGAATGGTCATGCGCTGTTTCCTGTCCGACAGTCAGCATCGAGACGCCAGAATATCAGTGGATAAGCCTACTTGAGTTCAATAGACTGTGTCAGGTCATTGACTTCGTTATCGAGCATAAAAGCACTGTCAAGTGCTAGAGAAAAAGCCTGAGCCATGGTGCTATAGATAGTCAGCAAGAATATATCACAAAGAGTCAAAAATGACATTCAAAAAAGGTGATGAAGGGAAGCAGTATAGATAGGTTGACGTACGACTGTGGGCGGCGAGGGTTGGGTTTCCACTCCTGCTCTGTGTCGGACATCTTGGTAGTGTTTCCCGAGAAATCCGTGGAATGTCTGTAGTATGTATATCGTCACCCGAAGGAGTAACCCAAGGAGTAACAAGAACGCGGCTTTTGATATCCCAGGAAATGAGCTCCTCTCGGATATGCTGATGTCTGCTTTATATGTATGTGTGTGTTGTCGAGATAAGGCTGAGGTCAAGGCTTAAGTGGTCGGGGTTTAGATCTTGTAACCGGTTCTGCGATTGTTTACTTTCGGTTCGATTCCGCGAAAACAGAGCCAGCTGAGATCGATCACCTGAGCGAATGATGTGGATAGATTGCGAGCACGAGATGGAGAGTAGGACAGGTATGGCGAGAGTCACAAGAGGACGGCCACTGCAGGGTATAAAAGTTCCGGGTAAAAGTATATGGGTATATAGATTGCAAAATAACGATGTGGTATAGAGGTTGAGTGTGTCTCCAGGATGATTATTAGTTGTAAGCAGTAAGGGTATATAGATTAGACGAAGGAGAGAGAGAAGGGAAGAGAAAAGAAGAAGAAGAGAAGAAGATTATGTTCAGTTAGGCTAGTGTAGCTCATACAGAAGGAGCACTTTTTAAGGAGTCAGAAAGGAAGGAGTGGGTTGACACCTGATCCGCGAACCAGAAGCCCCTAACGGCATAGCTGGTATCCGCAATACGGGTAACTTACAGGCCTCGCTCTTATTGAGGACGCAGTATCTGTAATACCATTACTTGCATTTGACATAGGGCAAGAGAAAAGGGGGAGGGGTGTGCTCTCTGACTTAACAAGCCTGTTAATATTTCGATCTTTGCTAGCACAAACTACGTGCATACCCGACGAGATTCTCATTTCCTTGCAAACTCCCATAGGCAAGTTGACGTTGTGGCGCCGGAGGGGCTCGTGCTGGGTCCTCTATTAAGGGGTATGCCTTGGAGCTTGTTAACACTAAAACTGACCAGTGCCAACCCAACGCTAACCAACGCTAATCTTAGTGCTGTCATGAATTGCAAGATGCTACAAATGTGCCTCGGAGTTCCGACCACAGGTAGCGAGTCTGTGTATAACTACATATGGGGCTCGGTTGCGAGAAAACATACCGAATGATCAGAACATCTTCGTATATACTGCCGGGATTCTGAGTGGATTCCCGGTGGAGCTCGATAGCAACTTCAGAACTCGACAGTGGACATGGTAGCGGGAACGCACGGTGTCCACTATAAACACTTATTTGGCAGCTAGTACGGAGTAAACAGGCCTACATATCGATCTGTCATGGTTCGTGCAGAGATTAAGAGCTGGTGGAGCAGGCCCCGTCATGGTGCTTTCAATTTCATATGTGTTGCCCTGCTGCAATGATCAATCTCGTTCTGTTTTATTGAACATCCTTGAATCATTTGAATGTATGTTAAAACTTGATGTGAGGATGCAAAACAACCCTAAACTAAGTTAGTTGACGGGATCTTAAGGCATGAAAGGAGGCCTCAGGCAGGAAGATGCAACACGACTTCCAGTCTCCAGATGCGTCCCACGCAGTAAGACTTGAGCCAGTTACTGTTATCATTTGAAAATTGCCTTTGTTAAATAGAGCAGATATGTGTGAAAAATCAGCTGATATCTTAGAGAGATCGAGAAACAGACCTCCTATCCGGGCACAGGGCAAATCTGTCACGTGACGTTGGAAGTATCATTCGCTGGTCGCGCCCTGCAATTTTTCCTCACTCACTCCAGGTCCAAGACGAATACAGCCAACACAGGTTCATCGCGTAAACGCTCAACGTCATCATACGCGTCTCGAAATCACCTCGGATCATCACAGCTACGAAGGAATTCTCTCAATTATTTCTGCGATTTTTATTCTCCTGCGAAGTCGATCGCTTGAGCGCGTGATTGTGTGACAAGGCGCGGAACTTCACGGTTGGCGAGCCTTTGGTGGCCTCCTATCCCCCAGCCCCGACATCACCAATTTCTAGTGCAAAGCCGATGCAAATCGACCCACGTCCGACACTGTCAATTATAACCAAGTCGTGATCTACTTGATAGATCATTATTCAGGGCATCTGCCGTATACTCGCATCCTGGCTCCCATCAATACGGCCTCCCTTGTGAGTGGCTACTCCGACCTGCAATGGGGGATGCCGCCATTGTCAGCTTATACACCTTTTGAATCTCTTCTCTTCTTCCAATGCCTTGCGTCACTTAACTCCCGTCCTACAAACTTTGCTGCGATCTCAGATACTCTACGCAAAAACCAATTCATCAAGGAAGATGATGCCTTTGACACGAATCGGTTAAGCCCGCAAGCTCTTGAGGACCTCTATACAACGTTGTTGCAGGAAGGAATACAAGATACTTCGGATAAGAATGGTCAGGCGCAGGATGGAGGCAACCCAAAAAAGCGCAAGATTGTTAGCGGCACTGCTGCTACGCAGTCCCAGATTGCGATTATTCCGGAGCTCGTGTCGCAGCTTTATGCGCGATACAAGGATCGAGTGACGAAGGAAATTCGAGATGAAGAGAAGAGATACAGAGATATAAGTCAGGAAATTGAAAGGCTGCAGAAAGATGCATTGCGGGAATTAGCGGTCCCTGCTCCGCCTGAGCAGAAAGCTCTAGCAGGCCCGACAGAGGCTGTTGCTGAGCAAGCCAGCGACAAAATGGATCTGGATGTCAAGCAAGATGCTAAATTGGTGGAAACTTCTGCTCTATCAGTTCCAAGAGTTCCTTCACAAGGCGTAGTCGATGCACAAGCTCACCCTGCGGTACCTCCAGAGCAACAAGCGACACCTATACCTCCTCCTGCAGCCACTCCTATTCCAAAGCCGGATCTTGCACCGCCTATACCAGATACGAGTAAGCAACAAGCATCGCTGCCAGCCGCACTTGCGCCAAAAGAAGGTACACCACAGCAGCTACCACCACAGTCTCCACAGATTTCCCAACCACATCCACAGCAACTACCACCCGAGCAAGCGATACCTGGAGGTCAAATACCAGTCGCTTCGACACCTCCTGTCAAACCAGCAGTCAATGGTAAACCTCCTACTCCATTGGCTCCACATCCACCGGTGATTCCACAGCTATCATCCAACATTCAAGTCAAAGTACCGCCGCCTCCTCAACCACAACGATTACCGCCACAAGCTGCACCTCGTGGTGCGGCAGCTAACCGCAACCAACCAAACCTCCCTCCCGGCTCGACACTTGCTTTCCAGGCGCAACAGGGGACCAGTCTACCCGCGACACCGACAAGCCAACGACAGGTTCAACCAGTACCCGCCTTTGGTAGAGGAACCCCTGTTCCAGTTGGCTCGCCAGCATTCTCACAGCTGCCACAAGGCCAACAGCAATTTCAACAATGGGCTCCACATCCTCAAGCAGGTGTATTTCCGGCGACACCTCATGCACCCCAGTACAACAACCAACCTTTGATGCCTAAGCAGGGTACATTTTTCCCACACACCGACACTACTGGAAGACAAGTACCCTTTGCACCGCAGCACCAGGGTCCGGCAACTCCTGGTCAGTATCCTCATCCAGTGCAGACTCCAATACAGATGGAACCACAGACGACACCATTAGCAACTCCATCGTTCTCCGATCCCAAGCAACCACGGCCGCACCGTCCGTCAATGGATACAGCTGGATCGCTTACTCCTTGGAAGCGTACTCCGAATCTTCACATAAACATTCCGGATACCCCTGGATCTCCGCCGCGACCTAAGCCTGAAGATATTAGTCCAATTAGTGAAAGAGCGCCGTCTCCAATCGAACTAGAGCTTCCTGCCAAGGAAGCGCCTCCGCAGAAGAAGCGTGGTCGTGGGAGAAAGCAAAGTGTACCCTCAGACACTGAAACAGCGACTGCAAGGGCCGAGAACTTGGCGGCTGTTGTTGAAACTAAACGTGCTGGGAGTATTGCATCTACCTGGAGCAGAGCACGGTCAGTAGCGTCTCGGGATGAAGAATCGGCTACTGAGTTGGCGACGGCTCAACGAAAGGTTAAGCATGAGGCTCCGCCAACTCCCGCAGGAGTATCGGAGGACGTCGATGTGGAGACGAGGGCTGGCCCTCGACGCAGAGCAGTAGTTAGTGCTGCAGAAGAAGCGCAAGCCAAGACAAGGACAAAACGGAAGCGAGGCGCCAGTGAAACATTGGAAATTGATACAATTCAACCAATGCCCTCTCGTAGTGTGTCGTCTCAGCTTGTATACTGTACTCGCAACTTCACTCGAACAGGAGCACCCATTATGAATGACGTTGCTGCTCATAAACATGCCTCTATATTCGCTAAACCGCTAACTGAGAGGGAAGCACCTGGTTATAAAGACTTGATATATCGACCACAAGACCTGAAATCAATCAGATCAGCACTCAGTCAGGGAAACAGAGCTGTCGCTGCTGCCACGGAGGCTGCGGCTGCTGAGGGTGAATCACCATTACCTACATCAGGCACACCATCAAAGAATACTGCATGGCTCCCCAAGACCCCCGATCTCATCCCACCCAAGGCTATAGTCAACTCCTCACAACTCGAAAAGGAATTAATCCGCATGTTCGCCAATGCCATCATGTTTAACCCCGCTCCCGAGGCCGAACGAGGGTTTGGTCCGTCCTTCCGTATGGTCAAGCCTGGTGAATCTACAGCTACTACAAGATCGGCCTCTCATCCGTGGGATTTGGACGAAGGTGGTATTATCCGCGATACGCGGGAGATGTGTGATGATGTTGAGAAAGCTGTCACAAAGTGGCGAGCTGCAGAACGGACGACTACGACGGATGAAACGAGCAATAAGAGTATGCTTTCTTTAAGAGGGAGTAGTGGTGATAGTAATGCGGATGGTACGGATGATCATAAATAGTCCGTCCACGCAAACGTTTGCGATGATTAGCCTACGCACAATATCAAATACGAATCTCTATTTCTATTCCGTAGTATCGTTGTCTATATGCAGTAGCTCATCTAAACAGAAACCTGTTCCGCCCTCGTCCTCCCAAGACCATCCTTCCCATAAAAATCCATCGGATAAACACCCCCATTCCCTTCATCCCACCCTTCCCTTCCCCCCAACGCCACCAAAGCCTCATAAGGGGTCAACAACGGCCTGGGAAACGCATACCCCCAATCAATACTCAACCTCGGACAAGCCACTTGCACCCAACATTCCACATCAGGCATCGAAGCCAATTTCCCGGGGAAAATCTCACTTAACAATAGATTCACGAACGGGATATTTTTGCGTCGGAGGTGTGATTCAATCAGCGACATTGTGTGCGGGTTTCCCTGACGACCTAATGAGCCTAGGATTATGCCCCATTTGCGCGCTGAGGAGGCGGATTTTATTGCGTCGCGCCGTAGGGTATGCATCTCTTCATGCTCGTATGTCTCGCGCGAAAGCACTCTCGAGTACGGATCGTACCTATATGCCGGTATTTTCGGATTATGGATCATGGCAGATTCAAGATGAAACCGTCCATCACCCAAATATAACAAATAATCAATTTCCTTGTCCGATAGTTGCGGCGACGTGCAACCTAATATCTCCCCCTTTGATAAGGGCATGATCTGCGGGATGACGACTTTGAATCCCGCGCGCTCTAATACTGGTTTCAGACCGTGAAGCGTCGCATTGAATTGGATTGTGCCGACTGTTGCGATGGTTTTGCCTGGTTGAAAGTTTCGTTCTAATGTCGCGATGAGATGGGATGTGTCGATGCTGATGTCCACAAAGATGTACAGTGTTTTGATAGTTGTTACGTCCACGGGTATCAAACAGCTGTGCGCATAATGGACTAATAAATCGCATCCCAGCGCTCGCGCAGTGTAATCATCTATACAGCAAGCCCCGTAGGTAACATCGCCCATAATCAAAGTTTCGACTCCATCACAGAATTCGGTGAGGATATCTGATATCGTGGTTGCGAATAGTAATAATCCTTCGGGGAATTGGAGGGCAACTCTTTTTGCGCCTAATGTTCGGATTCGATGGATTGTTTTCGGGATTTCGAAGGAGTAGTTCTTGGGGAGGAGGGAGATGGCGGCGAGAATGTCTGGGTTTTCAGTTATGGAGGTTGGGATACGGTTCAGGGTCCGGGGTGGTTTGCGGGGGGTTGCTGCGACATTGTCAGATCCTGTTATTATGTTTATACTAGTTGTAGAGCTTGCCTTTTTCTATGCTGGTGTTGGTGTTCGAAGACTCGGTTTGTGCCTGGACATCTGCTGTCCGTCTACCGACGAATCTTTTCTTTGGCTGCCGTATCGGCGGCCGGGGCGTTGCCGAGGCATCGTCTATGTCGTTCATATCCTCTATTTCTAGTACTATCTTTATATATCGTATGGGCGTATGCGCTAGAAGTTCATACAGGATGGAAAAGAATGGTGGAGTGTTGTAAAAATTAAAGGCGGGGGCTCTCCGATGCCGATAAGCCAACGCCGAAGCTAGCCTTCTCCGCATTTTAACATCAGTTGCCCCCGGGTAAACTTCGGCTGCATTTCAGCACCTCGAGAATGCTACACCGCACTCACTCTTCCCTTCACTCCAACAGCTAAGAAACACAGACGATCATGCAGAAATTCAAGCTATCTCTACGAGTTTCCTCCGCCTTACGAACTGCACATCCTCGAACGACCCCTCTTCGCAGCTACTCGACTGAAGCTCGGTTAACCACGGACCATGTCCGTATCGTCGAAGTTGGTCCACGAGATGGACTCCAGAATGAGAAGAAGTCCATATCTTTGGAGACAAAGCTTGAATTGATTAGGAGACTTGCAAATACAGGCGTTACTACGATCGAAGCTGGATCTTTTGTACCTGCCAAATGGGTGCCGCAGGTAAGTTTGTATCCAAGGGCTTGATGACCGTGTCGAGGTATTAATGATGGTGATATAGATGGCAAGCACGTCCGAAATTCTCCAACATCTGCTTAGAACACCACCTCCATCCCAAAACCAAATTGCCTACAACTACCTCGTCCCCAACATCAAAGGCCTAGAGAATCTCGTCACGATCCTGGAATCCGAAGGCGCAACAGCCGGATCCAAGGATGACGCAAAAGCAAGCACCACCACCGAAATCTCTCTATTTGCTGCAGCAACAGAATCCTTCTCTAAAGCGAATACAAACTGCACAATTGCCGAGTCGATCGAAAGGGTACGACCGATTGTGGCATTGGCCAAGGAAAAGGATATCAGAGTACGTGGGTATGTGTCTGTTGCTTTGGGTTGTCCGTACGAAGGACCGGATGTTTCTCCGGGCAAAGTAGCCGAAATAACTGCAACATTACTCGAAATGGGAGCCGATGAAGTCTCGGTAGCTGATACAACTGGAATGGGTACTGCGCCGCGCACATTGGAGCTTTTGCATGCTCTTTCAGCTGCCGGTATTGCAAACAGTGATCTTGCGCTTCATTTCCACGATACCTATGGCCAAGCACTTGTAAATACTATTGTTGGATTGGAACACGGGATCAGAATCTTCGATAGTAGTGTCGGTGGTCTGGGCGGTTGTCCTTATTCCAAGGGTGCGACGGGTAATGTCTCAACGGAAGATTTGGTGCATACCTTGCATGGGCTAGGAATGCATACGGGTATAGATTTGGAGGAGATGTCGCGAATCGGGGCGTGGATTAGTGAGCAGCTTGGACGTGCGAATGATAGTCGAGCTGGGAAGGCGACTCTCGCACGTATCGCGGGAGAGAAGACGTGTCCTTGATTGTCGAAAAGAAGAGATATTTTCATATGTAGTATTTATAGGCGAGGCTAGCTGTCAAAATAATGTACATAAACGAGTTTCAAGCAACACTGAAGATTTCCCGCTGTCAAGATCAAAAATCCGTCACCCGACCATTATAACTCCAATCCCCTTCATGACCCCATCTCAAAGGCTCATTCTTCGGTCCTCCAACTTCCCCAGTCTTGGGATTTATATCACCTTCAAACTCAGGCTTCACAGTCTGCCTAAGATGCGGAAACAACTCTTCATCTGTTTGTGTACTTGAATCGTCTTGCGCTTGAGGAGTCGTAGTGGCGACGGAATCCGGCGATTGATTCACCTTCGGAGGTGTGCGTACTGGAGTACTAAAAGCGCCCGTTGATTCTCGTTGAAGTCTTTCGAAGATTTCTTGCTCTTCCTTGGGGAGTCGTGGTGGTGCTGGACCACTGGCGAAGGGAGACTTGTCGTCGGCTACTCGGCGGTTATATGAGGATGTGAGAGAGCGGCGGAACGAGAGGAAAGCTCGTCGGTGGATGGGCGCTATCCTCCGAGAAATAATTGTGATTGAGGTTCTCATATTGATTGAATATTCAAGTGTTTGTAAGTAGAATAGTGCTGTTGGCATAAACTCGTGGGTGTAGATGGAGAAGGCAAGAGTCGCGCGCCTTTTGAGTAGATTTCTTATCGATAAGAACTTCTTCCCGGCCGATTTTCGGTGTCCCCGTCGAGTCATACCAGAGACATTTATTTATCACCAATTGACTCACCACTGACTGCTCGAGACCTTCTGCGGTCTATATATTTCTCTTCCTGGTCCTTTTCCTACGACTTCTTCTGTTATTCGTACAGACTGATTCAAAATGACAATTCGTGCGGCCGCGCGCCGCCTACAGTCGGTCAAAACTGTGCAACCTCTTTTCGCAGCACGCTCTTTCAGTTCAACGTCGCATGTATACAGTTTACCTCGAGATGAGAAAGCGCGAATTTTGGTATGTATCCGCCAATTGATATAATTGATGTATATGTTAGTCTAATATTCAGTAGAAAGAAAATTCACTGCCCACGCCCGATCCCGGCCCAGATTCAGCTACAGCCGCCTTCCTTCGAGACCGAACTCCATACATGGTACCTACATATGTGCGTCCAACACCTGTCTTCGTCAAGGGCCAAGGAGTCTATCTATGGGACATGGAGAATCGACGATTCCTCGACCTCACAGCCGGCATCGCCGTGAATGCATTGGGTCATTGTGACCCCGAAATCACAAAAGTGATATCCGAGCAATCAGAGACATTGATTCATGCCTCGAATTTATATCATAACCCCTGGACAGGCGCGTTGAGCAAGTTGCTCATTGATGAGACCCTCGCATCAGGCGCAATGCGTGATGCATCTCAAGTATTTGTGTGTAATTCCGGCACAGAAGCGAACGAAGCTGCTATCAAATTCGCGCGTAAAGTCGGAAAGACGCTTGATGCCTCTGGTGAGAAAGTTGAGCTTGTCTCTTTTCAGGGTTCTTTCCATGGACGGACTATGGGTGCATTGTCAGCGACGCCGAATCCAAAGTATCAACAACCATTTGCACCCATGATTCCGGGTTTCAAGTACGGCGCCTTCAATGACGTGGAGCAATTAGAGACTCTCATCACGGAAAAGACGTGCGGCGTCATTGTGGAGCCGATTCAGGGTGAAGGAGGTGTCAATGTTGCTACACCGGAGTTTTTGATCGCTCTACGCGAACGATGTGATCAGGTTGGTGCCGTGCTCATCTTTGACGAGATTCAGTGCGGTTTATCTCGTACCGGCACCCTTTGGGCACATGCGAACCCTGCATTTGCTCCCAAAGACGGTAGCAAACAACCCGCTCATCCAGATATTCTGACGACCGCCAAAGCCCTCGGAAACGGTATCCCTATTGGCGCCACCATCGTCACCGACAAAGTGTCATCAGCCATCAAGACGGGTGATCACGGCACCACATTCGGTGGGAACCCACTCGTTTGCCGTGTAGCGCACCACATCGTCCAGCGATTAGCCGCACCAGAACTCCGGAACGGCGTAGAAGTCAAATCAGCACAATTCGTCGCCGGATTCAAGCAACTACAAGAGAAATACCCAGACATCATCTCCGAGATTCGTGGCGCGGGTTTGATTCTAGGTGTTCAACTTTCGGAAAAGTATGCTTCCAAGGCTACTGATGTGTTGACGGCGGCACGACAGCGTGGTCTGCTGGTGATTACTGCTGGCGAGGGATGCTTACGATTTGTGCCGGCGCTGAATATTACGGAAGAGCAGATTGAGGCTGGATTGAAAGTTTTGCGGGAGAGCTTTGAGGCTGTTTTTGAGTAGATTGCCAGTGGTTACTGTTGTATACAAAAGTTCGGTCGATTAGCGTTGGATGCACTTAGACGATGTTGGATCAACAATGCAAATATTAGATTTCGGTTGATATACTACTTGCCTACGAGACATCCCGGACATCAAAGCAGCTGGAGAACTCGTAGTTTAACTGGACAGTGCCCGCGAGATATTCGTCAAGAGTAAATCCATGTAACAGTCCTACCTTTCAAGTAGAAAGACAGTCGCCTCGCAGACCGGCGCAATACGCTACACGAATTCCGTACTACGACCCTACACGGGTACCGTATGGCAGATTGCAATTGACAGTTTGGATGAAAGCAGCTCTCAGAGCTAATCTGCTTCTTTTCCTGGACGCAATGCCTCGCAGTATGCCAGTTCTAGGGACTACGAAGTTCCGACTGATAGGCACCGCGAGGCGGCGAGATGAGTTGGAGTATAACGGGGTATTGTTCTGATAGATTTTGATATCTCGTCCCACAATAGAGATCCAATGAAAGAGCACACAACATGCGGGATCATGTCGATTTGGAGCTCTCTCGTTATAGTCAGTCAGTCTAGACCAAGGACAGCGGAAGGGTGCTTTGGGGCAAGCCGATGTACGTAAAGAGGGAAAACAGGGAAGCTGACAAAGTTATCGATAACGGCTTACGTAGCTTCCCATGATAAAAGCTAGACAGCTGTGGCTTTCTTTCTCTCTTTTTTTTTTTTTCTTTTCTCTTTTACGTACTTATCCTCGGAGAAGGGATAATACGTAGAGCTCCATATCTGATTACTGATCCTGTTGCTTTCAGGCAGTTTTGTTCTTTTCAAATCTTCCGTTCTCCAATCTCTGGTTCTCCGCACTCCGTGCTTCGCGATCTGAATCCCCCACCATGGTCGTCGTCAACGACGTCGAGTACCTCTGCGACGAGGAAAGGAGGCTGCAGGAAGGCCGCGCGCGAAAGCGATACTGGAAGAAATGGGGTCCTTATGTTGCCGAGAGACAATGGGCGACCGGTTCGTTTTTACCCCTGTCATTGGATTTGGCGGCGATGATACAATTGATAGCGGGAAGATTGATCGCTAATTGTTCTCAATGCGAATATAGTGCGCGAGGATTATTCGTAAGTATTCTATATTCAGACATGAAGCAGATAACTAATTTTGTTGCAGTGAAAACGGTGATGCATGGAGTCGTATGTACTGAGGTGCTTGTGTTGCAAGTGTCGCTAATCGTGTGCCAGACTTCTCCCATGATCATTCCCGCTCAAGAGCCTACCGATGGGGTGAGGATGGTATAGCCGGAGTGTGCGACACACACGGTCAGCTCAACATTGCATTTTCCTTCTGGAACGAGAAAGAGTCAGTATCCGGGTACGTCTTAGACAGGATCTGCAGTGCTAATAATCTTGCAGCGACTTCCTCAAGGAACGACTTTTCGGTCTTTCGAACCCACAGGGAAACCATGGTGAGAGTATCAAAGAATGCCATTTCCATCTTGACAATACGCCCTCGGTAAGTTAGTTGATTCGCTATGTCAAGCACCTTAATGCTAATTCAACAAGCACTCCTACATGAAATATCTGTACAAATACCCCCAGAAAAGGTTCCCCTATCAAGATCTAATTGATGAGAATGCGCGGCGCGGAAAGCAAGACCGGGAATATCACCTACTTGATACGGGCATTTTCAACGAAAATCGATACTGGGACATTTTCATCGAGACTGCCAAGGAGGCAGACGACGAAGAGGAACTGTCATTCCGAGTGATTGCATACAACAGAGGCCCGGAACCGGCACCTCTGCATATCGTGCCACAGGTGTGGTTCCGAAACACCTGGACCTGGGGCTGGGAGGACAAGTCCAAGAAGCCTATCATTAAACAGGAGAGTCCTCTCAAAGTCAAGTCTTCGCACCATGCTTTGGGAGACCGTTACGTCACTCTATCTCCTTCCCCGTCATTCAACGGAAGTGAGGAAGATATTCAACCCCGCATGCTCTTCACAGAAAACGACACCAACAATGAAGCGTTGTATGGAACGAAGAACGACCAACCCTACGTCAAGGATGCATTCCACCGATATATTGTTGATGAAGAACAAGATGCCGTCAACCCGGCCAACGAGGGTACCAAATTCGCAGCTTGGTACGCTTTTGACGAGGGCGATGGCGTTCCACCTGGCGAGTGCGCTGTTGTTCGATTCCGATTCTCCAGGAAGAATGAAGACTATGTCAATGAGGAACAACTTGACAATGTGATTGAACAGCGAAGATCGGAAGCGGACGATTTCTATTACCGTATTAACCCTCTTCCAATGACGGAAGATCTCCGAAATATTCAAAGACAAGCTCTTTCGGGAATGTTGTGGACAAAACAGTATTACCACTTTATCTGGGATCAATGGGCTAATGGTGACCCTGCCATGATACCTCCTCCGCCGGGCCGGAAGAACGTTCGCAATCAGCAATGGAGACATATGTACCTGGATGATATCCTGTCTATGCCGGATGCGTGGGAATATCCTTTCTTTGCCGCATGGGATACTGCCTTCCATTGTATTCCATTGGCTATGGTCGATCCTGAATTCGCTAAGAAGCAACTTGACCTGCTTACGAGAGAATGGTACATGCATCCCAACGGTCAACTTCCAGCTTACGAGTGGAACTTTGGTGATGTCAATCCGCCAGTGCACGCTTGGGCCGTCTTCCGAACGTTCAAAATCGAGCGCAAGATGTACGGCCGGCAGGACCTGGACTTCTTAGAGCGTGTCTTCCAGAAGCTACTGTTGAACTTTACCTGGTGGGTAAACCGCAAGGATGCTGACGGCAAAAACGTCTTTGAGGGAGGTTTCTTGGGTCTTGATAACATTGGCTTGTTCAACCGTTCTGAGCCATTGCCCACAGGAGGTGTTTTGGAACAAGCGGATAGTACCGGCTGGATGGCTTTCTACTGTCTCAGCATGTTGAACATTGCTCTTGAACTTGCAAAGCACCGTCGCACTTATGAAGATAGTACGTCAGATGCTTAGTGTCTTATGGTCCTCTGCTAACGAATTTAGTTGCGTCGAAATTCTTCGAACATTTCATCCTCATCTCTGATGCCATGTCATTCAGGAACCAGGATGGATTGACTTCTCTATGGAACGACGAAGACAGGTAAACAGTCTTTCGCTCGTAAAGTATTTCAAATACTGACTGTGTCAAGTTTTTACTACGATTCCATCTCATACGGTGGACCCTGGTCGCAACAACTCCCGGTTCGATCTCTGGTCGGTCTAATTCCTCTATATGCAGTTTCTACACTCGAACCCGAGATTATCAACCGTTTTCCGTCGTTCAAGCGGCGCCTTAACTGGTTCATTGAGAACAAAAACGATGTTGCCGAACGCAACATTGCTAGTATGAGTCATCGCGGTAAAGACGATCGATTGCTTCTCGCTCTTGTCAGCAAAGACCGCCTAGAAAAGATCCTCAAACGCATGCTTGATGAGACAGAATTCTTGTCAGATCATGGCATTCGCTCCCTGTCCAAGTACCATGAGAAACACCCATTCTCGATGGATGTCAATGGTCAGAAGTTCACGGTCGGATACGTCCCTGGTGACTCTGACAGTGGACTATTTGGCGGCAACAGCAATTGGCGCGGCCCAATCTGGATCTGTGTCAATTTCTTGCTCATTGAATCCCTCTTGAGATTTTACATGTTTTACGGTGACTCTTTCAAGATTGAATGTCCGACCGGCTCTGGTGACTACATGCATTTGGGTCATGTTGCTGAAGAACTTCAGCACCGACTGCAGCACTTGTATGTTAGGGACTACGACGGACGCCGTGCCATTAACAACGGTAATGATCTGCTCGACTTCGATGAGCATTGGAGGGATTACTTGTGGTTCTATGAGTTCTTTGACGCCGACACGGGTCGCGGTCTAGGTGCATCTCACCAATGTGGTTGGACCGGCCTACTCGCCAAGGTCATCCACGACACTGGGTATGCTTGAAAATCAAGATACATGCAACGATAATTTACTAACATGACACAGATTGAACTGCCGTCTCCCCCAAACTCCTCGCACTCCCACCAGCGCAGCAGCACATTACTTCGACGACGTCTTCAGTCGTCCCAACAGACCACCCAAGGGAAATCGCAGGCCCGGCCGTTTTCTCCGGCGTTCATCGACTAGCCGCTCAATCGGGAATCGCAGTGATTTTGAAGCTAGCATCCATGGAGGCGAAGCCGATGACGAAAACGAAGATGCGGTGTCTACCAATGGCACGGTACCGCATAGTGATCGCATGGAAGAAAATTTTACTAGCTATATTGCGGATCAACTTAATCGTGTTAGAAATAACACGACGCTGGGGGCATATGAGGATGAGTTTGTGACGGAGGCTGATCACGATGGAAATGGGACCAACGGGACCAATGGACATTAGTGTCGGAACGTGAATATCAAACCCTACACGTTTTGGCACCGGATATAGTTAGTCTGACGCGGCACGTGCGTGCCGCGTATATCTAGCTAGCTATCCCCGTCCCCCTCGTTCTTGGGGAGAAGTCACAATATTAGGAATCAAGATATCTTCATATTGTCAGGCTCATTAGGCCGCTTCGTGTTCGCGCCTTACTACCGTCTATGCTTCGTGATACGGACCGTAGTTAAACCAACACTGATCAGTGAGGCCCACAGATCAGACCTTACCCCTATTCTCACTTATTCGAATCCCCCTTCGACCTCGCGTCGATTACCACCCTGCTGCGCCGATATACGCACCAAATCTCTTGCTCGTGAGCTCTTAGCTGAGTCTCATAAACCTTACGAATCCACCCGTACGAACCTACGTACGAAACCACCTTCGACCCCGAGTCGAATACCCCTCTCAGTGCGCCGATATACGCACCGAATAACCGACAATATGGCACCCACGGATTATACAGATTTTGATCCGAATGGCAAGGACCGCAAGACAATCGAACCATGCGTAATAACACGAACAAAGATCTACACCGATCTGTACGACGACGACCTATGGTTTACCTTCAAAGATGATTTTGGAGACTGGACTACAGATAACCTTTGCAAAGCGACCGTACCAGTCCTTGGAAAACTACGTGACGTACTGCGAACCAATGGTATATATGTACCAAAGGGTGGACACGCAGGAAGAGTATTAGCGAACACACTGACTCTTCCAGAACCACACGAATGGACTAAAAGTGAAGTTGTTGAACACATACAGCTTAAAGGGACCTTCAATTCCCCATTTATCCAGTTGAAGTTCGCTGCCACAATCAAAAGAATCAACGACGCCGCAAATGTGACAATACAAAATAATGCTCAATTCGTGCAAGAAGATACCCCCTCTCCACCGTCAACGAACCTACACGGCATGGTAACAAGAATGAGAGCATCCGCAGGTGGCCTACAAGATATGATACCACACGCTGAGACGGCACCACCGACACCGACACCACCGGCGCCGCAGGCACCACTAGTACAAGTAGCGACACCTACCCAAACGGCAACATGGCAAGGAACGGGATATGTGCCAGCAATCCGCGACCAAGAAAGAATGTATTCGCAGGTAGGACAATTTGCACCGTTATATGTCAACAGCATCGCACAACTTCGGAAGGTGTACACTACAGATAGCACCAAGTACGGCGATAATGAAGACTCATTCGACCTAGCTCATAATATCTTCTTAGACCTCTGCCGCCAGATGGGTCTACATACCGCAGAAGCACGGAACCAGGCATTTTCAGTTATGCTCAAAGGACTCGCACTCGACTATTACTACACGTGGAAAGATCAATGGGAGCGCATGGGAATCGACCCCGCTGTGGCAGTCAAAAACCACTTCGAAAACGACGAGCACCTACGAAAAGTGCAGACTGACTGGGATGCGATAAATCTTTATACGGTAATTGTAAAGTACCCTGAAAAATCAACTACTGAATGCTTAGAGATGATGTTTCGAGATATCCAAAAGCTCTACCACAAATTGCGACCAGAACTACGAAACGAGGTTATTTGGCACGCAAAGCTCATTTCTGCTACTCGAACACACCCAGCATGTCATGCAGCAACTGGAAATCCCGCATCTACGATCCCTGGTCTCATGCAGAGCCTTCGAGGAAGTGTCAGCCAATTTGAAGACACTAAGCGAGCAGCGCAACAGCACTTCGCAGGCACATATAATACTGATCCGTATGACGTTCCACGAACGAACATGACAGAACGTCGCTTCTTCAACAATAATCTACGATACCAGCCTCAAAACCGCAGCCGCTTTACTCGGAAACCATCTCGTCACTTCAGAGGTCCCAGAAACGACAAAAAGACATGTTATATCTGCAAGAAACCAGGACACTTATCATATAACCACTCGGACGAGGAGCGCGAGGCACACAAGCGTGAATGGAATAAAAACAGATCTGGGAGTTATCAACAATTTATGGCTGAAATTGAGGGCTGGGAATATGACCCTGAATCAATTGAAGAACTAGCATCAAGTGGCGCTTATTTCGAGGATGACAGCAGTGATGACGAACCTCCAAGGACCAAGGATTCAATTACTTCCAAAGATTCAGCCAATAAGAATGCACCACTCCAGACTACCTCAACCCATTTTGCCAGCGCTTTCTTCACTACTGATGAGAAGCCAAAGGGAGAATTAGGAAAGTTAATTACTACAGAGTTAGCAAATCGAGCGACCATGCACTGCGTCAAAGCCCTGGCAACAAAGGAAGCACAAGATGGTGACAATATAGAGAATGACGTTGAAGAAACGATTGATACAAGCACCTACGTTTCGGCAAGCCGATACTCCGAAGAAACATGGCGAGGTATTCTCATTGACACCGGCGCTGCAGACTTCTCTACAGCCGGATACAGTCAATTTCTCGCATATCGGAAAGCTGTCAAGGGAGCCGTAATGGACACATCAACTGTCAATTCAGTAGGGATCAAATTCGGCTCAGGCGATCCCGTACGCTCAAAAGGCTCAGTCGACGTCGATACACCAATTGGCCGAGTCCGATTCCATATCCTTGAAACAATGACACCATTCCTACTCTCTATTAAAGACCTAGACAGACTGAACGTATATTACGACAACACCAAAGACCTTCTCATTGGCCCGAAAGAGAACATGACTACCCAGGTTATACGAAGATTCGGCCACCCATTCCTTATATGGCAGGAGACCTACGAATTATGCCTTATGGAATCACTTGACGAGAATCCCTGCTTCCTCACAGAAACAGAATTACGGCGCTTACACCGCCGATTCGGTCACCCCTCAACTGACAGATTCTACCGCGTTATCGAACGCGCAGGCCACGACGCTGACCGTGAAGCAATTGAGCATATTCGCAAATTCTGCCATCATTGTCAAATCCACGGTAAATCTCCCGGCCGTTTCCGCTTCACATTGCAAGACGATATACATTTTAACCATTCAATTATTGTTGATATTATGTATATTGATGGTAAACCTGTACTTCATATTATCGACGAAGCAACACGTTTTAACGCCGCACGTTGGCTACCTAATATATCTTCAAGCGCAACATGGGACGCCCTACGTGCCGCATGGATTGATACGTACCTAGGACCACCAGATCTCATTGCAACTGACGCTGGAAAGAACTTTGTGAGTAAGGAATTCTCACAGCTCGCGACATCTATTGGCACCACTGTCAAGAGCGTTCCTATTGAAGCTCATTGGTCAATTGGCATGGTTGAACGCTACCACGCCGTACTACGTCGCGCCTATACCATCATCTCCGACGAATTGCCAGATCTACACCCCGATATGGCGCTACAAATGGCCGTAAAATCTGTCAACGATACTGCCGGCCCCAATGGCCTCGTACCCACGCTTCTCGTATTTGGTGCCTACCCACGACTTACGCAAAACGACGCACCAGCAATATCAGTTGAACAACGTGCTACTGCACTCAAGAAAGCAACTGCTGAGGTACGAAAATTGTACGCACAACGACAAGTAAGAGATGCACTCAATACCCGTAACGGCCCGTCAACTATAGTGATCCATTCGCTACCACTTAACTCGAACGTCCTTGTATTCAGAGAAGGAAATACCGGCTATGCTGGAAAATGGGAAGGCCCATACAAACTATTAGAAGTCAATAACGAGACCTGCACAGTCGCACTTCCAAGTGGCCCAACTCAATTCCGCTCAACCGTTGTAAAGCCATACTATGCCGAGGACATGCCACCTGAGGATATTGCCACTACTCTAGACCATGATAACGCACCTGAACCCCCAACACAAGGAAATGCACTCCTACCGCCATCGACTGTCAAAATCCCCTCTCAACGACCGCAGCGCAACCGTCAACCATCCGCTCGATACCGAGATGACGATTTCGAAGCATACATCAACAATAAGGAGATTACTCAACCTCGAGCTGACTTTGACGAGGTATTGGAACAAACAAGATTTACTGACTCACGCAAGCAAGAGGTGGATGGCCTATTGGAGAGAGGTGTCTTCCACTTCGTGCATGAGAATGAAGTTCCCAAAGGTGAACGTATTTTCAACTCACGATTTGTGGATGAGATGAAGAATTCTGGCACCGACAAGGCCTTTGAAAAATCGCGACTTGTTGTGCAGGCTTACAATGACGAAGGGAAGGACTTCATATTGACTGAATCACCAACTATACAACGCTGTAGTCAGCGCCTGATTCTATGCCTGACTGCCTGTATGGTTACTCACTCCCTATGGCTACGAGACGTTGTTCAAGCGTATATTCAATCGCAAACGTATCTTAACCGTGATATCTTCGTACGACCGCCACTAGAACTCGCCATCCTTCTTTCACCAGGCACACTGTTAAAAGTCGTCAAGCCTCTATATGGGATCCCCGAATCAGGCAATCACTGGTTCAACACGTACCATAGCCATCATACAGAGAAACTGCAAATGGAGACGTCAACCTACGACCCGTGCCTCCTGCATTGCACTAATTCTAGTAATGGTTTTGGTGTTGTTGGCATGCAAACTGACGATACCCTCATCCTTGCTGACGAAGCTTTCGCCAATCGCGAAGAGAAGGAAATTAAGGCTGCCAGGATACAGTGTAAACCTCGTGAACGACTTTCGCCTACAAACCCCTTGAAATTCAATGGTGGCCTCATCTCGGAGACAGCCCAGGGTATTTTGCTCAACCAAGAACGCACCTGCAGGCTAATACAAATTGTGCAAGAGCAACATGCTAATACGACAAGTTCCCGGGGAAAGATCCGCAAGAATGTATCGCCAAAAGAGCAGTACGTATCTCAACGAGCGCTCGGTGCCTATATCGCTTCCTTGACGCAACCGGAAGCCGCATTTGACTATGCCTTTGCAGCACAGAGTACAGATCCGCAGAAAGAGGACATCAAACTCCTCAACAGGCGCTTGCAATGGCAAATCGACAACCCATCCCGCGGCCTGAAGTTTGTCAAACTTGATATCAACAGCATCAAATTATATGCCTTTGTTGATGCGGCATTCGCTAATAATAAAGACCTCTCGTCACAAATTGGATTCGTTATCGTACTCGCTGACGCTTCAAATAACGCGAATATTGTACACTGGTCCTCGGTCAAGTGCAAGCGGATAACGCGTAGCGTACTAGCTTCGGAGCTATACGCCATGGTTAACGGCTTCGATTTTGCTGCCTCTATCAAGGCAACGATTACGCAGATTCTGCACCTCGAGAACCCGCTTCCGCTAGTGATTTGCACGGATTCGAAAAGCTTATATGACTGCCTTGTGAAGCTCGGTACGACGCAAGAAAAGCGGCTCATGATCGACCTCATGTGCCTCCGCCAGTCATACGAGCGTCAAGAGATTACAGAAGTCAAATGGATAGATGGCAATAGCAACCCTGCCGACGCCATGACAAAGAACAAAGCATGCAACGCTTTGCAGATCCTTGTTGATACGAATAAGCTACATATCACTGTCGACGGCTGGGTAGAAAGGTCTACCACGACACCGCAAAATCGCGCGATCAAAGCAAATTCGGTGGCATTCGCAAATCCCCAATAATGTCCCGAATCCTCGTGTCTAACCACATTTTCTTTTGCTTCATTCTTCCCGCATGTACAGAAAGCATTTATGTATTGTTTACTGCACCATTCCCTACACCAATCCGTTTGTTTTATCAACCCGGTGCCGCTCGTTATTTTTCCTATTTTTAGAGAGTTGCCAGTGTCGGAACGTGAATATCAAACCCTACACGTTTTGGCACCGGATATAGTTAGTCTGACGCGGCACGTGCGTGCCGCGTATATCTAGCTAGCTATCCCCGTCCCCCTCGTTCTTGGGGAGAAGTCACAATATTAGGAATCAAGATATCTTCATATTGTCAGGCTCATTAGGCCGCTTCGTGTTCGCGCCTTACTACCGTCTATGCTTCGTGATACGGACCGTAGTTAAACCAACAATTAGATATTGAGATATTGAGAGTAGAAAGAGGATGAGATGGGTAGACCACCATCTCATCATTTCATATAGTTATTACTTAGCGTATAGCGAGTTGCCATAATTGAGAGAAGTATGCATCCCCATAGATTTTCCTGAGAAGTAGATTGAAATTAACAACCCTAACCCTATGAAGAAACGGCGAGTTTCGGGTGAACCTAACACGTGACATCCCAAAACAGAAAAGCGTGCTTGGCTCCAGAAGAACTTCGGATGTTGCTGGACTCTCCTCCACGATGAACCGTCACGATCAGCTTCTTTCATTGCAACTTCCCCTCCACCAGACAATCGACTGTCTGGTAATTCGCATTTCCTCGAGAATACACTCTCAGCTCACTACGTCACGATGTTGTCCGCTCGTGTCGCCGCCCGCGCTGGGCTCCGCAACTTCCAGGTTCCCCGATCGGTTGCTGTGGGAGGATTGAGGACTTATGCTGCTGCTGCTCAGCAGGATGTGCGACCTCCTGTTGCTTTGTATGGTGTTGATGGTACTTATGCCAATGCATTGGTATGTTTTTCCTTTCGAATTTCTTGGATGTCCAGAAGGAAGCGTCCATCCGACCGGAAACCAATTGCGCGCTGTCAAAAAAAGAAAACAATTGCGTCGTCAAAGAAAGATGCATTCCGAAACTAACAATGAATGAATTGGAATAGTACACCGCCTCCGCAAAGACGTCCTCGCTCGACTCAATTGCCAAATCCCTCTCCCAACTCGGCGAAGTCTTCAAGAAGGACGCAAAACTCACCACCATCCTAAACGCACCCACCCTCAGCGTCAGCGACAAGCAACAAATCATCAAGGAATTGCAAACCGTTGCTGGAGGCGACAAGAACGATATCCTCAAGAACTTTTTGTCTACTCTTGCCGAAAACAATCGTTTGGGATTGTTGGAGGGTGTTATTGAGAAGTTTCAGACTTTGATGAGTGCGCACAAGGGTGAGATTGAGTTGAGTATCACTAGTGCTCAGGTATGTTTTCTTCTCTTCCATCTTTTGGCGAATGTGTTTTGCTGAGGAGTGGTAAAGGAACTCGACACCAAGTCCATCCAACGCATTGAAAAGGCTGTTGCCAAGTCCGAGATCAGCCAGGGCAAGAAACTCAAGGTCGTCACCAAGGTATGTCTCATTTTCTCCCCTATCTTCCTCTATAAACCCACCCTGACACTGAAAAGGTCAACCCTGATGTCCTCGGCGGCCTCATCGTCGAAGTCGGTGATCGTACCATCGACCTCAGCGTCTCTTCCAAGATCAACCGTCTCAACAAAGCTCTTACCGATGCTGTGTAAATTACTCCTTACTTCCTCACTATATTATATTATCCCAAACACTTTTTTTGTCTGAATTAGAATCATTTGTTAAAATACTATTTCTTTTGTCTTTACTTTTCATTGTTTGGTCTTTCTGAGTGACTTGTATACAGTAGAACCTGGCTATAACGAATAGAAGGCCTCTCAGGGCCCTAGTCAATATATCCAGAAGATGTGGGTTCAATTTAGGGATGAAGGGCACTCCTAATGTATTAATCTATTTTAGTATTAATAGATTGGATGCTCCTCGGTTCCATATAAAAGTCATCCAAGCCGATATTAGTGGAAATATGGAGGGCCCTTCTTTTCGTTATAGCCAGGCTCTAGTCTGTAATGAGGCAGTACCACTTGATCGTACATTTTCTTCTCTGCTGGAAAGAAATCGGCATAAATGACCCGTGTCTGCGAAGAAGGAATATAATAAGAAATCCCAGCATCCACGAGCACGAGATCACGACTACTGGGAAACTCGTAGTCTAATAGGATTTGTTCGCTCATTGGGAAGTGAGGTTTAAACTTGTCAACAGGAAAATGCCTTCATAAACCATCGAGGTCGGTGGTGAGGTGTAGATATCTCCCTATGCCCTAGGATAATTGTTGATCCGCGCTACAAGCGAGACAGTGCCTATTTAGGAGGAAGGATGTGATTTATTCATTGAACGGCTCTGGCCCAGTGATATTGGGGGCCTAGTTCGAGATGTCATCCTTGATGAAGGACACACTGTACGCAATGGATTGTCTACTACTGTGCGCTAGGTTATGTCATCTCATCATGTCTGCCGCCCTTTTCTACAATGGAATTTGACATGGTGAAGACTGAGAATAGGATGGATGTGGAAATTGCTGAGTCAAAGACCAAGCCGCATTCAAGTCAAAAAGTCGTCGAGTAGTGCCGGAGGTCTTTACAAACCTCGTCAAAAATACTATAGCCAGATTCTACTGTATACGTAGTCTGCTATCATAATAATGAGCTACCTAGCGAGACGGGCCAAGGAGCGGGCAATTGATGATATCAGACTGCTGCACATTGCAGACATTTTAGCCCTAATTTTCCACTCAGCATTGGCATTCAACCTTGCGGGGTACGTTACATATAAGGATAATTGTTTCTGATGACACAAGATGGTCTTCTTCAGGTCGGATAATTGAATTGACACACGGTTAAATATGTCCATTACCGGAGGCAGTTCAATTCTTCGAAGGTATAATGGCCTGCATCAAAGAGGTAAATAGGACTTGGGTCACAAACTCTGCGATGCTCTCGCCTCTGTTGTAAGCAATACCCCATCAGGTCTTATATTACCTGAGTAGCCTCCACAGATCACTATCCGAAGATATCCAGACGACCACATCCTGATCGGACCGACAACATGAAACAAATCAAACCCACACCGCTGCTACGGCATCTCAGATCTTCATTCCTTCTTCTCGGAGTACTGCTAAATGACATAGGCATCGGTATCGCCAAAGCAGACAACCCTTTCGTTCAATCCATGTACACAGCAGATCCGGCTCCATTGATATACAATGACCGACTCTACGTCTTCATGGACCACGACGAAAACGGTGCTACAACCTACGAAATGAAGGACTGGCGTCTTTTCTCGACAACAGACATGGCGAATTGGCAGGATCACGGCTCTCCCATGAGCTTGGCCAACTTCTCATGGGCTAATGCCAATGCGTGGGCACCGCAGATTATTGCTCGGAATAATCAGTTCTATTTCTATGCGCCAGTTCGTCATTCGACAGGATCTATGGCAATTGGCGTTGGGGTGAGTGATACCATCACTGGACCATACCACGACGCCTTGGGGAAACCGTTAGTAGAAAACAACGAGATCGATCCCACAGTCTTCGTTGACGATGATGGACAAGCTTATCTATACTGGGGAAACCCGGACCTTTGGTACGTCAAATTGAACCAGGACATGATCTCCTACAGTGGTAGCCCTATCCAAATCCCACTCACGACTGCTGGCTTTGGTACTCGATCTAACAATGCTCAACGACCTACCACCTTTGAAGAAGCGCCCTGGGTCTACAAACGCAATGGTATCTATTATATTGCCTATGCAGCTGATTGCTGCTCTGAGGACATTCGCTACTCAACTGGAACCGGTCCCACGGGTCCCTGGACCTATCGCGGCGTCATCATGCCAACCCAGGGCGGCAGTTTCACAAATCACGAGGGTATAATCGACTATAAGAACAACTCGTACTTCTTCTACCACAATGCCGCTCTACCCGGAGGAAGCGGTTATCAGAGATCAGTTTGTGTGGAACGTTTCGTTTACAATTCCGACGGAACTATTCCTACCATCCAAATGACCACCGCTGGACCGCCGCAATTGGGTACTCTGAACCCGTACGTGCGTCAGGAAGCTGAAACAGCAGCTTGGTCATCAGGTATCCAGACCGAAGTATGCAGTGAAGGCGGGATTGATGTTGCTTTTATCAACAACGGGGACTATATCAAGGTGAAAGGGGTTGCATTTGGCGCCAGTCCCGGAGCGCATTCCTTCTCTGCTCGTGTTGCTTCTGGTGCTAGCGGTGGCTCAATTCAGATTCACCTTGGTAGCACTTCTGGTACGCTCGTGGGAAGTTGTAGTGTACCTGGTACGGGGGGTTGGCAGACTTGGACTACTGTTACTTGTTCGGTCAGTGGTGCTGTGGGCACGCAGGATGTGTATTTTGTCTTCCAGGGAAGTGGTTCTGGGTATCTCTTCAACTTTGACTACTGGCAATTCTCCTAATTGCCACTTATATTTTGTATTGCCTAGAGTACCTAGGTACATACACTAGTGGCAGATGGGAAGAATTGGTTGATCAAGAGGTACACGTATGAACGTAACTAGTTTGGCAACCTGACAATTGATATGGTAGTGTTCGCATAGGCTATAAGCGAGCTATTATTAGCCTTAACTGAAGACTCTACTCCACATTCATGCTAAAGTAGTATTATCCCAGGATTTATATTAATTTCGCGGGGTTTCGGCACTTTGGCAATGATCTGCTGATCCTTGATTGATCCTGATGAATACTGGCATCAACACGATCATACGGTTAAATCATACAGAAACATCTTGAATCTCCATTTCTTCACCCTTCATTATAAAAAAAATTAACCGAACCTCGATGCATACATGGCCTGATTAATCAACCGCAAACCTGGAAGCTCCGGAGGGGGTTATACCAAGTCTCAGGATATTGTCTCTGTACCTGAATACTACTATATAGGTTAGGTTTATTCACGATGTTAAGGTACGCTGAAACATGTTTCTTCAAAATCATATCCATCTCTGTTTTTTGCTCACAGATCACTAACCAAAGATGAAGCTTTTGACAGTCGTGGGCAAGATTATACTTCTTGCTCGCACCGCAACGGCTTTGAACAATGGTCTTGCCGTCACCCCTCAGATGGGATGGGGTATGCATCTTTGTCACATTTCTCATACAGAGCATAAACATTGAAGTGTTGCTAATCAAACCGAATATACAGATGACTGGAACGCATTCGGCTGCTCACTCAGTCAGAACCTCGTCCTCTCCACGGCAAATACTATCCTGAAGACCGGCCTCAGAGATCTGGGATATCATTACATAATCCTGGATGATTGCTGGTCTTCGGGCCGTACTTCAAGCAACGTCCTCATTCCAGATGCTAATAAATTTCCTAATGGCATGAAATATCTGGGAGATCAGCTTCACGCTCAAGGGTTTGGGTTTGGGATATATTCTAGTGCTGGTACTAAGACTGTAAGTCCTATATCCTTTCTATAGTGCATTTTTCTTACTGGTTATTGTATAGTGTGCTGGATACCCAGGTAGCTTGGGATACGAGACTGTTGATGCGAATACATTCGCCAGCTGGGGAGTCGACTACTTAAAATACGACAATTGCAATAACAATGGCCAATCAGGCAGCCAAGCAGCAAGCTCTGCTCGGTAAGTTTACATATCTTTGAAATCATGCACCTTTCCCTCTCCGATTGCTCTTTATTAACGTATTCGGCAACTAGCTATAATGCCATGGAAAAAGCTCTGGCTGCTAGTGGCCGAAACATTCTTTATGCCATCTGCAACTGGGGTCAGGATTCTCCTTGGATCTGGGGACCATCCGTGGGAAATTCCTGGAGAATCACGGGTGACATCTCTGATAACTTCAACACGCAGAACTCAGCCTGCCCAGTGTATGTACTCTTCCCTGCTTGAGTTATCTACATCATGTGTTGAATTAACATGTTCTTCAGGCCAAACTCTGGTGGCTATGATTGTTCCGTAACTCAAATCATGTCCAAGCAAGCAACGATCTCACAATATTCCGCCAAGGGAGGCTGGAACGATCTTGACATGCTCGAAGTGGGTAACGGGGGTATGAGTGACTCGGAATATGTTGCTCATTTTAGTGTTTGTAAGTGCCCTCGCATACTCCCACACTGTGAAGTATTGTACTGACAGGATTTTTGAATAGGGGCTGCCGCTAAAAGTCCCCTCATCATGGGCAACGACATGAGCAAATTGATTGCCAGTGACTATTCTATCCTTGCCAATCCCGCCATTATCGCTGTCAACCAAGACCCCTTGGGAGTTGCGGCTACTTATCGCTGGACTCGTAATAACGTTCAGTTATGGAGCGGTCCCCTGGTATCCACCACGGGAAGCTCAGTTAACGATCAAGTTGTCGTATTATACAACAACGGCGGCTCAAGCACAACTGTATCCGTGGCACTCTCCGACGTATTCGGCTCATCTTCATCTGTTCCATCCTCCCAGCTCGAAATCCGAGACCTTTGGGGCTCGCGGTTAAGCAATTCCCAAGCTCAGACGATCCTGAACCAAGGCGCTTCCGCCAATCCTTCATGGCTGTATAACGCCACGGCAAAGAGTTATGCCACTGGACTTTCTCAAGGGGACTCCATGTTACTCGGAACTTCCATAGGTTCAGTTACTGGAGCAAGTGGAACTATTCAACAGACTGTTTCAGGGAATGGGTGTAGAGTTTTCCGACTTCGTGCATCAAAAGCATCTTCTACATCAACCACCACCACCACCACGACGTCGTCTTCCGGACAATCTTTACAAACTCAATGGGGACAATGTGGTGGTCAAGGATGGACTGGACCGACTGAGTGTCAATCTCCGTATACCTGCCAAGTGCAAAATGGTTAGTTATCTTCCATCACATCGCTGTTACTATAATCACAGAAGAGATGCTGACCACTCTTTCACATTAGATTACTACTCACAGTGCAAGTGATAGGAGTTCAAAAGATAAAGTGCCCTCTGTACTTGGAAGTTCGGTGCTATCTCCCAACAATGGAAAAGAACGATGCTGTTGTCATACCTGAAAAGTTCATATTTGACCTCCTACATCGGCTAGTCGAAATTGAGATCAATGAAAATTCCTGACTAGAATGAGATTGGATATCGTAGCTTGTAATGGCGTCCGACAGAGTACGTATATAAAGGGACAGGTGCTAATGATTCCATATTTCGGGGTAATTTGGGCTAGGATGCCACGTGCCTCATGACCCATCTTCATACAATATAATGAAAGATCCATGAAGAATATTTATTCATTAATACATGAAAAGAGGAAAACAGGAGAAATCTACTGAATTAAACCCCGAAAGTGAAATGCTCATCCCCTTTATGTAATAAGCAGTAATCCATGAGAAATCATACGATGCAATGGACAGAAATGAAGCTATCACCTCAACATCGAGAAAAGGTGATAATGAATGTAAGAAATCCCAATAAAAAACGCCCGATAATCACACAAGTCGAGAATATGATAGAAAACCCATATGCAATGCTAAACACAACTCAGTACGATACCCATGCCTCGTCCAATAATTACCCGGAAGAAAAGATTAATCACTCTTCAACATACTCTCCACCAAGTCTCCCAATGGACCCCAAAAGTCCTTGCCGCTGGCTAAGGTATGCTCATCAATGAACAGCACATAATGCTTGAAACTTGTGTTGAGATGCGGCTCAAGACCTAGTTTGAGGATGACGTGGTAATGGTGGCAGTAGATGTGGGCATACACGCGGTAAAGACGTTTGAACATCTGGCGGATGAGTGCAGGAAATGTTTTGGGGAATGGGACGCCTACATAATACTAAAATTAATATATGCACTTTTATATAGCAGAGAAAAATGTCAAAGGTGGAACGTACCAGTTCGGCTGGGAAACATCTGCTCATTATCAATGTTGCCTTGAACCCAGGCCATTAAATGTTCAATATATTCTGGTGCGGACATTTTTGTTGGTCGTTTGTAGTTCTCCGAGTCTTGCCAGAGGTACTCAAATCTGTTTCAGTCAGATACTTCTGCTCAAAGTACAGACAGTAAAGCAGAGGTGTCCACTCACTCATCTGTAGCCTTCATCTCGGGACATGATTGCGGCGAGCAAAACTCCGTAATTGAGCCATAAAGCAAATTGATCTGATTGTAAAAGTCGACCACTGAAACAAGTCACCACCATCATGTCAGTCTACCATCAAGGATCTCCACGGCAGAAAGTATTACCATTAACGGCCAGCCACTCATTCACATCCTCCCCCTCAGGTAATTTGACAGCCTTCCGCAAACTCCCACTGCCTAAGGTCTCTTCTGCAAACTTGCGGAGTTGATAGCTCGTCGTCCCTCTTGATGAGCGAGGTTTGAACGGTCCCTTTGTGCGAGCATTACTAGGTGGTGTTAGTACGTGTAAGCTGCCCTTGAGACCACGAACGGCTGTTGATAAGTAGGATGGAGGTTCGATGGGAAGATAATGATGACGGGCTTTGATTGTTTTAGTTGAGTCGGAGTGGCTAAGAGTGCCAGTACCAGCGCTCAGTGTAGACATGGTAGATGTATCGTGTGTGCTTGGAGGTAAGATCTGAGTGTAGCAGAAAGAGGTACACACATTGTATTCAAGAAGGAAGCCATCTTTCCTATTCCTTCTGTTCTCTATCAATTTTTCTGCCGACGGCCAGTTCGGTTCGTGATTCGATATTGCTGGTATGGAATGTGTGACTTGCTAGCTCCAGGCTGCGGAATGCCATGACGCCGTCAGTTGATGTTTAAGTACATGATTTAGCGGCATACTCTAGACAATGACAACTCACGGACCATAGGATTTTCTCTCTCGGACAATGGCACGGGATAGTTTTAAGCCAGAGTAGTCATCCGAACGAAAAATGAACAATGACCTTTGACCTAGTATGATCGATCGCTGATGTCTTGCTTGCATCTAAAAGAAGGAGCTAATGATGCTTCCCCGCTCAGATCTCCAGCGCGGCACATCACGTTGCCCGGGTGACAGGTCATGTGACTTTTCTATATCTACATCTCCGAGAACGACCTACTTCTAGTGTACAAAGGAGTATATTGCTATATAGAATCCTTCTCATTTATGCCATCGCTAAATGGAGTACCCCTCACTCTCCTCAGCCAACGGTTCCCGAACCGTCTCCCCATAAACAGTCAACGGAATAGCAATCTCAAAAGACTCGCTGGGCAAATTCTCCAACGCAGAATAGACAGAGCCTCTCTCGTCTTGACCCAGCAATTCCAAGAGTCCGCTGCCGGACAGACTCCCGTCTGAATCATGCTTTGAATGTGTCGTGACAAACTCGAAGCGGAGATCCCAGTCTAGCTTTATACCAGTCGTTAATAATGTAGGCGTTGCCGAAATCGGGATTGCGGGACTAAAGACTACTCGTGTGGAGAATAGTGTGTTTTCGAAAAAGGAGGCGTATATACGTCGTGTGGCCCGATGGATGCTCGTATTGGATCGTAATGCTAGTGATGGATCAACCTTCTCCGAGGTCTCTAGAGTCGCCCTTAAAGAAAAGCATGGCAGAGTTGCATCTGTGAAATCAATCGTGGCAAGAATTGTTTCGCCTAATCGATGAGATGGACGGTTCAGGACAACGACAGCAATGCGCCGTCCATTCCGAGCAATGTCAAAGCGATTCGCGCTGCGGTTGGAACTGGTGACCTGGTTACTGCGAAGAATGGCAAATTCAATGGCCTCTTTACAAGACAGAAGCGGCCCCAGTCCCGAGCTTGAACGTCTCCTTTCGAGAGGCGTCGTCAATGGTGGTCCCGGCGTGCGAAGATGTTGCGATTCGTGCTTCTTCAAAATCTCATCCACGTAAGACAAGAATTCAGGAGCGGTAGCCCAAGTTGGTCCGCTGATACTTTTGTCCTTTTGAGGTGGACGTGGTATGCTGCTGACTTTCTGTACACGTGCTTCATCACGTAATAGGACGTATGGCTGCATAAGGTCGTGACCGAGAACATCTCCTTGATCTGGTGGAATTGTTAGTTCTGGTACTCAATTCATCATTTGAAACTCACCATTAACTCCACTAAAAACTCGAAAAGGTACGTTGATGCGATTGACTTGTTGGGATTCCTTAGGACCACTTGGACGCTGAGTACCAATCACAAGGTTGTAAGATATCTTTATAGCCTTCCCTTTGTGACTAGCTGGCAAACCTCTAGGCAATGTAAATGAAAACGAATATGACTTTTCCTCTCCAGGACCGAGTCGAAGGTCGACAAAAAGAAGGGACTGCGGCGTCGACAGTAAAGGGATCGAGTTTGAAGAAGCAACTCCTCGCATATCTCTCAAGCCCTCAAGATCACCGTTCGATAATAAACCGCTTATAGACTCCTCAATCGCATCCCATCCCAATGCGCCTAGAAAGCCACCACTTCGCCGCGGTTTCTCCTGACTGCGACCGCTAGTTTGCCCGCCAACAACACCTTTTCGTTTCACTTCCTCAAATGCAGATTGATTGATAAGCGATCCGTCAACGGTAAACGAAGCGCTGACCTGCGCATAACCCATCAATAGAGTCAGAGCATCATTTTTCCTGCCAATTGGCTCCAAACTCGAGAAATGCCGTCGATGTTTCGCCAAGCCGGCTTTTGATCGGTTTCCACCGTAATTTGTATATTCAGATTCGAGTGTGTCCGTTGAGTTGTTGCTCGCTGCGTAGAACTCGCCGCTGCTTCTATTACTCTCATTCACGCTAGAATTTGAAAGTATCCTTGTTGCAGGAGCCAAGTGTGCTTGTTGTGTAAGAGACGGGGGTTGTTTAGATAGCTGTCTTGCCGGTCCATCATTGCTTGTGCTTGGGGCCCCACCATTGGAAGATGCATTGCCGTCAGTCTCTGTCGCAGGGTCTAGGCTCGGAGGAAATTTGAAGTTGGTGGGAAAAGATGGAGGTCTGGAGCGAGGGCTTCTTAGTTGGCTGGAGTGGCCTGGACTAATTGGTATGGTTCGAGACTTTCTCTCGGTATCAAGTCGCGGGTTTAGAGCTGATTCTTTCGGGGGAATGGCTTTGGCCGGGTGTCTACCGTTCGCTGGGAAGAGTCAATAAGATTCATTTCCAAACTTTAAAAGCACAGTATCGTACCCAAAAACTCGTCCAACCCAGGCGACCGGCTAGGGGGGAAGTGTAAGCTAGCAGAGCGCCCGTGACCCCATGGTCGGGGGCGGGATGATTGTGTCTGGCCTGGTGACTTCTCTAACGAACTACCGTTGTCACTCTCTATCGACAGAATCGACACCGACCGTTTGTGTTTGTGTTCATTTGAGTGCCCATTGTTCAATGGTGACGGCGAATGAAGAGGAGGGAAGCTATAAGAACCCGTCAACGGAGAGCTCAAAGATGCAGAAACCCGATGTGAACCAAGCGTCGGCCGGCGAGGACTCGATGGAACCGAACGTCGGCTCCCATTGAAAAAGAACGTAGGTGAAGATTTAGGCGCGAAATAGCCATCATTGATATTTAAAGTGTTTAGAGGACGGGATACTCTGCGCTGATGTTGCTGACGTGGTGAGTTGATGGACTTTTCCTCGGCTCTCTCTGCAACATTTTTAAAGGTGATTGTACATTCGACGTCTTCGCCGGCAAAGACTGTCTGTTCTTTCCATTTCACGAACACTTGAAGGTCCGATGGCATGGCGACCATGGCAACTTAGTCTACCGCATGGGTGTATAACGACTCGGCTTGCGCACAGAAAAGGAGTAGCGGGTTTTATCTGAGTACGTCGGCTCTGTGGAATAACATTCTGTAAATAGCAGTTAGTTGTATCCGGGAACAATCAATGTGGATGTCGAATCAATAACAGGATGATAAGTATGGATTGTGGTTGCGCAAAGTTGAAGGACAGATGAAGGAGCAACACATGTCAATGATGGATCGCGGAGTGATCCATCTCCGCTTTTATTGGCCACGAACCGCCCTCGGTCTATCTACGTACCAACTTAATGAGCTGCTTCATATTTCACCTTGCTCTTTACATGTATGGATAGTGACGTCTACAGATAGTCCCATAGCGCTTTACCAATGATTAGAATATATATCAATGCTGAAATTTATGATAGACATACAGACATATATACATAATGGCCAGCGACAGCTGTCCAGTAAGGATTATTAACACCAATGGTCCAGTACGATTCATACTGCTCGAGTCAGGGTCTCCATCTGTACTTCACACTGGTCGGACATGCTAATGCGTCGTTTGAATGACTCTGCTGTATCCGTCGTAGGTCATAGTTATTCCACCGACGTCGATCCTTTTGGTGCAGGCTCACGGTCTGGCCTCGAAATATTCACTTGCTTTTCGTCTGATCGGGGCTGTTTCCGTACTGTCTGCCGTAAAGGCTTTTCTTCCAACCCAAGCCTACGGGCGTCAGAGACCTTTGCAGTCCATTCCCCTTTTGGTTTTCGTAACCCTAGCTCCTCCATATGGCTATAGATTTTCCTGTAGCGTTCTGCCCATCGTTCTTCACGTCTCTGCCTCTCTTCTTCCGACGGTTGCCATTTACTTTTCAGGATTCGTCGAATAGCTTCCGGAGAAACCTTGAATTGTTCTGCAAGGACCGGCGTAGTCCAAACATCGGGCTTCGTAGCATACAGATGACGGATTGTATCCAGGGAATCTGGTGGAAGCTTTTTGCGAGGGTGCCATCCTTCCTGAAACTTGTTCTGAAGTGCTTCTTTTTGCACTTGCCATTGTTCTCGTCTCCGTTTCTTCTCTGGGTTGAGCGGCGGTAAGGTGGACTTTTTGATACCGATTTTCTTTGCCTCTTTCGGCTTATTTTTTCTATCTTTTGATTTCTCCGATGTCGACTTTGAATTCTTTTTCGACTCACTCGAGCTTCCAGGTTTGGTCGAGGTCAATTCAGAGATAATGTCCTCGTCTGCAGTGTTGCGAGTGGTAACATCGGAAATGAATTCATTCACTCCGTTTAAATAAGCTTGTGATGTGGAAAAGGTCCTTTTCGATGACCAGCAATTCGAAGATACAACAGTCAAAGTCTGTTTTGAAAGTCGTGTAGAATTGTAGACATTAATTGCTGATTGTCCTGCATGTTGGCTAACAAGTTCCGTGCGATAGAGGCCCTGAATTACATTCAAAAGTGTCAATCTCCTGGATGCCACACAGACTGCCATTGTTGCAGATTGATGGATGATTGCAAACTTGAGAAATAATCACAGGGAGCAGCCTTGTGAGAAGGCAAGTGGGTCTTCAAAGCTCCACACCCAATCCGGTTAGCGCCATCTCTTCTCTTTTTCAGGGCATGACTTCACCATCGACCACATCTTCTCTTTTACGCTGTTCTTCGCTCTTTATTTGGTACTCTTAAGAGATTGATAATTCATGAAATATTTAAATAGTCCTGGGCGATCAATTTTGCGCTTGACTAATTGCAGGACTCGGAACATTATGATTCTAACTTAGGCCACGAATATATTCAGAACAGACAAACCATCAGGACACTTAAGACTGGGATGGATGACCAGCCGCAGACTCCAAAGCTACGTTGCGTCTTATTGCAGATGAATTACTTCACAATACTCGTTTCCGGGGCGATAATAATATCAGTTCTGAAATGCGTCCCTGGCAAAAGGAAGAAAGTGCGACCACCGTCAATGAGCGATACACTACTTAGAATATGACTTTGCTTTCAAACAACACCTAACAGGTATTGCGACAACACGCAAGGCCTAATATTCGTGATTTGCCGCGTTTTCTGTGTACAATAGAGACTTGCGCTGGAAGTATGTCGAGATTACCACCCGCGAGCAACCAGGAGAGGATTCACTAAGAGGCGCGAGCCATCATGCAATCTCTGCTCCAATATCGTTCTTACGCAAACAATTATTGAGCGAAAACCGCAAAAACCAGAGAAGGTCGCACCGGGCACTCGACAGCCAGAAACCGGCAGGACCAACCAGAAGCAATGATTAGAGAAACGACTCCTGGCGTCGTCAACATTCATCAATCACTAGAATTATCTACACACATAAATACACTACACCTGGACTTGCAACGGGCGGTGGATGTGGAGCGAGCCGACTGGCGTCTAGATCTGGTGATGAGGTATCAAGAACGACGACTCATCAAGTAGATGATAACACGCCTAGCATGACGGTGACGCGAGTCGATTTGCCAGAGGCGAAGGATAACCCGAAGATGGAAGTCTCTTCGTCTTTTCCTTTGAGCGAGAAGATGATCTCAACGATCCTCATAACTGGGGTTCATGTTACCGAGCGTTGGGTACGGCTTACATGACTTTCATGGCGACTTCAGTAGAATTTTGCTCTGTTGCCGATTCGTTTGCCGTCAAACAGGCATCGGCTGGACAATCCAAGGACAGGGAGGTCAGATTTTGTTGATTGGTATGTTTTTCCGGGCCCTCATATCGTGTTGAAACCTTGAAGATGAGATTGGACGTATTGATTGACTGACCGATATCAGGTGGGTACCTGATGGGTTTGGGTATCGGCTGTTTCTTCAATGCCCCGTTCTCCGAAATCATTGGTCGAAACCCGGTATGACGCTCGTCGCGCATTTTATACATGGACGAGGTTACAGATCTATTGTTCGGGCTTTTGCCGCGTTCTTTGGCTCTGGTGCTATATCAGACATATGGCCGCGGCTCGACCGTTCTTACATGTTCGCTATTTATGTCTACATTGTGTTTGCAGGCCCTCTTCTGGCGTCAATCATCGGGCCAATATTAATAGATCGTTATAGGGTCACAATTTTCCCAGTGCAAATAACATTCATCTCTTTCGTCTGGGGAATTGCTGTATTACTCATGCCGGAGACATATGTGCCAGTCATTTTATATTGGAAAGCACGGCAGTTTCGCAAACTCACGCGGCAGTTGAAATTCAAAGCACCCATTGAGCTCAAGAGGGTTAAATTCCGACGACGAATGAAGCACGATCTGAACAGGCCATTCCGTTTTCTCTACAAGGATAGAATGCTTACCTTGGTTGTGGCATACACCGGTCTCAACTATATTATCACCTATCAAATGTTCTCGGCCGTCCCATTGCTATACAGTACTGACTACAAGTTCGACTTGCTCATGTGGGTCTTGCTTTCCTACCCACCCTTGACGTTGCTCCAGCAGTCTTCCGGAATTATAGGATACTGAGAAGACGATTGATACTCGCTCTTGAAGGGGCACACGAAAGTCGAACCGGAAATTGGCCTATTTCTAGTTATAGCCGGTGCCCCAACGATTTCGATAGCATTGTTCTGGATGACATTCACGAGTGAACCCTCGCTTCCTTTCTGGGCTCCATTATTCTCAACGAGATCTCCTACGGCGTTGTTTGCGTCGCCATATCAGTCTTTCAATACGCTGTAGACAGCTTCGAGTCTTATGCTGCTAGTGCGCAAGCTGGTGTCCTTATGGTGCGATATGTTTCTGCAGGTGCCATATCTTTTTGTTCAGTCCCAATCCTCCAGCAACTTCATATAAAGGGCGCTTTGTGCCTGTTTGGGGGCTTGAGCGTTCTCATGGTCCCCATACCGTTTATGTTATATCGGTTTGGTTACAGGTTTCAAAAGCCGGACATTATCCAGGATTAGCCACTTACCTTGACTATTAGATGTATATCCCATATGCGCACATTCACGAAATCTATCAACGCGTCGATAACAAATAGTTCCATTAGTAAACATGTAAATTATTAACAGTCGAGATAGTACAACCTTTAGCATAATAACGTCCAGTACATAGCTAGCACATAGGCACCATTAATCCGACATGATGAACGTGTAATTTATTAGTAGCTCCAGGTTGTTTACCCAAGAAGTTTATATTCCAATGCCCAGGTGGATGAACTATTTGCTTGTGCTCCACCTTGCCAGGATGAGATACATAGCCAGCTAGCCCTAGTCCGTCCGAATCCGGATATCCTAACAATTTCCCATTTAGGTAGTCTGACTTCTTTACGCTGAAATTGTACTGTAAACGTACATACTACATGAGCAAATGGAATGTTAACAAGAATTATCGGTCATGCTTTACATTTTCAATACATGAATCCCTCAGTTAGTTAACCCTTAACCACCCGCCAAAGTGTCTATCGAAGTTCCCTTTCTCGCCGCGAAGACCTCCATCGCCACAATTTTTGTAGTGCTCAGATGGACCGAATCTGCAACCAGACTTGCTGTTACAGAACCCGATATCGTTCCTGCCGTGGATGTTAATGTTGATTCTGCAGCTGTCAGTGCCGATGAACTCTTGTAAGAAGCAGTTCTTACTGTTCCAGACCCGGACATAGCAACAACCTCATAATTATAATTGCAAACCCCTGACGTCTCAGCCACCACATCCTTGGTACCAGTGGCAGCAAGAATAGTGGTCTTAGTACCATTTGAACCCGTCTCGATAACTTCAACGTATTGAGTATCTGCGCGCCCAGCTTCAAGGCCTGTAACACTGCCGCTGTTGAGGCCAGTGACACCAGCAGCTGTTCCGATCAATTTGCCATCGCTATGCACATTGATGGTATACTTATTGCCCGATTCCGGAAGGATGATCGCGTAGTTGGTAGTATCCTGTGCGTTCTCATGTGACCTTGGTAGTCCTATAAAATCATGCTTACACGACGTAGTCGTCAACAGTGTTCGGTACCATATAACGCCAACACTTGATGAAGTAGTTATCTCACTGATATCCGAAGCACCCTTCTTATAGGCAGTGATAAATGGTAAGATAACCTGTTGCCAGCCCGTATGATCAAACCCACCGGCATAAGTGGCAATATTGGTGTTGCCGAGCGATTCATTCCAGAAATTTCCTATGTAATGACCCTCGCCGGGATCGTTCCAGGTGATGACTTCGACGAGGTCTGATTTTAAGGTGAGAATTTGAGCCATGCGGGTGTATAAGTTGGATTCACCCCTGCGGTACTAATTGTCGTTGGAGTCGAGATGTTTGAATTGAAACGTTGATAGTGCTTTGTTCCCATAATTAAATCATTTTCCCAGAGGAAGCGGTGTAGGAAAACTTACACATCATATAGACCTTGTTAACGTCGTGTGCAGCAGCGATCATAGCGCTGTCCACCTTGTCACTGACATTGGCAAATCCAGCATCCTCATATGGCCAAGCAGACTCCCATGAGAACGCACCATCAACAACAGTGAAGGTATGAAAGAATTTGTTCGGATATCCTTTTGCATCATCAAAATCCGGCACAAAAAAACACATCAATACCCACATCACTCAAAGCGTCCTTGAACGTGCTCTGCCATTCAAAGTTCGGATCCGAGGACCCAAATGTAAGTCGACCTCCATCAAACGTGCTCACAAAGGGCTTATTGTCATATAGATAGTAATTATCGTGACCCACATATTTCTTGAGAATAGGCAAAAATTGAGACGGGTTCGTGAAATGACCCATGTCGAAGCTGAAGAAGAGTTTGAAGTCTGTCCCTTTTGCAGCAGTGAAGAGTTCACTGATGGCATCGGTGGACCAGCTTTCGACACTCATGAAATTGAGCGCGAAGGCGTCGAAGCCGACGTTGATGGCACCTTGGATGTCGGTATTTGCGTGGTGTTGGGTGATACCTCCAACCTGTATGTCGGTGGTCAGATTAGTTGTCATCCGTATTACTTCTTGTTGACAGGGGAGACTCACCATGTAATGGGCGAATACTGCTTTCGCTGCTGCCTGACGAGCAAAAGCAGCCCTCAGCAGTATAGCATTTGAGATCTTCATTGAGCGTAGCTACCTTACAAGTAAGTATAACAGCAGCAAGCTAGCTTCCGGCGTTGCAGTTTCTCTGGGCACCCAGAGATTGGAACAAGTGATCTCTATCTATCCGGCAATTCAAGTCAACTTAAACACCCGACAATGAATTTAATTGCCATAGATGGGACGATCCGATGCTGACGCATATTCGGAAGCCCTACAAAGATTAAGTACCGAGTAGTCAACCGACGGTTTCAAGAAAATCTCCATTTCCAAGTTCCACCATGGTCCTTAAAGAGCCTCCCATAGCCAGTTTCAGTTGGTTTAATCTCTGTTCGTTACATACAATGAGCCTTCAAGGTTCGTATACTTCAAAAAAGATTAGGCGGTCCACTCTTGAAACATGAAACAGACCATGAGGGGCAAAGACAATTTAGGGCTGCAACGTGCCATTTAATATGTACGAAGGAGGCTCTTGAATATAAAGATCCACTATATTCCCTGTACGAGATTCATCTGGTGGGAAAAGTGATTTTTTCGCAATGGTAAATGGATAGTTCCAGGACTCATGACGGTGCCCCCCCAAGGTCAAAAGATATGATGTCTGAATAAAGTGTTAATATCGGGACATCTTAGTTTGAGCTCGAGTGAATGCCACCGGCAGCTTTGTCCGGAGGTTATACCAAGACCGAAGCTAGGTGTAGACATTTCATGAGCGTGAGGCCTTACATCTTTTGAGTCCAGCCAGGGGATCCTGTTACAAAGCGACACCTTGCTAATCCGGAACCGAATTAGTCAAATGATGCGTGTGCAGGATAACGGATTGCCGTATTCTTAACGTATTCGTTCGAGTGATGCATTTTGTCAATTGTCGATGGAGATAGAGAGCGGTACGGCTTTATGCCGGTTGAACTCCTCAGCTCACTCTCCGAGATTGTTATAGGAATGTATTTCGACTATGCATGCTAGGTCCAGTTGCCAACGGCAAAACAACAGGAGACGTAAGGCATTATTATGTAGGTCGGAGCTGCGAGCTGCAGGTGTTGAGGAATGTTTATGCTGATTTACTGAGCATATGCCACTTTCTTGATTAGGATCATCCTAATATGCTGTTCATAAATTCACCGTGTCGAGATTATGCAGCTGTCGGCAGTCGTGAATGGCAATGATAATGCACGTCTTACTTCCCTTGCTGCTGTTCATCTGCTCCTATGCCGGCTGATTACTAGGGAGATCATTGGCCAGCTCCTCCCTCGATTCCGCTGAGTAAGTACCGCAAATGTAGACGCAATTGACTGGTGACTCCTCAATAGATGCCGAGTATGTTCGAAGTTGTTGAGATAAGAAGCTTTGATGATGACGATGATGAAAGGAGACTCGATCGGGAAAATAATGATACTATTTACTAATGCACGGGATCTGCAATTTCAGCCAATAGGAATCCGAGAATAGAATTTAAGGCTTACCACTAGTCCCAGACAGGAAAGGTACCAACAAATGTTCGTGCCAGATCCGTCAGGCCGCCAACAGCTCCCCTGCGTTGCTCCCTTCCTTCACTCCACACTCAGCATTGAACATCCTCAACAACTTATCTGATCATTCATCCTGACCGCCGTCTCTCTCTCTTTCTCATATATTCTTGTCTCTCATTAATATCGCGCTGATAATCCCATTTCTACTCTCAGATTCATATCACTTATTCTCGGTTTACTTCAGAGCTCCGCGTCTTTTTCCCCTCACAACAAACAACTTTCGTGAGCTCATCCCTCCGACAACGCCCTTTCAACAATCATACGCGCAACTGCAGGAATTTTTAAGGCTTCATAAGAGCGTATAAACATCCACCAAGTTCAGACCAATGGTGTAACAAATGCCTCTGTTGGAGAGTATCACGCTGCTCGACCTGTCCCGGCCATCGACATAGGCAGGAGATCTCACTCGTCGATGTGATGGCCAGTACCCCGTGGAATACAAAGAGCAAACTACCAGGGCCCGGGACATCTCTCAAGATCACGCCCTCCAATTCACCCATTCTAAGACCCGGTACACGATCGCCCAATAAACCCTCACCGCATCAGTCCGTTTTATCCTTACAGACGGTAATCGGAACAACTACCGCTACACCCAATGGCTTTTCTTCGCATGAACCAAGCAGATCATTTGCTCTGTGCGTAGGGTCCGCCGCAATATTAGCGGATATTGACAGAGATGGGACTGTCAATCAACGCTTTTTTCGCGCACGCCCCACCGCAACTCCCGTGAACCCTGTCGTCTCTTTCTACAATCAGCCTGCGAGTCCGACAACACCAGACAATCGCATTCGCTCTGTTACAGGCAGGGTAGCAAATAGCGGGGGAATCTCTCCTGCCGGAGATTGGGCGGACTCAAGTGGTTCGCGCACATGGACATCGCGCGAGAGAATCAAGGCCGTTACAAGCGTCGCAATCAGCCCTAATGGAAGGTTTCTAGCTGTTGGAGAGGTAAGCTTGACTACCCTGATGACATCTTGGCCAATATTAACTATCATGGCAGACTGGCTATAATCCTCGTGTTTTGATCTTCTCCACAGCCGCCGATGCACCTCGCGACATTCCTCTTACAGCCTTGACTGAGCACACTTTTGGCGTGCGCAGTCTCGCATTTAGCTCCAACTCGCAATACTTAGCCACATTAGGAGACATGAATGATGGTTTTCTGTTTGTTTGGCAAATTAATCTGCGGACGGGGGCCGCGAGACTTCATTCGACAAACAAATGCACGTCTTTTATTCGTGACATGTGCTGGATGGGTCAGACACTGATAACGTATGTATACCGCCTATACGCAATTTGAGCCGAGCTAACATGGATTATTAGTGCTGGTGTACGACATGTCAAAGTTTGGCGGCTTGAATCCCGACCTGGATCCCCTTCGAAATTACGCCCTAACAACGAGAACCTTTCGAGCTCTTTCTCCGGGAACCCGAAAGCTTTGTCCGGACGAAATTGCCTCTTAGGCTCGTTAGGAGAGCACACCTTTACTTGCATAGCTAGCGTGTCTGATCGCGAAGCAATTCTCTGTACAGACAGCGGCGCGATCTGTCTGCTCGACGACAGTGAGGGTAACCAGAAGCTAACAGTCGTCAAACATGTGCCTTTCGGTCTTACATCAGTTACGGTTGCTCCCGAATCTGGGGATATCTGGCTCGGTGGCCGAGGAAGGAGGTCTCTGAAACTGAGAATGGAAGACGTACGAGAATTAACGAAGCTCAGGTCGCCATCTCCCACCTCTTCTGTTGACAGTATCAATTCGAAAGGCAAAGTTCCGACTTTTATATCGATTGCCTATCTGGCAACCCATATTGTTACCGTTGATTCTTCCAGAGCCATTCATGTCTGTCCGGTTAATGTATTCGGGAATGGGGACGACGGAGGTGCCCTGCGGGATAGCCTGGTACCGGCTCATCGAGACCAGGTGCTAGGTGTCAGGTCACTAGTAACTCCAAATGTCTACAAGGCGGATTTTTACACATGGTCATGTGAAGGTTCGGTTAATTTCTGGGACATGCAGGGTAGATGTCGAGCTTCAAAGAAGGTCGAACTTGAACAACTGGCCTCGGGAGAAGATGAGGTTGCCAATGAGCTCAAAGTTCTACGAGTCACTGAAGATGCAAACACCTTTGTGTCGGGTGATCGATATGGCGTGCTGCGGTAAGTCGAAGAATTAAACATTGAATCGTTATGTCGAATACTAACTTAAAACAGAGTCCTGTCTGCGGAGCCATGGAAGTGTGTCAATGAAGTGCGAGCTCACGGGACAGAGATTACCGACATCGTCGTCAATTCCGCGTCTGGACTATGTTTAATTGCTAGCTCTGGGCGTGACCGCATGGTGCAGCTTTTCAAGAAGACCGAGAAAAGCTTCGAACTGATTCAGACAATGGACGATCACGTGGGAGCTGTTGGACAATTACTCTTCATGAATGACGGAGAACGACTGCTCTCCTGTTCTGCAGATCGCACAGTGATCGTCCGTGAAAAGGCTTCCCGAGATAGTGATACGACCACGGTAATAGCATTTCTCATGTCCAAGGTTATCACGCTTAAGGTATCACCACTATCGATGACAATCGCCCCTGATGACCCGGATACTCTCGTTCTGTCGACACTTGACCGCCACATACAACGTTTTGATGTAGCCTCTGGTCGGCATATCCATTCATTTAAAGCTACTGATTTCGAAACCACCGACGCTGTCGTCATGAGCTCCTTAACTGTAGCTACTGAAATTCCTGGGCAAAGCCCTCGCATCCTCGTGGGGGTTTCTACCACTGATAAGTCTATCAGAGTCTACGACTTTGAACGAGATGCATTGTTGACTAAGGAGTTTGGTCATTCTGAAGGTGTTAGTGATGTTATCTTGCTAGAGCGGAAGAAAAATGATAGCACTCATGAAGTCGGCCGGATTCTTGTTAGCACTGGCTTAGATGGAGTGGTCATGATTTGGGACCTGTCGATTCAGCAACTACAGGCTCAGGAATTATCACAAAGCAATATTCGAGACGAAGAGGAGACCCCATCAAAGGAGCTCGTTGCTGCGAGACCTCCCCTTCGACGGATACTCTCCAGGTCAGAGCTCGCTGGATTTCGCCAGGATGCTCTTATGTCAACACCCACACCAACGCGTGAACAATCTCCACCTCGCATACGCAAGAAAACATCCCGCTATACACTTACCCCGACCATGCCCAGAACCATAGGGCGTAACGACTCACCACCACCTTTACCCAACATCCGCCGCTCTCCTGTCCCTGTCCTCGACCCTCGAAGATCCCCGTCTCCACCCAGTCCCAAAACCAAACTCGTCAACGGCGTAAATCGCCGCTCAAGTATAAACAACCTACGTACCTCATCCATTGATTTCCGTTCATCAACACGCACCAAGAATTCCACACCCAGTGAGTTCGGAAGCCTCAATATGTCCACGGAGCAGGTCTGCCGGACATTACGAGCCTATCGCAAAAAGCTACATAGCTCAACCGACTACCCTCGAGGAGCAAAAGAGCTTGATCGAGAATTAAACCTCACCATCCACGCCCTAACCGAACGCGCAGCGCGACATAACAGCCCCAGTCCCGATACGGAGGTCGATAGCAGCGAGAAAGAGAACAACAACAAAGATAATAATAACCATACTGGCAGTAATGGTATCGTACTTCGCCATAAACACAGTGCCAAAAAGCAATCATCATCTTCTTCATCTTCGTCCTCGGCTACTGTAACTCTAGTGCCGAACGCGAAATTAACTAAAGTCGCAAGACGAATGCCGTCTACACCGTTAATGTCAACGAAATCGAGGACGAGGCAGGTTTCGAGGAGTCGGTCTCTGGATGCTGATGGCGAGGGGTGATTTACTTTCTCCTCTTTCACGTCTTCATAACTTAATGAATTTTTTCTACTCCATGGCTGCAAATGGGACTAAGGAGGGGCTTTTGGCTAGACAGGATGGTTAGTCTTTTTACGGGGGCTCGGCTTAATTGCTTTTCATATCATGGATCGATTTTCATTTTGAACATTTGAGAACATTTCATGGCGTTTTTCTTTTTTCATTGTCTGGTTCATGGTGTGGTCTTCCTCATTCTTCTTTCTTTTTTATTTTCATTGATTACCTTGACCTCTCTGTGTTCTTCAGGGGTCCCCCTATCCTTATTTCATACTAACAATAATTCAGAAGATACCCAGCCCCCTTGCAAAGAAAGTTTCTAGATGAAACATGTCGAGGCAAATTTGATTTGATTTTCATCTCGCTCAGTAAGAGGGTTACTCCGAATCCATACTGTATGTAAGCCACTTCTCGTACTTGATCTGTAATTCCAGCGTCAAGTGTCCACAGTCATCTCTCATCGATCTCGATAAATCAATGGCCTTGCGTACCCTGCGCTGATCGTCAGGTTGGTTATTACTCAAGTATAGGTCGACGGCGAAGTTGAATGCCTTTGTGCTGAGATACTCTATTTCTTCGTCTGGATAGTTATCTCCCGTGAATATCATGTCCTGTGCAGTAGTTTGGGCTTGATCGAGGATTGCCTCACAAAGATGTATGTCGCTTCGACGGTGGTGCACACATAGGTCGAAAATACACCTGATGAAACTGGGATGATTATTGTTTATGCCTTTTGCGGAATCACATAGTTCCTTTTTTAAGAATTAGCTTCGTTGATCCCAAGCAACTGGGTAGACTTACTTGAAGAATGCGAATGACATAATCATTAGGCATTTTCTCCGACGTTAATATCATGTCCGCCATTATTGAGCGAGTATTGTCACTGTCAATTGCAGACACGGCTCTGATGAATTCTCCGGCGTCAAGCCATTGCTCGAGATACAGAACAGCTTCTAGGTTGAAACACATTATCTCGTCATATCTCTCAGTGAGAGTAGGGGAAATGTTCCATTCTCGCGAGATACTTGATCCCACAACATTCTGAGTATCCGCGTATCGATTCGTTACCTCGGTGTAGAATGACTTCTTTAAGATTCAGGTCAGCACGTTGTTCATTCTTGCAAAACCTACTAAATAGTTACCTTATTGGTAGTATTTATGTTCTCTTCGGGCCAGATTTGTGTATACGAGCATTCCGAAAAGGTTGCATGAGATTCGAAGGCGGCTAATTTCACGTTTGACATCGGTCCCGACATCTTTGGGGTACATATCGATGAGCTGGCTCAATACGTTAGCCAGGCCCTGGATACTGAAAATATCTGGCATCCTGCTTCAGTTAAACCAGAAACTAGGCGTGAAGCTTACCCCGAGACAAGTGTTCAGGATCAGTAGGAGATGGCTTGCATCCCAATCTCTTGATGCCTCCAGAAGCAGCATATAAGTACAACGAACGAACCAGTCATGCTCATTAGGATCAAAGTCTCCCTGGTCAAGTGCGCGGCTCCCTGCCAACATATTAATATTCTAGACATACGTAGAGCAGATAATTACTCACCCCATGTCAAGACTTCGTACATCTGCGTCTTTTGAGCTTCTGCATCAACAGGGTCCTCCCTTAGTTCGTAGACTATCAGTCTGATCAAAGCCCTAGACACGAATTAGATATGCAGGATACTATACTTCTGGGCTTTTAGTCTGGTCAAACTAGGTGATACCCCTTTACATGTGTACAATAAACATAGAGGTCCCGGCGTATACTTAGCGACAACGCATTATCAACTTACCGATGCAGGTCAAGATTGACGGGCTTCTTCAGCACAATCGGATACTTCTCAATCAGTTCATACACACTTCGAAGTGCGTATCGTCTAACTTGAGAGCATACTGTTACTGCTGCAGCCACGCTAGCTAAGGCGTAGCGATGCTCTCCGTTTTCTAACTCGATAAGTGATGCCAGGAGGTTCGCGGCTGAAGCCCATTAGTTTCACATACGTGCAAGGAACGTAGCCATACATACCGGTATCAATATCTGAATTTCTAAGTGCCACTTGGTACACGATGTGAATTGTCGTTGGGTCTTCTTTCTCCTGCTTCGAGAGAACCGCCCAACTCGACTTGACTTCAGCATAGTCTCCAATTTGAAAGGAACAGTCCATCAACTTTCTATGGAAGTATCAGTAACCGTTCTTGCTAGGGGGTGCATTGTCTTACCGCCGTATTGGATTTATTCGCAGGAGCGGCTTGCTGGAAGAGGTTATTTTGACAAAAGCGACACCACTCTTGGGCTTCGAGGTACTCGCAGCTTGACCAAGCGGACTCAACGTACTTCCATACGATCTGTATGCATCATCAGCATATTCAATCAATGAATGAAAAGTCGACTCTGCTGCTGGGTTCACACAATCAAGGCTACGTTGCTCGCTGCAGTGCTAAGGGGCTTTACTAGAATCTCATTCAAAGCGCTTGGAAGGTCGGTCAAAAAGTGCAGTAATTCAGAATGTTTCCATGGCGGCGAAGGGACTAGACGTAACAAAGCGACGAAATTCTCTTGTAGCCAATGTTCGTCTTGAGTGAATACATTTATATGTCGGTAAAGCAGCCACAGGGTCATCATCGCCTTGTCAGGACTAATCAATCAGTATTGTGACCAATAATGGTTGGAACCAGACCTACTCTTGGGCTCGTAGTTTGAATATATACTGCAGACATCTTTTCGAATCAGCTATTCACTTCTTAGAGTTGTTCGAGCTTAGCTTGAAATTCTTACCTTGGTAGAAGGCATCCTTGTCGAAATCTTCTCGTCTAGACATCACTTCAAGCTGCAGGAAAAGACCTAATGGACCTTCCAGATCCTACAAGATACACAAACAGGTCAGCACATGCCAGTATTCCCAGTTTTCCTGACTCACCTGCTCAATCGTCTGTAGAAGTTCACTTCTTAAACTATTAAATCTTCCCGACATATCCTCCATGTCCGCAGTTGCTTCGTTCGTTAGTAAGTCGTCAACACCATATCTGGAACTACTTACAGAGCGCATAAAAGAATATCGAGACCATCTTCTTATACTCAAGCACATCGGGGTGAAACTGCTTCAAGATGCTAAATGTCTCGAACAATTTCGGCATCAATGATTCTGCCAGTCCTCTCCAGCCATTCTTGACTGCCAGACGAAACGCAAATAGACACATGCTATCGTACTGCTCTCGTGAAACTGGGCTCTTGGTAATTTCTTGCGGTAAAGGTTTGAAGCGTATTTCGAATTCTTTAATGTCTCCTTTCTTCAGTGCCTGCAGAAGTCAATAGCCTTGAACCCTCAGAGCATCGATTAGTCTTACCATCCAAGCACATAGAAAATGATATTTCACTACACAATCCTGTATATCCGGATCCGCCAGTTCATCAAAGTCAACGGAGTTGGTTCTGAGTGCAGCTCGTTGGAGAAGATGAGTAGTTTCCACGAGCATGTTCGAACCTGTAAGAATCAGGTCTATATCCAGGGGTCACCATCTAAGGGCTCAAGGGGAATACCTAGACAAATCTCGGCACTTCTGATCAACACCTGGAATAACTTCCACGGCCCTAGGAGAGCATGAGCATCGTCGCTTTCAACAATCTAGCAATCTCATACCAAACTTCCCACCCCCCTCTTCGGAATAGCAGCATTCCAACATGCGACACACAAGCAAAGGAACTATCAAATTGTCAATCAAAACCTCTACCTTGAGCCCAAGTCCTTGCGAATGGCATACCCTTCACAATCTCACTCCCAACGTCACCCCGTCCCCCCTCAATCCTTCTCAAAAACCTCATAAACGCATTCCACAACCCCGGGGCAGAATTATCCAACATCTTCAACGAACCATCCGAAAACCTCGTGACCGATATACCTGAGAGGATCTGTACAGTACTCGCTAATGTCTCAGATATATCAGCTTCTTGTATCCAGGCTGAGAATTGAGTAGATGAGATGGTTTCGTCTTCCATTTGGGACATTATATCTGCTGTGAATGCTAGCGATAGGAATGAAAGTTAGATTCGAGTCGATGTTGTCTAGGGAGTAGATTGTGGAGGACTAACAGCATATTGAGATTGCTTTCTCGTCCTGGTGGGTTTCGTCGGAGGAATCCATGGCTCGGATTATGAAAATTGTCGTTGAGATGGGTAGGAAGTCGTGTATTCCCGTTGAGATTCAAGCAATGATGAAGGAAGGATGATAAATTGTCAAGGTGGGAAGTTTTAAGTGGAAGGTGCCAGAGGTGGAAGATACTATACATAGGGCAGGGAAGGAAGTGACGAGGTCGCTCCTTACTTTTGGACACAGATACTCGTCGATACATATGTAATTAAAGAAATTAAATGTATATTCCCAGTGTATCTGATAATTCATTCCCATATACAACCCATCAACACCATAACAAAATGGTATCGAACCCCCCTTCTAAACGCCATATACAAAGAAGAATAATAGGCCGAGAATCAAGCAAAAAGACAGACATCATACATTCAACTCAACATCTAACGAGGACGCCTCTCGGAAGGAAGGAAATTACCAACAATAAGCGCCGGACTATTGATATCCATTAGCAACCATCAACCAGTGAATAAGGGGAAACGTACATGGCATTCGGATCTCGACGAATAGTAAACGAAAAACAGCACGGGATCCCTTTAGCTGAATCGTCATCATCGGGACTCTTGAGCGTACAGCTGGTAAGCATGGCCTTTTGAGAGCCGTCGAAGGCGATTGCGCCGAACTTTTCCCAATAACTGACGAGTTGGTCTTCTGTGATGATTTGATGGAGAGCTAGTTTTCCCTGTGAGAGCCAAACATGTCAGCGTGAAAATACTCCGGTGATTTAGGGAGGGGGTTGAACGAACATCTCTCAGACTTTCAATGGGCACATTAATCAACTCCGCCATCTCCTTATTACCCCGAAAAATCTCCCCGGTCCTTCGCCAACAACAAGCCGGAATCGCCATACTAGCAAAGACGCGATCGTACTCCATCAAACTCCGTTCAAACCACATTTCAGAAAAAACAAGTTCAATATCGGTCAGACTTTGCATTCGTTCACGGAATTTCGGGCGGAATTTATCGAGCTGTCGAAGGATCTTGTGCCGTGATGCGGGTTTCATGTGTGATTCCATGTATTGATTTAGTCTTGCGTAGCCCTTGACGTAGTTGAATGGTCTGAGCATGCCGGCTTCGTATTTGGCTTTGAGAAGCTTGTTCATTCGTTCTTCTGGGGGATCCATTCCGGAGGGGTCTGCGGCCGTCATGTAATAGTTCTCGCGAGCCTTGTCTGTAGATACGCTGGAAGTAGGTTGTTGAATTTGTGTGTTTGTTGCTTGCTGTGGCGCCAACTGTGCCAACTGTTGTTGTTGTTGTTGTTGCTGCGCAAATGACGCAGCATTGGGATTGATATTAGTGCTCATATTAATCAAAGAAGAGTCCGAAAACATCCCCTGTAACTCTTCATTGCCATACATCCCATTATCGTCCAATAGACTGTTGTTGAGGAAATCACCAAGCAGGTTATATTCATTGGTGACTTCGGGCGCGTTGAACATATACGACGGATGGAATGTATGCATGTCCTGAAACCCATTACTCTGTCCATTCAATCCCCAGTCGCCGCTTCCTGCTCCGCCGGCATTGTAACCAAACACTAGACGAGAATCGGAATAAGCTCAAATCAATCAATCAGATTTATAGTTGGGTCAGATCTTACTGTGCTGATTATTTCTATCCAACCCCTGTCCAGCCGCAGGTTGAATTGTAGCAGATTGGACGGACTGCGACGGGTCAATAGTCGACGGACGAATACTCAACGATGAATCCGATAACATCGACTGATTTCCTGCATCAGTCGCCAGATTATGCGAACTCGCAAACTCATTCCCATTGCCAATCGCAGCTGCACCGTCTTCAGGTTCGGTGCGATTATTCTTCTTGGCGGGCTCGCGCGGCTCGTCATGGCACAAATGGCCAATGTTGCGTTTGATGCATCGGGTACATGGTCGCTCCTACAAATTGCGAGATCAGTTGATATTCACCGAGTTAATAGACGCAAACGTACCGAGTCACATGTCATATGCTATTCAAATAAGAATAGTTAGACTTTCTTCCAGATTAACTCAGCTGCATACCCAACTTACCGACCGTCTACAATACACACACGCTATACCAAAGATAACATAATCAGCATTTCTTCTAGTCTCTCTCCTCTCCATCGTTACACAGACCAGAAGGATCCTGCGCAACCACATGGAGACATACCATGATTAACTTTGCGACGCTTCTTCGGCGACGCATGCGCTTGGCCTGCAGCTGCATCAGCCTTGGCAGGTTGTTGTTGTTGTTGTTGTTCAGTCGAACCCTTGCCAGTAGAATTCACATTTTGTATCGACGACGACGACGACGCGTTATCTGTATTAATTTTTGGTTTGATATCCTCGACCAACGCGCTGGTCTTGGAGTCTGAATCGGCGGTCGCGATGTTTTCCGGCATGGTAGAAAATGCGGGGGTGTGGGCGTTTATCAGAATAAGGAATGCGAATTGGGCAGGTTAATAAATGGCGATTAGCTGTGGTACCAGTAATAACGCAGTAGGTATCGCTGCAACAATAAGCAGATTCACAGCAAAGTAGCAATAGCATAAGGTGCAATACAACAAGCAAGAGAAGTCAGGATTTGCGCAGGTGAAGTTTAGAGAATGGATCGAAGAGAAGGAAATGTGGAGTCGTGAAGTTTGACTTTTTGGTCCATTGTTCGGTTGGCCGGCTACCAGAGTCATATTCTTCGTATTTACTATTTAGAGCTACTCTTCGTATCTGATCCCGAGTCAGCATTCATATGACTGCACATGCCTATGTACATGATTGACTGTCTGCTGCTATACTAATTATTTTGGCGATCGCATCGGCGGAAGGGAAGTTTGTAGCTTCGTCATAGCCCCAAACTCAAATTACCCTCCGCGGAGAGTTTGATGCCATAGACCGGCGGTATAGACATTTTCTCTCTTGAATATGACCACAGTCGCTACCGCTTCAATGCTATATACATTATGTTTTGGTAGGCGTTTGCGCGACGACTTTGGGTTGCTGCTTCTGGTGAGCGCAATCTAACTAGGATGTTGCCCTATCAATGATCAAGTTGTCGCTTGCCGACATTGGTAGGCGAAACAGTATAGACGGTGTGTATTCCATTCAGTCACCGGTTCGTGAAGATATATCCCTTTGCAAGAAGAGCCCTCACTCAATCCGGAAGAGGCAAAAAATCCAAAGCCGCCTGTGCCTCGGCAATAGCCTCTCGCAATGCAGCAAAGGGCGCGACATTATTTTGCATCGAGTTGAGATGTCCATTTAGTTGCGTGACTATCGACTGAATCTCGCGATCTGGTTCCATCTGTATTTTTTTAATCAGTTGACTGTCAAGCTAGAGATAGACAAAAGGAAAGGCGGGTACCTCGCATAGCGTAGCCTGATCCTTGGAACGATCAATAATCACAAACGGCGCGGACGATACTGTTTCGCTCGTAGAGTTCTGTACATCAATATGTCGTAGAACAGGGTGTTCCTAGCATCACTCATTAACGTCTCATCGGTACCAATTCCTGTAGAGGTGAAGGAGCATACATTCTTCATCTGCCGTCGCCGTTCAATCTCCGCCTTTTTCGCATTCTTCTCCATTTCTTCGACGTATTTCAGCTCCTTGGCCAAAAGGGCTTCTTCGCGCTCGATTTCCATTTTCAATAGATCGACTGTGTTTCTGGTCGTCGATAATTGAGTCTCCAACACACGCTGTGAAATATTAGCTTCCAGTTACTGATAATCGCGTCCGGAATAAGAACGTACATGCTCATTCAGCACAGACTCATGATCAAAAACAGCATCTTTCGTAAGCGGTGGGAAGGGCATGCGCGGTAATCGACGTTCCAATCTATTCGCGAAATAAACACCTCGTCAGATCGCATCATTCCGTAGGTCGATAGGACGAAAAGAAAAAAAAAACACACGTCTTCACAACCCCTCCTAGCGCTACCTGCGCTTCAATCCTCTTCCTCTCATCACGTTGTCGCACAATAACAGGCCTCTCCAACGATCTAAACAGTTCCCGAACTTTCCCCTGTGCTGGTTCTGGAAGAGAAGACCATTTCGATTTGATGGTGTGTTTTGAGACGTTTTTCACTTGTGGTTTGAGCCAGGCGAATCGTTTGGATTCTCGAAGAGAGGTGGTTGTGTCGTGGTCGTCAGTATCTTCGGGGTTAGTGGTGCGTTTTCGTTTTGTTGTTGCCATTGTTTTGGTGTTAGACGCGTGTGGATTTGGTATACACACGAAAATAATTGAAATCAATGGATATGAATTCGCAATCAATGGGATATTATTATGATAACGGTGTCTTTCGAATTCGATCTAAAGTTCTGTCTTTGAACCTTGCTGGAAGCTGATTGTTGATGAAGCTGTTGATGTTAGACTAATCTCGATCCCCACCCGGGAGCTCTTGTGTTAAGTGGGTCCAGCTAATCAGATGCAGATCTATCTCCCCTCTGATATAGACTCATCCTACAAAGTAAATAAGAAGTTATAAACGTTCAATTTATTTGCAATACTTGGCATCTCGATAGTACATTACACATCATTCGTTATGTACGCGCAATAACACAACAATCGAATATTCACAGGCATCCGCACAAATTATGTCCTTGTATGCAAACGCAGATGGCAAATATCTACACTCCATCTGTGTAGATATAATCCATCCTAACTGTAGAATCCTGAACTACAGAGGAAACTCCTGGAGGCTTTTGAGGGTATCGTAGAACAAAAGAAGAAAGAGATCCGGCTCGCAATGGGCGAAGTCCTAGATCGCAGCGGTGAGTTTGGTTTGTGGATAACCATGTGACAACCGGTATCCAAGGAAGAAAGAGTGGCGCGAAGAGCAAGATATAAATCACCGGGGTATCATGAAGCCGTTAACTGCTTTAAGCTGTGACAGCTGTTGACGCAGGATGTTGTTGCCATTCAAGACTTCTTCAAGATAATCCGCAGCCTGGATGAGCATGGCGCTCTTGCTGAAACCACCACCCCGAAGTTCAGGGACTAATGCACATAGCTCGTCGAACCCTTGCTTGATCAAGTTACGACGTTTCTGCTCTGAAAGAATGTGATTCGTGCGCTTCTGCTCCTCTGTAAGGTTTTCCCTCGTTTTGCTGCCCTGCTGAGCCTTAGGTCGTTTCGAAGCGTTCTCGCTTGAGCCGCGTCTAGCTTTACCTCCGGATACACCCCTCGCCTTTTTCAACCTAGGAGGTGTGCCATTATCGTCGGAATCTTCCTCCTGTATTTTGATCTTGGAGCGTTTTCTAGGCCGTGGACTGCTCTCGCCCTCGTCATGATTCACTGACTCGGAAGGTTGAGACATATATGAACCATTGATATTATTCCAATTTCCGTTATGAGGGATCTCAAATGCTCTAGTAGGCGTCGGCGCACGTGTATTTGTTGTACTTGTTTGTGGTTCAAGGCATTTCATATTCTCAAGCAGATTTTTTGTAACTTCGTCTGTGTTCTCCATTCCTGCAGGTCGTTGGTAACCTTGGTCGACAAACCCCGCATCTGAACCCCAGCGCAGTTGCTGGACTTCAATTGATGTATGCGGATCAACGGGAACTGCTGGCTGTTCTGGGTTGAACACTGGAGTGTGTTGTGCTTGAGGTAGCATGTGACGAGAGTCGAGCTGATTTGTATGATGTCGAGGCATTCCTTCTTGCTTGATCCGCGGTTGACTCATATTATGATTTTGTGCCATTTCTGACATGACATTAGTAGGAAATAGATGTTGTGCTGGAAAGTTCATCGTATTTCCCCCATTGCCCCAGAGCATAGAAGCGGCTGCAAGGAGTTCGGAGTCTTGACTAGGCCCTCCCATGAGGCTGTTTGTATTTTTTGGTGGATGCATCGGTAAATTAGGCGATTGTGATAGAGTAGTCGTTGATCCTTCCAAGTTCGGGGGTAGTCCCTCTATCCAGTCCATTCCAAAAGTGCCTCCACCTTTATCATGTGAAAGATCCTGGTACCACGCATCGCCGACGTTGAATTGACTGGTATTTAATGTTGTGAAGAAACTTTCAAGCATATTGGACTCGGTATCGTCTAAAAGCGACGGTCCAGGAGGCGGAGCTGGACCGGCATCGTAAGGAGTATCGTTGGCCGCGAGGAAGTTATCTACACCATATGGGGGATTAGTACAGGCATCTATATTCTCTGAACCACAAGACAACTCACATCCGAATGGACCGGGAGGTGGAGGCGATGCCCTACGATTAACAGATCCTGCGACATGCATTATAGGTGGTCGATATGGTCGTTTGTTTTGTCTGTGAAGTTATTATATGTGCGGCGCCTCTGTCTGATCGTTTCTCAGCATGTTTCCTCAAGATCCACGTTGAGCGCTCGCCGCCGAGGTTGATTTAATCAATCTTATGAACGATGATCTACCGGCGCCATGAAGTATCGAACGCGAGAAGAGCAACGTGACAGGAACAACGGATTCGACGGCGGTGGGCGATGGTACGACTGATATCGTCTCATGAGACCGGTCCGATCTAACAGACGAGAAGTTCAGACGAAAATAAGCGGGGGAAGATCCGGGGAAACCAGATTACGGCAGCGGCGCGCAGGGCTAGGCAGCGGTAAGCGATAATTGCAAACTCTGATAAAGCATGTCAATTATCAATTAGCCAAACAGAATCAGATAATAAAACGGGATCGTGGGCTGAGTGTGGAGTTGTTGGAAGAAGAGAAGAGGAGATGGAGGATCACATGCAAAGATTTATGTCACGGAAAGAAAGCGCCGCCGACGCTGCCTTAGCCTTTAGGCCGCAAGTCGCGTGCTGTGACGTACTGCTTCTAATTCGCTCTTTCAGCTCGTCTTCTCTCTGTCTGTACTCCTTCGGACCAGATACTGCTAACAGTAACAGCTTCCATATCGTATAGAATACTTGGGTAACTAACTTACCCCTGACCCAGAAGCGCCCAGTCTTGGGGAACAATTGATTGTTATGGAGATCTGAACACAGCATTAAAGCCGAGGCTTCATTCTCCGGTCCATCTCTTCAACCTCACTAGACGAAAACAAGCGCGATCACCGATCATCCAAGTAATTGTTATTGAACAAGTTACGTGTACGCCTTCTTCACAGTTTTATACTACATCGACGAATTCTAGAATCACGCGGGGTCTACTGCAGTACTACTTGACTCGCGATCCTGTTGTTGATTGGTTAGTTACACTGCGACTTTGTACGACTGCCGGGTCAGTGCTGTCCATTTCACATGCGAATTCAAAAATTGGCATCCCTGGAAAACAACGACCCTTTTTGCTCTCCACTAGCAAAATCCCCAGGCTTGACAGCGGTACTTGGTGAGGGAGGGAATTTCCAGGCGTTGAATTGTCGATTTCGGTTCTAGTATGCCGTACCATCCTGAATAGGCCTGATGGCAGTTCCCAGGGAAAGGGCTGTTCATGCTCACTTGATCCAGCCGTGAGTTTGAATCTTTTCGACTCAGGGAAGCTCTCCAGGGACTAACGGATAAACAGAATACTCAAAGCCTACGGCTTGGGATATCTAGCCTTGACAACTCCAAGACTACTTGGGTTCATTCCTCTACTTGTTAGCAAAAATGCTACTTATCGCGCGAAACTCGAAAAGGTGGGTTATAACATGAACAATGGTTTTGGATCTGTCGCAGTACTCATTTCATCATTTTATCTAGCTACATCGTATCCTACTAGGTGGCTTGGGCTTGAACAAATTTTCGACATTTTGCGCCGTGCTAGTGGGGGGTTCGACGTGGTTACCTTTTCTGTTCTTTCGATACATCGCCCGCTCGTCGAGCCGCTATTCCTCCAAAAACGTCGTTAGAATCGTGCGGTTTGTTTCGACTTGTCTTTCAGGATGGGCAGCTTTCAATTTGCTGAACAAAAAGAGCGAGGCGCGTGGGCTGGCTGAAAGCAACGCCATAGTCAAGCATTCAAAGAAGGAACGTCCGTTGGATGTCCCTCAAACACAAACATGCCGACCAGTCCTCGCCGGAAGATCGCTAGACCTTACGCTCTTTACATTCACTCGAGCCGCTGGTGTGATAGCTTCTCTAGCCTGGACTGAATGGGAGAGGAGACGTAAAAGCAAGGGCAAATGGTCACCCGTTGAGACAATTGCCCCGCGACTTGCTGATGCTGGGCTCTTTGCTGGCAGTGCTGCTGTAGTCATGTGGGCGTGGTTTTATGCACCGGAGAGGTTACCGCGCTCCTACGAAAAATGGATTGGAGAGGCCGCCCAAGTCGATGGACGACTAATTGAAGCTCTCCGGCGAGCGAGGAGAGGCCAATTTGTTTACGGGAAGGATACAGGGCAAGCACCTCTGCTCGAGTCTATGTGTGAAGACTACGGTTGGCCGATTCATTGGGGTGATCCCGCTGTCACCGTGCCAATTCCTTGTGAAATGGTGCATATGGGATGTGGTCCAAATTGCGAATGGCATGCGCTATCTCGGTTTATACGCTCATTCAAATTTGCCATGCTCACCAATCTTCCCTTACAGCTGATTCTTAGAGTGCGCGCTAAACAGCCAGCGACTACTCTTAATCGAGCCGTCAAGGACGCAACACGTTCGTCCACTTTCCTAGCATTGTTCATTAGCCTAATCTACTATGGAGTTTGTCTATCTAGGACGAGGCTCGGTCCCAAGATCTTCAGCTCCAAGACTGTAACGCCTATGATGTGGGATTCGGGTCTCTGCGTGGGCGCCGGCTGTTTTATGTGCGGTTGGAGTATATTGGTGGAAACCGCTCCACGAAGGCAGGAGATTGCCCTGTTCGTAGCCCCGAGGGCAGCGGCAACGATACTACCCAGACGATATGAACGAAAGGTATATAAATTTTTCCTATACATGAACTACATCACTCGCACATATAGTATCAAGCTTGTCACTAACGTATGATAGTATTTGATGAGGGAGCAAATAGCATTTGCTTTGAGTGCCGCTGTGCTGCTAACATGCGCCCAGGAGCGTCCTGACGTGATTCGAGGAGTCTTCGGGCGACTTCTCTCATCGGTCTTCGTATAAAAGACGATGGATGCCTAGACGGATGCTGGATAAGGATTTCCAGTATCACTGTGCTATTATTTCGGTTGTTGCTAGCAGTCTGTTCTTCCACCAAGGGCAGGGCTTCTGGCTTGGTTTCGCTTTTGTGTATTAGTACCGTGTATGCCTCACATAGCATATAGACAGCTATAGATAATCTTATTGCAGAGATCTGAACTGCTTTGGTGTATGTATGAGACTCGTGTCCATGATGTTGATAGATAACATCCGATCTTACGATCTCCGACATAAACGGCTTTAGGGCGTGAGAGAGCGGAACTCAATTCTTGGCGATCCCGTTGATACTTTTCCGCCGACAATTACCACAACATCTTCACTCAGCCAACTTTATTGAGATTTACGCCTTTATTTACAGTTTCTCAAGCTGTCCAATTCATAGATAAAATGGACATGCGTGGCCTACGCTTCCTAGGCAGATGTCGCAAAATATGCCGCCCACAGTCTTTTAATCAACTTACGACCAACGGAACGAGACGATTTTCACAGCAATCGAACTTGCGACAGCAAGCATCGACAAACGACCATGCTGGAACGAAGCAAAAGAATACATCTACATTGTTCGTGGATCTTCTTCTCGGAAGTAGAAGACTTATTGCTGACGAGGATCAGATACTACACTGCCAGTATTATAGTCGGCACACTCGCTCTCGCCTATGGATCCGTGCCTTTATATAAGATGGTACGCCTCCGTACCCTTGAAATGAACAAATACATGAATACCTAATCGAATCTCAGATATGCCAACAAACCGGCTGGAATGGTCAACCAGTCCAAGTCCACAAAGCCGGTGACGGCGACACAGCCTCTCGACTCAAACCCGTCACCGACTCTCGTCGTCTCCGAATCACCTTCAACGGCTCCGTTTCCGACGTCCTACCCTGGAAATTCACCCCTCAACAACGAGAAGTTCGCGTCCTTCCCGGCGAAACCGCGTTAGCATTCTATACAGCCACGAATAAAGGTACCTCGGATATCATTGGTGTTGCGACTTATAGTGTTACTCCCGCGCAGGTGGCGCCGTATTTTAGTAAAATTCAATGTTTTTGCTTTGAAGAGCAGAAATTGAATGCAGGCGAGTCGGTGGATATGCCGGTTTTCTTTTTTATTGATCCGGACTTTGCCAAGGACCCGAGTATGAAGAATATTGATACGATTACGTTGTCGTATACTTTTTTCAGTGAGTTCCGTATCACTTCTGTTTCAAGGGCTATGCTAAGACAGTGATCCAACAGAGGCACGGTATGATGACAATGGGATTTTGCGACCTACGGCATAGGAGACAAAATCGCATGAAGAGAGATACCCGACAAAAATTTCGACGTTGCAGATATTATGTACTATCATCATTGTATTGCATTATCAGACACTCAGCTCATATACATTCACGGCGTTCTTGTGTATGGAATCGGATATAGAAGGAAATATATATATGGGTAGGGGTTTGGCTGTACATATTGTAAAATACAGATTGATTGGATAGTCTTAAAATGTATATGTAGTCCTTTCATGTAAGTATGACGAGTAGTTATATGCATGCCTTTTTTGCGATAGTAAGATTTCTAATTGTTAATCCAATGGGAATGCCACGAATCGAGGGCCTGGAGAACCACGCACGGACCACATGTTAAGTGCTACGCGTCGACGCGTTACTTTTACTTGTGACAACCTCAGAGCCTTGAACAAGACAGATATTGCACCCACAGTCCGAGAATATCTGCCAACAACCTCGTAAGACCCAACATGGCTCTTCTCGTAGACAGATTGCGTCCACGATCGCTTGATTCACTGACATACCACCCCGAACTGTCAGCACGACTGAAATCTTTGGTGAGATCCTGTCCTCACTCTGATGAAGGCAACCAGAGCTCATAATGATTACAGGCACAAAGCGGTGACTTCCCTCACCTTCTCGTCTACGGCCCCTCAGGCGCAGGCAAAAAGACCCGAATCATCGCAACGCTCAAAGAACTCTACGGCCCCGGCGTCGAAAAAATCAAAATCGACGCTCGCGTCTTCCAAACAACCAGTAACCGAAAATTAGAGTTCAATATCGTGGCTTCAGTATACCATCTCGAAATCACTCCCTCCGATGTCGGGAATTATGACCGTGTCGTCGTGCAAGAACTACTCAAAGAAGTCGCCCAAACCCAACAAGTAGACCAATCAGCCCGACAACGATTCAAAGTCGTCGTTATCAACGAAGCAGACCATCTCACTCGCGACGCCCAGGCAGCTTTGCGTCGGACCATGGAGAAATACAGTCCCAATTTACGCCTCATACTACTAGCGAACAGTACCTCGAATATCATTGCCCCTATTCGATCGCGAACACTTTTGGTGCGTGTTGCGGCGCCCTCGGAATTAGATATTTGTGCTGTTTTGCGCTCGGCGGCGCAAAAGGAGAATTGGACGCAATCTGATGCGTTGAATGTGAGGATTGCGAGGGAGAGTGGGCGGAATTTGAGACGAGCTTTGCTTATGTTTGAGGCTATTTATGCACAGAAGTTAGTACCCTTCCATGACTTCGAAGGGTTTACATGCTAATATGGGGTGGATTAGTGAGAAAGTATCTGATAAAACTCCTATTCCTCCACCGGATTGGGAGGCTCTTATCTCGGTCGTTGCGGATGAAATTCTAGCTGAACGATCTCCGGCGAGGATATTGCAAGTTCGGGAAAGGCTTTATGATCTGTTGACTCATTGCATTCCTCCGACGACTGTGTTGAAGGTATTATGAAATGTAATTGTCTGGCTGAGGTCAAATACTAACTTATTTCCAGACTCTCACGTTCAAACTCATCCCAAAAGTCGATGATGCATTGAAACCAGAGGTTATCAAATGGTCAGCCTTTTACGAGCATAGAATTAAGCTGGGTAGTGTATGTTGTCGCATTCGTCTATATGGTTGCAATGCTAACGTCTCTTATAGAAAGTCATCTTCCATCTTGAGGCCTTTGTTGCCAAGTTTATGCGCATCTATGAAGGGTATGTGATATGATTACTTCCATATGCATTAAAAGCCTACTAATTTGCTTGAATAGGTACTTAATGGGCATGGATTTCTGAAGTGGAAAAGCTACTAGTACTGGGGGGTATTCAGGCGTAATGGTTAGAGGGCATGGGTTATATGATCAAAGCGAATTCTATTCTTCATGTGTATAGTACTTGTAGTGCATCTCAATGACTACTGCATCTTCAGTTATGGCTTGAGTAGTGATTGATTGCTCATATTACATCTTAGGAGTCCTTCAAGTTTTCGATGTTGGAGACCATTATGTGGGTTACGTCATTGCTCTAACATGTCTATCTACCTCAACTTGAATAAGCTACCTACACATCACTACAATTCCACATTCAAAAACAAGTACATTTCTACGTCAAATTTTAATACTTGTACCTAGCAAGAAATAAACATTATGGAACCAGGCGGAGAAAGCAGGCAGTTCGTTCCACCTACCTGACTACATCGGGGGTATAGAAAACTGACGGAACTAAATCAGATACGAATCCATTCGCGAATTTACGAATACCCCTCCAAAAGATAAAGGGCAACTTGGTGGTATGTTCAATACGCCCCTGGAAAATGCCTAATGGGACTGCAACTGACCGGGTGGTGAAAACAGCAAACCAGAAAAGTACAATCAGTGAACTCAAGATCCTATCGAGAGATGATGAGAATGAGCAACGAAACAATGATTTGACGAGCAAAGATCCGAATTTGAATGGGCCCCAGACTGCGGGGATGACGATTGGTGTTTCGGGAGAGGTTGATAAAGGTATTACCATACTCCCCAAGCTTGCCTGAAAATAGGGATGCCCATGTGATATGATTTCGTGAATTCTGTATAAAAAAGGCTAATGCATGTATCTATGGTACAAAAGATTTGAAGCCGGATGCAGAGGGCATCGATGAAGAGGCCCGACGAACAAGAACGGCGCAGAGACTCGGACCCGGAACGGGGATTGGTGCTTAGACCGGATATATTGATAAAGTACACGATGTGAAGGAGATCCGCGGAAAGAAAGGGAACGAAGTGGTTATTGCGTGGGCGAAGTGCTGGTTGATGCTGTCTTGGGAGGATTGGGACTATTCTTCACGTCCAAGGGGACTTCTCGTCGTGGTCGTTTCAAACTCTCCAATGTGACTCCATTACCCAGTTTCGTAATTCCGACGACCGGTGGATCGCCCTTTTTCACAAATTCCCAGAGTCCTATGACGTTTTATAATTAGAAGAATGCGCACAAAATTCCTACTTGTCGTGGGAAACTAACCTGGTAATTTATGCGCCGCCAACCGAAAAGCCTCCCTAGCAATCTTCTCATGGATATCCCCCTTAAGCTCAAACACAATCCTACTAACCGGAATTCTCGCCGCCCAATAATCAAATTTACCTTTTCCCTTACCCATACGCATCTCATTACCAGAGGTATAAACACCAATATTCGCACTAACACGTTTGTAAAGCGTGTAATTCATCCCTCGCAATCGTCTTCGTATCGTATCTTCGCCAATCTTGAGTGATGACGCTGCTACACGGCGATCATGGTCTTTCATTCTCAACCCGTAGTCGCCGTGGACGACTGTTGTGCCACGTACGGAACCGCCCGTGTGCATCTTGGGACGGCCCTTGGGGGATTTGGATTTTTCGGCGAATTTGGGCGTGAGCCAGTCCATCGCTGGCGAGGTTGTGGAGAAGCATCGTGAGATTTGGGATTGTAGTAGAGAGGGGACGTTATCTTTGTGCGATGTTAGTTAATGCTATCTCTGGTTTGCCTATAAAAGCAGAAAAAGCAGAAAAGAGGAAACGTAGGCTCAATTGAACTTACATGACCTTAACAGGCCAAACTGTGGCTTCGCCAACATCATGAAAAATAAATATGTCCCTTCGTTCGAGACTCGCGATGCTTCCGGCTTGAAAAGATATCGTCCGTTCGGTTCTTCAACTTCAAGTCTTGAAGCTTGGCATAAGACTGACCCAAAAGAGTAAAAGTGGTTTGATCACGTGAACTCGAGCAAACCAAGGCGGCGAACCGCGGGCACCAGACTGAAAGCGCGACAGTCGCGTCTCCGCGTTGCCTTCCCGAACTTCAGCTTGATTTCTTTCAACTCGACATCTCTCAATCTCTTCTATCTATCGACCCGAGTTGGTTGAGCATCTGCCGATATGGCGGATATTAGGAATTTTTTCGGTGCCAAAGCTGGCTCTAGGACAGCTGCTCCCCCTGCCAAACCAGCTCCTAAGGAGGTACGTTACGCTTTGCGTCATCATCAACATTTTCCTTGATGCATCGCATATATGCAGGATGTGTATCATTGGTTTCAGGCATTGCTTTTGACTATATTTAGATGTTTTCTCTTTCGATTTTTCTTATATCAATTGTTCGATTACATCCTGACGTATTGCTTAAATAGGATCCTTCTGCCGCACGAAAGAAACGTAAGTTACGAGGTATGGTCTCTGCAATGGATAGGGATTAACACCTTAAAGGAAGCAGGAAAGTAGTCGATGACAGTGATGAGGACGAACCCCAAAGCAAGCCGTCCCCAAAAAGTAAACCAGTGAAGAAACAGTACGTGTTCACCTCGTCTCAAGAAGAAGAAGTTCCTAACACAACCCGGCCTGCAGGACCAAAGAGGAGGCCAAAGGAGAACCGACCACCACATCAGATTATTTCGCTTCTAGCAAGAAACGAGGCCGACCCCCGAAGAATACAGAAGCAAAAGATACCGCAGCAACAACCTCCGACTCCCCCGTCAAAAACGGAAACAGCACACCAAAGGCGAAACAAAATAAAGATACACCAGCGTCAACAGAAAAGAAAGGAAGGTCGAGCACATCCAACCCTGTCACCAAAGTACTAGATGATGATGATAACCTCGGAGGCGACGATATCTTCGCAACAGAGTACGGCAAATCCGGCCGGGACGACGATGATTATGTAGATGACAAGGACGGAAGCGATTCTGACGAACTTACTGTGAAGCCCGCCACTTCTAGAAAGAGTAAACTCGGTGACGACGATATTGAAATGCTTGACACGCAACCTAAAGCAAAACCTGGAAGAAAACGCAAAACAGACGCTGCTTTCGAACCAGATGAGGCTGATAAAAAGCCCAAGAAGAAAGCAGAGCCAGCTGTCAAGAAACAGAAATCCGCACCGAAACTCTCAGAGCCCGAGAATAAAGAGATCCAAGATATCTTCGACACCATTCCAACAGTTCGACCACCAACTCCTCCACCAACTGTTCCTGGTGAGAAGCCAAAGTTCAACTTTGCGGCTGCTGCCAGATCCCGTACACCCCCTGCTGCTGGATCAGCGGAGCTACCGGTTGGCGCAGAAAACTGTCTTGCCGGGTTATCTTTTGTCTTTACAGGTGTTCTGGATACGCTTGGACGTGAAGAAGGCCAAAGCCTCGTTAAGCGCTATGGTGGAAAAGTCACTGGAGCTCCTAGTTCAAAGACTAGCTATGTTGTTCTTGGAAGTGATGCCGGTCCCAGTAAGCTCAGGAAGATCAAGGAAATGAACATCAAGACCATTGGTGAAGAAGGATTATTCGAATTGATCCGACGGCTTCCTGCCAACGGAGGAAGTGGCAAGGCTGCTGGGCAAGCACAAGCGAAGAAAGAGGCTGAAGAGAAGAAGATTCGTGCCATGGCCGAGGAAATAGAACAAGAAGAGAAACAGAAAGCGGCTGAAACAAAGTCAAGGAGCACGCCTAAGAAGCCCTCAGTTGTGACCCCCGCTAGCTCACATCCTGATGTTGACGATCGTCTTTGGACAACAAAATATGCGCCAACCTCGATGAACATGATATGCGGCAACAAAGGCCAGGTTGAGAAACTTCAGACATGGTTGCGTAACTGGCGGTTGAGTGCTAAGCGAAACTTCAAAATGCCCGGAAAAGAAGGTTCTGGTCTATATAGAGCAGTCATGATTTACGGTCCACCTGGTATTGGAAAGACCACGGCAGCTCATTTAGTTGCGAAACTTGAGGGATACGATGTGGTTGAGACCAACGCTAGCGATACTCGTAGCAAGAAACTTGTGGAGGGAGGACTTCTCGGTGTCTTGGATACCACATCTCTCCAGGGCTACTTCTCTGGGGAAGGTAAAAAGGTCGAAAGCCAGAAGAAAAATCTAGTCTTGATTATGGATGAAGTGGATGGTATGTCTGCTGGCGATAGGGGCGGTGTTGGTGCTCTTGCAGCGGCAGCTAAAAAGACGAATATTCCCTTGATCCTCATTTGCAATGAACGCAGTCTACCCAAGATGAAGCCATTTGATCATGTCACCTATGAACTTCAATTTAGGCGGCCGACTGCGGATATGATTAGAGCCCGGCTGATGACAATCTGCTTCCGCGAAGGCCTCAAGATTCCTCCACCAGTCCTTGACAGCTTGATTGCAGGGACCAATGCAGATATCAGGCAACTTATTAACATGTTGTCTACGGTGAAGTTAGATCAAAAGACTCTGGACTACGACCAAGGACAGCAGTTATCAAAAGCATGGGAAAAGCATATTATTTTGAAGCCCTGGGATATTGCATCCAAGATTCTGAACGCGCAAACATTCTCTCAGAGCTCCAAATCTACATTGAACGACAAGATCGAACTATACTTCAATGACCATGAGTTTAGCTATCTTATGCTCCAAGAGAATTACTTGAAAACGCAGCCCGCGCTGGCTAGCAACTATTCCGGCAAGGAGCGAAAACTGAAGCTTCTTGAATTGGCCGATAATGCAGCGTCAAGCATTAGCGACGGTGATCTCGTGGACCGAATGATACATGGCAGTCAACAACAATGGAGTTTGATGCCAACTCATGCTGCCTTTAGCTTTGTCCGACCTGCTAGTTTTGTGTTTGGAAATATGATGGAGCGGACAACCTTCACAAGTTGGTTAGGTAATAACAGTAAATACGGTAAGCATGCAACCGCCAGGGCAAGAAAGAACCATGACTAACTTCTGCAGGTAAACTCAATCGTTTCACCAAAGAGATTCAAGGTCATATGAGACTTCGAGCTTCAGGGGATCGCGATGAGATAAGACAACAATATTTGCCTGCATTGTGGAATAGACTTGTCCGGCCATTGATGGACGACGGCAAGGAAGCCGTCGAAAATGTCATCGATCTGATGGATAGCTACTTCATTACCCGCGAGGACTGGGACGCTATAGTGGAACTCGGCCTTGGTCCAATGAACGACACGAATGTCAAAATCGAGACACAGACAAAGTCAGCCTTCACCAGGATTTACAACCAGCGGTCTCACCCTCTTCCTTTCATGAAAGCGACAAATGTCCTCGCGCCGAAGAAAGGCCCCAAGATCAAACCTGACATTGAAGATGCAATCGAGGACTCTGACGAAGATGAAGTTCTTGATGACGCCAAGGAGGAGGATGAAGATGAAGAGCTGGATCTGAAGAAAGACAAGTATGTCAAGGTTCCCAAAGCCAAAAAGGGTACCGCCAAGGCCAAGAAAGCTAAGGCCAAGAACGATGATGACCTTGATGACGAGGAAGAAGAGAAACCGAAGAAGGGCCGGAAGGGAAAGGCTAAAGCAAAATAAGTTGACTTATCAGGAAAGCAAGTTTTATAACCTACGAGTATTGTATGTCGATTCGATATTGACTTGCGGGGTTAGTGTACCATATCATAGGACGAATCTTTGTCAATGGGCATAAGCATAGGAGTACATTGTCAGCATTCTAGCAGCAATAATGCATTTTAAAGTACCGTACAAAATGTATGCATTGCAGATATAGTTGGAATGCTGTTATGAATACTTGTTGTAGCGCGATTAAGGGTTTAGGCCTGGCCAATATTCCCCGCGGTGGATTCCGGAGTGAATGTCCTAAGCGTCAGACAGCGTCCCCCATTCTCTGGCGGCTGAGCCACTAGCCATATCAAACAACCTTCACTTTTAAGTGCAATATCTGTCAAGCATCAACGATACGCCATTTCGCATTCTCTTCTTTTCAGGCTGGACCTGACGCGAATTTTATGATCCGGGCAATCATTTACGAACCCCACATTGCCTGTGTTCTATCCCAGTGTACATTCGGCATGCGTTATTCTGGGGATGCCCGTCCAAGATAGTTCAGCCCAGCATACTCGAAAACGACCCATAACCCTGCCTATGATCTGCACGTTTTGAAAGTGTGTAAATATCTTTTGCCTTAATTAAAAGCGCTATCCTCAATCATGTCCCTTTTGCAGAGCGAAGAGTGAGTGAACCCTGAAAACCGTGACAGCCAAGCACTACATTGCGCACTGCGATATCAGCAAATACTAACTCAGATACCAACGAGTATATAGTTTCACAATCTGGCAGTTGCGCACATCATACCTCTCAACAATCAAAGACGGTATCGGCGACCGACTCATCAACGTCAATAACTCAGCACTCAACACCCCCGGCTTTCGTGCCGCTGGCTGGGTGCCTACATCTGGTAGTGCGACTACAACAACTCAAGAAAGTGGCTCTCTTGTTAAGCGGACATATTCACCCCCTATCCCTACGACTGCCAACGTTGCTTCGGAGTATTATCGATTCGCGAGACATACGGAGTTGAATGATGGGGATGGATTGAGTATTGACGACGCAGATGAAGATGAGGGTGGGATGGTGACTGGTGGGGGTGGAGGGAGTACCTATGCCTTGGGAATCAAACATCATGGCAAATCCGCGCGAAAGAATAGGCGACGTGACAGACAGGTTCCTGTCATTCAGAGAGTGGGGGAAGGCGAGGATGAAGATAGCAGTGATCTGAGTGATGAGAGTGATGAAGAAGGTGATTTTACAAGGTATTTTTAAGGCTACTTCCGCTCATAGACAAGAACTCTGTTGCTTACTTTTTGATATACAGAGCGGCGCAGCAAATTAAATTCTCCAAAATGCCTGTACGAAATAGGGCAGGTTCCCTACCCATTGAAGACGGCCGAGATACCCCAGAGGAAGTGCCAGCTGCAGGACCTGATACGGCTTTCGATCGTGGATTTAGACGAAGCTCGATGGGCGCAGTCGAAGTAGCCCAAGGACGGCCACGAGGTGATACTGTAACGAGTAGCGATATGTCCGAAGGTGACAACCCTGCTCTCTTCAGACGGCGACAGATTCAATTCTCCTCTCAGCATCAAGTTATAGAAGAACCAGCAGACGACGGCGAGGCCAATAGTGAAGCACAGTCCGGGAATACTGGTGATCAGGACGAGGATTCGGCGGGTGCTTCTGTAGATTCAGATCTATCGTCGGATTTTGGTGTCACCGCAGGATCGGCGTCTCTTTTTGCCGGTGCTGCACTGAATGATACCTTGGATTCCTCACCTGCGATGATGCACAAATTGCCAAATGCAAGTTCTCAGGGTGCGTCTCCTAGGAAGGCAAAGCCGGCCACGCCTAGCTTGCAAGAACTGCCCCCACCTCGGCCTATCAGTACTTTGCAGCCTGTGAGCTTGTTGTCAAAAGAACTAAATGCGCGAAAGGCTGTTCCAACAAATCCTATTGAACGGTTTGCACCTCTATATGCTGCAGACTCTAATACGGCTCTGAACATCAAGATATACGCCCCCTTTTCTGAAGATCCAGAAACTCCATTTAACATGCCCATATTCCGAGAATCTCGCGATCAAGGCCGTACCGGCCCGGTCACAGTGGCAGAAGCCATTGGTCTGGCGCTATTAAGGTATATAAAAGAGGGCATAAAGCCGCCTATTGGAGGCAGTAAATTGAACGTGAATCGATGGACGCTACGCATGGTCGAAGATGGCGAAGTTGACTATGATTTCCCAGCTCTTGGTCGTCATTTACCCTTGGCCGATTTTACTTCCAACAATAACCGGGCCGTGGGAATGCGTGGACGTTCAAGAGGCAAACAATATGATGAATTTGCCCTGGTGGAAGCTACTGACGCCGAATTTGAAGAAAACTCTCGTCTTTACCCCAAATTCAACCCAGAGCCTGTTGCCGAGACTAATGAAGCGGCATCTTCAAATCCACAGACTCCTGGCACTACTACACCACAGACTAAGGCCATGCCTTCGGCAGTGAGGATGAATCCTATTCTTGGGCAGCCGTTTTCTTCTGCTCTGAATGGCACTACATTGAAACCAGCGGATATGCCTGCGCCCACATCGCATGCCACACCACGTCTGGGTGTTCAGAAAACATTAAAGGTTCGGTTCGTCAACATTGAAGGTTCGACACAAACTACGACTGTGAATACAGCAACGGATAGCTACATTGCTGAGATACTTGATTCGGTCTGCAAACGATGGGGCCTAGATAAGGGGAATTATCTGCTCAAAATACAGGGTACGAATACTGTTGCGCCGCTAGATCGTACTGTCGAAGTATTAGGCAACATTTCTGACCTCGATGTCGTCCGTCGACGGTTTGGAGCCGGTGCGTCTTTCGCGGGTTCTCCTGGCAGCGCCTCTCCGAACGCACCTCTTCAAATCAACAATCCGAGCCTGGCGCCTTCAAAGAAAGGTAAAAGGGGGCATCAGATGTTACATCCACTTGCGCAACCCCAAAAACAGGATCTGGTTGGTGGTTATTATCGTCGGTATTACGTATATCGCAAACAATCCATGTCCTTTACGGCTTCGAATCAGAGAGTTTTAGTCCTTGACACCGATTACTTGCATGTTATGCCGGGAGAGACTGCAAAGGGAGTATTTGATACTACGGGAAAGACTCGCTCCATCAATTTCAACGATATTATCGGTACCAAAGTCAGTCGAAGACATCCAAAAAGTTTCCAGGTGGTGGTTCTGCGAGGGACAGATGCGCATGAGCAAAAGCGATACGACTTTGAGGCTCGCAATGAGGCGGAAGCAGCTGAGATTGTGGGTGAAATTAAGAAGAATATGGAGCAGTACCGGGTATGATAGTTCTTTTTTTTTCCCTGTCTATTTGTGTCTTTATGGCATTTGTATTTGAATTGCATAGGAGCGGCTGTTTGTGTATGATTGGCGTTTGATAGTATTCTCTGGGCTATATATCACTTACAATGGAGTTGGCAGGTTTAGATAAGCTCAAGTTAAAACAATCGTCTGATCTTGTCTAGTCCGGGGCTGTTCGAGATCAGACGATGTAGTCTATTATATATTCAAAGATGTGATTGTATACCAAGCCGGAAACGGCATCACCGGAGTCATAACAATGGGCGTCCATGACAAGTTCTCGGCAGTGCGCGGCAAAATAGGTTTCTTGATGAGAAATAATAAATTTATCAGGCCGTATCTGAACAGAAATAGTCAGATGAAGAGTCATGAACGAGAGATTGGACAAAAGAGTAGTGATTCATAGCATAAGCAGCCTCGCCCGCAATGGAAGAAGACTAAGACACGAAACCCCGCCTTCCTGACTTCATGTACGTCAGTCTTCTTTCTATACACCACCACTCTACACTACACCCAGCTATACTTACTGCGAAATACAGTAGAGGCACTCCGACCGACCCCTGCCCCTATCTGTTCACTTAATTGTCTTTTATCTTTTCATTTTGATCGTCTACGACTACGGCTTGTCGGAATTCGACTCGATTGAATCCCAGCAATCAAGACGCCACAAGCAGATCCCGAGAGCCCAGCTCGCTCACCACCCACTTCTCTTATATATACATACGTATTTGGCAACAGAAACCTATGTCCAGTCAGCATTCCACCCCTCAATTATTATATACGAGCTCTTCTATTATTGCGACATCCTACCAGTCAAGCCGAGCGATCCTTATCCGTACAGACTCGCTATTACGTAGCCTCGTCCTCGTTGCTCCACCTGCCACCACCAAGGAATTGGGAAAGACTTTAACTTGCTGACTTGCTGCTGACTGACTTTGCTCTGCTCATCCCGTCAAACAAATCAATTGAACTTGTCCAATCTTCTTTTCTGTTCTTTTTTCTTCTTTCTTTTCCTCTTTCTTTTTTTTTTTTCAGACTCATTCGCAGTCTGGAAAAAATACCCGACGCAAGCATCTCATGCCGACGTTCGGGTCATTGCTAAAGAAGAAAAAGACGTTGTCGACAGGTGGTTCGAAGGAGGTGCCTAATTCTTCATCTACAGGCGCCGAACCTTCCACGACATCAGCAACATCCGATAAACCCGCTGAGCAATCGCATCGATCATCGGTCAAGGAATCCAACGACAGCAGCAGCAAGAAGAATAGCGCTGTGTCGACTAGCGCGGAGACAAGCAATCAAAAAGGCAATTCGCAAGATAATCAGATGACATTGACATCGTCAACAAATCAGCAACCTGCGCAAGGCGCAAATACTTCCTCCTCACATCATCACCACCATCTGCCGAATATCGGCAGTATAAAGAGCATCATCAATCCCACGCACCATCAGCAGCATGAAAATGAGAGTCATGCGCAACAGCAGGGACATACTGACAACAGCAATAACAATGTCCAGGCATCACAAGGCCAGTTGGCTAGTTTACAAGCAAGACAGACAAAAGGGAAATATTCGCTGGAAGATTTCTCCCTTCAGCGAACATTAGGTACAGGAAGCTTTGGCCGGGTGCATTTGGTGCAGTCAAGACATAATCATCGCTTCTATGCGATCAAAGTATTGAAGAAGGCTCAGGTGGTGAAGATGAAGCAGGTGGAACACACAAATGATGAAAGGAGGATGCTTCAAAGGGTAAAGCACCCTTTCCTTATCACCCTATGGGGTACTTTCCAGGATTCGAAGAATTTATATATGGTTATGGACTTTGTTGAGGGCGGGGAACTTTTCAGTCTTCTCCGCAAGTCGCAGGTACGGAAACTATCGTCCTTGGGAAATCCGTAGGCAAAGGTGCTAACTACCTCGCAGAGATTTCCTAATCCTGTCGCTAAATTTTATGCTGCAGAGGTGACGTTGGCTCTAGAATATTTGCATGCGCAGCATATTATATACCGAGATCTCAAACCCGAGAATTTACTGCTGGACAGACATGGGCATTTGAAGATTACTGATTTTGGCTTTGCCAAAGAAGTCCCGGATATTACTTGGACATTGTGTGGAACGCCGGATTACCTTGCGCCGGAGGTTGTGTCTTCCAAGGGATATAATAAATCAGTGGATTGGTAAATTATACCCATAAGGCAGGTAGGATGCGGCTGACATATGTATAGGTGGTCCTTGGGTATTCTTATATTTGAGATGCTTTGCGGCTTTACACCGTTCTGGGACAGCGGATCGCCTGTCAAGATATATGAGAATATTCTTCGAGGCAAAATCAAATACCCTCCATATATGCATCCAGATGCCGTCGATCTTCTTTCCCAGCTCATCACCCCAGATTTGACAAAGCGACTCGGCAACCTTCACGGCGGCCCGGAAGATGTCAAGAATCACCCTTGGTTTGCCGAAGTGACCTGGGATAGATTGCTGAGGAAGGACATTGACGCTCCGTATGTCCCACCCGTCCGGGCTGGACAGGGAGATGCAAGCCAGTTTGACAAGTATCCCGAGGAGAATGAAGCATATGGTAGCAATGGAGACGACCCGTACGTACTTTGTCATATGTCTAGTGATACGTCCTGCTAACCGGATTATAGATATCATAGTCTTTTCACCGAGTTTTAATTCTTCCTACACCGCCGACACTTCCAATCTAACCGTCTCTTGGATAACCACAGCTTGAAGCAACCTCGTCGGTCTAGTTCCCAGAACTGTACTATGCGACAGAGCTCAACGATATCTAGGTATCAAACAATTTTTCATCATCTTATCAAATATATTTTACAACGGATCTGGGTTTAGGTGTGGGTTTGGCTTCGTTTTTTTTTTGGCTTGTTTTTGTGTGTTTCTGCTGGAGACCGATGTCTTACGTATGGTCTGGGACCGATATGACAAAATTTATGGAGTATTGATGTATGTGACATATGTCTAGGTAGTTACATGGGGAAGAAATGGTAGCATAACTGCATAATTATTCTATCGTCCGAAGTATGAAGCATATAACCACCTTTTGGTATCATATATCAATCATCACTAAGTGGTAATCATTGAGTAGTGTGTATTCATACAAATACATGAAAGTCGAATTTCTATCTAATATACAAAGACATAACCCCCATAGTCTTCCAATACCCGATACTATCGCACACACTATATTAAACCCATCCCCGGAAACCTTCTATTGTAATACAAAGTCATATATGGATCATTGCTGCCCACCAAGAGCCCCCAAAACATCCGCCCCAGCACCCATCCTCTTCGACTCCTTTTGCACCCTCGAAATATAAGCACGACTAGTCGTATTCCAAACATTGATGTATTTCTCCATACAAGATGAGAGACATGTTGATTCACTGGATGAGAGTGAAGAGCCGGGGGTGGGGATACAGCGGTCGAAGCAGTTTTCGTTTATTTTCTATATATCAATTCAGTCTACTGATTACGTGGGAAGAGGTGATAGAAGGCGTACGCTGACAAGAGTGCGGGCGTTGGCCACGGCAGCTTCGGTTTGGACTTGTTGCATGAGAGCATTTTTGAGGGCGGTTGAAGATGCGTCTTCGGAGGACTTGGAGGAGGAGGATGAGCCAAAGAAAGACATTGTGTATTTATTTCTTGAGTTGAGGAGTGTATCAATTGGATGTTGATGATGTTGCTGGATGCTTGATGTAAATGTCTGAAGATGAGCTTGCGGAGAATTAGAGTATGTATGCGCTAACTTCTTCTGGTTAAGTGGTGACCTCACCTGGCTGAGCTGTGGCTGATGCTCAAATGTACTCGCCACAGTTTGCAAGTGGACACCTTTGACATACTGCGAAACATGAGGTTACAACCCTTTCTCACGAATATATTCTGCGTCTCTCTCTCTCTCTCTCTTTACGCAGTTACCTTTGTATCTTTTTGATGATATCTGTGGTTACACCTTCCAGGGTAATGTTCTGCAGCTGCTGAATGTCCCGGTGACATTTATGATCATTCGACCTGTACTCCTGCGACAATCATAGCGAGCCTTTGACGTTCTCTCGCCTTTTTGATTCTTCGGTACTTTCATTCTAATTTACAATTCAATTGCTGAGAGATACCACTCGCTCAAAGTATCTCTTCTTCATCCATTTCGCGCATTCGTCTGTGTCCACACCGCGATCCCTTCGTTCAACCTTCAATCTCGAAAACAGCTCAACAACCACCACCCAACATGTGGTTCTCTCAATTCGCTGCCTCCGCCCTGGCATTAGCCTCCTCGGCAGCTGCAGGAACAGATACTAAATACTGGCAAGGAAACACTGATGTGAAGATGCTTCCTGTAAGTGTCGTGCAACTTGTAGAGTTACATCTGTCGCGGAGCTTATTCTAACATCTTGATAGTTACGAACTCATAGCTTGGCTCCGGTATGAAATTGCAATTCCACGTGAAGCACATGCAATTGGCATGATGCAACGAGCATGAATCGACTGACGCGCGCCGATAGCCCTATCTAGATTCCGACATGCATAGTCGATGGTGGGATTTTGGCGGTGATACCGTTATTCGTACAGATCAGTAAGTCCGAAGTCGATCATTCATTCAATGCGCGGTCTAACATCTGTAGATACGTCCGCCTCACATCCGAACGACAGTCTCAGCAGGGCTGGATATTCTCCCGTGTACCTCTAACTGCGACCAATTGGGAGGTAACTCTCCTTACCCTTTCCTTCGTGCATACAAAGATTGACATGCAATAACAGATTGAATTCGAATTCAAAATCCACGGGTCAGGCCACTTCCACGGCGACGGATTTGCGCTCTGGCTTACCAAACAACGCGCAACACAAGGTCCCGTCTTCGGCTCCGTAGACCGCTTTGAAGGTCTAGGAATTTTCTTCGATACCTACAAAAACAATCGCCCCGGTACTTCGTTTCCGTATGTCATGGCTATGATGGGCGATGGGCAAACGGCCTATGATCAGGAACATGACGGCAAGGCCAACGAGTTGGCAGGATGCTCGGTATGATTAGACCTATAATCAGTCTAAAGCATCATGGACTAATATGCGTATTCGTCAGGCCCGCGGTCTCCGTGACGCCGCAGTCCCCACAAAAGCACGTCTAACCTACTTCCAAGACCGCTCCCTCACTCTCGACCTCCAATACAAATCCGACGGCTCCTGGACCGAATGCTTCTCCCTCACCGCGCCAGAAACCAACATCGCAATTCCCTCGGTTACCTACCTCGGCTTCTCTGGCGAAACGGGCGAAGTCACTGATAAACACGATATTATCTCCGTAACAACTCACAACCTCTACGATTCTAGTACATCTGCAAGTCGGAATAGGGCTGGTGCGCCTACAGCCCGTGGCCGGTCTGCAGGAAGGAGGAAGAAAGCTGCTTCTTCCGGTGGATGGATGTGGTTCTTCTTCAAGATCTTTCTGTTTGTGGGTCTTGTTGCGGGTGTTTATGTTGGATATACGATTTATCGATCTAGTCAAAGGCAGTCTCGTTTCTAATCGGAACAAAAGGATTCTGATTAAAGAGGGGGATGAAGTATGAAGAAATTTATCCAGCATGAAGCATCATCAATTTTAGCTTTTCAAATTCTTGTTTTTGTTTGTCTTTTCTAGGTTCCGTGTTGTTTTGATACTGCTATTCAGCGTCTTTTATTTAGTTTGCGATATGATGGATTGATTGATTGAGAGAATCATTGACGAGGCTTGTGTATGATGACTGGAGCGGAGTCAGCGGTGCATTTAACATCAGTTTCTTATATTTACAACATCAGGGAGGATTCCCATTTCTGAAAATAAAGATGCAAATCTCAGGGAATATCGTCGTGATTCTATGGGGTATCACTGCTAACTATAACATGACAAAAGAGCCAGACGTCCGGTCTAAACATATCATCCTGAATATCATATAGCCTTATCATCATATCACGTCCTTCAGGTCTATCATCTGGACTGGCGACCCTTCTCTTCAATCCATAAATCATCCAGAATCTGGAAAACTTCGGTAATACTCTGTACCAAAGTCTTCTCTTCTCCCAGACCCAAACTCCCGTATCGATGGAGCATCTTATCCGGATGCCAGCGTATACGCTCCGCTTTAAGTGTATTCAGAAAACTCTCAGAAGAATGTTGCATGAATTCCCTCACCGCATCACGCGAAATATCTCGCCGTTTACCACTTTCCACAGGCCAATGGATATAATTCCGGATATAAAATGGTTTCTCAGTATCGGAAGAAGTGGCCGGCGGAGCTTTCGAAGAAGCGTCCAACCCTTCCCAACTTTTCATGTATTTCTCCCAAGCCGCTATCCATAATTTAGCTCGTCTCCGTTTCTCGCCCCTCTTGAGACTTTCTTCAAGAGCTTCATTGAATTGAGTACGATCTCGAAATGCTCGCTGCTGCTCGGCTTCCGCACGCTGCTTTGCTTTGGCGTTTTCTTGTCTTTGTCGTTCTCTTTCTTGCATTATGCCTTCGTGCGATCGTTCCCACATCTTGGCTTGTACGTATTCGGCATATTCTTCGTCTGTCATGCGCTCTAATTCCCCGTTTGGTCCCTTTGGTACTGATGGGATGGCGTATGTATGGATTGGTTGGCCGTATACGGATTCCCAGTATAAAGCTCCTTCATCGTCGCCTAGGGCGTCGAAAAGCGATTCGCGAAATGCTGTTTCGGGAGATAAGGAGCGTTCATACTGGCTGCGGGCCGGAGGAGGTGATTCCTCGGTCTTTTGGCGTTTTGAGGAATGGCGCGAGCTGTGATGACGATGGTGGTGCCGGTGCCGGTAAGATCTGTGTCCTTCTGAATGCGGTCTGCTGTCGCTGTCATGTCTGCTTGAGTGATGCGAGGAGCTGTGTCTTGCGCGCGATTTTGAAGACTTGAAGCGGAATTTCGAGGATCGAGAAGCTTTGTTTTCATATTCGTTCCATCCGTCCCTTAACTTTTCAGACCTTCTTTCCTCTGTAAATGGGCCGTACTCGCTTGCTGTAGGCGCACCATTCGACTGAGCTGTTGCTTCGTCCATGGTTGTCGTCAAAAGCGAGCGCTAACAGGGTATGTAAGTAATGACATCATGCGCTCTCTGTTCTTGTCTTCTGCTGATATATTTCCATATTTTAATGGAATCGCATGTACAGAAGAAGCTCGAATAATCGTGAGAAATGAAGCGAGTAGTGTTATAGCAACAGTTTAGTCAAGCTAGTAACAGAGGAAGGTTGAGGTCAGGCAAAAATGCCCACTCCGCATCTGATGGTCCGTGCTTGCAGATCTCTGTGGCGGCTTTCATCATTCTAAGACCTCAAATAACCTCACTCAAGAGTCAAGTCAACAACCACAGAGCGCCCACGCAGAACAGAATGGGTCTAGTGCAATATTCAGATTCCGAAGTCTCCGATGATGAGGAACAGCCTCAAGTTACCCAACCCATCACTAAGAACACAACAGCAGAGACAAAACCCGACCAGAAATTCTCATCAATCGTAGATCGCGGAAACCCACGCAAAATACGAGTCGCGCTCCCCGAAATCAAACCAGAAAATAAAGCCGATGACAGCATCGAAGATGATGAAGATGGACCAGCCAGGAAAAAGCCAAGGACAACCGGAGGCGGAATATTTTCTGGATTCAATTCGTTGCTTCCAGCACCAAAGCGCGCAAATCTACCGACTACGTCTGGGGGAAACGCGAGCAAGAATACAAAAGTATTTAGCCTGAAGACAGGTGCTGGTCCGGGGTTTGATAGACAGGCAGATGCTGAGTGGCGTCAAGAACAAGCCCTTGATCAAGCTTCTATGGGAGGCTCTGAGGATGATACGATACCGAAACCGGGAAGTCTGCGCAACGACCCAAAGGAAGGCAGTTTATTGAAAGAAGAGAATTATAAAAAAAAGGGCAATGCAATGGTATTCAAACCTCTATCGGTAGCGCGTAATGCACCAAAGAAGAAGTCTGCTGCTTTCGTGGCAGCACGGGCAGCTCCTGCTGCTGTCAATACCGCACAGAAAGCAAATGACTCAGATACTCCTACAGAGAGAGATGCTTCCATAGCAGCTACTACGACTACAACTACAGCTGCAGAAGCTAGTCCTGCCACAAAACCTAAACCCAAAATCAGTCTCTTCTCATTCTCGAACGAAGATAAGACTACTTCAACCGCATCAACCAGCGCATACGAATCAATCGTATACAATCCCGAAGGCTTTGATGCACCTTCCAATACAGGAGAGGATATCTCCGCCCTGGAACAACATAATCAACCATCAGCAACCTACCCTACTCCATCCACACAACAACAATCAACTCTCGACGCCATTGCCAACGACCTAAACCTCTCTCGTGCCCAGCGACGACAGTTACTAGGCCGAAATCCAGGCACAGTACAAGCCAACTCGAAAATACTAACATTCAACACCGATGCAGAGTATGCATCGAACCAAGAACTGCTTTCCAAAACAACGGAAGAAGAGCTTACCGCGCAACAGCATAATCCCGTTCGCGCAATTGCTCCTGGTAAGCATTCTTTGCGTCAGCTTGTGCAGGCTGCAAGTTCGCAGAAGGATGCACTTGAAGAGAGTTTTGCTACTGGACGAAGGAATAAGAAGGAAGCTGGATCTAGATATGGATGGTGATATAGGCTCTTCTATCTTTCATAGGGATAATGATCACTTACGTCTAATGAATCCAAGTCAAAACAAGCTATATAAAAGTTCTAATATTGAATGGTCCTTCCGATAGGTAGTCACTTGGTTGAACGGACCTTTATTGTATCATAATTTCTGACAGTATACACATTTCATATAAATGATATTCATAAAAAAAAAGAAGAAAAACAACCAACTCCTAATATGCAGCAAGTCTAAACTCCATAAAATGCACTTTTGTATCATTGGAGACATAAGATCACGACGAAGTTTCAACCACCTCTGCAAACCACTGCTTCAATGCCATGGCCAAAACAGCCGGCAACTCACGCACATCCCTCACCACCAGGTAGTAAGCAAATGGGAACCCCTCCAAATATCTCTTCATCTTGAGCTTCATCTCCCCGGTCCCCATCGCAGAATCATCAGGCTCAAAGCTTGCTTGCGTCAGATCCAGAATTGAACTTCCTGAAGCAGCATCGACGATGATGAATACTATCATGATACGCTCTTCTTGCGCTTGTCGGACGAGTCGTCGAATTGTCTCGTGGTCTTCACAGATACCGTCGGATATGATAAGTTCCAATTGCCAAAGGTCCGCTGAGTTACCACCTCCGCCAGATTTCCGCCCCCGTGCCTCACGGAAGAGCGCAATTGAATCGGCAACAAGCTTACGAACATTCGTACCGGTTTGCTGATAGCTGAATTGCTGGAAGACCTGAGTACCTGCCTCTGACGAGAAGGGTTTGCCAAACTCATGGGCTACTCGAACGTGCTCCTCGTCTCCAAAAGCGACGATACACAGATCACCCGCTTCCAACATACTCAAACTCCTAGCAACGAGGGCAAGCGTCTCAAAGGCAAGCTGACCACTTCCACTCTCCAACATGGACTTACTGTCGTCGACTGCTAGCATGATTTGATAGTTGCGTTTGCTAGGGATGGAACGACGCATCCAGATCTTGTCGCGTTTGTACTGGGAAGCGATGTACGGAATGATCTTCTTGATATTGAGTCTTTTGCCAGTTCGGAAGTCACCACGAAGTTTAGTGGCGAGTGTAGGGGCAAGGATGAGACGTAGTTGTTCGGTAAGCGAAAGAGAAAGATCGTTAGTGACAGCTTCGTAGTGAGCCCACAATCTTCGAGCTTCATCAATTGAGGTTTTGGTTGCATTGGCCGAGGAAAGATGGATTGCTGCTAGATGTGTATCTACTTCGTCCAATTCCTCCGTCATTGGTGGCTCGCCATCTCGTTCCTTGTACGTTTCGCCAACCAATGTGCCCTTGGCGGTTTGAGCTCCCTCTGTAGCATTGACCTCGGCGACGTCAAGATCCATTGCTGCTTCATCAAGCAGGTTCTCGTCCGGCTGATTGTCCTTGTCACCGTCCATAACGTCAGGTGGGATATCATCAGTAACACTAGGCTTCTCGGCTTCAACTCCTTTCTGTTGATCCAATGCCTCTGCTTGTTCTTCGCTCGCCTGGCCTAATGCTTGCGTGTCTGCAACATCGTCTTCATCTGCCAGATGCTCGAATTCTGCATCAGCCATGTTGGTGTCCAGCGGCAGGGTTTGCTTCTCCTTGTCTCTTGACGAATTCATTATCTCCCGCTGTCTGCGATGCCACTCTTCGAGAACATTTCCTAGTTTCTTGAATGCTTCCGACTGTGGATCATCCTGTGAATCTTCACCTGCTCCCCCAGAGCTACTCTCAGCCTTCTTCTGATCCGCACCCTCTTCTGTAGCACCGTTGGGTTGTTCCTCAGAGCTAGCTTCTTCAGCACCACCTTCTTGTTGAGCATTGCCAGACGAACCCTTTTCTTCCTTGGTATCTGTATCCAAACCAATTCCACCAGCAATCTCGTCACTTTGATCGGCATTTTCACCAGCTGCAGTGTTCTCATCTTTTTCCAAAGCCTTATTCTCTTTTTGTTCCGCTTCCAGTTCTTCGTCCAAGGTTTCTTCCTCACCAGCGATATTGGCTTCTTGCTCACCTTCTGGCTCTCCTGACTCAGCTTCATTCTGATGGTTATCTTCCATGTCGATATCACCCGGGTCTGGAGTTGCGCTGCGCTCATCTTCATCAACTGTTTCCTCCGCTTTGTCTCCGTTGGTCGCAGGCTCGAAATCAGACAACTCATCCATGCCATCATCACTCATGTCCGACTCGGCGTCTTCTGGTCCTTCCCCATCAAGTTGCATCTCCTCTGGGAGGTCAAGGGTTTGTTCTTCCTTGGCATGTGGATCGGTGACATCAAGTTCTTCTCTACCACCCGTTTCTTCCTCATCTTCAGGAGCTTCTTCTCGTTCTCCTTCCTCTGCTTCCATCGGCTCATCGCCCTTCTCTTCTTGATCTTTCAGATCTTGCTCCTTCTTATCATTTGCTGCTGCCTGTTCGTCCTTTTCGGACTGTCCCTTGCCCTCTTCATTCTCTGTTTCCTTCTGTTTTTCATCATGGGCACCTTCCCACAGCTTCTCGTCGACTGCATTTGGATCGAGATCGTTGACACTACCAACTTCTTCATCAATCTCATCGTCACCTTCTTCACCAGACATATCTTCTTTGTCCTCGCCTTCTGTCTCCTTCTGTTCGTCATCAAACTCGCCTTCAAGGTCTTCTTGATCCATGTTCACAGCATCTTCAGACTTGTCTATATCATCCTTGGAAGACTTCTCTTGATCCTTTTCCTGCGCAAGTTCGGATAAATCCTCATCGTCCTGAATATCTTTGCTGATATCCTCGGCTCCTTCACCTTCACCAAGACCCGTTCCAGATTCAACTTTGCCAGATCCGCTTTCCTCAGTGGAGGCTTCATGGGGACTGCAGAAGCCCTCTGATGCGATCTGCGTGAATGACTTGGAGAGGATATATGCCATCTTACATATTTCTCTATGGACTCCAAGATAACGGCCAATCATGTCCTCGCAGATATTGTAATATTGCTCTGTTATCGGTAGCAGCCCAGCTATAATTGCACTGGCGAGAGGTAAACTAGAATCAGAGTCCTGCAAAGACTGAAGCTTATCAAGGACAGAGTTCAGAGATCTAGCAATATCGCCGATATGCAGATCCCGAAGTGCTTTCGACAACGAAGAGTCCGTCCGTGAAAGCCAGTCCTTGTTCTCCATGTCAGGCGGTAGGGAGGCTAAAGAGCCTTTGAGTTCTTGTAATGCGACCAAGATCTTGTTGACTGCAGAAAGATAATGATCGTTCAAATTATCAATCACCATATCGCTCTCTGCGGATGTCGCATCACTAGGAGCAGGTATCTCTAGCCAAGAGATAGCCTGTTCAAGAACAAATGCCAGCTCAGGCCGGTCCTCAATCAGCGTGGTGAACTCGGATTTAAGTTGCGCGAAGCAGCTCCTGACTTCAAGCTCAGTGTCAATTGTGACCTGAGATGTGAGCCCTTCAGGTAGATGTGGCAGCCGCTCAATACCATTCCTAAGGCGTGCGAATGTATCTTTCCAAAGCTGGAAAGTGCCTGCGACGCTAGGTGATCCCGAGTACAAGGAGTGAATCTCCACAATCTCTTTTCCAACTCCAAGAAGGGGGATCAGCCAAGAAACACGTCTGAACGAGTTTTCCCTTTCAGTAAGGCCAGACCGGTTATCTTGTCTGAGTCGCGAAGGCCCGTGAGTCCAGAGAACTTTCATATCAGCAGATGTAGATTTGAGTCCCACTAGATGCTTGATGACCGGCGCGAGATCTTCTCTTTGCTTTCTGATCAACACCAAGAAGCCCTCAGCGGATCCAATACTTCTTGTCACTTCGGTCGGGTTGAGATCCTCGTTATACTCGCGTGAATACTTCCTGACATGAGGGAGTACGTCTAAGAATCTGTGAAGGTAAGAATCTGCACTTTGAGCAACAGTAGCAGCTGGCCCATGTTCGACAATGATGTTTGGCGTAGTAGCAAGAACCTGATTGATTGTGGCTTGCTCTTCGATGAATACCGTACTCACGTTTCGTCGTATGCCCATGAAATGAAGTTGACGGAGTGTTTCGGCATAGAAACGACGTTTCTGGGTCTTAAGGTGCTGTACATGCTGCTTGTTGTCCTCTGTCAAAGTGCTCGGTGTCTCGGATTTGAATGACTTCACAGTCTCAATCACGTCTGTGACGAAGCTGCTCAGTTGCGAGGGAACATCCAATTCAGACAATGAAGACGTATAGACCCTCAACATATTAACAGCAGTGGTTGATGGATCTTTGAACCTGGGAGCTCGATTGGCCCAAATAGGATCGTACCGTTCGCAGACCATAAGAGCATCTGATGAATCCCACAAAGAGACTGGAAGCGGCTTTGCAAAGTTTATATCCAGAGATTGCTCATGCAAATCTGGCATGCCTTGTTGAAGTATCTGGTCGGTGGGTTGAGAAAGAAATTCTCTGTACTTTCGAACGTACTTGAACAATTTGTAATGCGATCGTCTTGCACTCTCGCGTAAAGCAGTGATGTTCGTATCTTTCCAACTGGCCAGTTGAATTTGCTCCTTGACGTCCTTATCAAGAGATTTTCTTTTTTCCTCCAATGTCTTATTGACGACGGGCTCATATGGTCTGTAATGATGCAAGAAGTTTTCCAGTGCAGAGACAATGCAGCTTAAGGTCGGGTTATGGTTTGCAAATAGCTGTAACAATGATCTAAACTGCTCGATTAATCGTAGACGTGCACTGAACTGGCCAATTGTGGTGGACTTGAGGAAAGCTTCGAGAGTATGAAGAGCTTCAGTAGTGTAGTCCTTGAGATCTTCGCCATTCTCGGCCTTCTGTAAGGGCAACGCAATGAATGCCTCATATGCCACGAACCACCAGGTGCTAACGGCTTTCTCACACTTTTCAAACTCTAGATCTAACAACTTGGCCCATGTTGATAATTCAAGACGTCTCCAGCTAATGGTCAAAGCCGTGATTTGATCATATAAAGAGGCAGCCGAGTAATCCTTGCTGGCCACCAGTTGCCACTCATGAACAAGGCCATGCAATTTTTCCAACTTGGTGATATACTTGGCAACGGGTTCCAAGTGTTTGAACTGCAGAATCTCTTGGCAACAGACCAAGACATCGTGAATGGCTGCATGTTCAGGCCATGCTGCTTGCAACTGGACAAATCGATTTCGCACGGATAGCACAAGCGACACTAGACGTTTGGCTTCTGCGATGTTCGCATCCAAGTAGAAGTTGTAACGTCTTGGGGAAACATTCTCGTAAGACTTTAGCTCGTCTTTCAATACCAGCAGGATACCAGGCAAGTAGGATTCTGGCGGTGCATATGAATCCTGTCCGCTGTCCAGCGAACCAAGCAGTCGGGTGGATTCAACAATGAACTCTCTTAGATTTCCTTCAATGTCTCCAGGTGCAAAGATAGCCGCATGCAGTTCGGTCAATCTAAGGGAAATTGAGTTAATATCCATTCGAGGCTTTTCTGATACTTCCTCCTCAGTCCCTTCGTAAACAGGGAACAGTTCACGAAGTTCAGATTCGTCAACTTCCTCGCTATCCTCAAACGATCCTTTGTAGCGATAAGTTTGAGACTTCTCTGCGGCCTCTTTCTGGTCTTCGACGAGTTGCTTCTTCCAGATAAGATGCAGCGACTGGAATATTTCCTTCAGATGGGAGAGAGCAGCTTCCGAGTCTAGATTTGCTGAGTTGGCACCGTGATGAAGAGCCAGTGATGAAAGTTGATGTATTTGCACTTTGATTTGATTCTTCATCGAGGCAACTGCGTGAACTGGTTTCTTCATTAAAGGGTATGTGTTGCCGCCAATGAAGGGTGTAGTCTGAGTGATGATTTGGGATATCTTGGATTGGCTTTTATTTGCTCCTCCCAAACAAAGGGATGCTCCTAAATCAAGCATTGTCAGAAATCGAGTAACCAAAACAGTAATATCGTCGTAGACTCTAAAGTTGGACCGAAGACGAGCGCAAATAAGACGAACGTTGTCTTTGAGAAGGTTTCCGTATTGTTGGAACTCAGCAACACCAAAGGTTTCCGGAGTTCTACTCAGTACTGAATTGTGCAGATTCATAAACTCGCCGTGCAATTCCATGAGCCGCGACTTGGCTGGACGACTGACCGGAGAAGCAGATGGAGTTGACCCAAGCCTTTTTAACTCTTCCTTGATCAAACAACGGCGCAAATTAGAAGTTCGACCAGAGAATTCCTTCTCGAAAGTGGCGAGGGCTTCATCCTCAGCGGTCAATTGCAGAACCTGGTCTGCGTGGCGTTGTCTCTCAACCACTAAACCTAGCGAAGGGTCATATGGTTTGTCTGGAACAAAAAGACGGAGACAGAACACTGAGAGTTGAACGCAGACATGGCCCAACTCGTATAGAGTGCTCACTGATGAGTTATTTCGAACATTTGCAAGTGTCTGGATGCATCCTGAGAGGTCATTGACGAACTCTCTGAAGAAATGATTTGGCGGCAGATCCATTGCAGGTTCAAGTTGTGGAATTGAGCCATGGAATGTTCCGGTTTTCTCGAGGTCACATAGCGCGGAGACAACCACTTCAAGACTAGTCGTATTCAGGAAATCTTGATGGAGACATAGAATTTCTAATATCACACGCGTGAACACCCTTGCCAGTAGCACAGTTTGGGAAAGTGATATCTCCCGAGAGCTGTAAGATACCGCTTCAACTAATGCATGAAGTTCGCTTTGAAAGAAATCGAGTCGTCCAAGGAGAACTTCATTAGTACGCTGCACGTGTTGCAACAAATCAACCGAGAAAGCTGATGACCAGGGTGATACAGCAAGCATGGCTCCTTCTGAGCCGTTGTACAGAGCTAGTCTGTGTAGGATAGAAGAAACGGGGAACTTCTCGTTGAATGGCACCGTAGAGTATGCTGGTCTTCCGGCAAGAAGTGGCAGTGTCTCATTCAAATGTCCATGATGTTGAATTTGACTCTCGTTATAAAGTATGGGCAAGTCATGGTACTCGCATATACTCTCAAAGACCTTCAAAAAATGTGGAGGTTGAGGAGATGAGTATATTTCGGTGGCAGAGACCAATTCCGTGACTTGTTGCTTTAGACTTGGTACGAGAAGCTTGCCATCCGCATTGTTAAGCAGCATTGCATTCTGTGCTTCAATCAGCGATTTTCGGACTAGCCCAAGCTGAGAAATATTTAATCTTGTCTGAAGCGCGATTTTGTTGAACCCAGAAACCACGCCTTCCAGATCCAGGAGCGAGTTCAGCTGCTCGACGTCAGTGCAGGTGACAGGTCTCCAAGCATCCCAGATCCTTCGCATGCTCAATCCTGTCTTTAACGCCCATGTTGACCTGAAACGGCTGAGAAGCTGAGCCAATGCAGAGAACAACGGAGACAGTGCAGATTGGCTTTCGGCGGCAGAGGACAAGATTTGCTGGCCGATCTGCAGGTAGATCTGGAACACGCCTTCGTCCAGCTCCTTAACCTGGGTAACCGTATAAATGTCCCAGCAAATTTTGGTGAAATCCTTCAGTACAGATAAGGCATCATTGACCAACCCAGAGTCATTGTCAAGACGTTGAATGAATTCGTAAGAAGTGTGAACAAAATCTGTCAAGAAAGAGCTCACTGCCTGGGTATCGTCTTTCATCAGGCTCGATATCCTACTTGAAGCGAAAGAGCGTTCCAATCTTGTCATCTGAGAAGGCTTGAGATGCTGAGAATTCTGATGTGAATGAACCAGACGTTGTTGGAGCTGATGCAAGCTTAGTTTAACACCTTGCAGTTGAGAGAGAAGTATGATACGATCGGCCTGGCTCGAATGCCAGGTCAGGCGTGGCTCATTGACAAGAGGATGTACAAGTTCAGCTCCCTGATCACCAATTTCCATACTCAAAGAAAACAGGGCCTTCCATTGAAAATTGCCTTCAACCAGCTTGGCATAACGCTCAAGGATTTCCATAGCCGCTTTCGACTGCTCTGCATCAGGAAAAGATATCGCTAATTGCCGAAGTGAATGATTGAAGTTGGCAAGGTCCGACATCTCAACATGGTCTAGACGAATGCCAAACAACTGATCTGCAACATCTGATGACTGTGACTCGGGATCACAGTTCCAAACATAGCGTAAGCGGTATAAAGCTGACTCAAGTGTAAACAATGGCGTATATACGGAAGACGCAACAGCGGGAAATTCTGACAAGAAGCACACTTCCACAGATCTATTACGCATAGCCCGAGACAACTCTCCGTTTCTAGGATCCATGGTGAGGAACAACCTGAAGTTTGGGTGTGGACGAATGGTTCGAGCCGAGCCATCTTCTGTGCGTTGTTCGTTCAACACTAGGTAGCCATTCGGTTCCATCAACGAGTTCAACCGATCCAGAACGGATGCATTGCAAAGGTTCGCATTATCTAATACAACCCAGTGACCAAGTTGTATGGCTTCGGTCAACGCTCCTTCTGTCCACTCGAAACCCACTTTGTTTGCATCCTTTGAGGTCTGCACTAGCGCTTTGCATCGTTGGATAAGACTGGCGAATGCTAGACTATCAAAATGCGGTTGGAGAGCATTGATGACGTCGGCTAGTGTTTCAATATTGATCTCAGGATTGCTACAGACCCCGTAAGCTTCTAGCAGATGCACAATCGAACTTGAAGCAGACTCGGAAGTAACAGTAGTGATGATCTGATGATGTACAAAGTTCACCACATCCTTGGCTAATGACTGGGTTTGTCTGCGATAGTCAATCTGTTCGAAACCACCAATTAAGTCCATGGTATCTGTGTCAGCACTCAATGCTAGTTCCACCAATTCAGCTCCTTGGATAGACGCAAGCGTGCGAATGGTTGTTGTCTTACCACAACCTGAAGGTCCCACGAGGATACTTGGCCAGGCTCGCTCTATACAGAACATAAGAGACTCGAGTATAGGAAGATGAGCAGGAAGAATCTTGACATCTGAGTGGGTGGTGCTTTGTTCGAGTTGTCGCCTAGGCATTATCGCAAGTCCAACTTGAAATTTCTCAACCGTCAAATTATGATAATAAGACTTTTCAGGCGCGGGAATCTTGAAAGACTCTTCGAAGAGTGCAGAGATCAGCGAGCGGTCTTTCTCCGTTCGAAACCTGTGACTAATAATATTCTCAAGAAAGTAGCCACTGGGTAACTGTACGTTTCCTCGATCGGCAAGCTGGAACCATCGTAGGATATCGCGAAGGTTCAGCTCCCAAGGACCCCCAATATTGGCGAATTCTCGATCATAGTCAATAGCCCAATTCAGCTTTGACATGAATTCGACCATCTTAGATGTCTGGTCGGCTGGAATTCGTGGGAATAACTTCGAGCAGATGCTGTTCAGATCCGTGTCACTGAAGGAATCCGCATACACAACTGTGAATCGATTGACAAAGGATGCGGGAAGCCCTTTTCTGCCACCACCTTGGTGGTGAGGATTTTGTGCTGCGAACAAAGCGAAATCCGGATGTCTCTTGAATGTCTGGTCAAGTTCGGCCACATACACCTGCTGGCGATGATCAAGACATGAGTTGAGACCTTCCAGCACCGACTGAGAAGCAAGATTCATCTCGTCGAGAAGGACCCAGTCTCCTCGTTGCATTGCTTGCAAGAATGGGGCATCGCGCCAAGCAAACTGGCCAACGTCACCCCCTTCGACAGGGACATCGGAGCCAAAAAGATCAGTGAGATCTGTTTGATCTGACAGATTGATTCGAGTAAGAGGCTTCCCAAGAGCACGAGCAAGCGATGCCACCAAGGTCGTCTTTCCAACACCAGGACTACCCTCGAGCAGAATAGGCTTCGATGTCTGCAGCCCACGAGCAATGCGAACGGAATTGGCAATTGTCGTTGGTGCGTCCATGACGAAGTCAGGATCTGGAGATGAACCTGGGGAGACTGGCAACCGGAAAGGACCAACACAAAGATAACCATCTTGGGTTGAGACGGTGGCATTTTCATTATATATCCGCACAGCATCAATCTCCAGCAAGGATCCCAACTTTTCTAGACACAGCTGCCGACTCTGCGCAACACTATCCGTTGAGGTAGAGAGCATTGCGGATGGATTTGCACCCAGTGTGTCTATGTATACCATAGCTGCACCTTGAACAATTGCAAACTCTGGATTTGACGGCGGACATTTATTGATGAACTCAACCCATCCAAGCAAATCACGGATGGATACAGAAAACGTAGAAGACCCTTGAAAAGTTTGCTTGAACCATTTGGCAAATTGGAGCATAGCCTTAGTCTTATTTTCGTCCATAGACTGCAGCTTATCCTTCAAGATTGGCAGGATGTCTTCTTCTTCTGATAGTTGAGGAACCCATATCTCGGTCATACGATTCCTGAGTGCGGCAGATAGTTCTCTCTTACCATAGTCTCCTCCAGGATTCATGGTTGACAAAAATTGATAGCCATCCTGTGCAATTACTAAAGAATCAACGGGACCCTTTTCAGCCAGCAAAAGTGATCTGTGGGGCTCAAGAACACTGTTGAGTCTTTCAAGTACAGAGTCATCAGCAAGAGACACTTCATCCAAGAGAAAATATTGACCGGTTTTCATGGCCGTGATAAGGCTCCCGTCGGACCACTCGAATAGAGCCTGGGACCTTGTGATGTTTGTCTTGATGCAATCCAGTAGCTCAGCAGGTATGGCCTCAAGGGTTTCGGGAGCCAACTGCGCAAAGGAAATTTTTAGATCCTCTAAGCTCCTCGATGACTGATCGACATCAGCTTTCGATAACGTCGACAATACGCTTGCAAGATCGTCGCGCAATTGTCGTTCTATCGCAGACCGATTTCTCAAAGGTCTTTGCGCGCCGACAATATCTCCAGTTTCGAGGTTGACATGAGCATTGACAATGAACATTTCTTTGCCGTAAATCTCAGCAACCGCCTGACAGATTTGAGTTTTTCCGCAACCAGTTTCTCCAACCAAGAGGACAGGCTCGTTGTTTCGAAGGGCTTCGGAGACAAGAACAAATACCCTCCTCATAGCTTTCGTCCAAACAACATTCTTTGACAACGATGCCCTTCCTTCGGCTCTCCTTTCCAGTTCCGCCAGGCCATAGATAGCATCTTCATCAATTTTTACCTTCATGACATCTTCTATCACTTTCTTGACAGCCGCTCGCTCGGAAGAATTCCGTACTCTCTCCGCAAGCAGCATAAACCCATTGATAGCTAGCGTCTCACGATCATCTGCTTGACGAAGGGCCCATCTAAAAAGGTCACGGAGCGTTGCAAAACTGTTTTTCTGTTCAAACAAGCGAGTGGACTGTCTCAGAACAGAAAGCTTCTTATACACAGATACAATCCTTGAACAGAAAGAAGGAGCAATTTGCGTTCTTTCCTTCAGGATATACTCTAACTCGTCCTCTGGAATATCATCGAAATGTAACTCTAGGAAACGATTCCTGAACGCTCTGGAAAGAACTTTACGTCCACCATAAAGACCGGCAGGATTTTGAGTGGCAAAAAGCATGAAGTTTGGGTGCGGTTGAATCACTTCTTGCGTTTCTGGTAGGAAAAGTTCTCGATTGTCGTCCAAAAGTCGATTGAGTGCTTCCAAGACATCTGATGGCGCCAAGTTGAGCTCATCAAGCACAATCCAGTGGCCATTCCTAAGAGCCTCCACGAGGACACCTTCCTGGTATGTCAGAGACCCATCGTCTGTTGACACATAGGAACCAAGGTATTCTTGCAAATCGGTATGCTCATGGTTATTAATGCGGACAAATTTGTTGCCTGAAATTTTCGCAAGGTATTCAACCATGCTAGTTTTACCAGACGAAGTAGGACCTTGAAGAAGAATGGGGAATCGACGTGTGGAACTCGCACGGAGTAAGTTCTTCAAGTTCTTTTCAATGAAGGGTGTGATGATATAGTGTGGCTGTTTCTCTGCAGTGAAGGGACCCTTCTTCATCCAGTAATGCTTGAATTGCACATACTCACTGCCATCTTCCGGGGCTCTAGGGACTTGACCAAGCAATGATTTCGCATGTTTGGTAGAACCGAATATATGCTTCTCGATGAGGGGCACGACTAATTTCTCTGACTCCTGACTCAGTAGGGTCAAGAAGCTCATGCAGAAACCTTCGTAGGCCGCTCGCCGAAGACCATAACTATGCACATGGTCTGTTATATAGACCAAGCTGCGCACTAAAGTACGAATACTGAAATGAGGTTTCTGACCTGCACCATCAGTCAATTTATTTTCAAGCATCAGTTTCTTAGTGGCGAGATAGAGACTAGCAATGTCAGAAGCTAGGCGGAGGTCGCTCTGAGACAGATTGCCCAGGTATGTTTGTATCAACCCCAGCAAGTCATCAAAGTCGACATCCGGAGAGTGGACATAGATCTCCGTAAATCTCGAGCGCAATCCCGGGGCCAGATCTCGTTTTCCGGCATCTGTGGCAGGATTCATGGCGCCAAAGATCCTGAAATCAGAATGACCATACACACGTTCCACATCTCCGGCTTCGGATAGCAGAACTGAAGGCATTCCTTCGTCACCATGGTGCAACAAGCTTGCAATATTTTCAAGGATATCAGGAGTTGCTAGGTTGATTTCATCTAGCAAGACCCATTCTCCATTTCGCAGGGCTCGAACGATCTTTCCTTGAACAAAAGCAAAGGCGAATTTAGAGTCACCCCGACTTGCCTGGGCCTCAAAGTCACTTAATTGGACTTTGAAACTTTCCCACTTATCCCTCAGCGCAGCGTACTTTGGTGAGTCAAGTTTTCGTTTCTTCGACGGCTGTTCTTCGGTTCTTTGGTCAGAACCTTTGGGGGCACGGAAGAGACTGTCAGACATGCGAACTGCTTCATGCCAGAGATTAACCAGACGAGGCCAGTTTCCAGCTGTTAAGCTCTTGGTGACCGAAGACAAGAATTTTTGATTCTTTTTGGCGGAAAATGTTTGTTCGAAAAGCTGGTTGAATTCATCCAACAAAGGAATGGCCGTTGAACGCAGGTTAACTGGCCGGAACCCTCCCAGAAGGTCCGAACTTTCGCTCTGCTGAGAAAGATTGACCACTGTCAACTTCTGACAAGTCAAATTGGCCAACTGCTGAATGACTGCCGTTTTACCAATACCCGTCTCTCCAACAAGTAGCACCGGTTCCGATACCTGCACAGCAGCAGCGATTTGCTCCATTGTTCTCAGGGCAGCCCGCGTGGGAGCAAACCAATTTGTTAATTTGTTAAATCGTGATTTTGCTGTCTTTGTGACTTTCATTTTGGTGCAGACTTCTCTACCAACCGAGAATTTATCCTCATAGTCAGCGTATGGAGGAGTCCGTTCTTGCAGGCAGTAGTCGGCTCTTTGAGGAGAGAGTTGGAGTTCCTCGGCGACAATTGAGCTGAGCCTATGACCGAAATCTCGATCAGGTAGGTAACGAATAAAGGCATCCACGGTGTCAAGGAATATCTCATCCTGAAAACTCTCGGGGGTCGCCTCATTTCCTGTCGTTACCCCCAGGCGCAGAAGTCGTTTATGCAATCTATTGCATAGTTTGATCAAATCTCTCAGTCCAGGTGTCCTACCTTGAGCAGACCTCGCAGCTAAGCTACTGTGAAAGGCAGAACAGAGTCTGTCATAAATGTCAATTAGTGTGGGAACCCGGGCCGAAAGCACAGGGTATTTCTCGATGAGAACCTCGCGAACTTCGATCAATGGCAAGGAATTTATTTGAACCTTATTCCACAACCTGGCTCCAAGAAGACCATGGCTTTGTGCAACCTCTTCACCTTTGCTGTTGAGAGAAGATTTCATGGTGGCGATGATTCTAAACCCATCGGCGCATTTGATTCTCTCTTTCCGCTAGGAATTATCAGTTCCCCCTTTTCAATAACCGGTAACATGAGACCAATAACCTCAGATGGTGCCCGATCGAGATCTCTATCAGATCACGCCTCTTTGGCTGCTTTGGTCAAACGCCAGGTTGCCACGAGAATGTGCCGTCAGAGAGATGTGCATACATGCCCAGCAAGCTCTAGCATCGGTTTGTCGTCAAATGGAGAGTGACCATGGATGGACCTGTCCCATTTCTCTGGCAACGTCATTGACCAACGAGGTCTTCCCAGAATTGGGCAATCCAATGAGAAGCAATGGCTTTTGTTCAAGCAGCGCGGTTGCTATACCTCGGAGGTTATTCGTGACTGTTGCAGTCTTAACGAGATTGCTTTCGGGGGTAGGTCTATCCCACCGAACTTTGGGAACTAACACTCCACCAATATAAGCTGTGCGATGACTAAAATTCTCTCTGTGTCTGTCGACTATGTCCCAGGCTGTATTTAATGTCAATGAACTTCGCCTCGAACATAGGTCAGCTTCAAAAAGATGCCATCGGCGTTCCTCCCACAACCCAAGGAGCCTATAATCAATCACGGTATTTTCCCATGGGCCTTCAATAACCCCAGTGCCGATATGTGTAGTCACCATCCTTTGCGTTGCTGCGTCTCCGGTGCGCATATAATAACAGAAACATCGAACCGCCAAATAGCGCACGCAGCTGTCGGCGTGTTGAAAGAGGGATTGGAGTTGGATTGGTGAGATGACGGCGGTGAAAGATTCTATGTCGAACGATGAAAGACGGAATATGCATAAAAGAGCTTTTCGTATCGTTGCGCCATCGAAGTTGAGGAAAGAACCGCTGAAGGTTTCGGAATGGCTTCGTGCATAGTCGTGGGTAAAATGTCGAAGATACGGCGCAAAAGGCAATATTCGAGAAAATGCCGAAAGTATGTTCAAGTAATAATTTTGAGGATCCAAGTCCAGCCATCGGGAAGCTATGTCGACAATCAGACGCTCATATGTTGTGAAAATCCATTCTGTATTCCCCGGCTCGAGCGCTGCCAGGGCAAGCGCATCTAAATATTGTGATCCAGATGCATTTCGTAGTCGCTCTGCTAGATCATTTGGAAGTCGGCGGAGACCCTCAGCCTCTGAGAGCTTCAGCTCAAAGACAGGTCGCTCCTCCATCTCGACGGCCTATCTCAGAAACACTAAAGCCCTTCAGAAAATGAAGGTTTGAAAGTTTGGTAGATTTCCTCAAAGGTCAACGAACTTTTTTTTGGAGATCTTTTTCTGCCGCATAAATTGTGGGGCCGCCCGCATTTGTCACCGCCTTCATCATAGAAGAGCCACAGCTTGCGCCAATCAGCGACGGCTAAAGTGGACCTTCAACTTCACTCGATGTCAACATCAACATCTCCAAGTCTTGTCCTATGCCAACATTAACGCTCTTTATCCATCAGCAGATAGGTCTGCGTTTTATGTCGATGCGGCTGAGGGACTTGGAGTCATGTCACTGGCAACTCCCAGCTCTGGCGATGTGGGATTAAGCTCTTCTAGACGAGATGTGTACGCAAACGAGTCCGACGGCGATCCGGTCTCGAACAATGAACGGGATGAGGCCATTTTCGCCGACCATCCTTTTGTGCAAAATGATATCGAACCGTATGTAACTCTTTTTGGATGTTGTCGAAGTATTTTGAACGGCTAATATCGGATGGGGATGCTGACAGGACGAAAACTAGAATATCCTTCAAGCGCAAACAAAAACAGCCTGCTCGCTTCAGCCTGTCGAAGGTCTTCTCCGCCAGCAGCAGCAGTACATCGCATAATTATACGGCTTCACTGAACCAAAACGCAAACTTAACCGACTGGTCAAACATCGCCGACAACTCGAGATCCGCGGCCGCTAACAGCGATGTCGGTGCTTTCAAAGAAGATGGACCTCTCGATTGGTATATTGAAGGGCCAGGTCGGAGATTAGCATATGATGATATGACTGCGATTGATTGGGTTTTTGAGTACACTAAGGAACGTCAGAGGAAACGGCTTTTGTATTCGACTGGGCAAGGCGTCCTAGGTCATTTGCGTCAACTCTTAGATGGAAGTCACGTCTGGGTCGTCTTAGTTGCAACTGGGATTGCTGTTGGTCTACTTGCGGCGGGTATAGATATTGCGAGCGATTGGTTGAGCGATATCAAGACCGGCTACTGCAAAGGAGAAGAGGGCTTCAGCCAGTTCTATCTCAACCGTGGATTTTGTTGCTGGGGACATGAAGGTAATTTATCCGGCAAAACAAGTCTACAAGACGCGGAACTAATGTTTCATAGACTTTTCTGAATGCGTTGGTTGGATACCATGGAGTAAGGCTTTGAGAATAACCTCTGCTGGCGGAGGCTACGTGCTGGAGTATATATTCTTTATAATGTTCGCTGTATGTTACGGCCTCGCAGAGACGCCAATTCAAAGCTGACACTTTTGGTATTAGGTTCTGTTCGCAACTTCTGCGTGTATATTAGTGCGCACTTATGCTCCATATGCCAGACATAGTGGAATTCCAGAAATTAAAACCGTCTTGGGGGGCTTCGTCATGAAGCGTTTTATGGGTGGTTGGACCTTGGCAATCAAGTCTCTTGGATTGGTAAGTTAACCCTATTATAAGGCTTGGATCTAGGTGTGATGGAGTACTAATATTCGAAAGTGCCTCGTTGTCGCTTCTGGAATGTGGCTTGGTAAAGAAGGCCCTCTCGTGCATGTCGCATGTTGCTGTGCAAACATCCTCATGAAGCCATTCGATACGCTGAATAATAATGAAGGTAAGAACATGAAGTCAAGGAAAATTTAAACTTGTGAAACTAAACTCATGACAGCTCGAAAACGAGAGGTCCTGTCCGCTGCTGCTGCTGCAGGGATATCTGTTGCTTTCGGTGCACCTATTGGTGGCGTACTTTTCAGTTTGGAGGTGAGTAATAGTATATATACTCTTTGTCTTCGAAGCCTAATAGCCCTGCTTATTCACATCATTCCAGCAACTTTCCTACTACTTCCCAGACAAAACTATGTGGCAGAGTTTTGTATGTGCTTCTGTTGCTGCCGTCGCATTACAAGCATTAAACCCTTTCCATACTGGCAAGATCGTGCTTTACCAAGTGACCTACACAAGAGGATGGCATCGGTTCGAAATTATACCCTTCATGATCCTCGGCATCGTGGGTGGCTTATACGGAGGCCTATTCATCAAGCTCAACATGAAGGTAGCTAGATGGCGCAAGTCTAGGGGCTGGTCTTTCCCACTTCTTGAAGTAGCCTCAGTTGCCCTCATCAGTGCGCTGGTAAACTTTCCCAACAAGTTTATGAGAGCACAGTCCTCCGAGCTGGTATACCAACTCTTTGCCGAGTGCGCGACTACTACTGATGATCAGCTCGATTTGTGCAAGACCGGCGCAGCGTCCTTCGGCGTTATTGCACTTCTCCTTCTGGCAGCCGTAGCTGGCTTTTGCTTAGCATCCGTAAGCTTCGGCTTAGACATACCTGCCGGTATCATTCTTCCTTCTCTAGCTATTGGAGCTCTCTTTGGTCGTGCACTTGGCATCGCTGTAGAAATGTGGCAAGCTGCTTTCCCAAGCTTTGTTCTATTCGAGAGTTGCAAGCCCGACATACCTTGCATAACCCCAGCAACATACGCGATCATAGGAGCAGCAGCAGCCCTCGGAGGAGCGACGCGAATGACAGTGTCCATTGTGGTGATCATGTTTGAACTGACCGGGGCCTTGACATACGTGATCCCAATCATGATTGCAGTCATGCTCTCTAAATGGTGTGGTGATATCTTCGGCAAGCGCGGCATCTATGAGTCCTGGATTCACTTTAATGAGTATCCATTCCTGGACCATAAAGATGACAGGCCTCCTCCAGATGTGCCTGTCTCGAGATTGATGACGAATGTTGACGACCTTACTATCATTCCTGCAGTTGGACACACTATTGAATCGTTGAAGAGTCTGCTTGCTCAGACACGTTACCGCGGATTTCCAGTCGTGTTGGATACATCGAACCCAATTCTACTTGGCTTCATTACTCGAAATGAACTGTCATATGCTTTGGATTCATCGCTATCATCTACAACCAGCAATCTAGGACCAGAAACACAAACATACTTCGTCCACCAACCCTTTGCGGACCCCAGTGATACTCTTGACTTGCGGCCGTGGATGGACCAAACTCCTATAACACTTAACAGCCACACGAACTTCTCAATCGTCCTACGCATGTTCCAAAGGCTCGGCTTGAGATATGTCCTATTTGTAAATAAGGGTAACCTAAGAGGCCTACTCACCAAGAAGGATGTCTGGTTCATTCTCAATGGCATGGAAAACCGACGAGAGAAAGGCTTCGAAGATGGACCACTTCGAGAGACGAATAGCTCGGAAGCGTTAGGACTGCTTGGTGATGAGGCATCCCAAGGGGTTACCGAGGATGTTGGGCTCTTGGAAGGTCGGAATTCCATACAGTCTTTATGAATTTGATGAAATGTTCTTTTACTTTGTAATGTTAGCGATTTGTTACTTTTGGATGTAGATACCATATAGCGATAGAAGAGACGCGTAAGCACATTGGCTTCATTATGCGCAAATTTCTCATATAATTCATTGCCCTTTTTAGTTCGGCTTCTATATGGACGCTTAGAGTAAATCACCGTCTAGTTCCATTGACTAGTTGAGTACCCTGACCAAGCTCACTAGCGACACAAGTTGCTTCTCTCACAGCACGCGCCACAGTACCTCTCACGCCAGCATCCTCCAAAACAAGTAATCCGCCAATTGTACATCCACCCGGCGAGGAGATCTTTTCCTTAACAATTGATGGATGCTCCCCACTCTCAATCATGCTAACCGTTCCCTTCAAGACCTGACAGGCCATAAGTTGAGCCTCAGCACGCGGCAAACCCATAGCAACAGCACCATCGGCCAACCCTTCAATCATCAACGCTACAAAAGCCGGTCCAGATCCGGCCAAAGCAGTACATACATCCATCTGGGAGGGTGGGAGATGTACAATCTTGCCAATACGCGTGAAGATCCAGGAAACCAAGTCATCCCATTCCTTCGGCAGAGCAGGGCTAGGGATGCTGATTGTCGTCATTGCTTCTCGGACCATGGCCGCAGTATTGGGCATAGCACGCACGACGGTACATCTTTCTGAAGCTGGTTGAGGCCCCTCGGAGTAAAGAGTATCTTCAATCTGCTGAGAGGAGACACCGGCCAGGACACTGATCAATAGTTTGCCCTTTAATGCCTCACGCATGCCTGGAACATCCAACACGTCTTTGAGCATATATGGTTTGCAGCCGAGGATAACAATATCGGCTTCTTTGACGCCTGTTACATTATCATTTTGCAAGATTTTGACAGGAAATTTGGGATATGGCTCCACGGCACTTCGGATACGTGCTGCGGTCCGCTCCGATCTGATACAGGCAATAAATTTGGTGGGTGTTTGGAAAGATAGTTTTTCTTCTGACTCTGAAGGTTCTGAGATGGACATTAAAATGCCCGTTAAGACAGCGAGACCCAAGTTTCCTGTTCACAGATACTTAGCAAATCTGAAATTCAAACTGTGAATATATTTTAGCCGGTATCGGGTTACTCACCACATCCTAGCATAGTCAAGGTCTTTTCCCCTGAATAAGTTGCTTTCTCGGACGACATTTTCGGGTATTTTGCTCTTCAAGCAATTGATCTTAGAAATTGGTAGGAGATCGTATAAAAGCCACCCTTCTCACCATACACGAAGTACACAAACCGGGCCGATGTCAAAAGCTGCCCGCATGCTTGCCCGCCGCATCTCCGGGCGGTGTCCAGAATTTATCGTATTCTGCCTGACAAATATACTTACCGCCTATGCCGTAATCCAATTACCACGCCGTCACAATTATGAACTTCTTGAACTACTTCTAAAGTCAACCAGAAATAGTCAAAAAACGCTGCCAGCCATTGCAAAGATGGCAGACCCTTTTGAGGTCCGTATGCGATTTACCATGCAACTACAGCATCTAAGCGCTGCGATAGCTTCGTCGCATAGAGCAGCACAGTATGCGCTCAAATACCGGGATATGGATGAGGATCTCCATTCGTGTATCCTAGAGCAACTTGAAAGAGTGAGCACCATCTCTCCTTTGCGACTTCTTATGATCTAACAAACTGCTCATAGAATAATATGAACAACCGGGCGAACATAATGTACTTTATCGAACACTTTTGCGAATTAGCTAGCAAGGAAAACCACCTCAACTACGTCCGCATGATTCAACGTGACATGCTCACAATCGTCGACTCAGTCGCTCCCGCAGATGGCTCCGGAGCAGCAAATGTGAAGCATGTGCGCCGAGTTCTACAGGGTCTACAAGATAAAAACTTTCTCTCAAGCGAAACCGTAACAGAAATCGACGCGGCATTGAAAGAGCGGGAAACCAACCCGTCAAATGTCCTTGATTCAGAGGTACCAGAGGACTCTGGACAGACACCGAGCAGAAGCTCAAAGGCCAATGGGACCATTCGAGTTGATAAAAGACAAATTGAGCAGAGGATTGAAGAAGACCGAGAACGAAATAAGAGGTTACGAGAAAGTATGTGGACGGTTAGTGGCAATAATAAAGGGGAGTTCCAGCAGTGCTGGGATGACGTTAGTGATATTGGGGATGATGATTTCCTTGGAGCAGAGGAAGAGTGTGCCGAGAGAAAGCAAATGGTCACGGCTTAAGGAATGGATTTCTCGTCAAGTTGATTGGAATTGGCATATTGCATGAGTGGGCGTTTTGGGTCATTGATTTGATTTATGCATTTATATTTACCGTGATATCTATAAGGCACTTTTAAGCTTGAGTCGAAGGTTGGACAGGAGTTTACTCAGGTTGGTTATAATGGCCTGTTTTACAGGTAGATACATACATTGGCAGTGCGCCTGTTGGCGTGATCTACTTCCCACCTGCTGTTCTAGTACAACACTTATAATCGAAAGCGAGATGTACCATGACCCCTTTTCATAGCCTAGAGAGAATAATCGAGGATTAGGGTTACCCTTACTCTGTTGTAATGTATTGGGTTTTTAAAAATTGCTACGACAGCGAATGATAACTTCAGAAAGTCTATAAATTACGATCAATTACCACGGCATTACCGGGACGTTCAGAATGGGCATTTGGCTACTAGATCCACCCACAGCGAATCACTCAATGATCAGCTTTACATTTTCAGTAATATAGTATGTATACTTATGTAGAAATGGCTTATCGTACTGTGAGCTTTCCACTGTCAAAATGAACATCAACTTGTTAGTATCGGCCGGATCGGCAGAACATAAATCCGGATAAGGTGATAGAGTGGATCCTGCAGTCCCCGCTGGCTGGAGAAGTTTCTTTTGACGGTCAAAATAATAAAAAAAAATAAAATATCAGAAATCTCCAAGCGACGACGCTTTGTGAAGAGTTTTACATCTATTGCACATACCCGAGTTGAATCTGGACAGCTTTTTTATTTCAATATACCCATGTTCTCACAAGTCTTCACAAGGGCAAAGGGCATTTTCTCGAAAAATAATCTCTCAGCCAACGACGACAGCTCTGTCACCGCCCAAGCTTCTCAATCCGACTCCGCTGGTAACAATACGGACGATTCTTCTTCTACAATAAAAGACATGGTGACAGCTACGAGGCAGGGGCACGTGGGATCCCCACGCACGAATGGATCAGATACTGCGACCAACACAAAAAGGAAGACGTTAGAAAGCAAGACAAATGGCCATTCGAATAAGCGGAGAAGGTTGTCGCCTGAAAAACAAGATAGTGTCATTGAGGTCTTGTCGTCACAGCAAGAGGCTCCAGAGGATAATGTGACCATTGAAGTCCCAGTGGTACAGGAGACGGAGAAGATCAGCAACGGAATTGAAACCACACCGAAATCAGAGGGTGCGACCGCCGACGAATTTTCGAAGAAACCAAGTAATCATATCCGGTTTGGAAGTGAAGAGCCTACACTTCCTATTCAGCAGACGAAAGGAATCGAGACACCTCAACCGACGCAAGCTAAGGACGACTCCGAGAGTGACGATGATGAAGCCCCTGAGGTCGTCGACAACTCGGCTCAATTGTTGTCGTTGAAGGTACAAGCACAGAAACAAAAGGAAGCCAAGAGACGGTTCGTCTTGCTATTCATGTTCGCCGTGATAATATGCTAATATTCCATAGGGACGAGATACTGCAGAAAGAAAAGCGGCGGTTACAGGACGAGAAACAGAAAGCCCAAGCAAAAGCGTCGGCCGCAGCCAAAGCCAAAGCAGAGAAATCCCAAAAGCCACAATTCTTTGATTCGAAGTTGATATCAGATGATGACCTTGTTTCTGAGAGTACTGCAACTCTCCAAGAATCCGTTAGAGGCTCCGGTCGCCGGGCGCTCCCCGCTTTGCTTCCAGATGAGATATTAAATGCGGAACCCGTACACAGACTGCCATCACCCCCTCCCGAAGAACAGCAGAAGAGCAATATAAGAAGACAACACAAGTTCTTCAAGGAAGACAAACCTGCGAAAGACATACGTCGTGGAGATGTGACTATCCGTGTCTTGGAAACTAAGAAAGAGATGCTCCCTCCTAAGAGCTCAGCGATTGGGAAGCACGTAAAGGCTTCCTGGCAGGCTGGGCACCGAGGTCGCAATGGCAGTGCTCCGGGGGGACTTAAACGGGTAGGCGGTGGTCCGAAGAGTTTCGTGCGGCGATAAATATCTTTTATCTCCAAGTTATCCTTTGCATACATCATTATTCCTATCAGTTACGACTATTGATATTGGAAGTTATCAGCATTCGCTCAGATCCGTCAGAACCTTGTCCAAAGTGAGGAATTGTACAGTGGATCCATGATGTTGTGGAGTGTCGGGGCGTATGAAGCGTTTCGGTATTCATTCATGTCAGCATTTTGATATTATTGCAAGCGATTACGTTGTTTAGGGCATGTTGGCTATTTCAACCTAGTGTCATAGCCCAAATTCAACATACATAATTTTCTACTCTTAAAAATATTGAAAAGTTAGGGTTAGCACGTGCCAAACGTTTTTAGTAGTGGAGACGTACGAGACCTATTATAGCTAGCGTCATATGGCGGCCCAGACTTTCAGGTTCTCAACTGAACCGGTGGATCCCAGCTCCGTCCGCTGTTAGACTCGGACAATTCAATATCTTCACTTCTCCTCCATCCCTTCATTACTCCCCTTCTGAAAAGCTCAATGGAACTTCATCCGGTTCTATTTTCCTCCCGATCAACTCGATGATCTGATTCCGCAGCAATGGCAACCACTGAGACCTCTCCATTATTACCCCAATATCAGCATCCAGCTGCTAATCCCACGACTACGTCACCACGCTCAGATCGTCGGACCGTGACTTTTAATCCCCTCACCACCATCAGTACATACAATGGCACATCTCAATCCGATTCCACCGTACAGCCGCTACAGGCGAGCTCTCCACCCGTTCGTCATACACCTTTGGGACCTGTCGGACAGCCTATGTTGTCGGCACTGAACAGTAAACTGCGAAGACGTAATAGTGCAGGTTCACCCGTGACGGCGGCGGCTGCTACTATAATTGCGCCAAAGATAGGTCCGCAAAGAACGTCGAAGAACACACAGAAACTGAAACTACTACCTGATCCGGTGACTGGCGACGACGAGGAGATTATCGACGATGGGTTCCCGCGGGACGTATATACGCAGATCAGTCGGATTAAAGAACCTACCGCGCGAAGAGCGGCCGCAAGGCTGGGAAAGGCTGATCGAGACCGTCTACCTCGAGTGACGGCATATTGTACTGCAAACTCATATCGGTTAGATGGGGTGATGCGTTTTCTCAAATCTAGGGACAAGACTCGCGGTGCCAATCCTAAGCTGTTTGATGAGTGTGTATATTCGCCGTTCGACTATCATTACGAGAAGAAACAAGCAGATCTTCAATCTCAGACGAGAAATGGACAGTATCCAGAAGGACCTAGTCAACCGTCCCAACAACAACCTCGTCATACAGGAGAGCGCAGATATTCCGACAGCGCCGTGGAAGTCGAAGAACATGGCAAGAACATACGAGAAGACCTGATTGATTTTCGCGAAGAAGAGGCCACTCGTTCTCAGTCTACTACCAGCATTGGCAAGGCACCAGTGACCCAAGACGAAGAAGGTCTCGACCTCGACACTACCGTACATACACCAGAAGTATTCCTCTTCGACTACGGCACCGTAGTAATATGGGGGATGACACCAGCCGAAGAAGCCCGATTCCTAGCTGACGTCGCCAAATTCGCAACCGCCATTCTCAGTACAGAGGATCGACAGGTCGAAAACTTCAATTTCTACTATGCACGCGACTATCAAGCTCGAATATACAACGACTTTATCTCTCTGCGTGAACCACGAAATCACATGATCAAACTCGCCATTTCACATGCTTTGTCACAATCCGTGAAAACTTCCTTATTCGAAGACCTCGTCTCCGAAACGATCGCAGCTACAGCGCCATTTCCCGCACAAATTGCCAAAACGGGGAGCGTAAACATGACGCGAAAACAAATCAATATGCAAATCGGTGAACTGTTTATTCTGCGTATCAATATCCATTTACAAGGTTCAGTACTGGATAGTCCGGAGTTGATGTGGGCAGAACCCCAGCTGGAGCCTGTATATCAAGCTGTGCGTACATATCTAGAGATGGATCAGCGGGTGGGTTTACTTACGGAGCGATTGGATGTTATTGCGGATTTGTTGGCGGTGTTGAAGGATCAGTTGAGTCATAGGCATGGTGAATATTTGGAATGGATCGGTTTGTCTTCTCTTTTCTTCACTTTCCAGTGAGTTATGAGCTAACACTTTTAAACAGTTATCGTCCTGATCGCTGCCGAGATCTTGGTTGCTGGTATCAACATTATAGTTGATTTGTATGCTGGGGTGGAGTAATTGTATAAAAGCACATGATATTCATGTAGAATATTCTACCTCAGGACTGTACAGGGTTTGAGCTTGTGCATATTATTGATTTTGTATAGGATATGCTGGTGTTGACTGCGTATTTACCAGTCCATTCATACATCCAGGGGGTGAGGCCAGGGTATACCTAAATATCGAGGAATATAATTACATATTACTTAATCTTTGTTCTTGTATCATACTGACAACCTCAACAAATATGGAGTTCGAAGCTAGGCCATAAAGCCCATGACCTATAACAGTAAAAACAGTATTGTACAACCATCCCAACACCATTCTAGCCGTGTTCATAACTAACAGTTGATATCAAAGGAATAGAAACAGACCCATAAACCCCAAAAGTAACTCGCATATATAAATCAAACCTAACTCTCACTCCTTGGCTTTTCATCAACATCCATCGGCACCCCACCTTGACTATCAACCCTACTATTCACAGCCCGAAATCCAGAGAACTGTCTATCCTCCCCTCCAGGACCGCCGGTAGCAAGAGCTGATCTCTCCCTATCCACTCCCTGAGATGGAGTCCTATCATTGATATCATCGTCATGGTGTTCATCGCCGGTACCAATATTTCTGCCGCTGTCGACGTCGAGATTGTTGTTGTTATAGCTGGAGTCGTTAGCTCTATGTTCCGGACTACTAGCCTCGTATTGCATTGCGGCCTCGGCTTCGATTTCTTCAAATGCGATGTTTGATTTGCGACTTCGTTTTACGCGGAGGGGTCGTTCTTGCGGCTGTCGTCAGGTTAGCATTTATTCATTTGTCTGAGGGTTCCGCGAAAAGGGAATACCGTAGGAGGCTGCTCCTCCGAACTACCCTCCGTCTCATCATCCATCATGCTCTGCTTATTTTGCGCATGCGCACTTGTCACAATCGCAGCTGCTTTTGCTCTCAACTCAGCACTAATTAATCCTGCACCCGCACCCGGATGTTGACCCCCAGCAGCATTTCCCGCTGCTGCTGCTGCACCAGCTTCATCCAACATTCCCGTCACAGTCGCCAATCGTTCAAGCATAATACAAGTCTCAAGACGCATTTTTGCGACGTAATATTTCGCGCGTTTGTTGCGTGCGCGAATCAGGTCGTTTTCCGCTTCGATTTCGTTGAGACGTTTTTTCAATTGGATGCATTTCTTCTTGTAGGCTAGTTCGATGCTGGGGGGGTTGGCGGTGTTGTTGGTGGCTGATGTGGAGGGAGCTGAGGTGTCCATTTTGATGTGAGTCTGTGACTGTCGAGGTGATGATTCTCTGTTGGAGATGGAAGAAGGTAGGATGAAGTCGATGATGTATGATGTGACACCGCTTGTAGACGTCTCAATTAGGTCTCGGATTGTTTAGGTCGGTTAGGCAAAAAGATTCTTTGACAAAGACCGGCCAAGATGATGGTTGAATATCCTTTCAGGTCTAAAATAGAGAAACACTGAGTAAGTCGGACAAGAAACAATTGATGACGAACAGACAATTGGAGAAATCCGAGCTCCTACAGACGTGCGTTAAGTGACTCTATCAGCTTTAATAACCAAGAGATGATAGCCTTGACTGATGGAGAAGCTGTTCCTTGTTTGACTGAGAGTTGAAGTCGTCGCAGCTCGATGAATGGATTCTGCCGTCGGTCGAAGATCCAGCTCAAAGCGGTGAGAATAGTGGATACAAGTAACCCTAACATTAACTACACTTCCACCACTACATCTCTGTGTTGGAGCTAAAGAGGACTGCATTCAGACTTCCAGTTCAGTGACTACGTGCAGTGCTGATTGGATTTGGATCCAGTCATTCACTTCCCAATTTAAGCTAAGATTGGCAGTCTTATTTGCCCTCATTCTCCCTTTTCAATCTTGTCTGGGGCTAGGGTTTACTCTGACCTCATTGTCCAGCTTTGAATGTCGGGATAACACATCAGAACCATTTTAACCCTATTACTGTAAACAGAAACGATCGCGGACATGGATGAGCTTCGGTTCCGTGCCGCGATGCTCTGTCTGGGTTTAAACGCACATTACTGAGGTCGCGGGGACGGATGAGTTCTTGATTCCCGTGCCGTGGTCCATGCAGAAGAAGTATTATATTGCAACTACTTGAGGGCAGAGGTATAAAAGCCTGAGGGAATACACGAACATTCCAAGAGGTCAAACCATCCAGTCTTCTCATCTCTTCCGCATTACGACCAGCTCTTTCTTTGACTTAAGTCTTTACACACAAGATGGCTCCCATCCACTTTGGCTCCTTGGTCTATGACTATCAAGCAATGGACGTGATCGGTCCCTTTGATTTGATCGGGTCTGGAGGTCGCTTCATTCTAGACGCAGTGAGCTTCTTTACCGATATTGACAGGAAGCTCATCGACCGTGCTCCCGAATTCGTTTTCCATCATATTGGAGAGACGCTCGACCCGGTCCGACTCCTCACGAGCTCGCTTGTCGTCAATCCTACCGACACGCTTGACGACTGTCCTGAATTGGACTATTTGCTGGTTGGCGGTCCCAATATCAAGGACTTCAAATTGTCACCACGGTACGCGGAATTCATCCGGCGACACGTAGCTGCTGGAAAAATCGTCTTTACTACCTGTACTGGCGCTGCAGTTCTTGCTTCAACAGGCGTCTTGGACGGGAAGAGGGCCACCATCAACAATCTTGAATATGAATTCGCCAGAAAGCAGTATCCCAAGGTTAAATGGACCAAGGAAACGAAGTGGGTTGTTGATGGAAATATCTGGACTGGTAGTGGAGCAGTGGCTGGAATGGATATGTTCGCGCACTGGTTCAAGGAAAGTTTTGGCTTGGATCTTCTCACTGAGGCCTCTAAAGGTCTTGATTATGAGCCTCGTGACATTAATGGGCTGTTCAAGGTGTTTCCACAACGGTATGATGAGAATGGAGTGCAGCTCTCTACACTTGTGTTGCCATAAAGAGACTGGACGATCAGTTACAAGAGGCCAAAATAAATTAGTGACAGCATCAATGAACTACTAGAGGTTACCAACTGAATCGAAAACACTATCTATCACCAATAGATCATTCCAAAATAGAGAGTGTCAAAATGACCTCTCATAGCATCAACTCTGTCTCCATGTTCAATGTAAGCTAGCCCTAACCGGAGTCCAGAACCAGATTGAAAACCACTCGCGCTGAAATCCTGCCATGGCCTTGGATAGAAAATCCCAATTTAGAAAATGAGATGGTTATCTGCATGCTACCTTGAGATCCATGTCAGACACCTGGATAGTCTTTGAAGCCAGAGAAACCGGAAATTAGGCCGTTCGGCCAAAAACGACGCCTCGTTAAGGGGTTGGTAGCGTGGGTGGTTTTATAAGCATTTTTGAGACACTTTTCCGGCTGACACTAGATCATACTGAATACAATCTCACTCGCGTGAAGATTCCTCTCGGGGTTCTAGGATATAATGTCCTAAACAGCCTAGTTTAGCCTGGATGAATGATCATCTGGAGGAATGTACGTACATCGAGTTCCCCATCTTAGCCTCCGATCGCATGCAATTTTGTAGAGCACCAGGTCCGAACCTTGGTAGTAAAGTCGAAGTGCTTTCATCTCGTTGTCAGATGCTGCCTACAAACGTGTCCCAATAAGCGTATCTGTCACGACACGACCAAAAATCTGCGATACCTGGTTCGCGTAGTTGTATCACAACTCTCACAATGGTGCATTGCCACTGGCTTTCTCTTGGAAGAATAGCCGGGGGTGTTTGGTTCTCCGGGAGTAAAATTGCGAGTCCAGAGCTGGGTTCAATATCGACTTTCAGATCATCAGTAATGATTTCTGACGTCCAAGGGGGCTCACATTTTGATCCGTTGTGACTTTTACGCAGTTGACTAGGGCAACATTGAAAGTATGGTTGACGACTCAAATCGACTCGATTAGACGTATTTACCCAACAGATTTGATTTTGTTATTTAAGATTAAAGACATAGACCTGTCAGACATTTAGTTGGGAAGTACCTGCAAATCTAGTATGACTGAAGAATCTACGTTCATACTCCCTTTATCATTCAGCCATCGTGTTGCCGTAATTCGAGAGTTCGACTTGGCCTGCCCACTTACAACCCCATCTCCTCTGACGAACCAGTTATAATTCTCATGATAGTAGGACTCTCTTACAGTCTGCTCATCACCATATTGGTAGTATACCCGCAACTCTCTCTTGGTGGTATGAAGAAACTCAACAACGTCGAAGTTCGCGCCGTGAGCCATGTTAGGGAAATATCAAGGCTGACTGGTATATGCATGTACCGGAGGATGGAAGACGGAAATGGCAGGGTGTTTGAAAGGCCCTCGGCCAGTCGGGGAGTATAATGGCTCACCTGCTGAAATGAAGAGGAGCGAACCGCTGGAACCACACATATAGACACCGATTGCTCCAACAGGTTAGGTCTTTGTATGTATGCGTCACCACATGGGCATGTTTGTAGCCTTCTACGGAGCGATTACTCTCGTGGTAATTGAGCTGAATATTTTCGCAAGAGATGTTTGAGATCTATTGGTGGTTGTCAGCTGTAGTGTTATGTGGCTCGCATCAGTGATGGGTGTCTTCTGGAGAAGGACACTGATGTGTTTCGCTAAGTAACAGGGATATAAAGCCCCGAACTCATATACAGAAAATATGCTCCTAATCAGGCCAGCTGTTACAGAAATCCCCCCACCTCCATCTTGGGGATTGACCTAGTATATCATTTTGCAGTTCCTCTAACATCCCGGCCCATCTATATCTCGTCGACTATCAATTCAATCTAACGTTTTGTTTACGGTCAGTGGACTGAAGACAATCCAGAATAGGGACCCCCATCTTCATGTATATCACCTAAACAAACGAATTGCCTAGACCTATAGTATACAATGTGGTTCAAAAGCTGACCAGATTGGAACGATCCGAGTATGGCAGACCAACGCAGCCGTCGCCCTCAAGGACGAAGTATACATCTTCTATTACGATAAAGACTCCGGAAATCTAAGCTACCTCATCAAGCTCGATCGCCGAGGTACCATCACAATCGCAAAGGGGTCGAACATCGGTGAAATCCGAGGCAAGATCTCCAATGACACGACATGGCCTCTTGCAACTGCCGCTGATCTTGCCAGTGGATCGTCTGGGTATATTATACTGATGACCAGGGGATGGTCCATAACGTGCTGACCAAGAACCGGGGGAGCGGACTGGGAGAGCGGAGAGGCTCATGGCGCGCCAGATGAAGTTGGTGGGACATCATACCATTTCTGTATGGTACTATCCCAGTATGACTGAACCGCGGATTGTGACTTCGGATTTGGCGAATAACTTCTTGGGAGAAGCGTACTACATGGATAAAAGTTAGATGGATGCAGAGATCATACCTTGAGTCTGTTGAAATGGAAATCTTACGCTCCAAACTCTTCGTATGTGTAGAGTATGCTTGGTTGCGTAGATCGACATCGTTAAGAAATCCCTAGCTAGGTAGTCTTAGAGATGCAATCTCAGTCAATAAGTACGATTCATTCGTCTAATCGCTACAAAACGTCGTGAAACCTATATAACCTCAAATGTATAGAACAAAATGAGACAAACTCCCTGAAACAAACCAGCGCAACAAAATCATCTCATCATCAATGTCCACCAGTTGTGGGAAGACCCAAAAAGACCTTGAACGAGTCGTAGCTAGATATGCGTTAGCTTTTATCGCCAATTAGGTAATTCAGACAACTTACATTAACCACTGGAAACCAGTCAGAGTACCCAACATGGCAATTCTCACGGGCAATCCATTCCACAATCCAGAGAAACCAATCTTACTGTATATGCGTGACACGGCGGTCATTGCACCCTCGCCAGCTACAACAAAGTTAGCAAAGCTCAATCAAACCAGACGATAGACAAAACATACCCTTCCGTTCCGCATTCAATTTGCTAACCATAACGTCGGCCGGATGACTGACAATAGCACACAAAATACCAGCAAGATAACCACCAGCAAAACTGACCCCCGTCTGCGTCAACCGACTATAACTCTCCTTTGGACCACCCAAACTCCGATAAATCATATTCACTACTTCCTCGAAGGTAGCAAATTTGGTCATGGTATAAGGAATCTGTCGAGCCCAGAGCGGGTACAACCCTTTATACAAACTGCCCATTCCTTCCTTAGCCACAACTTTACTCCATCCTTCGCGGAGTGTGGATGCATAAGGTGGTAGAGTAGTCTGCATCCGGACCTTGACAGCTTCAAATGGACACAAAGCCATATCCGCAAAGAATTCGGCACTGGCACTAGCACCCAGATAGACGAGTGTCCGATTGGTGTTGGGGAATAGTTGTTCGCCGTACCAATATTTGAATACTTCGTAGAGACCGTATTTACCTGCTCCTTGGAAGGAGTAGCCGACGAACGTGGGTGCCCAGCCGAAGAAGACGCCGCGAACACCTTCTTTGGCGAAGATGGAGCGCCAGGCGGACAGGTTGGATTTGTAGATGTTGGGGTCGACTTGGCGGCGACATTTGACGAGGTCGAGGGGTGTGACGGCAGTGTGTGTTGGGCCTGTTTATTAGTTTAGGTTTTGAATCATTGTATTCCAGCGAATGAATACTAACCACAAGCTAGAGCACGTCAGTGATGCCGTATCCCAAGGACAGAATTGGACTTACCGATGATACCACCCAATGCACAACTGGTGAAATACTTTGTAGAATAAGGCTCAATCCTGCCAAAAGGCAAGCTCTTCTCGTTCGTTGCCATTTTCAATCAGATCGCCGTAAGGAAGGCGCTTAGATATGCTGATACGTAAGTCTGGGTATAACGACTGTATAATCAGTCAAGGGCTAAAGAACGGACTATATGTGATGAATTTCAAAACGTAGAACAAAGCCAAGCACTTACTTATACTGCAACTAGTTCAGGAACAAGTAATCAAATCTAGATTCATACTACGTCAGATGAAGTATGCACTCGGTGGAACCGTACGTACCATGGACTGTCAACTCCGGAACGAGCCAAGTCAATTGACCCTTGAAATAGAGAGAAGTAGATGAAATCGGCACAGCAACCCGAGTAGATATAAGAAAAGAAGTAAGAGAAGAGATCCGATGCATCCGAGCTGTTGATGATAGCTCGATCTATGACGCAAGCGGGATACTCCGCTCCGATAAGATATGCACGTGATATGTACGTACATTTTGTTCCTCAAGTTACTAACTTCCGTGTATCACACTCATTATACACATAATGAGTCAAGTAAAAGAACTGAGATCAACAGCCCCCGCCATCTTCGACGCCAACTTAATCCCCATCCCATCCAACCGATATAACCCCTCGCGCGCCTGCAACCTCTGCTTCGGCGTTGAGAAATGCGACGTCAACACATGCCAAAACGGCCACAGCAGTTCATACCCTTCAATTGCTTTGATGCGCGTATTCGCATGCTCTGCGCCTTTTTCATTTAAGGGATTGCCGCTGGAATCCACATCACCCAAGGTAAACGGCATGCTGCGGCAGATATCGACGATCATATTTTGGACGATTTCGTAGGGTGTGCTTTGTGAAAGCACCGAGGACGATGGGGATGCTGATGTTCTGTTGGTAATAGGGCTGTTCATGATAGTGTCCGGGGTATTATAAGCTGTAGTCGTGAAAACAGCCTCGTTGAGTCTGTCCAGTCGCGTGTAGATGTTGTCTATAATCGTCTGCACAATAACCCGCGAACACCGATAGAAATTCCACAGGGTAGCTGCCGATACACTCACACAGGTAATCAATGCTTCGCCCGTGGTAGAGTATACTACCCTTGGGAGCCATTGATCGGGCACATTTCGACACCAGATACCCAATTCTTCATCCAGAGTCTGCACACGCGATAGACTATTCGCCAGGTATTCCAAGCCGAGATCCTGAACGTTGGAAACCGGATTGCTACAGCTCAGTAGAATGGGGGCGTCGAGGACGAATTGACTCAGTTTCGTAACAATGCTCATCAAGCTTTGTAACGGGTCAGATCGATCGAAGAGATCAACCAGAAAGTGCAAATCGAGTTTCGGTTGCGATCCCAGACCCAGAATTTGAATTTGCTACTCTTCATCAGCTATCTGATCTTCTCCTGAAAAATGTCGTACTTACCAACTGTGTATACGCAAAATTAAACAAACACCGACTATACTTACTATCCAACCTCCTATACGTATGCAACCTCGCCACAAGCTCCAATCCAGCCGTATGCGAACTCTCCAACTGCGTTCTTTCACCATTAATATCCTCAAAAATCACCAACAACAAAATAGTCGCCAAGGTACTATCCTGCATTTTCTCCACGGGCATCGAAAGAGCCTCTTTCAACCCTTGTAGCGCAAGGCCGTATCTCTGTCTTGCCTGAAACGCGAGATGGCGGTCATGCGCTTCGTTGGCGTAGGATGTTAGGGCTGCTGCTTCAACGGCCCAGCGTAGACACGATGAGGGACTACCGGCCACTTCGTTTTCGCGACATAGCACGTAGAGTAAAGGAATGGATTCGAGGGCTCCCGGGAGAGAATCTGGTGTTCGTTGGGTGGTGTATTGATCGAAGAAATAGCAAAGTGCGCGATCGTCCATGCTCACATCCGCAAGCCAGCGCGGTTTTGTCGTCAATGCCAATGCATCGTGTTCGTGCTCACGGCTAAGATCTGAGGATTTGTGTTGTGCATCGTTACCGGCTACCAGCGTCGATCTCCATTTCCGTGAAGTATGATGCGATTTGTCCTGAAGGACGATCTGTGGTCGATATCCGGGACATGTCTTGCCGTATATCTCACAATTTCTGCATCCGGGTCGCGCCTCGTCGCACTATTTACCCTGCAATCAGTCTCAACTCGTTAATCAGACTTGGATAGAGGACAAACCTTGATCTTGCGACGGCGACACAGGTAACAGCCAGTACTAGGCCTCCCACTATATACCATCGTAATCACAAGAGTTTATACAGTCGGAATTGAAATCACCGCGTCGCACGTTGATATGGATACATGATCGAGTTGTGACAGTCGCACGGTGACTTAGGTGAAAGGCAATGGTTCAATGCGCCACAGTGTGGCGAAGAGTTATTGCGAGCAATCCGACGCAACAAATCAATGCGAATAGACTGAACAGCTTGACTGAGGAGATAGATGATACCTGGATGAACTGAGACAAACACCAAAGTTTAAGTCAGCTGGAACATCCAAATTACCAATCGGCTTGCCGAGACCCGCCGGTAGTGCTTATCGGCGATAAAGAAGCACTCCCCACGTTGATTGACCTCATACTACTTACAGTTAAGTGCTTATTTCTTAGCACAACTCTCTAAATGTAAACACAGTAAATGATTTGATCCAGACATCTCTAACATCATACACGATAATTCCTATATATCCGGTCCAATAATGAACTAGAGACATTCGACTAATGAATTGTACGGCCAATGTTGAGATCCAAGATCAAGATCAATACCAAGACCAGGTTGTTTCAATGAGACATAAAAAAAAAAGGCGACACGCTAATGTGATGGATGAATGTATGTAGTAATCAAGAAAATCCACGTGGTGAAGGGTATTCAGGATATAAAAGGAACGGAAAGGAACGACCTCCAAATGCTTATGTTATGTTTGCTGGTAATCTGTAAGGTAATGTGGTCATGTTCGTAAGTCGTTTAATGATGAGTAGGTGCATCCGTCATGGCTTGGTCTCCTGACTCCCCCAGAAATATTGGTGGAGGTGGCTCAGAGGTTGTGACGGGTTCGTGGTGATGGTGATGCATTGCTTGGTCGTCTTCGGTCGGTCGTAGACCCGGTGTGCTTGATGCACTTTCAATCGCAACGCTGTTTTTGAAGAGTTCTTCGGGAGGTGGTGCAAAGGACCATACCTGTACTCGTTATTATACGAAAAAATCTAAGGGGATGGGTGACATACCTCCATTACAGTGCGGCCTGACCGACTCGCCATTATCACCGCTTTCTCTTCTTCAAATGCAACCCTCCACACAGCTTCAGCTGGCGTTGACAATTCCCGCAGTAACTGTCCCGTTTTAAGATCCCAAACCTTGACTCGCCCATCGCTACCACCGCTAACAATGCGAGTGCTATCGAATTGCAGGCTGGTCACGCTGTTATCATGAGCAGCTAACCGGTGGATGGGCGCCATGCGCGTCAACGACCAAACCCGTACAGATCCATCAGATCCGCCAGTAACCAACGTGTCGCCTCTCATCTGCAACTGTCCGACCAGGGAAGTATGTCCCTGAAGAATCGCATGGCACTGCCCGGTGCTCGGGTCCCAGATACGCACGCTCGTATCCAGACTACCCGTCGCGATGCGTCGACCGTCAAAGGCAATGGCATAAATCTGACTGAAATGGCCAGATAACGTTCTTAAACACCGTCCTTCTGAGATACTCCATATCCGCGCGGTTGTGTCGTAGCTACCGGAAACCACCAAATCGCCGTGGATGCCTAGACATCTTACACTAGCTTGATGGCCTACCAGCACACCCCGGCAATTACCAGTAACCAAATCCCATATCCTCAAGGTCGTATCTCTTGACCCAGAAATTGCAGTATTTTTATCTGACATTTTCAGGCATCGTACCGTCGAGGTATGGCCGCGCAAAAGATGTGTGCATGCTCTAGGTATCGTTAGTCGACTCTTGACGTAACCAGAGGGGGAAAGAAAAAAACGCTCACCCTGTTGCCATGTTCCAGACTCGCACTTCACGATCGCAACCACCACTCACAAGCAAATCGTCCCAAGGAACCATAGCCCATACACCCATGACATGCCCCTCTAACGTCTTTTGGTTCCCTCCACTCGTGTCGTAGACATGAATTTTTGCATTATCCAACGCAACTACAATATATTTTGACGTCAAATGTAAACTCGTCACAACACCTTGATCGGGTGTGACGTGTTTCTGTGCACATCGCCCCCCTTTATGCCACGCCGATTCGACCATGTACTTCTTTTTAAAGTGCGTCCGATACGACGCTGGCTGAACACGACGTTTCCGAGGGGACGACGGCGGCGGCCACGATGACTCTAGCGGATGATCTGTGGACATGGTGGTTACACTATCAGCAGCGGAGGAAGTCGACTTCCTCCTCCAGTGTTGAAAGGTAGTGTGATTCTGATACTCGCTGCTGGTCGAACTTCGCGAGGATAATCGTCGGCTGCCGTGAAACGGGTCGACAAAGTCACGATCGTCATCGGATGGTCTTCTATAAACGTATGCATGTCTGTCGCATAGATGCTTCCAGGTTATATCGTCATTGATAAGTTCATGCCATCGTTTCGAAACCTGCGATGCTCGGGCGAGAGTTTTCGGATCATCCACAAACGAGAGAACCTATAATCCGACTCGATCAGTATGACAATACCCAAGTCTCAACTCGACCATCATACCCTTAAACATATCTCATTCGGAAAAGCCAGAAAAGGATCCTTCCTCAACCGCGGACTGATGAAACTCGAAATAAAACTGAGCTGCTGATTATCGCAAAGATTCAAAATATCCACCAAAAACTTTTGTTTCTGGGCACTGCCCAACGAACTGAAATGTATTTGAGCCTTGAGTAGCAGATCATCCTCTTCGTCTTCGTCTAGTTCGCCACCACCTCTATCATTACCCTCTAGGCTGGACTGCCAATTTGATACTGTATGATGCGGTGTCGGACTCGGTGCTGGAGTCGGCGGAGAAGTCGGTGCGGATGGAAGCAGGTTGTTTGGAAGAGGAGATGCAGACTTGCTCGGAGTGGGTAGAGGTTTCGGGTGGTGGTTGTGACTGGAGGTATTACTGCTATCGGAAGACATGTCTTTGCCTCCTGCGGGTATGCGAGACGGCATATCCGTTAGTGATTGCGGTACGCTGCGAGGAATACCATTCTCGTGGTCAGCATCTCGTAGACGCTGACCCAGGGAGCGCGGCGGTGTATACCGTGCAGCCATGGGAGATTCTAGCTCCGAGTTGAGGGGTTCGTGCGATTATAATATGACGGGCGGACTTATGAGATTAAAGGACATAACCTCCGCAATCAAGAAAGAGAATCTCGCTGTTGGTTGTATCACGTCCGGCAAGGAGCTGTTCTCATGGACGCAGTTGAGGAGATATCCGATCGCTCGTTGGCTGATTGAGCCGAGATCGAAACGGTGAGGCAAGTGTGGAGTCTAGCAATAATTCCGGATAAGCCAACGTCAATGTCCAAGATAATCAAGATATTTCTCGCAGAATATCCATTTCTGTTGCTATGCAGATAATAGAAAAGAAGAAACCAGAGAGAAAGCGGGCGGAGAAGTCCTTAGTAATCAGCTGAAGATGTCAGTGGCTGCTCGAGGATGCTTTTATCTGATTAGTCCGTCGTGATCCTCTCTCGGCGGCAATTGTCACGCTATCCAGATCCTCTATCAGTAAATGAAAGGAATAGAGCGACAGCTGTATACCAGGTGCGAGTTGTAACGTGTCTGACGACAGTCTATCGTGCGACAGCCTCTGATTAAACCGGGGCAAATGATATGGTCTCCTGCATTTCCTCCATCTACATGTGAGAAGCATCAGGCATGAATCTGTACAGACGTGATGGCAGCCATGCATGATATGCAATGGTTAGACAGATTCATATATTATAAGTATTGAAGGATCTCACACATTGCTTACAGATCTCTGGTTCTGTCGATCGGATCCCCGGATTTTCGAATTTGGGTTCTTATGTATTCATATCATAATATCTGGGTCATCTCTTGATCCATGGATCAATTCTCGTGAAGCATCCATGGCGTCACAAGCATTTCTAGATGAATATCGAGAAAATGAAAACAATAATAGTACAGCCAGACAATCTATAACAAAGTCGGAAGATAGTAACATAGAAAAGGCAATGTCCAATATGAAGATGACTCCAAAGATATTATGCATATCCCAACTAATGCGCGTGTCCAATCTGCAAGAATAAAGGCAGAATCATACCAACAACAGAGATTGCCACATCCTGGATTGATCCTTTGTGTTTCGGGGTCTCGCGCGAGTCGGCGTAGCCATTGGAATGAGACGGAGTCGATGGAGGCGTGATTTCTTGTATAGTGTGCATCGCGACGTATCTATGCTCAAAAAATTAGTGAACAGTAACCAAAAATCCAGCCAAGTTACACACAGAAACGTCCCCGCAGAAAATAATAAAAGAACCCCAGTCCGCCAACGATTCGAAGCTTCATCGCTCCCGAACCCCGAACCAAGAGTGTGCACAATAATAAAAGTTAATAAAGCTCCAACTGGCGCAGCCAAACTGAAGACTAGCAAATGCCGACCCGCAACTCGACTGGAAAGTCCCTGCTTCAAAAGCACGGATGTCAAACCGAATGCAGCAGGCGCTTTGTGTACAAGAAGTGCAAGAAAGATGATAAAACTCAAGTTTGAGTTTGACCCTGATGCCCCGAGGGCAATACCGTCGGCCGCAGCATGAATGACCAGGCCAGTAGTCATTGCGAAACTGTGCGTGTTGTGACCAGCGTGATTGTTGTTGTTGTTGTTGTTATCTTGGTCTAGTAGTCCTCCATCGCGAGTGGGTGAAGAGTTTCTTCGTAGACCAGATCCTCCGAGATTGTCCAGTGAGATGTGGTATGGTGTCCGTCTGGGTTTTGGCGGAGAAGCGAAAGCGGGTAATTTATCGATCAGATACATCAGAATGAATCCGCTGACGAGCGATATGCCGATCCAAGCATGGAGTGCGCGATCTTCGTCTTCGTGGTCGTGGTCGTGGTCGTGGGAGTCACCAGCGCCCATGTCCCGGTCGATATCCAAGGCATGCACTTCTCCCGGTTTTGTTGGCGTCTTTGGCGGCACTGCTGCTGCATCTCCAAATGAAGAGGCACCATCCGGGATGACGGGGCCTGGTAGAGCATCAATTTCTGGGACGGTTCTCGGCGGTAGAATATGAGCGGGTGAACTTTTGTGCTGCCAGCGAACATCCAGACCCCCGGTTTGAAGACTCGATTGCGAGCGATAATTTTGAGAACTGTAGAGTGTTTCAACACCTTCGGGTATGATAATCACCAGCGCTGTGCCGACCAGTATGCCCATGCCTAAGGATGAGATGAATCGGGACTGTGAGGGAGATAGAGTGAAACTGAGCGGCAATGCACCGACGACGAAGGAGCTGATATAATCATAACCATGTCAGAAAAATGATACAATACATGAAGCTGCTGATACGCACGTCATAGCCATCACAATGCTCAAAACGAGCAGAGTGAAGAGGCCCTCCATGGTTGGATTGTAGTGTCCTTTGCAATGCGCTCGCTATTTAATCGGGTCAATAATGGTACATTCTGTCGCTGCGAGTATTGAATTTGATGCTCGTAACCATTGGTCAAGTACCAAGTATAAATGATAGAAAAAGTGAAGAATCTATTTGGTTGTTGAATGCTTGTATCGTAGTTGGCGCTTCAGTCAGACTTGCGGAGCGTCAGCCACATATGCTCTTTGCCGTCAGCCAATCAGATAGTGCTGATAGTCGACAAGACAAGACTTCATCATAAACGGCATCAAGAGGACATGATACTTAATTATAACAGAGGGAATATGCCAAATTGAGAGCGATAATGCTTTAAACCTCTAGACCAAGATAATAGCAAATCGACCGGAGATTTCTATGTGCTGTAAAATCCACATCTGATTGGCTGATGCATAATACAAACGAACTATTCCCAATCCGGCTTTAATCACCTTCTTTCAACGACGCGACGCGCCGAGCTTTAGACAAGCTACCTCAATTGATAGCTTCATCTGTTCAGCACATCATAAATATACAGCACTCATCATGGCCGACTCAGGCGACTGTAAGTCTACAACCCCCATGCGAATCATCATTCTACACTAACGCAATATCGATAGGGACCTGTGATGCCAATGATGCAGTTCAACTCACTCTAATTCAGCCTGGAGAGACGAAGCCCATTACAGCTGAGATCTTTCATCCTCAATTCACATACCCTATCTTCGGTGACGATGAGCAGATATTCGGTTACAAAGGTCTCATCATCAGATTACGCTTTGCGACACATGATTTGCGTACTCATGTCCATATTTCGTATGACGAGAAGTTTAGAGCTGTTGGTGATGCGGCTGCGGTGGACTTGAATAAGACATTGAGAGAATGGGTTCCGGAATGTAAGCTTTGATCAAGGATGAGGGAATTTTGATTCAGTCTGACACCTTCACGTATAGCTGCCTTTACAAAGTTATCGGATTACGAGAATACTGTTCAAAACGATCAGAAAGCAAAAGACTTTACGCCACCTGGAAAGCTTGTCCACTCATACAAAACGAAAAACAGGAACTATGAGATATGGGCCGGGTCACTTGCTGACGATGCCGTTCGCGCACTGCTTGGACGAGCACAGGGTTTTGTCCCGTTCTTCATTGAGGGAGGGGTTCCGTTAGTTCTCGATGATCCAGAATGGACTCTAGAGAGGTGGATCGTGTATTTTGTGTAAGAATTATCGTCTCTTCACGGATGCTCATGGGCTAACGATGATTCTATCAGCTACGAAAAAGTCACACCTACCACGCCAACGGCGTCCCAGTACTCCTTTGTCGGATACTCAACCGTGTATCGCTGGTGGTTCTTCCCAGAACAACATGGAGATAATACTGTCAAAAACGGCCCCTTTCCATATCCCGAGGAAATTCGATTTTCGCAGCTTCCATCCCGTTCACGCATCGCCCAATTCCTCATCTTACCTCCACATCAAAGCTCCGGCCATGGATCTCAACTCTACAACGTCATCCATAAAGCTTGCATAGCCGACAAGACCGTTGTCGAACTAACAGTAGAAGATCCCAACGAATCCTTCGATGTCCTACGTGACTCAGCAGATTACCACAATCTCTATCACGAATTCCGTAATCAAGACATCAATATCAACCCAAACCCCTATCCCAAAGAAACCGGCAAACGTCGGCCACGCAACGTGCCCACATCTTCACTGATACCAACACAAAAACTCTCCGACATTCGTACGAAATACAAAATCGCCCCCACGCAATTCGCCCACATTCTAGAAATGTACCTCCTCTCCCGCATCCCACCTCGCAAACGCGGAGGCGCAAATATGGCCCGCCTCCTCATCAAAAAGCACACCGCCGACGACGAAGATGATCGGAGATACTACTGGTGGCGCTTGTTGGTCAAGCAACGCCTCTACAAACGTTCGCGCGACATCTTGGTTCAATTAGAGCCCCAAGACCGGATTCAGAAACTCGATGAAACAATTATGAATGTAGAGGAAGGGTATGATCAGTTATTGACCGTATTCGATGCGCGTGAAAAGGGTAGAGCGACCTTTGCGCCGGATGTGGATTCGGATGCTGATGCGGTTATGACGGCGGCGGGCGTTACTACTATGGGTGCGTTGCGGAATAAACGGAAATATGCAATTGAAGATGAGGATGAGGAGGATGAAGATGAGGCTGAGCTTGTTGAGGGGAGCAAGCAGGCAAAGAGGCCCAAAATTTAGCCATGTAATACTTTCTTATTAATCAAATAATTACGTTGATAACTACCTGCTACAAATTTGAAAAGACCTGCTCATTAACCATAGCCAGGGTTCAAAAGAGCATCCCGTACTCAAGTCCTACACAGATACCTATTAATTCCGTGAGTACGCCGCCAAAGCATGATTCATTCCAGTCACCATCTCCACAACCTATGTATGATACGAAGGCGGCGCCGTCCCCGAATCCAAAGTATCAATAGTCTCCAAGGTGACCAACGACCCCGTCTCAAGACTGAACATGGTACTGCCCCGGGGCGAGCCGGGTCCTCCAGAGGCAGATATAACTCCCGGGGTGACTGATCTGCGGATCTCCAAGGTATTATTATTGTTGCTGTGATTTATCCGTTCATATGGTGGAGGAACGGAACGGGATCTTGAACGGGTTCGACGACGTGCTGATGTTGATGTTCCATCGGTACCGACTAATTGGCCGACGTATTCGAGGACACGACGCAGTCCCAGAATCTCGGCTTGCATCATGCGCTGCTCAGGTTCTTCTTCATTTGAAGCAGCAGAAAAATCTGATACCGAGTCATTATTATCGATATCGCGAGAAGTCAATCTATTCTCCTCTCCCGAGTCGATAGTGCCACGCACGTGATGAAACTCAGGAAGGGAATGACTCGACGTCACACTCGCAGCCTGAAAATAAGACCGCCCTTCCCACCACTGACGCCAGCGAAGTCGTCGTGCCGCATTCCTGTATGCTCGTCTGGCTCGTAATTCTTCCCGTCTGGATGCGAGATCTCGTCGTCGTCGACGGAAGGCTGTTGTGTGGCCGATTATGCGGAAGAAGAGGCCGATTATTGAGGCAACGAGTAGGAGGATTGCGCATGATCGGAAGAATTCTTTGGTCGGGGAGCGGATTGGTATTGGGAGGACGACCTCGGTAGTGTTTGGGTCGGGATGGTTGGGGGTGGTGTCCGGGAGGTCGGATTTTGGAGGAGGTGGATGTGTTATGCTGGGTTTCGATGGTGTGGTTGTAGAAGGTGTAGCGATGGTGGACGGTGAGGGTAACGCCGTCCCGAGGCTGGTAGGAACGCCGTGTTTCGAAGGAGTCGGAACCGCATGGGACGGTAAGACCGATGGTTTATGTCCGTTGGTATCATGGTCCGGATTGGAAGGTTTCCCAGAAACAGGACTGCAGATCGGGGTGATCCTCCCAGGCGCTAATAACCCAAATCGATATCTTATAGACCAGTAGAATTCAGGAACCTTCTGCCAGGAAGACTTCAAGTAGCAGAAAAAGTTTTCACATTGCTGCCATTTCGCAAGTAATGGCATGCAATCTTGCCTCAGTAGCTGGCGGATCTTCTTTTCTTGTAGTGCCACGGAGGTCTCTAGTTGCTGCAACTCATATTGAAGCACTTGTAACCTCTGGAGCTCCGTTTCCAGTTTCACGTCGAGCGAAATTCCGGAATTCTTAGAACCAGTATCCGGATCGATGGCATCATTATCATTGGTATATTTCCAAGCTCCCTGATTCGATATATCGCCAAAACTCACAGGAAAATTAGACAATCGGAGGATTTCAATCTCATCATCCTCACCGAGCGAGATGGTAAAACCGACATCGTCTTCAAGGGTGTGGCTGCGATCCGTATCATATATAAAAGTAAACACACGAACATTCAGCCCACGAGGAGAAGCACTCAGGGGCGCCGTAACACATGTACTGTGCCAAGTTGCTCGTAGATTGGTACTGCTATTATAAGGGCTAGATGGAATCACACCTGAGCCCGAGGCTGATTGACCTTCCCAACGATGGGAAAGCTCCCTTCCATTCACGGATACTGTAGCATTGTCACAGAGGCCATCCCTGCTCCCTATGAACAGGTTGACTGGCTGAGACGAGTTCAGCGGCGATACCGACAGGATGAGCGGGCTCACTTACCCAGACATCTTCGTTGTGCACCGAACAACTAGCACATGATGCTTCGAATTGGACGTAGATACCATCCGAATCTAGGACAGGCAATCAGACAATTGTACCTAGGTAAGAACGAAGCAGGCGATAGGCAACATACCTCGCCACAAAAGCACCAAGTCATCCTGTGTAACTGCATGCGTGGAAGTTGGTAGACCATGACAAATGATGGGGGCGAGGGCTGATAGCAAGAATATTGATGCCTGGGCCACACCACCACGCATACTGTATCGTCGGTTTTATGTAATTATTTCATACAGATGTTGTGCAGGAATTGCAGCATGACTGAGCGTACCGTCGATCGCTCAGTCATCAACAGATTTTACATGGAATACAGATTAGAGATTGGAAGTGTTGGAGTGTTCAAAGAGTGAAGGAGAGAGGCTGAGAGCCTGAGAGCCTGAGGCCAGCCTAGGAAGTGAGAAATTAGGGTAAGTGTTGCTCTAACCGGATTTGGACGACAAACATAGGACTGTAATTACTGTACTATTATGTGGTGGGTTACAAGGCAATACTTGACGAAATTAATTCGTGAAAGAAAAAGAAAGGAAAAGAAAGAAAACTCTTTAAAGAGATAAAAAAGAGCAAAAAAGAAGTGCCTCCCCGACTGGGAGTCGAACCCAGGTCTCCCGCGCTTGGATTACTGTTTGTAATGACAAGCGGAAATCATGACCGTTAGACCATCGAGGATTGATGTTAATGGCAAGTAGTTTGTTGCTTACTACTCTTGATGGCATCTGAGTATTGAGCCCAAAACTGTATTTGTATGAAGAGAGAGTGTGTACAACTGGAAATAGAGCGGACTCGTTGGATGGCTGTTGACTAGAAAGACGGCTGTTGACCAAGCAGTGAACAGCGAAAGGAACCAACATCGGATGGTGGTCACCGGAAGCGGACCAACTTTCACCCGAGGACTCATGCGGGCAGCTGCCTCAGTTGAATTGAGCTTGACGTCGCTGGAGTTGACTGAGATATTCTCCCCTACACTCTATCGCGCCATACTGAAAGCTTCCTGCTGACGAGCGAACACTTGCGCGTCACTTCAGCACCTGAAGTCCAACGTTACAGCAGCCCTTTTCCCGGTCTTTATCTTCACATCTCGTCCCGGTTGTCGTGCGATTTTCAGAAATGGTACGTCTCCGTTACGCGCCGAAGCCTTGTGCATTAGCTGCAGCGAACGAGCTATGTTACTAATGATTCTCTTAGTTGCCCCTTGGTCTTCTGACCGCCGCGCAAGGCCACCCTATGCTGGTGGAACTGAAGAATGGCGAAACGCTAAACGGCCATCTTGTCAATTGCGACAATTGGATGAATCTCACTTTAAAAGAAGTTGTTCAAACTACTCCAGAAGGCGACCGGTTTTTCAGACTACCAGAGGTATATGTGAGGGGCAACAATGTATGTATCAAAACTTCGTGGCGGGGGTGATGTTCTCGAGCTAAACGAAATCGTTAAAAATAGATAAAGTACCTCAGAGTACCCGAAGAGATCCTCGACGTCGTCAGAGAACAACAACAACACCAACCTTCGAATCGCGGTGGTCGGGGTGGACGGGGTGATGGTAAAGATAGAGGTCGTGGCGGACGTGGTGGGCGAGGCCGTGGTCGTGGTCGCGGTGGTTGAAAGGATATACTCTTGGAAGTCAGATGTTAGCAGTGCTTCAAACGAAGATACCCCCCGTTTTCTCTTCCCGGAAGAAGATTTGTCGGTGTCCTTGCCAGACTGAACTTTCTCATGCATGGCGTCGGCGTACTTTGGTCCTAGTTGGCGAGGCAGGATATATGTAGATCTAGTGATCTGCATTTTTCAAGAACGAAAAACAATAAGAAGAACAAACTAATCTTTTTTAAATACCTATATTGTAAATCGATGAGTAGGAGGGAGAATTGATTACTGAAACGATCACGTGATCTCATACTGTCTTTTATTGAAGCTCAAGCTCTCCACCGCAACGAGTCGCTCGTCGACAATTCCTGTCAAGATATGCGCCTCTTGCCTCTTACAGTTGACGGGCTCTGGTATTGTCTCTGTCCGTCATTTCGACCTACTTATCTGCACCGCTCGTTCCGGTCTTCCAATACAGTCAGAAAGATTTCGCGCAGATGCTTAAGCTCCGCATCAACAACCGCATCCACTAGGGCTCCGCTAGGTGAGCGTCACAAGCAGGGAAATAGGTCTTTTTCGCAATATGAATCGTCACGTCTAACTCGTGCGCCCTTGCGCGAGGACGAGGATTTGCAGTCGCAGTCGATCGGTGATCTAGAAGCGCTACTTGAGCAGTCAAGCTCCCGAAGACGGATCGATATATCGAAAACCGTCGCTATTTTGAAAACGCTGCTTCAGAAACACCGTGTTAACCCCACGACACGACATTATAAAGCATATTTACTGGCAAATGTTGATCGACAACATGGATCCGCTGAGAATGTTCGAAGTTTACTTGGGGAAATGGCGAGACAAGGCATCACTGCTGACTCGGCGACGCTTCATGCTGCTTTAGAGGTGCTCTATCGGCCTTACACCAGTGCAGATAGTATGGCTAACATTTATGCTGGGTAGGTCCTAGCAGTCCATCCTGACTACCTCTTGCGACAAGAAGTAATCGAAGCCCTACGCGCCCGATGGCTCTCCCTCAGTCCTGTTGGATGGCATCATGTAATAGCTGGACTGCTACGTGAAGACCAACTCGAACTTGCTCTCGATCGACTAGATCAAATGGAAGGAAAAGGGATCCCGCTTGAGCAGTGGCTACATAGCCTTTTAGTCTACAAACTCTGCGACGCTGATGAATTCACTGAAGCGTTACGCCTGATACGATCACGATCCAATAAAGCCAAGTCGATATCGTCGGCGATGTGGTTATATCTGTTGAGAGCGGCGATTCGAAATTCACATTATGAGACCGTGAGATATGTATGGAATAATGCTGTGGATTTGGGATATCAGGATCTAAGCGTGCCTGATTGTCGTGACGTTTTGGGTTTTGCATCTGACCATGGCGATATCGGGTTTGCGGAGTCGGTTTTTCGGCATTTGTCCACTTTACAAAAGCATCCGACGTCGTACGATTATGAAAAGCTGGTACAAGTGTACGCTCAGAATGCGGATGTCAAATCTGCGTTCGAGATCATCTGCCAAATGCACAAGAGCAGGATTCCCATAGAATCCGAGTGTACACGACCAGTACTACAGTCTATGGAGACTAAACTCAGTGATCCCACCATCCTATGGAGCGAAATCCGTGGATTGAGGAAAAGAGGATATGAAATACCAACAACATTGGCAAATATAGTTATACAGCACACCGAAGTCCTGTTTCAACGTGGCTCTCTTTCGGCATCCAGAGCAATTGACCTCGCAGTCTATATCTACAAGGACCTTTTTGATATCTGCACCGACGGCGCTAATACGGAGACCTTTAACAGCCTGATCTCCTTGTGCCATCAAACCAGCAAACCGGGTATTTGTACGTTCTTTGTCAAGGAGATGGCGTCTCTGGATGTTTCTCCTGACCAAAGAACATTGGAAACTCTGATACTCAGTTGCCTGGATTGTGGGAATGACTCTTCAGCGTCCAAGTACCTGGCGGATCTCCAAGCGCAGGGCTGGCAATTAAGTGATTTGGTCAAAGATCGGATCCGCGAAATACAAAATTAAGATGCTAAAGTCAGCATGCATGTATATAATCTAGCCTTATCTCCAAGTAGTTTGTCGTGTTTGCATAACTTACTTTTGGCTCTCTTCTATGACATCATCCGGCGGTGCAACGTCCTCCATCTCTCTGCTGGTCAACAAAATGGACGGTAGCTGAAGCAATGCCCTTTTCTCATTGCATATAACATTGAATGCCCAGTCTTGGATAATTGAAGACTTTGTTCCTGCATGGTGATGTGTCTTGGCTTATGACAGATAATTATATATCCAGCGCAACAACTGCCTTCATTTGACCTGCGCAGTAACCAGAGCCAGTCATGGTTTGTGCTTGAATTCTTGACAAGAGATTCGCATAGTCTAACGTCTTTGTGATATTTATATCAGGCTTCTTTACTTCGCCAGATTGTCGCTGGACCAAGGTTACAGCACCCTGAAGCAGGATTAGATATGTGTTATGTTACGGATTTCCGTAAGTTTGAACATTCATATATCCCTATATTTCCTCTGTGCAAGCATTAACTAGTTAAGTCAATAGTAATCGCAACATCTGGTCCCTCATCAAAATACCCCAAACGCGCTTACCGAAATCCCACCGACGCACTAGTCCGTTTCCTCGACAGCAAACACGGCGAAGACTGGGCAATATGGGAATTCCGAGCAGAAGGAACCGGATATCCAGATTCGGAGGTATACGACCGTATTCACCATTTCCCATGGCCGGACCATCATCCACCGCCGTTTTCGCTCATACCTGCAATCATGGGGAGTATGCGCAATTGGTTACATGGGGAGACACCCGGTGACGAAAAGAGTCCTGATAATTCCGGGGAAGAGAAGAAAATAAAGAAGAAGAGAGTGGCGGTTGTTCATTGCAAAGCCGGCAAAGGTCGAAGTGGGACGGTGGCGTGTAGTTATTTGATCAGTCAGGAAGGCTGGAAGATGGAAGATGCTCTTCAACGATTTACGGAACGAAGGATGAGAATTGGATTTGGGGAGGGTGTTAGTATACCCAGTCAGCTTCGGTATGTGCGGTATGTCAATAAGTGGGCGAATGAAATGGGTAAGGTCTATGTTGAACGACCTGTGGAGATTCTAGAAGTTCATGTTTGGGGGTTGAGGGATGGTGTCAAGATTGCTCTTGAGGGATATGTTGACGAAGGCAAAAAGATCAAATGTTTCCATCTCTTCAGGAGAAAAGAGCGCATCGTCGTTGACGACGGCAAGAACGATTTAGCCCTTTCTCACAACGACTTTATAGCAAAGGAACGATTGGAGAAGGGAAAAAAGAAGAGAAATGCTTCTCCCTCACCTTCATCATCAGCAAATTCATCAACCATCATCCAACAACCACCCATCGTCTTCACATCTTCGTCAACATCCAAGAACGTCGGAGACAATAACAAAAGAATAGCAGCCGCCATCCTCCGTCCCGAAAAACCAGTGATTCTACCCACTTCCGACGTCAACATAGACTTTGAACGCCGTATAAAAGCCGCATACACAGGCTGGGCAATGGTTACATCGATCGCTCACGTCTGGTTCAACGCCTACTTCGAAGGGGGAGATAAACACGACTCTGGCATCTTTGAATGTGACTGGGACGGTCTTGACGGAATTAAAGGTAGCACTAGCAAGGGTACTAAGGCCCTAGAACGAGTGAAGATTGTCTGGCGCTATGCATCAAAGGAGCAACTCGCCGCTGAAGGTAAAGAAACTGCTGAGAAACTACCAGAGGAAGTGGTCATGACGTTACCGAAACCCGGGGAACCGGTTCATGAATCCCATGCTGCGGATTGGCATGGAGAGAACGTCGTAAGGGAAGATGAACGTGAGATGGAATTTTCGGAGCAGAATCCGACTAGTTCACCTGCTCGGCACCATACCCGAGAAAGGTCTGTCCATAAACCAGAAGATGCAGATGAAAAGGGGGAAAAGATAAGTGGCGCAACGAACCCCTTCATCGCACAAGCATCAGCCACAACAGTTGCAGCAGTGACTTTAGCAATGAAACGAGTCCGACGAGAACTGGGGCTGCGGAAACAGACCGATGCCAGTGCTGAGGTGAGTTTGGCGAGTAGTAGTGCAGAAGATCTGTCGTCGTCGCTACCAAAGCGGCAAGAACAGAAGAGAAAGGAGGAAGGGCAAGATGGGAATGATAGTGATAGTGATATGGAAGGTGTCAAGCCGTATTTGGAGGGTGAGGGGAATGGGTCTACGAACACGAATACGAATAAGTAGATGTCTGAATCATTTTCTAGTATCGAGTTTGTCGTTAGATGAGGTATATGAATACATCTGATGATAATCTTGGAGACTTCCAAAAGTAACAGTGAACAGAGGTGGCCTTGTATAATGAACACTTCTAAGTTCCAACACAATGGAAATCTAATCTAATCTAAGTATTAGTACAACTATTGCTACAGCTGCAGAAATTATACGGGGTATATAAACATTCAACTCATTTCTCCTCTCAAAATCCAAATCTCAAATCCATAACTCAATAAATAGGCGCATATCCTTCATGTCGTCTCTTCAATTCATCCATCTGTCTATCCGCAGCTTTTTCCTTCGCAAGCTTCTCGCGCTGTAGACGATCCCGTTTGCGTCGTTCGTATACACCGCGCACGACACGTTTAACCTGTGCTTCGCCCTCGGCGAAATTCGCCTTTGCCAATCCGACGACTGAATCGATTTGTTCCGGGGTATAGACGAAGTTCCAGGTTGATAGGAAATCGTCCACGTCAGGGTTGATGGAATTCGGTTTGGGGATTGGGGAGGCGGCCTTTTCATCATCGTCGGATGCTGATTTGTGAGGTTGTGCGATTTGTGATCGGTCTGTACTAGGAGGGTTGTAGTCTGGTGCAGACGGGTTTGGGAGGAGAGGGAAGTAGATCACGGCGATTCCGGCGTCGGGTTGCATCAGATGGAAGTCTGAGCTACTCTCGTCACCGTGACTAGGGTGGAATAATCTCTTTGATGGGGGAGGTCGCTTGTCAGAAGTCATTTCTTGCTTAGTGCCCAGCCATACGTTGCAGTAGGTCAAGTCGGTGTCGGAAGTTGTGGATTTTTTTGACCTGCTATCGTAGCGGGAGTCAGACCTCATCAGTGTGTCTGGGAGAGGTCCCGTTCTATCTTTGGTGTTGGGATCATGTTCTTGTGCCTCGTGGAGTTTTTCATTGGATTTCGATTCACTTAGTTCGTCCATTTCGCTGATCATGTTTGCAGTTTCTTCCGGTTGAATGTCTTCTGGTGGCCACCCAGCTCCTAAAGGCCATCCTTGAACGCCTCGTTGGTGGACATATCCATCTACCACGGACAACCAATTCTCTTGTTTGATATCTGCGGACGCATCGAATGCAACAATAATATCAACATCTCTCCCCGGGCGAAGTAGTGGGTAGATAGGGAGGTTATTGCTCATCCCGGCATCCATCAATTGTAGATGAGGGTTGCTCAAAGCAGATTCTGGACATGATTCTGGAAGTTCCCCCTTCATTCCTAGGATATAGTTCGGTATTGATGCAGGATCAAACGGATGGACTTTAATCAGCTCATCATTCTTTCCTTCAATCAACGAGTCAATACCCCCAAAGCCCGCAAGGCCCCTGACAACGGGTCTAATCTCCTTATAATAGTGCGCGAGCGTTGCGCAAAAGGCACTACCCCATATGCCCATCAAGGCTGGAATTCGGAGTTCAGGGACCGGGTATTCATCACGATGTTGATCCCGCCCTTCGTAAAAGTGTCGACCAACAGCCCACATGGGGATTCCAGCGCTAAACTCCTCGCAGAAAAGTTCGTATGGAGTGAATTCAAACCATTGGAACCATGCTTCTTTCAGAGCCTCTTCTTTTACCTTCTCCACTGCTCGACGTCCTGTGATATCATCCTTATCTGATACAGGAATTTCGTGGCGAACCGCAGTATATATAGGTAGAGGATTGCTTCCATCTTGAACAAGATCCTTCTGGTTGGATAATTTCAAGTTTCTATCTGAGACATCGAGTTCGCCACGGGGCACAAGTAGACGTGCAGCGAGCAGTAGCCCATAGATATCGACAAGACCAAAATCTGCGTCCGGGTCGCCTTTCAGCTTTTCAACCAACCCACTAAGTAGGTACTTGTTTGTCGGGGCGGTAGTCAATAAATTAAGCGCTTTCGGTGGGAAGGCGATATGCACCCCTAGTCGAGCTTTCAAGTGTGCCACAAGTCGATTGAAGTCACAGCCTCCTAGAGACGAGTTATAGAGAGTTTGTAGCCAGCAGCTCCCACTTACGCCGGCTGTGTATGTGACGCAATCCCAGAGCCCAGCTTCCTGTGAAGCTAGGTAGGAACCTGAGCCGGCAACAAGAGCACGTAGACCTCCACCAGATCCACACATTGCTATGACTGGGACATCATCCGGATGGATATCCTCTTCCTTCAAGTCCAGATATTTGGCCAATGCCTTGACAACGTGTTTTTGCCGATTGCGACGGAACTGGACTTCCTCCGGACATAGGGAATCGCCAACCCGCACCTTCGCTTCGACAGCAATTTCCGGATTTATATAAGGGTCGTGGGCTTCTTTCCATATGTCATCGGCGAGGGAGCCAGGTGCCATGGACAATTCGCGCTGAAGCTTTTGTACGGTAGCGGGGAGTAACCGAGCCCAGTCAGGCAGGATAAAGTTCTTGATATTGTCACCAATCATTGCCAGCTCGACCGATGCGAATGATTCTCTGGCGGCCGCGAACTTATCCGTGAATATCGTCCATGCTGTCTGAGATTCCGGTCTAGCATTGCTTGGTGACGTATTCGTGGACTGATTGTCGCTATCGGATTTGTGCAGAGTAGACGTGCTATAAGCAAGCTTCTGATTCCAGGCTCGTGAGGAGCCATCAGCCCGTAAGCAATCGCGACTCGCATAGTTCCAGCTACCCCATGCTGCCAGAAACGCAGGAGGGACACTCCAACGTAAGCGCAAGGAGGCTGTACTCATTGTATGGTGCGCGAGGGCAATTGATGGTAGATTCCTCGAATAGTACATCTATTGCATGATTGTACATAGTATATAGTAGGATGAGAGGACAAGAGCTGGCGCAGGCCAGAAGTGGCTTTCGACGTCTTTTTTGTCCCTGGCGATCCATGACGTTATCGTCTCCTGCCAAAAGAGCAACCGTTGGGGAACTAAGCTAGTCTGGGTCTAGCGTCATCTCCAATCGCAGACGGAGGTTCCGGCATCATCACTTGTCTCTATTCTTCGTCTCTTAGTATTATATCGTTCGATCTATTCTTAAGTTAGCTGTCTGTGTTGGATTGAAGACGGAATATTATTTACTGCGAGGATTAGCGGAATTCATGCCTTTCTTACCCCTGATCGCTAGGCATCATGGTGGGCACCAAGAACACCACGTATGCCGAGGAGAGCGCTGAAGTTGAAGTGCTCTATGCCAATCTCGACAAGCTCAAAATATTGACAAAGAAGATTCAAGGGTCTCTTGATCGCCTGGAGACAAGCGGGAAAGTGGTCAAAGATGCCATCGGTCCCATTTACAGCAATACGCAGACCCTACAAATTACCAACAGCAACATCGATCGAGTGATTGAGGCTATCGACAAGCTCCGGAAGCCGCTGGATGCGAAAGGCAAAGAGGAGGGAATTATACGGGCTGGGTAGGTTGCCCACCAAGCATTTATACTCGATTGAGCTGACGTTGGTGTCAAGACCCCAAAGTGCAGGTTTATCACAGTATCTTGCTGCCTTGAAACGAATCGATTACGCTCTTCAGAATCTAAATGCGACCAATTTAAAATCGAACCAACAAGCTATTACAGAGTTTTCGTCACTACTGAATTTTGGCTGCCAGAAATTGCAGGATCTATTTCGGTCAACGCTGAAGCAACATGTGGAGACGATTGAACCGTTGCACTACCTTACAAAACGTGAGTCCCAACATACAAAAGTACTTTCAATCGGTACAGTAGATAACCGTTATATGTAGAACTTCCTTTCCCCGCAATTCCCGAAGATACCCTTGCCGAGCTCGCACCGATTGCAGGTGCTATCACATCCGCCGCTGCTCAGTTACCGCAACGCGGGTCAGAAGATCCAGCTGTAACCATTTACGCCGAAACACGCGGGCCATATATTACATCGAGCTTGCAAAATCTTGCAATGGCGTCTATCAGCACAGCCAAACGCCGCCCGGTCGATGGACCGTATAAGCAGGGCACGAATGGAATTGGAGTCTATTCTAGTGCATTGGAAGGCTTTATTGTGGTTGAGCACGAGGGTATTGTCCGGATATTCACAGGAGAAAACCAAGGGCGAGCATTGCAGGCTACATGTCGGTCATCGCTGGCCGAATTCTCAAAGACCCTTCGAGAGCTCAATCAGTACATCAAGTCTAATCTAATGACTGACTGCTTCCTTGCTTTTGAAATTATCGAGATTGTGACTGCAATGTCATACAGAATTGATGCCAAGACCGGCGAACTCAAGAGTCTATTTATTGAAGCTCTACGCCCAATCCGTGAAACAGCAAAGTCCTCGCTATCGGAGCTTTTGGAGGAGACAAAGAGAAAGGCCGCCGCATATACAGTTCTCCCACCGGACGGCGGGACCGTGCCGTTGGTGAACGAAGTGATGAGCTCTTTAACCACACTAACAGGCTATTCTGGACCTCTAGCCTCTATTCTTACGTCACTGGGTGATGGGAATTGGCGATCCAGGTCTCAGTCCGCTAGCACAACGCCTTTGGACGTCAGCCCGGACAGCCAGACATTATTTTCTCATTTCATTCTTGACATGGTGGAAGCCCTGATTAGCTCACTGGAAGCTCGCGGTCGGGCATTCTATCGTTCGAAAGCAGTTTTGGGAGTGTTTATTTCAAATACCTTCTGTGTTGTGGACAGATCTATACGGGCCAGTTCAGATCTCTCGCGCTACCTCGCCAGTCCAGATAGTATTGCCAGGATTGATGCCTTCCGGAAACGTGGTACATCAGCCTACCTTGAAGCCTGGCGTGAGACGAATCAATATCTTCTCGATGTGCAGTATACTTCTCGAGGAGGACCTCGTCCATCGTCTACCGCACCATCAGACTCTGCTCAGGTCATCAAGTCACTCTCTTCCAAAGACAAAGACGCGATCAAGGAGAAATTCAAATCTTTCAATGCCACGTTTGACAGCCTGGTTGCTCAACACCGACAGCTTTATATGGAGCGTGAAGTACGCGGAGCACTTGGCCGCGAGGTGCAGGCGGTTTTGGAGCCGCTTTATGTTCGTTTCTATGACCGATATCACGAAATTGACAAGGGACGAGGGAAATATGTGAAATATGACAAGGCGGCATTTTCAGCTCAGCTTGCAGCTCTATCTTAGACTGGTAATGTTTAATAATCTAATATCAATTCTTTCTACATCTCGTATACTCTTAAAACAGTTAGAAAAATCTGCTTTTCACATGATGATCTCCCCACCGATAGCTTTGTCGATAAGCCGATAAGCGGGCCTCGACCTTGTCTCCCCACACCCCGCCAATCCCGAGTTCGGTCTTGCTATAAAAAATTATCTCTTTCTTTTCTACTCACCACGGTAAACTGCAACACAACAGAGTCAATTCGAGTCAATTGTTCGATAGATATACATAATGGCGTCTAATAATGATGTCTACCAAACGCCTCTCAACTCGCGTTATTCGAGTACGTCTGACGAAACCGGACTGTGAATTACGGGACTAATGAGTGGATGAAAAAGGCAATGAGATGAAATATCTCTTTTCTCCTCGCAATCGTTTCTCAACGTGGCGATCATTGTGGCTATGGCTCGCTGAAGCCGAGAAGGGTGGGCTTCTCCAAGTTCAATTACTTTTCACAGGAATTAATACAAGTGACAGAACTTGGCCTCCCCATCAGCGACGAAGCAATCTCCCAAATGAAAGCGCACCTCATCATCCAAGACGACGAATTTGCCGTTGCTGCCGAAGAAGAGAAACGCAGACGCCACGATGTAATGGCCCACGTCAAGGCCTTTGGCGATGTTGCCCCTGCAGCTAGTGGAATGATCCACGTCGGCGCAACCAGCTGCTTTGTGACTGATAACGCGGATTTGATTTTTTTGCGGGATGGATTGGATATTTTGATTCCTAAGCTGGCGACTGTTATTGATAAACTTGCGGCGTTTGCGAAGGAGTATAAGGATCTTCCTTGTTTGGGGTTTACGCATGGTCAGCCGGCTCAGTTGGTTACTGTTGGTAAGTTTTCAGCTATCAAGGGGTGAGAGTCGATTTAACTGTGAGGGACAGGTAAACGAGCTGCTCTTTGGCTTCAGGATCTTTTGATGGATCTTCGTAATCTGGAGAGAGCCAGGAAGGATCTCCGATTCCGTGGTGTCAAGGGTACCACCGGTACCCAAGCATCTTTCCTACGTAAGTAACCTTTATACAACAAACTTAACCAGAAACTAATAAGATGATAGAAATCTTCAATGGAGACCACGCCAAAGTCGAAAAACTCGACGAACTTGTCACTCAAAAAGCCGGCTTTGAGTCTGCGTTCATTATTTCCGGTCAAACATACTCTCGCAAAATCGACGTTGACGTCGCTAATGCCCTGGGTTCATTCGGATCTACCTGTGAGCGTATTGGAGGTGATATCCGTCATCTCGCTATGCTCAAGGAAGTAGAGGAGCCATTTGAGAAGGATCAGATTGGAAGTAGTGCAATGGTTCGTTTTGCCTAGTCGCTTGTTGTACGACGATACTGATTGAAGTAGGCGTACAAGAGAAATCCCATGCGATCTGAGCGTTTGTGCTCACTGGGAAGACATCTCCAGAATCTTCCCAAGGATGCTTTGGATACTTATTCCGCGCAATGGTTTGAGCGTTCTTTGGTACGTTTTCCTCTCTGAAAGAGACATACAAACTGACCCTCTGCAGGATGACAGCGCTATCCGACGCATCAGTCTCCCAGAACTTTACCTCTGTGCAGATGCTTGCTTGATTCTTCTGAGTATGTCCACATACTCTGCCTAAAAAGCTACCGTTAACAGCCTGTTAATAGACAACGTCACATCCGGCTTCGTCGTATATCCCGAAGTCATCAGACGTCGAGTCCAGGAAGAACTTCCCTTCATGGCTACTGAAAACGTATACCTTTTTCCTCCTTACTCCTCCCATTTCTACAAGCAACACTAACATGTCAAAGATAATCATGGCCTGCGTCGCAAAAGGCCTCTCCCGCCAAGACGCCCACGAAGAAATTCGTTCGTCCCCCCTCCCCCTTTCACTACCATAACACCCTCCCCCCCTTTAACAGATTATGAATATAGGAGTCCTCTCCCACCAAGCATCCGACAATGTCAAAAAACAAGGAAAATCAAACGATCTAATCGACCGTATCCGTCGTACCGAATTCTTTGCTCCTATTATCCCGCAACTCGACTCACTGCTTGATCCCGCGACATTTATTGGTCGTGCACCGCAACAAGTTGAGAAGTTTGTGGCGACGGAGGTTGAGGAGGTCCTTAGACCTTATAGGGAGAAGCTAGTGGTGGATGTTGCGGAGTTGCATGTTTAGTCCCTAAGAGAGTCTTTCTTTTTGGTGTGGGGGGGAGAAGATAGAGGGAGGGAGAACGGTGGGAAAAAAAGAGGATATTTTAACCTAGATTTTTACATTGTGTATTCGTCGGGTATTTTGTGCTGTTTTAGTGCTGAAAGTAATGATATGATCTATGAATCTGGTGCCTTCCCAGGTGATATCGTGATTTTGCATCTATGACCGGCGGCCACTTGGTATACTTCAATATCTTGGAGGAAAATTTGAGATGAATCGCCTCATTGCGACTAGACTATCTAGTCTTCTCCAACTGAATACCTTCCTGAACTGATATACCCCCCAAATTTTTTGTCTTTTCTGGGTTTGATGCCCTCCTGAAAAACATAACGAAATGAAATATGGGTATACTCGTACAATTAAAAAAGACTAAGAAAAGAAAAAGGACGTTCATCTCGTACAGTAAAGCGTGCCGTATGCCTTAAGACCGAGGCAGGTTTGAGGTCAAATAACATTCGATGGACCAATGACGTTGTTCAGATATCCCTCAGTACGAGAAGCGACTCCTGGGATACGCTCTTCAATAGGCACGAAGAACTCCTGGCGAATACGACGAGTGAGTTCGGTGTACTCTCCATGCGAGACGTAGACGGCGTCGAGAACACGCTTGAGCAGAGATAGAGGAGTCTCAATGTTGAGTGGGATGGTGACAGGATCGTGTGGATACTCGTCGTGGACAACCACCACCTGATCCTTGATAATCTGGAAAGGATTATACATGAGATTATCGTAGAGATTGAGGAAGCTCCGAAGTAAAAGGGCCTCGTGAAGATGAGGAGAACGACACTTGCTGTAGACAAATTAATATGAGTAAGACAAAAAGGGGGAGCAAGCAAAAAAGGGGAAGACTTACCGGCGTACGATGTCGGTCATTTTGTGGTAGAGTTCCTCAGCAGGCAGAAGAGAACCATTGTCCATGTCGAGACGAGCAGTCATCTCACGAAGCTCACCAGCGACCAAGTCTGCTGCGTCCATGAACTGGTTAAGCTGATCCTGAATGACGTTCACCATTGTGCCCACTTCGATGGCCCAATCAACGACACGATGAGCATCCTTTTCGTAAATCTTGACCTGCTCCAGATGACGAGTAGGAGGATTGGTGAGAAATGGGTAATCGAGATCGATAAGCTGCTGAGACCAGGCGATGAATCTCTTACGAAGAGCCTGGGGAATGTGAGGGTTGGATAAAGTGGTCTCCATCTGATTGATAGCAGTCATTCTACGGTCCAGGTAGTGATGGATACGAACGAGGAGATGAGGACCGTTTGCCAAAATATTCCCACCAGCAGGTTCACCGTTCGTGGAAGCACCGTTCATGGTGGATGTTGCTTGCTCTAGTTCTTGGGGGGCTTCGTGTGTATCAACAGATTCAGTCGTAGCAGGGACCTCCTGAGTCGTGTCAGATTCAGAACTATCGCTCCAACGGCTCAAAGTAAATTCAGCTGGGACGCCTGGAGAACGAGGATGAGTAAGTAAAGGTGCGTGTCCTTCAGAGACAAAACGTCGAGCACGAGGAAGCGGGGGCAATGGCTTGTTGCTCATTGTATCTGGCGAGCGTTTGCGCGGGGGTGTTGGTGGGCGAGCAATTTGAAACCGAGAAATATCACTAGCAGTGATAGAGACTCGTCGAAAGGGTAACTCAAACAACGGTGCCCCGACAGTCCATTTTGGTATTTCCGTTTTGTCCCTTTTGCGAGGGAGGAACCACTGATCGAGACTGCCCATGGTGCCCAGCTTTCCATCGTCTTGCTTTGACTGCTCCTCATTTTCAGGAGAAGAGCGACTAGCTGTAGGAGCAGCGTAGTAACCCACAGGATCAGTCCAGAACATACTGAGTGGCTTCTTTGGGTCAGGGCGAGGGTTCATAAACCATTCAAGCGATCGAGGTGCAAAGTCATCGGGCAATTCCATATCGAATGGGTTGCTTCGAGCTGACGAACGTCGGGGGGATGGTCCAATAGTTGTGTCGCTGTCTGAGTTGGTACCATCGTGTTCCCCAGTGATGTCGAGGTTTTCCATCTCTATACCGTATTAGTGTGAGCGAGCCTCATGTACACCATCACGTCAACGGTAGGATCCGTCCATTGGTATTGACTAGACGTCCTAAGGTGTCAAGATAGATTTCTTCAACTTACCACGCTGACACTCGTTCATCTTGATTAAGTGCCGTCTTGAAGACAGTCGTTGATCGATAAATTCCTGCCGAGAGTACGTTGAAAGGACAAGATGATTCCAAAGAGGAAGTCACGGGGATCCGTTTATGGCAGACCAACCACCAAAGCCAAAGACGAGCCAGCTTATCCAGGTCGAATCTGAAGATCCACAGACCTTGACGTTTTCGATACGAATCTTCTTTCCAGTCTCATCCCAACCCAAAGTTGGGATAGACAAAAAAAAGTGACGACGCAGTGGGGAGAGAGAGCAGGAATAGAGAGGAAGAGTCATAGAGAGGACGCTAGGATGAAAGGGTGGGTAGAGGACTTCGTCCGCCTGTCTCGTTCGACAGCTCTGTCGATGAAGCTGGACATGTGAAGAATGATAGAGACATGGTCGAGTACCGCCAGAGACTGGTGTTGCAAGAGCGAAGAGAGCTCCATTGACGGAAGATATATGCCAGGAGACTCTCCATGCTGGTCCTCAGGCATCTTCTGGATAGGAATTGCTTCTTTCACGGTTTGGGACTGGGTCCTGTCTTATAAACAGCAGGAAAGAGCCTCTCTGCCCAAAAGGGTTTACTCTCAAACACCGTCTGATGCAGGCTCTGCACCAATCAGAGAGGCAGAATGCTGAAAATGATGGAGGCGAGATTGCTGTTTTGGGAAGAAATTCACAGAGCGGGACGGTGATTGGCTCTGAGGCTGACAAACGCGGATGTGAATGGTGTCCGATGTCCGTCCAGGCTGTGAATGGCTTCAATATTGGACCACCGGGCGTAATTGTGCAACTGAATAATTCTTTTCACGTGAACAGAGAGGGCATGCATAAAATATGCTATGAAAGATTCTACTGAGAGTCAGACTCATTGGATTGCTCATTGGATGAATATTTACAGATACATATGTACAGACATTTACCGACTCTCAATCAGACAAAGCCTTTGTAGACTGTGAACAAGTACAGTCACACCTTGTCTAATCCATCGAGCAGCGGCAGTCCTTCCTCGAGGCCAATATCCGAAGTAAATGAGCTCAACACATAACGTGGCGGGCTCGTTCGTACAAGACCAAGAGTTGATGAAGGAAACAATCGATCTTCGCACGTTGACTAATCAGCACGTCATGGGAGGATCGTGACAACTTAAGTAGTGCGAGTATAATAAGTCGAGAAGCAAGGCAATAGCTAATCCTCCTTTTTTACGTGGTCGGATCCTTCATCAAGGTCCTTGTCATCATCCTCGCCTTGGATATCGAGAACGCTTTCTCCAGCTCTCCGTAGAGTCCTGTGGACCAACTGTCGGACGCCTTTGAAGACAGCCTAGGAAAACAGTTAATGACTGCAGGCTGACAAGGTAACAGAAAATACTCACCACTAGAAATGTAACGACTCCGAATAGTATCACCACCCAACTGATGGAGGCAACACGCGTCCGGCCTGTAGTCCGCCCACCAGCACCGAACAAAGCAGAACTCCGTAGATGCAACCAACCCCACGGAGACATTGCTAGAAACACTTTGATAATTGACAGAACCCCGAGCGAGGCAAGTCCCTTGAGAAAATGCTCAAACCATGTCGTTGCTTCACCTAGATCTGGAACATCCAGCACGTGAGTTTCTTCCCAGAAATCAGAATCAATAATGGTATCGACGGGAGGCAAATAGAGATTGATAATAGGGTCAGCAATAAAACCGAGTATAAAGACAGTGAGTAGCAGGATTGAAAATGTAAGGGCAAGCTGCGCTACAGAGCTAGTAATCCAGCGGGCCCAGATTACCCTCTGGATCCGATATTTGAATCCGCAGGTAGGGCATTGGAAGTAGTTTCGTCTTCCGTAGGATGGATCGGCGTGTCGCCATGACTGCAAGCAGCCTTCATGCACATACCGCGAAGACCCTTTACATTTGCAGGGCCGTATGAGACGACCAAGTTCTGGATCGGGCGACACGTAGACCACGCGCGGTTTCGATTGAAGCATGCTAGGTAGATATTGTGACTCAGTTTCTGACGTTGGGTTGACAGTATCTAAGCAAATCCGACACATCCGTGGAGGATATCGATGTTCGGGATTCTGATTTGGTGTGCTTGTACTTTGAGTGCTCTCTGCGCTTGTAGTAGCATCAGGCTCCTTTTGCGACGGCTCGGGAAAAGCGCCCGGTGTTGAATCGGGGAGGTCTTCTGGCCATGTCCACGTTGGTGGTGCCTTTCTGGAAGAGGAAAACATTCTGTCGACTCTGTAAAGGTGAATATCGATGTGGAACTAGACCCTAGCAGTTCGTGGTTTATGTGTAATCATGAATGTCGTCGATGCCAATATTATCTCACATCAGGATAGTATCTGGAAACTCATTCGTTAACTACCAATAGCGATTTCGTTTCTGTTGTAACCGAGAGAGAAAGATAGAGAAGAGACGAAGGTGAAGTGAAGTGGCTTTTCCAGAGCTCCTAAACGCTAAACCGCATACAGCATAGTCTGGCTGACCGCCTTGGTGCTTACCGCGTCAACATCTCAGGCAGCTCCGTCTCTTGGATGAAGCTTCCCATTTCCATCACTTCCTCTTTTTTGAGCATCTAAACCGTATATTTGAATTAGTACCATCTGGCCGGAGCTTCTGGCAATATTGTCCATCCATGGCGGACCGATATTCCTTCTCCCTTACCACCTTCTCTCCCAGGTAAGACGAGAGCTAGCTTGTCGACAGTGAACGCATGCTAACAGTTATCACAGTGGAAAACTGGTTCAGATTGGTATTTGCACTTGCTGGACTTCAATGGATTAGGCTAATGATTGTAGAATATGCTTTGAATGCTGCCAACCAGGGTACCACTGCGCTCGGCATCAAGGGTATGACTTGCGATAACCAACCCGCCGATGTCTCCAGCTAACAAGTCATCAACTCTAGCTACAAATGGCGTCGTGCTAGCCACAGAGAAGAAATCCTCATCAACCTTGATCGAGCCAGACTCGCTATCCAAAATCTCCCTGGTCACCCCCGATATTGGAATGGTATATGCTGGTATGAGCCCCGACTACCGGGTGCTTGTAGACAAGGCCCGAAAAGTCTCGCACACCGGCTACAAGCGCATCTATAACGAGTATCCCCCGACCCGTATATTAGTTCAAGACGTCGCTCGTGTCGTTCAGGAAGCTACACAGTCCGGTGGTGTTCGCCCATACGGTGTTAGTCTACTCATTGCCGGTTGGGATGAAGGTGTTGAGCCCGAGGTTGCCGAACAAACAGAGGAAGAAGGGCCAGAAAAGAAGGCAACTGGAAAGACTGGCGGTATTTTGAAAGGCGGCCCTAGTTTATACCAGGTCGATCCTAGTGGAAGTTATTTCCCCTGGAAAGCTACAGCTATCGGCAAGAGTGCGACGAGTGCCAAGACGTTCCTCGAGAAGCGCTACACTGAGGGACTGGAATTGGAAGATGCGATTCACATTGCTCTTCTTACTTTGAAAGAGACAATTGAGGGAGAGATGAACGGTGATACTGTTGAGATTGGTATTTCCCCCACGCCCCCTTTCTTGGGAGTCTCGGTTCTGTACTAATTTACTGTGTCTAGGTATCGTCGGACCGCCCGCAGATCATTTACTAGGTTATCAAGGATTGGAAGGCGCTCGCGGCCCTAGATTTAGAAAGCTCACCAAGGAGGAGATTGAAGACTATTTGACCAACCTATAAAAGCACTGCTATCTTAACGTTTAGCAAAATTCATGCCCCTATGTGCCATTGTACTATAGTTGGTCGCGTCTTCGACTCTCTTGGTAACGAACGTCTAAGTCTAGATAATGAATAGTATAGATGTTGACTTATGATCCCAGACAGTTAGTTCCTATATCCTTAGTGCGGTGAGAGTACTGATATTCAACCACATTATATCTACAGGACGATAGATAAATCATAAGTCCCTATCCGACGCAATTAGTCGCTAGGTTTGCCATCAATGAAATCCGATGGCTAAATCATTGGTCCATAGAGTCCTTATATGATACTCCCAGAGTTCGGTACGCATCCGCGAGACAATCTCCTTATTTCACCTTCTTCCGTTATACTCCGTCTAGCCTTTCGGCTTTCGCCCGATCCTTTTATATAATATATATATATATATGACCTGTCAGGCTGTCAACCTCCCAGTCGATGATTCGACGGTAATCCCCAACAGGCTGAGAGGGGCTAAAATAGCTGGCCTTGCCCCACGTTTTACGCTATCCGGATCTATTTTTTTTGTTGTGTATTTATTTGTCGACTGGGCAAAGAAGGCTGATCAGATCATGCATTAGTTGTATATATATGTGTGTGTGTGTCTGTAATAGAGCCTTGCCTTTTTGTTTTTGTTTTGTTTTCTCTGCAGGATGGGAATCTGCTTTTTCATGGGTTGATTGGCTTCATCTTTCATCGGGATCTTGTCGCATATATTTAGGAGCAAGGTTTCATATTTCTTCGATTCAACATGACTAGGGGAAGCCCCGGAGATGGTTCGGAGCCATTGTCTGCCATGGACAAGCCTAATAATATCAAACCGAGGGCATATCAACAGGAAATGCTCGCTGAGAGTTTGCGTCAAAACACGATTGTTGCTGTGAGTTCTTTCAACCCCTTTCATGATGATCAATAAAGTAATGAATTGAAGATGGAAACTGGAAGTGGAAAAACACAGATGTGAGTCATGGATGAGGTATGCGTCAACGCTAAATGGGGCTTGTCTGATGTGGTATATGCAGTGCCGTTCTCCGAATACAAGAAGAACTATCACGATGCTCACCGAAAAAGGTGCGTTTGCCTCACTTCCAACTCCTATGACTTTCCTCAAGAACTAAAACTGAGATTATGTCTAGTTGGTATGGTTCTTAACCCCAACAGTCGCCCTAGCCGAACAGCAATACACAGTCATCTCCAAACAACTCCCCATCTACCAAAGTAGACTCTTACTCGGAAGCGACAATGTGGATCATTGGAGTACCCAACAGATCTGGGACAAGATTCTTTTGAATATCCGAATTGTGGTTTCGACGCCGCAGGTGTTGTTGGACGCGATGTGCCATGGCTTTGTGAAGCTTTCCGGCTTGTCGTTGTTGGTTTTTGATGAGGGTGAGTTTTGATACCTAGAAGATGGGTTACGGTTCCAGCTGACGGCATATTAGCACATAGATGTGTCAAGGCCAGCCCCTTCAACGGCATAATGCGTCTATATCATCATGCCAGGAAATCGGGATTGGATGAACTCCCGGCTATTCTGGGCTTGACTGCGACTCCTGCTACGAAAGCTACTGCTGAAGCAGTCAAGTGAGTTTGACGAGATATTATAAGAATATATTTGCTAACAGGGTTCAGATTACTGGAAGACAACCTACATGCAATCTGCCGAACGCCAGTCATCGAACGAGAGGAACTTTTGAAATGGACGCACAAACCAGAATTATCCATTGTCACATATTCGAGTCAATCTGACCAAACCACTGAGATCTTGAAAGGTCTCGATGATATACTAGAACTAACTCTAGCAGATATCGAGAATGATCCATATGTCAAGTCCCTGCGTGCAAAAAAGGACGACAAGAAGAGTCAGGAAATACTTATCAAGCTCCTGGATAGCGGCAAGACGTTTACACGAAAGGAGATTATGTCTCTAGCGCAACGAGCGCAAGTCATCAACGCGGAACTTGGTTCCTGGGCTGCCGACGTGTTTGTAGTAACATGCGCCGAAAAATTCATCGAAGCCGCCGTACACAGATCAGACAACAACATATTCCGTCAATGGGAAGATGCTGAAAAGATCTATATGATGCAATATCTCTCCATGTTACCGGCTATCGCGAAAACCAGAGTCTGGGGAAGTGTCCCCGATCATATCAGCCAGAAAGCGAAATCACTCATCACCACTATTGCGAACACTTACAACCCGGGATACCGTGTGATTGTGTTCGCTGAACAACGTGCCACTGTCATCATGTTGGCTCATCTATTGAGCGTCCATCCACTCACAAAGGGGATTGTGACGAAGTATTTTCTCGGAAATTCGAATTATGCTAATCGCAAATCGAATATTACCGAACTTTCTACTCTGGTGGAGCAAAAGGATGTTTTGACCGAACTCCGGGTTGGGAAAACCAACGTGCTGATTGCGACGAATGTTCTTGAAGAGGGTATTGATGTACCTGCTTGCAATATCGTGATTTGCTTTGATCCTCCAAAGGACTTGCGGTCGTTTATTCAGAGGAGAGGCAGAGCTCGTGATCGACAGTCTAGACTTGTCTTGTTCATTGATGGTAATGACGATGACGGTCTTGCGAAGTGGGAATCTATGGAGGAGAAACTCAAGGAAATCTATGCAGATAATATGAGAGAGCTCAAAGAGATCAAGGCCCTTGAAGATATTGAAGAGGAGAGTACGGAGATCCTCAAGGTTCCGTCGACAGAGTACGTCAACTATACCCGTCTAAATTGTTATGACTAAACGGTTATGATACTGACATTATATAGGGCTGTTTTGAACCACCAGAATGCACAACCATTCCTCGCTCACTTTTGCGCCACAGTTTCATACGCTCATACGACAAATCAACCCGAATACATCATCGAGCGACAAGAAGTGAGTCTCGGATTTACACAAATCACAGCCAAAGTCGTTCTCCCCAGTTACATCGATCCATCTCTACGCGTAGCCTTCTCAAAATCCAAATGGAGGACCGAGAAAGCAGCAAAACGAGACGCTGCCTTTCAGGCATACATTGCCCTCTATGACGCTGGAATGGTAGACGACAATCTCATGCCTATTCACCGGAAGAAATATGCAGATGCTGTTACCACAGCTCAGGAAAAGAAGCCAAAACTTATTGAGGTTTCTGAATGCTGGAATCCGTGGAATGATATAGCCCAGCTACGGAGAGATGATATGCCCCTTATTCCGACGAGGGTGTACTTTAATCAACCCAATCCTTTGGGAATTCCTGATATGATGTTGCTCTTGCCTACTCGAATCCCATCTGACTGTGAATTTGTGCTATTCTGGAACCAGAAAATCACCTTGAAGGTAAAGATATGCAATGACCGAAACACGAGATTAGGCTTTGATTCAGAGCAGGCTACCCGTTTTACACATGATATGTTCTTGGCGGCCTATCAGAACAAAGTGGTACCGACCAAGAGTGACTATATCACATTGTTCTGGCCTTCAGGAGCACTTGAAATGCCTGTTGAGAAGTGGCTCGCTTCGATTACGGGTACTATGGGTCCTTTCACTCGTCATGGACACCTTTTTACGAAAGAACAGATGAGAGAGCTGGGAATGGCGCGCACTAGTGAAAAATACTCACGACCTTTCTTTATAGAGCAGATTGTCGAAACATCGACAGATGATGTCGAAATACAGGACGCGGATACATCCAGCAACGCCGTCGAACCTAACTCAGAACCGCATTTCAAGGGGACAACCCTCCCCAAGCGGACGGATTTTTTGCATCAAATCGCGCAATCCGAACAACTGCCGCTAGCTCATACGTCCCAACAACTCGAGCCAGTACGCTTGTGTCATATAGATCGACTGCCGGCTAAGTTCTCAAAATTCGCTCTCTTCATACCTTCCATCACGCATAAGATTGAAGTCCTCTTCATAGCGGAGAGACTTGCAAGAACAGTGCTTTCAAGAGTCAAATTCGAGAATTTGTCACATGTGCTTACTGCTATCAGTGCCTCTAGCGCACAGGAAGAGCATGATTATCAACGCTATGAGTTTTTGGGAGATAGCCTGCTGAAACTGATTACGTCAATTCATTTGGTTGTTAAAAAACCGCTCTGGCATGAAGGGTTACTGTCCGCTGAAAAGGATACCATCGTCTCCAACGGTCGATTACATCGAACTGCACTCGACCTAGGTTTGGACAAGTTTATACTGACAAAGTCGTTTACTGGACGCAAATGGCGACCAAATTATATCTCGCAGTTCGAAACTGTCACTGAAGAGAAGCGTCAGATGTCGACTAAGACTCTGGCCGATGTTGTCGAAGCTTTACTAGGAGCAGCGTTCCTCGACGGAGGTTATGAGAAGCTAGAATCATGCGCCAAAATCTTCTTACCGGAACAAACATGGACTTCTATCAGCGACGACATGCGCACATTGTACGAAGTAGCCCTTGTCTCCAATCAGGCCTCTTCTCACCCTAAATTGGGTCAAATGGAAGAAATCCTAGGCTATAAATTCAACAAACCTAGCATCCTATTTGAGGCATTGACTCACCCCTGTGCCAACGACGGCGCACCCACCTACCAACGTCTAGAATTCTTGGGAGACTCGTTGCTAGACCACTTCGTCGTCCAAGAATTCTTCAATCACCCCGAGAAAATATCCCATCAAGACATGCACTTGATGCGCACGGCAGTCGTAAACGCTCATTTTCTAGGCTTTCTCTGTCAAAGCCTCTACATCACCGAAGAACGTTCCGAGCCCGTCTCACCCGGTAAAGCGCATATCTCGACGATATCCACAGAACACAAGATTTACCTATGGCAACTAATGCGTCATGGCGCATCATGGGAAATTACTAATGCTCAACAAGAAACAAAAGCCCGATACGAAGCCTGGGGTCCCGCAGTACACGACGCCCTAATGCACTCCAATAAATACCCCTGGGCAGACCTCTTCCGCATAAACGCCAGCAAATTCTTCTCCGACATGGTCGAGTCTCTCCTGGGCGCAATATTCGTTGATTCCAAGGGTTCCCTAGATGCAAGCCGCCAATTCCTCGAACGGATCAGTTTACTCCCCTGTTTGAGACGGATTATTCGTGAGGAAGTTCTGATCTTGCATCCGTTTAATCAGTTACATGAGGCGGCAATATCGGATAAAGTACAGATCTCGCATAGTGTTGAGAAGAGGTTGCCGACGTCCCCGGGGTTTGAGGACGTGGTGAGAGAGGACGGGCTGGTGTTTATATGTAGTGTAAAGGTGGCGGGGGAGGAGATTGTGAGGGTTGAAAATGGAGTTAATAAACTTGAAGCTGAGGCGAGGGCAGCTGGGATGGCGGCGGATATATTGAGGGCGAGGATGGCGGCGGCTTAGTTGGCACGATCTAATGAATAATGATTTATGATTAGATATTATTTAAGAATGAAATTGATGATCATGACATTTCTAGCAGTTCCTTGAGTAGAACTGATCTTTTGCAAGACAGAGGAAAGCCGTCATTGCCATTTGGTTTGACTCCAGGACTTCTTTTGCGTTCTTGTCGAAATACTAACATCCTCGCAAGACTCAAAATGGCATCCACCTCTTCGCCCTTAGTAGTAACGCACCCTGTGACTCCGACAGTGGTGTCGGTATCACTGACCTTGAAAGCTCATTGCGTTACACGATAGGTGGCGAGACATATATCCTGTATAGACACCGTTGCCCAGGTGGTTCCGTATGAGTACAGCACTACCTAGGTATATATAAATTAAATCAATTGATAAGAAATACTCTAATATTTACTTTAAGATCTTCCAAGGTTACTAATGTCTTATTTCCTACTGAATTAAAGTATTTCACGCCTGGACAATCTTTGATTTCTAAGGCTTTATAGGTACCTAAGAATTCATCCCTAGGTAGGTAATAACATGCATTAATGTGTTATCAGATGTGCGTTCTACAAAGTCTGCATGTATATTACGCCGATGTATAGCCTCCATCCTTTTTGACTGTCGCGGTATCTGCCATATGCCGGGAATCATGGTGTGACTCTCCTCTTTTCAAGGGATTTCGTGAGTACGAGCATGTTCCTGGGTCCAGATAGAGTCTAGAGAGGGATGGAATACTTATTGTCATTGATTACCTCCCTCACTGTGGGCATTTTAAGGACGTCCAGAACAGGAAGTTTCAACGAAATCAACCTGGAACGATGAGCTGCAATACGAGATGCATAGTCTTGCCAGTATGTTTTCTCTGTCAGGCCTCCATAGTCAGAGATACCCGGGTGATTAGGTATCAAACTAGAGTCGGGATCGAAAATTTGCTCTTCTTGACGGTCAATGAATGGAATATCCTCGCTTTCCACTTCCGACTACTCTCCACCAGTGAGATCATTCTAATTCAGTATCACTGACTTCAGGTGTAATACTGAATTGACCTATGAACTCAACTTCATCTTTATCTTCTTCGCCGAGGCTTTCATCCTCGCTAATGAAACCATCAAATTCACTATCACTATCACTTTCCTGTGTAGCGTCATCTGAGACCGTATGTTGCGAGGAACCGCATTCCCAGAAGACATGAGCTGGTGCCAAGTAGAACTGCTTCCCAGCAATCTCAGCGACACATCCGATAGTCGACTTACATGACGACTTGTGGCCTGGTAGGAAGAACTGAGTTATAATCGTATCGCCGATACTTTGTATGAGTCTATTTTATCAAAGATAGAAGTCAAATGATAGTGAAGCATTTCTGGCATTTCGCCGCATTCAACAAAGTCGACAGAAGATCCGAGGTATCGGATGTTGACATGGGGGGGCATAGTCCCATTGACCCAGCTCGATTCCCGGTGTGTAGTGACTCAGAATGTCTGATTTCCGAAAAGCAGCAAAAACCTCGTTCTGTGAATCGTGATCCTTAAATGAGAACATTATGTGAGGTATTGTAGTTATAGGGCTTTTGCCGATCATGAAGATATCGTAAACAACAAAATTGGAACCCTGAACAGGGCCGCAGTCCTTTTCAAGGAGCTCTTTGATTTCGGGCAAGATTTGTTGTTTAAAGGCTTCCTGAGCTGGTCTCTCAGCTTCCCGGCATTTATATTTACCTTTCTTAATCCCACAAAACTTCCCAACGGAAAGGTCGGGGTCAGGCCACGTTTATTTCTGCATTTTCTGCATTAAATAAAGACGATTCCTAATTTGTGACGAGGCCATGGCTCACGAATACAACTTTGACAAATTAGAATAGTGAAACCATGTGAGGATGGTTTTTGAGCTTAGAAATTCAGAGTTGGAGCTTAATGGCGATCGAGAAAACGGGAGATCCCAGAGTATGAGATGAGTTTGAAGGGCGAGGAGGGGACAGTGTGGTATATATGCTGCACGTAGCCTTGTGCTGACGAGCGAAAATCCGGAGCACATCTTGACCGACTGTGCATATAGGGTGGCCATGCATCTCCGACGCCGCCGATGACCATCTCAGGAGATACAACAAGGCTGTTGAGTATAACAACCACCTATGACTTCAAGTAACCGATAAAAGCGTATCGATTTCTCCTTTGCGCTTGAAGAAGACATAGAACCTGTTTCCAATCAAATTAAAAAAAAAAGTGATATTATCCTCCATGCACTACGTCTCTTGACGGAAATCTCCTTGAATCCCCTATAGCTCGTAATACCCAGAAAAATGTTGCGACTCAGCTATGGCGCAATAGCAAGTTCAGCTTCAGCCTTACTTTCAGTATTATACTGATCAATGCCGACTGGCGGATCAGTCGTACGAAGATCGTTTGTCTGTGACATCACACCAAGATCTCATTAACATCTCCGTAGATATCTTGGATGACTTTCCACATCACGAAGTTAAAGCGAAACTTGTCGTACGGTGTGCTTGGCCAGATCAAACAACCTCCGAAGACGTCTTGAATTCTTGTATAGATCTCATTGTCCGTCTCATCTGCATGCTAGACGTTGGTAAATTCCGAAATGCATATTCCGGCCGCAGGAACTTGGTTTGGAGAAAATGGAACTTTGAGGCATTCGTAAAAGAGATATTCTCGGAAGACATACAACTAGAGCACGACAAAATCAAGCTCGGACCTCTTTTCAATGTGTGCAATATTGTTCGGATTAGCGGGTTCAAAGTCGAACTGACAACCAACCTGTCTTACCATCTTCTCCCAAGAGCGATCCAGACACCGAGAAATGGTACAAAAGACAGTACAATACCAAGGAGCTGGATTTCGATATCCTGAGATGCGGTTCGTTCCCAGGACGCATCCATGAATACAAATACTGGCACAACCGGCTCGTTATACTGAAAGAAGCATTCGATAAATTCTGGCCGTCAACAATGTCTCAGTGGTGGAACGATAGACGCGATGGAATCCAGTAGTATACTCTCTGGATTGTTATTTCTCTGATTGTGTTTTTTTGGCCTCGTGAAGAGTATGGAAGGAGCCTTGCAGGTGTACAAGGCTTACAACCCTTGGACAGAGTATTTGTAAACTGAATTTCCTTCTCGTTGTATTCTCCACATCCCATCCTTCTTGTTCTTGGGGAGCTTCAGTTTCCTTCAGTCACTGGAATGGAAATGTGATTTTGCAATACCGGATGGCCCTATGTATCTCTATTCCTAAACCGCGTCTGAAGTACTCCTGCGCGAAGGAGTCAACATCCACTTTACCATCCATTCCAACTACCGGTAGAGGACTTCTCTGTAGGAAGTCTACCTAGGCATCGTTCACGGGAAAAGGAAAGATTCTTTTCTCTGATCTGTTCCGTCCGACATCAAGGGATGATGGATGTTTGATGTGTCACAAGATGGACTCAGAATATGAGTCGCCTAACCACATTTGGACGCACGGCTAGCTAAACAAGTTCACATCTCATGAAACTGTTTAATCTATCATAACACGACCTAAATTGCGATATAAGCCTTAAAAAGTGCCATCTGCAAATAGACAAAGCAAGCACATACCAGGAGAAGAGGAGTCAGGGTTAGGGCTTCATGATTCGGCAATGCCGAGCCTGAGAACAGACCTTTCGGCATTCGCCTCAGATTACCCAATCCAAACGAACAAGAGATGTTGGGCTTAACCAACTAGACCAAAAAGCTGTGCGCATACTAAATGATCTAGTATGACAGTATATAGCTAGGAGCAAGGATCTGGTGTGATGAGATGGGATTCTTAAGAACATATAAGTAAGAAAAGTTCAAGAGCTCCTGATTATCGATGGTTAAACCCTTATAAGTTTGAGGAGGTCTCCCTTCCTGTATTAAGAAACGAGTCAATAGTATCGACAAGCTGGGCGACTCTATTACCCTGGAGTAGAGTGCGCTTCGATAAAAGTTGCAACTCTTTCTTACTTGCTATGTCTCAAGAATGGCATTGGCATATCGTTGGAGGCTTAAGACGGGGAAATATGACCTGATTTCTCAGTTTTGGTGGAGATCAAAGTTAGTGGTACGTTGGAGTTAGGGCTTGGTAGGTTGTTAGGGGCACTGACTTCGGGGCCAGTTAGGGTTAGGGGATTGTCAAAGCGTACCCGCCACAAAATGCCCTTTTCTGCTTCTGTTTTCTTTGTGTTGGGATTTCTCGTATTTTCCGTATACTCCAGAGTCTGTACAATATGATTATGAAATTTTGGAGTTTCGCCGTTTCAAGATGAGTGTTGGCTGTGGTCATACCATCCATAATCGGACAGCCGCCTATACGAGCATGTAACCCTGAGACTAACTGACTCTGGAGTATGGAGTCTCATGTACTAACTCTAATAGATTAATAGTGAATAAACGCCAACAATCTAGAATCTGGAATACGTGCTTGGCTATGGCTTCGGCATTGTTTGCATGTGGGCGTCGTGGACTAAACAACAACTTTTCTGTTCAATGGGCGTTTTGGGGGCAATTCATATTCAATTAGAGGTTTGTAAAAGTCATGAGCAGTCATCAAACATTGTGTAAGAAAGAATGGCCACGGTGCCGTTGTGGTATCGTACCTGCGTTCAGCATAAATACCATATAGAGTTCCCCTGAGATCGACCATGTCAAGATCGTCCTGTCTAGTCGTCTGGAATTCCTCCCGACCTAACCAACCATGATGAAGTACCAACATGGAAAACCTTCTTTGATCACTCGCTCAGACGTCTCCAGTGTAATTTGCGAGAGATGTTGGAATTAAGCTCGAGGCTTACAGGAGCTAATCAAGCCTTCAACAGACTTGCTTACTTGCGTTAACTGCGAATGGGCACCCCATACAAAAAATTAGTTTGGAGGCTCGAATCCAATGCCTGGAAAAGGACAAGAGTCAATGCTCAGATCATTTTAGACCTCTCCACAACCCATATCGTCTGGTTCCAAAGTCGGATTTGTTGGCGGATAAAAGCGCCTGGGCCCTCCCATCGTCGGATTGCCACACCTTTTTTTCTTCTTCTTTAATATGTCTCAACTTCACAGATCCACCAATCTCTGAATCAACTGTGATGCATATGGTCTGATGCTGATGCCGGTCATTGAGGCATCGGTGACCAGTGTATCAAAGAGAAGATATCTTCCGATTGTTCGGGTGACAGGATTGCTCAACAGCGTCCGATATGCCTTGATATAATAGTCAACGGCTCCAATATAGAAAATTGATTGAATCATCAAGCAATCAACATGGCCGGGGACAATGACGCCGACGACACCGGCGCTCTGGACGGCATCACCGGTTTCTTGAATACAAACAACACCTGGCTTGCCATATTTCTCATATTCTTCCTCCTCCTTTCCATATACAACGCCCTCGAACTTGTGGTCATGATATTAGTCTCATTTCGACGATTCCGAGGTCTCTATTTCTGGTCGCTGGTACTATCTGCCTTATTCGGCCTGATTCCGTATTCTATCGGCTTCTTCCTCAAATTCTTTACCCGGGTCAGTCCATGGGTTACCTGTACCGTTTTGACGGTGGGATGGTGGGTGATGGTTACGGGTCAGGCAATGGTACTTTACTCTCGATTACATCTCGTTCTTCGAGACACGAAACGACTTAAGCAAGTGTTGTATATGATTTGCATCAATGCCGTTGTCTTACATCTTCCAACCACTATTTTGACCTATGGATCCAATAATCCGGATGCTTCACCACGTTTCGTTGTGGGGTATAACATCATGGAGAAAATTCAATTGACCGGTTTCAGCATCCAAGAAGCCATCATATCTGGTCTGTATCTCTATGAGACGTTCAAACTACTCCATATAACCCACCGAGACAAAGCACAGCGATGGATCCAATACCAGCTCATCGCCGTCAACGTTCTTATTATCCTGATGGATTTAACTTTACTGGTTCTCGAATATGCCAGCGAATACGCAATTCAAATCTGTCTCAAGGGCGCCGTGTACAGCGTGAAACTCAAACTTGAATTTGCGGTCTTGGGTCAACTGGTTGATTTCATTCGCAATAAAAGCGGCAATTATCGTCACGACGGACACCATTCAGGTGGAACAGATATACAAATGGCCGATGCCGGGAATATATTATCCAGCTCAAAGAAGAGGTACGCAGGACGAGATGCGGGCTTACCGTCTACGAGAGCAGATGATCCTCATTTTTATGGCAAGACGACTACGATGATTCTACCGAATGAGGTTACGAATTCGAGTGAGGAGAGACTGAATCTGCCGTCGGGGATTATTATGACCAAGACCGAGTTTGTGCAGAGGATTGATCATAAGAGAGATCATTCGGATGATTTGGAATGATTGTTAGTGTTTTTTTCTGCTTGACACCCATCACGCTGTATCATTTGATTCATATGATATATCTCCACTATTTCTTGCAATGACATTATCGAAAGTCTCAGGGTGGATCAAATCCAGGACAATGATAGAGTTATGTACTGGACGTAGTCATTGTTATGCAGTTATACACGAATATAGACGCTTGAAGAAGAAGAAGTCCGAAGAGAGACGGAGGTCATTCGGCTTGGTGAGACTGATACAGTAGTTATCAGATTTAGGGCTGGAACATGACGCATGGGGTATCCAGGACAAGAACAGTCGGTGCACACCAAGTCAACAGAGATGTTCCTCACCAAACTCAATTCTGAATTTGAAAATAAAAGGCTTGGAAAAGTGATATCTACTTGAGTAGTTGTCAGCCTCATGAACGGTTGACCTCGGATTAGGGTTAGGGCTGCATTCGTACTGATTCCTGTTCGAGACTTGAGTTTGAACAGTTTCAAAAGATCATTAAAATCGAGTAACGTATCATTCTAGAACAATCTCATTCGGATTCGTGTCTTCTCTCAACGTCGGGCAGAAAGCGATGCGTTCCTCAATCAACCCTAAGTAATGGCCAGGCCTTCTTCTTCTGTGCGATTCCTTTTTGAGATGAATCCTATTTCATCCATATCTAATCTTGGAAACAGACCAACTCATAAACACAAATCCAGCCACATGCATCCACACAACACACGTCCACGTACACACGGAAAAGCTGGCATTCTATTTCATGCAGGATGCGGCGGGACCAGCCGTTGCTATGCCATCTTAAGCCCTCTATGTAGATGTCAGTCCACAACGAGTATCGAGCGTGCATACTCCCAACTTCAATTGGTTTCTTGCAACTCCATATCTGGACGCAACGACCCCGCTGTCCGCAGTGTCAGCAGTGTCTACTGTCCAGCCTGGCTGGTGAGAGAGTCTCTGCGCGGTTTGTTCGGACTTGTCATGCAATCAAAGACATACATACATACATACATGTCTGCGTGTTGATCAACGTGGTCTAACGTATCAGCAATCCTTACTACGAGATTTCCGGCGGCATTAAATGAATTTGTGAAAATATCCATGGCTGCCCGAGCCGGAAGCCAGTAACTTAGTTGGTTAGTTGGTCAATTAGTCAACTAGCTTCTGATCGACCTTCTTTCTATTTCTTCAACTCTTTTCAGAACATGTCATTTCGCTTATAAGCAGAAATCTTTGCAAGTAGAAGAAAATATCGCAATCATTCAACCGGGTTGCTCTTCTATCGCGGGATCCTCTACTTCTCCACTCTTCGGTCTAACATCGTATCGCATCACCCCTCCATCGGAAAAATCTTACAAGAATTTTGAACGAACGCCGAATAGAAATCTCTTCTATTCAACCCGTTTTCACGATCATTGTTACGTTGCCAGCGGTCATGAGTAACATCCGGTCACTGGCCTGAAAGGGTGCAGTGCAGTCAGTGTTGTTTCACGGTGGATACATACACGCCTCGGTGAACATTGAATGATCTACTCGGACTTTGCAAAAGTCGCCATTCTTCTTCCATTCAGACGGTCTTCCTGATCATATACTTGCTTACATCGATCCCTGGCGAGTATGCTTCGTGGTGCTATTTGATTGACGGCAGGCTTGTATGTTTTGACTAAGCTATTTGCAATATTCCAGGCTCATGATTTCCTAGGCTGCGCAAACACTACTACGCATTACGAATGAGTCGCCGTAATCAGAAACGTACTCTCATCCCAGTGATTGTACACGATAGCAACTCAAGCATCATAGCATCATCAGAAAGCATGGCTTCCGCCATGCCAGTTCCGAGCTTGTCGGCAGGATCTCGATCCTCTGTATCGGACATATCATCAACCGAGTCCCAGATGATATCGAAGAAGGCCAAGCCTAGGGTCAATGTCATCAATATCCTCGAAGCAGACAGCACCGGTAATCTCGTCGCGTCACCACCTGCATCATCTTCGGAGACGGTGATGTATCACTGTCTCTTCTACATCCTCCCCTGCGACCACCAATCAGATAACATCGAAACTTGGAAAACACACGTTCTCAGCCATTTCCGGGGTACTCGGCTCCCACCCACAGCAATCTGCCAATGGTGTCCCCTCGACTTCAAACTGTCCACCGACCCAAACCGAACCTGGGACGCAATGCTCACCCACGTTGCGCACGACCACTTTGAGCAAGGCCATACGCTTGCAGCAAGTCGACCAAACTTTGAGTTGATGAAGTACATGTATCAATCCAAAATCATTACCGAGGATCAGTTAAAGGCAATTCAGCTCTGTCCGTCGCCGGATAGTCCTGCGTATCATCCATCGCAGGACCCGGTTAGGGCTAGTATCGGGTCTGCTGATGAACCGTATTGCTCGACATATAGTCCGCGGAGGGAGAAGAGATTGAGACAGCAGCGGCAGGGGATCAGTGTGGTATAATCCTGATGCTCTCATAGATCCAGCATGTTGATCTGCTGGATGGATGGAGATTTCAATGTTCCCATTTGAGCAAAGTCAACAAAAGTCTCTGTTCTTGTCCTTCTCTGTCATGTGCTTCAATTATCTTTTAGACAATCTTTTTTTTTCTCTTTGTTGGCTTTGCATATCTTGATACCCTGGGAACCTGAATTGTTAGTAATATAGATAGTATGTAAGAATGGCAGTTTTGTTTAATTATTTTCTTTCGACGACTTGGTGATAGGTAGATGGAGACAAACACGACAAACACGCCCGCTTTTCCCTTGCGGGACTGACCGAGCTCCTTGGGCCAAAGATTCAAGAATGAGAATACCTTTACTTCTTTCGGATTGCGCATATAGACAATTCTCTATTTCCCCTTACTTATCCTCTTTCCAGAATGCGAAAGGCCAGATCTGTCTCTGAAGTCGTGACGTGACATCTCTCTCCCTTCGATCACCGCAACACAACTTCCACCGCCGACCCCTCTCATCGATACGAAACTACATACACTACACCGAACGACCTACAGTCTTCAGTCGGCGCGAGTCTCACATACAAAATGGAAAGATTACCTATACGCGAAAATGCAGGTAGTCCGCGACAACAGGGTCAAGCAGGTTCCCGCCCAGTTCCTCAAGGACCTCCGCAATTGCCCCCGCAGATGTTCACGACTGCTGCACAATTACTTGATTTAACCGATAGTACGTTGATTTCTCCAAGACCTTCAAAGGCAAGATGCTGATTGATTGTTCTTGTAGAAAAACTTGTTCTCGTCCTTCGCGACGGTCGGAAATTGATCGGTGTCTTACGAAGTTGGGATCAATTCGGTATGCCTTTCAGCTGTTCGGCGTACGTCAACTCCTCTGACAAGCTCGTGGAATAGCAAATCTAGTCTTGCAGGATACCGTTGAGAGGATATACGCTGGCAACCTTTATGCCGAGGAGCATGTTGGTTTGTATCTGGTCCGGGGTGAAAATGTGTTGTTATTAGGCGAGATTGTACGCTACCCTACCCCTCTTATGACTTGCTTCAAAGACATGACTGATGCGCTTCTTCTATAGGACCTCGACAAGGAAGACGACCTCCCCGAATCATTAAATCAAGCCTCCGTGAAAGAAGTTCGAGAATTAAAAGCCAAAGAAGAGGAAGAGCGCAAAAGAAAAGATAAAAAGAGCGTTGGGAAATTACAGAACCATGGATTTGAGCCGGAACATAGTGGAGAGGTACTTTTCTGAGTGTCGTATAGACGTCAATCAAGACATACTCCTACAAAATCCGGGGATACGAGACATCACTTCTCCGAAGAGACGCCAATTATCGACTGCATTGATATGCTATATGGATGAGATGGATCATGGCGTTATATCAGCCTGGTGTACAGCATTCTGCTGATTTACAATAACGGATTCTACTGCCCTACTGGCAAGAAATCCACTGTGTGTTCAGTACACACTTATAATAAAATATCTGAAAGCATTATCGCATTTTTATAGTACGTAGTAGAATGGCCGATAAGTAGTGCCAAGCCTTGTGTATCGATAGCGGTGAAAATTATTATCGGCTCCGCAACAAAAAAAAAATAATCAACTCCGCCATTGATCCGACCTCTACATTCAGACACTTGAGCAGTACCCGGAATACTGACAAGGAGTTTGTCCTACTTTCTTTTCTGCTTGCCCTCTGTGGCATTTCCTTTGTTGAAGATTAATATTTGCAGCTATGGCGACGCTCGCTGAGAAATTCGAGAAAATCAAGTCGCCCAAGCTTCAGAACCAGCACCATGTAAGCCTCTCTCTACTTCTATAGGAAATCGATTGCAAAATAACAATCAATCTAGACAGCCATAGTCCTGAACGCTGTCGAAGATACACTCCGCGACCAAAAAGCCGATTTCTCCGCTACAGCATACTTTGCAGCTCTCCTCGCCTTGCTCAGCCAGGCCCTCAACACCACAAATGGAATCGTTAACAAAGATCTAGCCACATCCGTGGTCTACTTACTCGATATCACAGCAGAAGAGGTCCCCGCTCCCTTACTGCGCTCCAAATTTGCTCAGATCCTATCCAATCTCGTGCCCGCATTAACACTCGCCGATGTTGAAGCGCCTCTACTCCGCCCCTCAATCGGTATCCTCGAGACCCTCCTCGTCGCCCAAGATGCCAATTCATGGGCTTTGCCTCATACACAAATCGGCCCCCGCCGTGCGACAGCTGGTCTGTTGAATTTGGCCGTTGATCATCGTCCCAAAGTGCGCAAGCGAGCCCAGGATGCGTTGGTGAAAGTTCTCAAGAACCCGCCTCCGAGTCCCTCGCTTGATCATCCCGCGGCAGATATGTGTGCGGAAACGGCTTTGCAGACCTTGGCAGATAGCGTGGCTGCTGCAGGGAAAATAAAGAAGAATAAACATAGCAAACACGATAAGGATGGTGGTCATCATGAGCCGGCTATTATTCATTCTTTGCATCTTGTCAAGACCGTTGCGGCTGCGTCGGGAGGATGGCCGAGCAAGAAGATCGAGCCGCTGTGCGAGTTGCTTATGAATGTGTCACGGTCAAGCAATGAATTCATTACAATGGGCGCATTTGAAGTGTTCGAAGTGATTTTCGAGGGCATGGCCGATGAATTCTCTTCATCAAAACTGCCCCGCTTATTGGAGTCTATTCAAGAATTGAGACCCGCGCAAAATGACTCTCAACTTCTCCCACCCTGGATAGCCGTCTTGTCGCGCGGATACGATGTCTCTGCTCAAATCAACCCGGAAGATACTTTTGAAAAGTTGCCGGGTCTTTTTGAATTGATTTCTTCTTTCTTATCGTCTCCGTCGAAGAATATTCGCATCTCTGCTTCGGAATGTCTCATTTCTTTCCTCGCCAATTGTGTCCCGGATAATGTGATTCTCGAGCCGTCTGTTTACGATGAGACGACGTTGGAAAAACTGGCCAAGTTCGCCTCGGATCTTTTATCGGTCAAATACCAGGCCGCATGGGCGGAAGTATTCAATGTCTGCGCAGCAATGTTTGAAGCTTTCAAATGGCGCTCATCCCCGTACCTTGTAAACATTGTCCGCACAATTGGCGAATTGCGCAGCAACAATTCATTCCAGGGTAAGAAAGAAGCCGATGAAGTTTTGGGTCGGGCCGTGTATGCCATGGGTCCGCCTGAAATCCTTCGTATCTTACCACTCAACATCATTGAACAGAAACCCGGCCAACCGGGTCGTGTTTGGCTTTTGCCGATTCTGCGTGACAATGCTTCCAATACGAATTTGGCACATTTCCGTTCGGAGATGGTTCCTCTAAGTGAAGCTCTGTACCAACGAGTTCTAGAATTTGGACAGGCTGAAAAGACGGTTGAAGTCAAGATCTTTGAGACTATAATTCAGCAGATTTGGTCCATTTTACCGGGATACTGCGAGTTGCCCCTCGATCTTGAAACGGCATTTGATCAGGGATTCGCTGAGTTGTTGTCGAATGTGCTTTATAAACAGACCGAGTTGCGAGTTGATATCTGCCGCGCGTTGCAGAATCTCATCGAGTCTAATCAAGCCATTGTCGAGGTTGACACGGGTGCTGAGGGTGAAAATCTTGTCCTTCAGCGACGAATCTCAAAGTCAACTGCAAAGAAGAACCTTGCTCATTTATCGGGTTTTGCGAGTAACTTGTTGGCTGTGCTGTTTAATGTTTATAGTCAAACATTGCCTCATTATCGAGGGTATATTTTGCAGTGTGTCAATGCGTATTTGAGCATTACTCCTGAAAAGGTACGTCTTGAACGTTTTATAGGAGATGGCCATGCTAATTGATTTAGGAACTCGAAGAAACATTTACTCGGGTGACGGGGATGCTTGAATCTGAACTTCCATCTGAAGAACAGGCCGCCAAACAGGGCAATCTACAAAAAGGCACAGACAACAAAATGCCACCAACCTCTCATACTCTAATTGACCTGCTAATCGCCATGTCCATCTACTTACCCCGAACGAGTTTCGCAAACTTGTTCCGCATTGCATCCGTCGTTCTGAACAGGGACGCATCAGACCCACAACTAATCAAGAAGGCATACAAACTCATCCCTCGTCTGGCAAGCACAGAAACCGGGAAAAGTGCGCTGATCGAACGCAACGATGAATTACAAGCCTTGTTACTATCAACAGCCGACAAGACCCCATCACCAGCCCGCCGTGACCGACTACTCGCAATCAACGAACTGGTCTCGTATCTTCCCACATCAGATCTGCACTTCATCCCGTCGATTCTACCCGAAGTCATCCTGGGATGCAAAGAGTCCAACGACAAAGCACGAACAGCAGCCTTTGATCTCTTGATCCACCTCGCAAAACGCATCACAGACACCGAGCGCAACCCACCAGGGACTATAATCCGCAACTCCTTAGTCCCGCACATGCCCAACGACACACCCGACGCAGCAGCCAATCTCGAAGAATTCTTCACAATGGTCTCTGCTGGTCTGGCGGGTACATCACCACACATGGTCGCCGCCTCCGTCACAGCATTATCCCGTCTGTTTTTTGAGTACCGCACCGAACTCACACCCGAAACTCTAAGCAATCTCGTCGAAACAGTCGAATTATTCCTAACAAGCAATAACCGTGAAATCGTCCGCTCAGTCCTCGGTTTCGCGAAAGTCGCTGTTGTCTGTTTACCAGAGGATATGCTTCGACCACGTCTTAATTCTCTTGTGCCGAATCTAATGGTATGGAGTAAAGAGCACAAGGGTCGTCTTCGCACGAAAGTTAAGGGTATCCTGGACCGGCTTGTGCGTAGATTCGGTGCGCCTCTTATTGAGGGGCTGGTGGGTGAAGCGGATCGGAAATTAGTCGTGAATATTCGAAAGGAGCGCGAGCGCAAGAAGAGGAAGAAGAAGGAGGGTGCAGATGACGACAATGAGGAAGCCGATACGGCCAAGGCAGGATTCTCGAATGAATTTGATAGAGCCGTTTATGGCTCCGATGTCTCATCGGACGACGACTCGGACAGCGAAGAAGAAGGAAGCAAATATCAGAAAGGAAGAGGTAAACGAACAGCGACAGGAGAACAATACATCCGCGAACTATCCCCCGAATCAAATCCCCTCGATCTCCTCGCCCCAGACGCCCTGGCATCGATATCAACCACAAAACCCTCCCTCCGCTTTCTAGACAACGGCGTAGGCAAAAACCGTAAACGACATGGCGCCAAAGTCGACGTTGACGGAAAACTGATCTTGCGTGATGCCGACAATGCTAATGAAGACGAGGAGGGCTACCAAATGACCGGCGCTGGAGAAGATACAGGCACAGGTGGTATAAACGCATACCTGGACGCAGTCAGTGGTCCCAACGCAGTTCGACGAGGACAAAAGGGGCGCCTGAAATTCGGTAAAAAGGATGCAGATGGCATGGATATCGACGATGAGGATGATGTTGTTGATAATGACGTGAAAAGAAAAGCGGGTGGAATCGCGGCTGGACGGAGAGGATTAGGTGTACCGAAATCGCACGGCGCGTCGACAGCAACGAATAAAACGAAGGGAAGGATTGAAAAGAGGAGGAGTGGGAGTGGGAGTGGGAGGGGGTTTGTAGCTAGGTCTAGGGGAAGAGGGAGACGTTGATCTTCAGGATTCATAAAAAGGAAAGTTAAAAAATTGAATGATGAGATGAAAAGAATGCATGGAGGGAAAAATTGCCATATTGATGTTTGGTTGTGTTAATACCCTAAGTTACTACACTACATATTGATGACTACACTTTTCTGCAGCTCTAGTTACCATGTCCAAAATTCTTCAAGTCAATCATAATAGTAAATTGGTATCTCAAACTTTGAATCTCCTAAATATACATTCCTCATCTATAGCCTTTTTACTTCGAGTAAATGTCCGCCGACTGAAAAGAAAAGGAAAATAAAGTCATGATGCCCACCCATATCTTTCCGTAAACCAAGTAACGCGTGTGTATGTGCATTTCCCATCCCTAATCCCCAAATCCGATCGAATAAAACCGGATGATAATGATATGCCTGCCAAAATGCGAAGTAAACCCATCAAGAAAAACAAAACGCCTGAAATGCTGCAGTATACTGGTCATGATAAAATATAATGAAGCAAACCATTCTCCACGGTTGCAGTGAAGAGGTTATTGAGATTTTCGACTCTTTCTCAACCACGTCTGCCACCATCTATTAACACCCAAGACAGCCGCACGACCATCATCTTTCTTTTCCGTGCCGTCTGGATTTCCAAGAATCATGGCAAAAATCCAGAAAAATGCAGCTATCCACACCGCAAGCCACAACCCCATGCACAGGAAAGGAGCAAGACTCAACACAAGAATCAACCCCGATGCTGAGAAGGGGTCGGTTGAATTGCTTGATGAGTTGTCGTAATGGGGGTAGTAGTAATCCTGTGAAGAACTAGATTGAGCGAGTCGGTCGTGTTTGCGTAGCGCCGGAGCGAGGAGTTTGCAAAGTTGGGTTGAGAAGGTGGTTGAGCGGAAGAACGAGGTGGGTGGACAGAGACGGAGCGGGGATGAGAAGATGACGAGTAAGACGGCGAAAAAGGTGTAGATGGAGGTGCATAGTGAGAAGAATGGGATTGGGCCGGAGAGGAGGAGCTACGTATGATTCTAAGTTAGTATATACGTTCTACATTCTTGCGGTAAGGGAACATACCAAAACTAAAACAGCATTCGGCTCTCGATTCCGGTCACCCTCTTTATCATCTGATGTCGTTGTATATACCGTTACTGTATTTGGCGCATCGTGGACAACACTGCGCGAGGAGTTTCGTCCATGTCCATGCCCACCATCTGACAAGGAGACCTCGGCAGACCATTTTCCTTTTTTATAGGTATCAGGCGAGATAAGCCCCGCTTCTATTCTCGACGCTTCTATATGCGGATCCAAAACAGCTGCCGGCGGCGATAATGGAGGCGACGACATTGCAAGGGCCGAATCCCAATTCCCGTTGCGCTGTGGTGGTATCGAATACGAGCCGGTCGAAGAGCCGGACATGGAGATACGTGTCTCCGGCGAGGAGGGATAGTAATTGTAATAGTTGGTACTAGTAATCGGATCGGGAGGGGAGTGAGACGAAAAGTGGTGGTGCGGCTGCTTTGCGAATGGAGTGTAATAGTCTTCTGGAGGAGTGGTGGTGGTGGTTGTAGTATCGTCCACGATGGTAATCGAGGTTGGATTCAAAGACGAAGAGTCATGTTCTGGTGACATGTACGTGGAAGTTGAGCGCATCCTTTCCTCAAACGGTCAATGTTGTTGCGTTTGTCAGTCCGTTCAGTACATGTCTGTGGAATATGCCTGTGGAATGTAGGGTTGTGTGTGCCAGTCGGTTGTACGTAGTACCACATATACTGTAGGACAGACAGCAGGATAACAGAGCAACAACAGATAGACAAAGGGAAGTTAGGAGCAGCCTCTAGTTATAGGACAGGCATTAAAGGTTCCAACTTCCAGGACCACAGGGTGGGCGGCGGAACTACTCAGGACAGTGTCTTGTCGCCAAGAGAGCATGGGCGGCGGAAGTTGACATCTCGAATTCTCGGCGGTCGCGCGAGGACGAGAGGAGAGTTGAGCAAGTCATGATGATTGCTTGCGAACAGGAAAACTCGTCGAGACAGAGAGGAGAGCGCCAAGCAGCCAAGCGACTTGGATGAGAAGACTAGAAATGCCGAGCTCTTGGCAGTATCCTTCTTGGCGTGATTCAAATACACCGTCAGTCTGAGTACGCACTCTGAGGAAGTGAGACGTAATACTATTTTCTTCTCTGCTGTTCATACTGAATAATTCATAAGCACTCAGTAGATAGGGCTTCTTGACATCGATAGTCGTGAGCATTCTGAATAGCGATTTCCCCGTCTTGGCGGCCGTTTTCATAGCGGTAATTTTAGATCATTCTGGTAATTTATTCCCGCCATGGGCCTATATGATTGGCTCTCAGTGGCTGATCCGCCAACAGCGCCGATGCTTGGCATTCCCGCGGCAGCCGCGATGTGTATTGTACTGTATCGTGTTTCGTTTCAGTCCATGATCTCTCGGGGAGATAGTTCTCCTCTCTTAACGTTGTCCGATATGGACGCATGCAGGTCCTTAGCTCAGTGATACTCTCCTTTTGAGTCCGCTCTGGACAATACAGTCAAGTCATGACGACAAGACTTGGACGTTTCGTAAGCCTCGCGGATTCATGTGTAAATCTCCGCCTTGCCCAGCCTTGCCAACGCTCGGCGTACCACTTGGTTCACGAGAATAGTATCTCTGAAGCAGTGAAGACTGATGTTAACCATTTTCAGGTAAGAAGAATTCTACCATTGGCTCGCTGATCTGGCTAGAATTTGTGTCTGGTACTTGATCTGATTGAATTCCTCATGGCTCGGTGCATTGCGACGTCGATCATGTGGGCTTTGTTTACTAGATCTACTGAGTATCATGCATGATTCATCCTCGGTCAAATAGCCAAGCGACTCGTCTCGGAATTCTCTATTGAGTCGATAATTGTTTGCTGTCTCGCCAAGTGATACCAACACTTCTCGGCATCCTATCCCTTATACCGTACGTGTGTGGTTACAGGTGGTACCAATTAGCTAATTTGTGGCCCGACGACAAGACTGCTTTGCAATGTCTCTTTTTTTTTTCAGAGTCTTGGAAAGTCTAGGTAAGAAGTTCTGAGTCAATCATATTTTTCGAAACCTAGACTTTCGTTTTTTCTCCCTTTTCCAAGGCTGGGCTCGAAACTTTCCTCCCTGAAATAAGTGAAATTCATCGAGACAAAACGCCGAACGTGTACAGATTCGCAGTGCATACGAGGCGGTCTGGTAGCTGTATCTTCCTGGCCAAGGGATGGCTTGTTTCCTTCCCAGTCAGGCTTTCAGACAACACGACTATGCCCCAGCCGTTAGATTGTGATGGATTGGCATTACGTTTAATACTAAAGCAGATCGTCTTCAAAGTTTGTCTCGCGAGATGTAATATCTGGGCAGTCGGGCACGTATCGCATTTCGCCTTGGATGATGGAATGTAAAATTTGGTTACAAAGTTGCAACTATCATTTGTGGCGGATTACTCAGATTATCTTGGTACTGCTTTGATCATTCCAAGATTCACTGTTATCTGAGGTTTTTGTTATATCCTATCCTTTGAAGGGGGGTTTGCTGGTCGCCAAGTACAAGCGACAAGAAGTAGTCGGTCTAGCCCTACTTTCCTAACTAGGAAATTGTTTTCCTGGCAGTCAGGTAGTACTTCTCGCTCTTCTATCATCAGTATTCGTTTTCTTAATACTCAATACTGAGAAAACATGTTAACTTTTTCCACCTTAGGTATAAAGACAAGCCAACTTGTGTGTGAGGCTTGACGCATAACATATTGTCTACTGCCAGCTGATCTTTTTTTCACGCTTTAATCCGCCCAGGTGATTGATTTGATACGCTCTATTATCTCACTTTACGAGGTATATCAGCACGACCTAATTGATGGTTTTTCAAATGCATTCGATTAACTAGATGCAAACGACTTGACCAGCGTCCGGTCGGACAGCGAAACGAGTTCCTAGTGCCCCCAGATCTCAGACTATCACTACCAGAGAGACTGAAAGCAACAGCTACAGCTATAAACTGCGAAACAATAACCACAATGACGATTGCAAGTGACTACCACACAAGGACAACGGCACTCGAAATCGTACGAGTAGTGTTATCGCTGTACCTGAGTCAAGGTGCCTCTCATCAGACTGCCCATCAGTCAACCGTCGGTGCCGAATAGGACACGGAGTAGAGAAGGGAAAGGTGATGTGATTGGCATTAATATCCAGGCACATAAATCTTGGAACAGCTGGCTGACACTCAGCGTTAGGCAGGCGGGTATTCAGCAAGTATTGACAACGTGCCGCCTGGCACGATCACCAGGGATCTTGACTAGGTAAAAGAATGGGCAATAGGTACTGTCTCATACCTACTTCAATAGTTTCTATGAAGGCCTTTGGAGAGATCAATATTATACACTCACATTATAGGTCGACCCGTAGTGTCGGATCAATTAGATGCAGTTCCGTTGATAATACTCTGCATAGACAAAGCAAAGATCAAGGGCCTCCTGGTTCAAATAATGGAAATTCCGATTCAGTCCACGACCAGTTGACGTTGACCGGACGGGTACTGTCGAAGAACTACCAACGCCTGACTTTGTTCAATCAAAGACATTCAATTATATCATATCCTCTAACAACACGGAGTAGCCATAAAGTTATCATATATGCTTCAAATTCAACTGTTACAATAATTCCCACTCCCCTCTTACCAGACTATCCGTCTCGCAAATAGCCAAGATGTTGGCAGCAGCAGGATCACGACACTGTAACGATATAAGTATAACGTATTGAATGCGTGCGGCGCACTTAACCACATCGTCAATCGATTTCGGGATGTCCAGTTCAATATATATCCATCTAGACTGTTATGTAAACCTACCCAAATCCTCATCGGCCAGCACTCGTATCAGTCGGAAATGTAAGCTACATCAAATCATATTCAGAAAGATTTCTAAGTTCGTATATTGTAGTTTTGTGGCTCTTGTTTGAGCCCTCAATTCGTATCAGGAGTAGAAAAGATTAAGGTCGATTCATTTTGGGACATTTTCAATGTTGACTTGTGGATTTTTTACAAGTACATATGTATCAGCACTACTTTGCACGTCCACCTGGACAGTCCAACTAGATAGAAGATTCTCTACATACTGCGAGATTTTTGTGGCACATTTGTGTTTCACGCGTATATCTCGAACTATCTCTCGAACCATCTATTCAGAGAGTAACCTGACCCCTTAAGGCAGTCATTTACTATCTTGTAATTTGGAGTTTGAATACTATTAAGACTACTCCAGTGCATCAACTCCTACCTGCTCAACTCATCAACATTGAAGGGATAAAACCCTCTTGTTTCTTCGTATTATTGTTTACTGGATTAGGAAGTTGCCCGATTAGGACAGGCATATGTCCCTGATAAGCCAACAATAGCAGAAATCAATCGATGCCATAACCCTGAATATCGTATAATAGCTATGTATATCTTCTCCCTTCTTTCGGCATTGCAAGTTATATATAAAATGAGTAGTTGTTGTCATTGAACTATATCAAGGAGTCATCTAGCGATGAATTATCTCCCTACAATGGAGTGAATCCCGCGTGCAATCATAATGGCATGGCGGTTTCTAGATTCTTGCCTTCTACAGACCGTCTTCATCGCCTCGATCCCGCTGAGGAAGTGTTTCATACCTCTTCTAAATATGTGCTTATTACATGCACAGTGATCTAGTCCACAACGATTGCACCCGTCCAGGAAGGAAGATATTTTTCAACTTGGCTATCTTGTCTCTTGAAATGCCCTAACACAAGAGGAAGTCAAGAATATCCCAGTCAAACTAGTAACTAGGCGGGAGAAGCCTTTGTCGAATGTGATTTGTTACCACCATGTTGAAAGTTGTCCGCGTCTCTCCATCTCCATCTATCGAAGAGTCCAAGAATCATAATCGTACATTCCATGCCGGATGAACAGAATCTAAACTGTAGCAATTCAAAGAAATAACTGCTGTCGTGCGGACAGTGACACAAGCCACTGGATCAGGTTCCTCTATCGTTTGGCCATGAATACCTACCTTCTCAAGGGGGGTATCGCTTCAAAATTGCCATCGATGCAGCCGAGTACTCAATCTACAAGTAAATATTGAATGATATGCCGATCAAAATCGGCATACATCTACGGTAAGATCTTCATATGTATTCCTGGAGATCATCAACTCCACGAAAAGCCTCATACACTAAGGTAAACCAGGCTCAGTCTGCAGGGATTAAAAATGAAGATTGAGCACTCATCACGATATAGCTCATACTCTGAGGCGGCTACGCAACCAAAATCGAGATGCCAATGGGTGCTCTACATCAGTAATGTCTTGATATCAGATAAAGTACTTACCCCCAAAATCTTCTGTGCATCTTATTCAGGTACTTATCAGACATCATTTATGTTCATAAATTACCTAGGTAGGTCCAGAAACCTCCTGTCCCAGTTATAACTCTTTTAAAAGAACAAATGAACTTTATATTCCGTTAAGGCAATCTCCCGTGTCCGGAAGGGCTACAGTAAGAAAGACAGAAGCTTCCTAGACGGATTTTGAAGGGACGCACCTTCTTATGAAGCATCAGAACAGGTCTAATTCTTGGCGAATTTTGTTCATCGTAGTGCCGTGGGGATAGATAGTATGGACTGCTTATTGTCTCTAAGGACCGACCTGACATGGACTTCGGGAATAGTCATGATTGCAACCTCGCAGGATGGATGAATATTAGGTGCTAAAGGAGTTCTGATGAGGAAGAGATATGCTGTTCCTCTGTGATTACACCTTATCTGTCTCCCAAGTGAGACAGTTAGTTTTTAATACATTCCTAAGAGGGTAAGATGGGAAAGAAAGTACGCTATGCGATAAGCATAAGCGATGGACGATCTTGCGGAATATCGTGAGTTTTCTCCGCCAGACTCAAACCGGCGATAGTTCATATCGTTCTCTTGCGGTGTCATCAGTAAGTCGACTACCATTTACAAGAAAACAGGACTAGACAAGGCGGGGGTGGCGAGTCTTTAATATCCCTCTACTCCATACTCTTTTCTGCTTGACGATGTACGTAAAAGCAGGGATATCAAGCAAGCATGAACAATTGACCAATCACGCCCCCGACAAGCTTACCGGGTAAAATACCCCAATCATTGGACGATCAAATAAATCGTCGCCGTGATGTCAAAATCGCCGTCCAACTGGCCACAGTAAAGCCGATTGTACATAGTACGGAGTAAGGAGAAACGGCCGGGGCGCGCCGGAAAGGAAAACTGCCACATGCCTGTACGGAGTATACTGCCATACCCATGCCCCATACCTTGCTCATGCCTATTCATGCCCTGGTCAGAGGGAATGGAATGTACATCTATATAGAGGGACGTAAGGGAACTAACCGAGCATCGTTTTGTTATTTATTGTGGTATGATCTGGGGTGGAATTTCTTGGAAGTCGTATGGATATAATGGACGATGCTATTCGGAGGACTGTCCGTGTTAACGTCAGTCTATGGCAGCTATCAGACCATGCAACTACATACGGAACACAGAACTCGAAAAAAAATAAACCATCTTCTATGATTCTATGTAAGTCTGTTCAAATGACAAGTGATTCTTTCCTGGTCAGACAGCGTCGAGCGAAAGGAATGGAATTGTCCGGAATTAGATTGTGGCGCGTGGCTGACCGGGTCGTTTTTGACGGAGTATCGGGTGTGGCTGATACTGCAGCCTGATAGATTAGGCTCAAATGGGGAAGCTAACAACAGTATAGTATAACGTGCATAGGACGTAATATGCACGCACAACTTGCATTGGGCGAATCAGGGGATCCGAGGTCGGCTCCTCTCCATCGATATTAGCCATGAATGCAGACTATGGAATAAGATGAATGTACGGAATATTATTAACATGGTTCGTATCTCTATCGATACTACGTAGATACTGGCCAGTGAAACACCATCCCTACATATACAACGCGGTATAAATGTCTCCCCGGCAAAACCGCGGATGGATGGATCGCAGAAATGGACCCGTCACATCGATAGTCAAACATTGGTGGCTGTTGCGCTATGCCGCATTTGGCCGGTTATCCCCAGGTCAACTCCAGTCAAGCCGGGTCCGGCGCTAGTTTAGGTTCTACAGTCACCCAAGCCTCATACGAAGTTTCAAGTCACGAGCGTCGGCTTACCCTCGGCTGAGGCCTACGTACTAAACTACTCCGTGGCTAATGTAGTCTAATGCAGGCTAGCTAGTTATGTAGTACGTATGCCTGCTCATTGTGGCCAACACCCTGGCTGACTTTGTCTACCCACGGGCCACATGCGCCGCAGTGGGTCGCTACCCACCGGGCATGGCTTGGCGCCACGGTGGGTGACAAAATAAAACAAGAACTTCCACCGTTCCCCACCCACTCGCCTAGGATGGATCATGGATTGAACGTGGTGTCTGGCACGGTGCAACAAAGGCGATCGGACTTGGTATACCTGATGTTTGATAGACGGTGAAGACTTGGAAATTATCACCGTCTCATTAATTGATAGTCGATTCTGTCTACATCTCTACTACTTTCTACGTATATAGTATCTATGTTTCATGCTCGAGGGTGCACTCAGTACGGAGTAATCAAACTGTAACTACGTGGATTATTAACTAACTACGGAGGCCTCCCCTGGCGCTTACCTAATGGTGTCGACTTGCCGCTTTGGGACTGGGTCCAGACTAGCCCTCTTGCCGCTGTGACAGAGCCACGCTAGCCCCCGATCAGACTAGCCGGCCCCATTAAAACAGCTAAACCTTGTCGGACACACCCTGCTTAGCTAAGCCGGAAACAGGACAAGCTCCTTCTGTCTGTTGTTCTTGCTCTGGCTGAAAGAGCTGCACAACCACTAGCGCATCTTGGCAGAAATCACCCTCTTTCCCGCCCGCCCCTCGAGAAAAATGCCCATTCTCTTTCTCTCTCTCTCTCTTCTCTCTCTCTCGTTTCTCTCCGTACAATACGAGGTGGTACATTCTTCGTCTTGTCTCCCTGCTCCTCCTTATTCCAGCATCCTGTGATTAATTCCCTCCTAGGACGGACTTTTCCTTTCCTTCCCTTCTTTCTTCACCTTCCCTTCCCCTTCTTGCCAGCTCTGCGCTCGGCCTAAACACTACCCGCGGTTGCCCAGCCACGGTCTCCTTCCGACACGTCCTCGACTACACACGACAGTAGTTGTGTTTATCCCATCACGTCCTGCGTCCTTTTACCTGTGATTGTACGGCGCGTTATTGTCTGCTATCCACTTGTCAATTACCGTCCGTTCGACTAGAGTGCGATGGCCCATCCTCAACCATCGCCGCCTGGGGGCGTGCCTCCTCATCATGGTCCTCTCGCCGCTCATCCACAAATAAATGGTCACATCCCAGTGCAATCTGCTGGTCAGAAAGGTCCTCCTTTGACCACCGCGCAGAAGATTGCTGCTTTGAATGAGCAAGTCTGGCTTCAAATCGGTACGAAACTTGATCAAAAAACATCTGAAGCAATAAACTAACCAACGTCAGGGAGTTTGACTGAATTAATGGGCGATCTCGACGGCGCTCTCGCTGCTTACGAGCAGGCACTTCGACACAACCAGTGGTCCATTCCTGCCATGACCGCTATTTCTCAAATAATGCGGACTCGAGAGCAATTCCCAAAAGCTATCGAATATCTTCAACAAGTCCTCAAACTAGATCCTCAGAGTGGGGAGACATGGGGCAGCCTAGGTATGCATTTTTCGTTGTGTTACGTATTGCGATTATTGTGTGACCTTGCTGACCATTGTCCAGGTCACTGTTACCTTATGATGGACAACCTGCAGGAAGCCTACACTTCGTACCAGCAGGCCCTCTACCACCTTAGAGATCCAAAGGTTTGTCGCAATACTTTAGAGAATTGTAGTCAAGCTAACACGTTTAGGAACCTAAATTGTGGTACGGCATTGGCATCCTGTATGATCGTTATGGATCGCTAGATCACGCAGAAGAGGCCTTCTCTCAGGTCATGCGCATGGCGCCCGACTTTGAAAAGGCTAATGAGATTTACTTCCGCCTTGGAATCATATACAAGCAACAGCAAAAATTCAACCAAAGCTTGGAGTGTTTCAAATACATCGTCGGCGACCCTCCACGTCCTCTAACCGAAGAGGACATCTACTTTCAAATCGGTCATGTTCATGAGCAACAGAAAGATGTAAGTTGAATCCAGCCGGCCTGTGTCACACAGTTCTAACAATCACACAATAGTTCGATGCTGCTCAAGCGGCCTATCGTCGAGTGCTTGACAAAGATCCGAACCATGCCAAGGTTCTACAGCAGCTCGGATGGTTGTACCACCAACAGAGCACCAGTTACGCAAGTCAGGAAAAGGCTATTGAGTATTTGGAGAAGTCGGTCAGCGCAGGTAAGTCACCATGCATTTTTAGGGTCGGTCAGATGCTCATTTCTTTTTTTCTTGTTTTTTTAATATATAGACAACAACGATGCGCAAAGTTGGTACCTCCTCGGTCGTTGCTACATGTCACAGCAGAAGTACCCCAAAGCATACGAGGCCTACCAACAAGCTGTTTACCGAGACGGTCGCAACCCTACGTTTTGGTGCTCGATTGGTGTACTCTACTACCAAATCAACCAATACCGCGATGCGCTTGACGCCTATTCCCGCGCCATCCGACTCAACCCGTACATTTCAGAAGTTTGGTATGACCTTGGTACATTGTACGAATCGTGCAACAACCAGACTGCCGACGCATTGGATGCGTACGGTCGCGCCGCCGATTTGGATCCTACAAATGTTCATATCAAGGCTCGTCTGCAGTTACTCCAAGGACAGGCACAAGGTCAGACCCAGGCGAGCGCTCCAGCACCAGTTCCACAGGATATTCACCCACAGGCTTATCAAGGACCGGGTGTTGGAGCACCGCCAGCTCCTCAATGGGGAGCCCCTGCTCCGACCGGTGGCCCACCACCACAAGCCCCAGCGCCTCCTCGCCAAATTGCTGACTGGAACCGTGGTATCAATGATATTCAAAACCCACCACACCCTCCTCCTCAACCCTCGGCGGGTTACGAGCAGCGTGAAGGTCTTCGCGGACCAGCTCCCGGACAACACCCGAGTCCTCGTCAGGATTTGCGATCTGCCTTCCCCGAGCCTCGCGGTGCACCGGCTCCTCGATCTCCAGCACCTAACGCGTATCCTCAAACACACACTCTGCCACAACTCGCAGCTCCAGCTCCTGGCCCTCATGATCGCCCTCCCAACGGTGCTGGATTCCGTGGTGGTCCTATCGGTCCAAATGGTGCGCCAGCACCTGGAGCAGGTCACCCCGGTTATGCTCGTCCATTTACTCCTCCTACTGAAATTCGCCCCCTCCGTGATATCTCCGATCGCCCATCTTCTCCGGGTCCTACTTACCCTCATCAACAATTCCATCATGGTCCTAGCACCCAAGGTGGCGCAGGTGCCGGAATTGCCGGAGGCGCTCCTCCTCCAGCGTCTGCCATGACTGCAGCTGATGCTGCGGCTCGCGACCGTGTTGAAGATCGTCCTCCATCTGCAATGAAGCGTGTACGTGATTGGGACAGTATCGAGGGAGGAGGACCAACGAAGAAGATCGCAAACGAAGAAAGCCGTCTTCGTCAGGAAGAGATCAACCGTCGAGGTACTCCTCCAAGTGAGTTGCACCGTCGTAGCTCGTCCGAGGTCCGTCGCGAAGAGCAACGTCGTGCCAACGAAAACTATCATCCTTCTGAGGCAGCCCACCATCCACCCACGCTTCCATCCATCCAGCATATGCAGCAACCTGGCGGACCTTCCATTCCGCCCATGTCTGAGGCACAGCCGCCGTCCAATCCTCCATCTGCCGGAGCGGATACTGCTGCTTCGGTCAAGGAAGAAGCTGCTCGCAAGGAACCTGCCCCACTGCACGAGCCTGCTGCTCGCAAGATGGAAGTCGATGAGGATTACGATGATGATGGTGAGGAGGACAAGCGTGCTGGCGCATTGAAGGGTAGCCCTCGCAGCAATGGAACTGGATCTAATAGCAACTTTGCCAACGGTAATTCCAGCTCCAAGTCGGAGGCAGCTTAGCCAGTACGTTGTTAATTCAATGTCTAATATGGGTTTTGTTCCTTGTTTGATTATGATTGTCGAAGAATTCTTGTCTATGAGCATCTACCCTCTTGATATTTCCTGGTCTTCACATACCGCCATCCTTTTTCATGACGGAATGGTGTTATTACCTTTTTTTTTGTCAACTTGCCTTCTTTGGTTTATTGGTTTATGTTCAGTGTGTTTTGCGGCATGATCGATGAATTTCTTAGTTTGTCTGGTTTATAGTATGATACATTATTCCATCTCTATTACTATCGTAAGCGTAGTTGTAACTCATTAATAATCATCCATATCAATATCCTCATCACGTCTCCCTCTTCTGGGTGCAGACATCAACGGCGAACCAGCTCTAGACCCAGACCTCGACCCCGAAACAACCCGCTGTCCCCCTCCTTTTCTCCCTCCTGCCGGTGAAGAAGTCTTCCTATTCCTCGGCGACGACGTCCCAGACTTCTTGCTTTGAACGCGTAATTTCTCCCACCCATTCTTGTCATCCGTCTCAACAACATCAATGACGTTCATAAACCTATTTGTCGGAACTTGTAAGCCTCCCACCCCTCCTCCCTTAATTCCAGATTTATCATTACTGGATATATTTCTTTTAGCTGATGACGATGATGGATCATCCCAGAAAATATCCCAAGCTCTACCCACATCATCCGGCTCAAGGATCTGTGCTTGAAACCGTCTCCGAGTCCGCGGGACGGATTCGTTGGTTGCTAGACTGTGTAGGAGTAGAAGTTCGGAGGAGGAGAGGATTGTATTTGAGGTGTGGATCGTGGAGCGGGCTTGGTGCGTTGTGCTCTTTTTCTCTGGGTTGTTGGAGGTGGGCATCGAGGGTCTGGATGGGTTTGGGAAGGTAATGGGATGGCGGGTTGTTGAGGTGAACATGCTTGAGTCGGAGTCTGAAGAGGAGGAGATTGTTATTTGGTCCATCTTGTTGGTTTTGTTATGGGGTTGGTGAATGTTGGAAGTTTTGTTTTGAGGCTGGGATGGAGGACCCCGCGTTGGGTAGTTGTCTCGTCAAGACTCAAGTGGTTATATGTATGTAGGTATATATCTCTCTCGGATAGGAACCGGATATACAAAGATTCAAACTAGGTGATCAAAGGTAAGGGTTTGACAAGTCAGCTTGATGATATGAGATACGTAGTTAAATGTCGCCTGAAAGTGATGGCCGACTTGTCAGTTGTCAACGATGCGGATTAACTGAATGATGGGTCTGATTTATCGGAACTTGCAGTGCACTAGCACAAACTCAGTTAAGCTTAATACTCAAAGATATCTTTATAGTGGAAATATTGATATTGACCTTAATTCTGCGCACTCTTCTATCTACATCTTGAGGGGATTGTTGGACACTATTTATGCTTGAGAATCCCATCCACGCAATCTCAAATAGAAGATTCTCGACACAGAGCTGTAAAGTTGATTCGTAGATTCAATCTTGTGACTTCAATTCTCGAATTTTCCTTGTATCAATGTTGTAGGCTTTCCTTGATTAGGTTTAGCTTACCTAATCCTCGACATGATTGGCTGGTCGCGTGACCTGTAAAGCCCTAGCTCTCTACGACTCAAAACTACTCAAAACTTCAACTATGAGACATCGGAACCCAATCACGAATCCACCCCTGAATCCATTCCGGCTGAATCGATTTCAACTCCCGCAGAGCCTTACTAACTTCCAAGGTCTTCTTAATCGAGAACTCTTTTGTGCCAGTATCAGATGCGAGCTGTTCATAGAAATCTAGAAGTTTCACAGCTGGATTCTGTTCCAGGTGGGTCTGGGTTTCTGTTGAGGTTGCGCTTGCTCGGAGCCTAGCAGTCCATTCCGGTAGACTTATAATTTCCATGTCTTTCGTTTCTGTGTCGGAACGAGGAAACGATGTCGTGAGCTCCTGGGCTATAATCGACCGAAGACTCTCCCACGTCACTGGCCTTGGATTCCGACAATGAAATACTCTCGCCCCTGTTTCCTCTTCTGCCTGGAGGAGAAGTGAAAAAGAGGCCTCAACAATAATCCTCCCCAATTCATCAACAGGAACCCAATCCACACTATCCAAAACACCCAACTCCCCCGGTAAACTCCCCAGAAGCGCAGAACTAACAATCAAACTCGGTAACCACTCATCACGTCGCCAGCTACGATATTTCCCTTGTTGAGATGTACCAGCAATTTGCCCAATACGCGCAATCGCGAAATTTGACGCGTCGAGTTTTGTAGCTGTGTAGTCGATTATTCTTTCAGCGAGGTATTTGCTTTCACCGTAGCCCATGGCAGCGGGACATGTAAGGTCAGAAATGACTTTTTCGGGGATATATATTTTGTTGGAGTCTGGTGATGGGGTATATCCTGTCATGGAACTCACGGACGACAAGAATAGTAATGAAGGTGCGAGTTTGGCCTCGGCAGCAAACGAGATTAATCCCAAGACACCGTCTAGACTCCCCTGGAAGGATGCCAGTGATTGATTGAAATTCACGGGCCAGGCGTTGTGAATGATTTGGGTTGTTTTTTCGATGAGTTGGGTGTATATTTTTGCCTCTAGGTTGAAGGCAGGTTTTGTAAGGTTGACGGTGAGAAATGTGACTCTCTCCGGAGGGAAGCTGTAGGGCAGACCTCGCTGACGGTTGTGCCTGATTTGGACTGATTCTGAGTCTGGGGAGCGGTTGAGGCAGTATATGTGTGTGATGGAGGGGTTGGATAAGAGTTCTTGCAAAAGGTGTGAGCCGATTGCGCCTGTTGATCCTGTTAGGATGATGACTTGAGGCTTGCTGTTCGATTCTGGTTTGATTTGTTGTTTTGATGCGATATGGTCGACTTGTTGCTCGTAGTGTTTTAGTAATGTAGTCATTGTTTCCAGTCGATCCTGCTGGGTGTTTTTACCGGACGGGTTCTCTAATAGGAGAATCTCTCTTGCCAGCAGTCTCAAGGATGGGTGTTTGTATACGAAACTCGGCGCGATGGTAGAATCTAATCTAAATCTCGCCTTGATTGCACGGCATAATTGCAGTGTATGAAGCGAATCCATTCCTAAAGCAAAGAAGTCCATGTCATCGTCAAAATGTTGAAAGGAAGTGATTTCCGACACGATATGGCGTAACTGATTTGCAATATCATTTTCTGTTAATCCCGAAAGCCCATTGCCAGGTTCTGTGTTTGGATCCGACACTTTCTCCTGTTCATACAAAGCATTAATCTCATCCGCATACAATTGCAAAGTACCCTGCCTCTGCACAGTCCCCTTACCAGCCCTTAACATCGGCTTGCTCGTATCAAGTACCAAAATCTTCGACTTGTCAACTCTCGCATGCGCCGGACATTTCCCATTCGCTTCCTGCACAACTGGCCAAATCCGATCCACAAACTCTCTCCCATCTTCAATCGGTTCTATAGTTTCAATCAAAAGACAAGCTTCAAACCGCTGATTCCCCCCAACAAGAGCAGCTCGCACCTCGGGATGTTTCAAAACTTCCTGCTCAAATGAGATTGGATTCGTCTTTTCGCCGTTAATAAAAACTACGATATCGTCTCTTCGACCTCGATGTCTCCATAGATTTGGTAGCGTGGGATGTGGAGTAAATAAATCTCTCGTTTCGTATTCCGTCAATTTGGGGAATACTGTGAAAACCGGTTGCGCTTCGTGGGTTGTGGCTGATTTCACAATTACCAATTCATACTGATCGTCTAGACGATGTCGGAATTCTGCGCCGGCTGCAGGGTGGATAGAGACATACTTCCATGTCTCGGTGAACTCCTTCCCGTCGGAAGTGGTCTGGATAAGTTGTGGAAATGCTGAGCATTCACTCGATCCCAAACCGGAGAATATGGGGATTCGGGATAAGATTATTTCTCCAGGGAGGTGTGGGAGACTGCCGCCGGTGTAGAATAGATATTGTAATTTTGAGGCCACGAGGTCTAGTGCTTGGGTGTCTTTGCTGAGTTCTTCAAGGATGACTGGAAGAAGAAAGGCCCAGTGGAATTCGCCGTGTTTCACTGCTGAGAGGAATCCTTCTGTTGAGGGAGGTTTGCCTGGTAGAGGGAACAAGGGGATGCTATTGCTGAAGAAGGGGAGGATGAAGCCCCAGCCAATGCCCGCAATCTATTCAAGTTAATTGTCTGCAGGCAAGTAGGAGTTGCATGGGCTTCGTACGTGAAAAGCTGGCAGGAAAGAGAAAAACTCCCCCTTCAAGAAGTAATCATCAACCCGACGTAGGCCATCCGGTGCAGGAAGCGTGTTGGCAGCTACAACCGTTGAAACAAATCTATGCGTATAGATCATGGGTTTTGGGATACCTGCCAATCTGCCAGTTGGAATATTGACCATCGCAAGATTCAGAGTAGACAAACCTGTAGAGCCAGACGTATGCAAAACAAATATCGGATCATCCTTCGCCTCCTCAAAGGACTTTGTATATGGATAAGGAGGCACATCCTCCTCTCGCAATAATTCATCCAGTGATGGAATCACCAATTTTGTCAACAGACAATCTTTTAAAATCATAGAGACGAATGGAGGTTCTGGATCTGTGGTCATGATGAGTCTGCACTCTAGTTTCCATAATAGATCCATTTGAGCTACTTTGCTGTTGCGTGGGGAGGGGAAGAAGGCCTATCCAAAGGCTTAGTTCAGTATTGCAATATGACCAGGAGGGATTTTACCTTGTACCCCGTTTTGATTGCTGCTAGAAGGACAATATGATACCGTAGATCACTTGGCCCTAAATACGGCAGAGTTTCGAATGTAGCATTCTTCCCAAGGCTCTTATCCAATATCCATGCTACTTTGTTGACGGCACTGAGCATTTGACTATATGTTGCAGTGCGGAAGCCGTGTTCATAGGTTGTGTTGGAGATTGGGAATTTGGCCCATACACGATCTGGAGTGGATTTTGCGCCTTGTTCGAGAAGGGTCGGCATTAGTTGCTTGGTGTGTTCGAAGGCCATTTCGTGGTTCTTGTAATGGATGGGAATACAATCTTGAGTCGCTGATGTGGTCGTATCAATTAGTGAAGACACCTATAGAAAATGATCTGAGCATGAATCCTAGTTATACTAGTCGAAAAACGAAGAATTAGAAGCTCAGCTTTGGGTGGATTTGTCTTTTTATACCCAGTCAAAGTGGCTTGCTTAAGCTTCCTGTAGGTACCCCTCTTCTCAGCTGGCTTCGGTAATTTTTGATTACATGCTCTGGACCACAATCATAATCCCTATATGTAGCATGGTAACAAATAATCAATTGTGGGGATAGATTGGAATGTTTTAATGTACACCCTGCACTTTTCCGAGATTCCGAGGCGATCATGTCTACATAGTACAGACTAATATCAACTCATGCTTGCAGGTTAGAGGATGTTTATACAGATCTTACAAGCCTATAAATCTAGTTCCAGTCTTCTTGTCTGCTATATCCCATCCAAAGAAGCCATAGTGACTACCCGCTCAAACACATCGGCGCATCTCCTAATCGTCGCCTCACTACGAGGAAGTTCATGCCCACCATCATGCAGGAATACTTCTGCCTTTTCCTGTTGACACAAATCTGCAATCGCCCGTGCATGTTTCGCAAACGAGTCTCCTTCCCCGATGACATGTAGTGTGGGGATCGAAATGCGACAGGGAAAATCGTCAGGCGAAAAGCCATAGATGTGGGAGAATCGTTTCTCATCGTTGCTCTTATCCACGTCTTCACTCTCGAAGCCATGCAGCAGACCAATGTATCTATCTTGATCTGCCATAATAGCCTCGCCAATGTTATACCCTATCTTCTCCGATGGCGATAGTGCCACAACACCGTTCAAGAAAATAGCAACTTTGATAGATGCTGCAGCACCACCGGATCTGGTGTATTCCTCACATAGAAGCAAGCTGGCAGCTAGAGCTGCTCCTTCTGAGAATCCAATAATCCCATCATAGGGCCCATCTTCTTCAATCACAGAGTTGATGTAGTCATGTACTGCTTGTACGTCTTTCGGTTCGTACCGCTCGTGCCAGCATAAATATGGAGGAGGATAAAAGTCTCCGATTCCCGGCGCAGGAGGACAATCAAACTGTGCGTCGATGAAATCGAATATATGTGCGGATGAGAGACAGCTCCGTAGATTTACTTCAAAAGGTGAGGAAAGTCTGGTCGTCAGCAGGATCTTCTACACAAAGACCGAGGGGCATGTTACCTAATTGCGACTCGAAGATATCCGAGTTTGTCCCCCGGCCGTGTAAACACAGGAATTTCATGGCTGTCTGCAGCAGGTCAATGTAGAAATCAAGGTCCTACGAAAGTTTCTGACTGCTGAATGACCTCGATTGCTTTAATGTTCTTTTTATGTTGGTTTACCTTCATTAGATCGCAAGATCTAAGAAGGACAGCTAATCCAACAAGCTGACTGAGCCAATAATACTGAATTCCTGATATTGCGACTAATCCTAAGAACTAGGGGGATGCGGGTGGTGAGGTGTAGTTATCCTCCGTACGCTATAGCGCACGGATAAACTATCTCCCATTCCCGCGCGAGATAGGCAAGATTGCTATACCGACATTTTATTTCCGGTCCATGTTGAGTGCCTAGAAGTTGTGCAATTTTTCTTCATTTTTCTCGTTATCGATTCTGCAAAACATACTACCTAACAAAGCGAGTGGGTCTAGATATGAACCGCTCTAAAATAGTTCACACTAAAACGCAGCCCATCTCGGAAAATTCTGCCATTGTAGGTTCGAGGCTTCAAACAACATCCGAGACTTCCAGACTGACACCACATACGGAGGTCGACACCAAAAGTTTTTGGAATGCCAAGAACGCTAGGGAGCTAGTGTGTACTAGTGCGTTTTGACCAATACATCGGATTACAGCAAATTTACTATGGAAATCCATGAGGCCATGAAAACAGAGTGAAGATTCAGGTTATATGAGCTTGAGCCCAGCACTATATGCCAAATTTGTAAAAATTGAGGTTATTCAGAACTCGGAATCAGTCTCCCACTCATTATCTTCTAGATATGCTCTATAAGATAGTACGCCTTTCCTTCCACACCGCTTTGGTTGCTTGGTGCTTGGCCTGCCCTCAGCGTACTCGTTCCCACCCTCCAGCCGTATAATCTCTTGTATATAGAAAGGGATTCTCTCAATCTACGCTTGGATACGATGCTGGGGGAGCTTTTTCCAAACATCAATCCATACATCTTTAGCTGTCTTTCTATCACCTGGTGCCCCTTGGAGAGTAGTACGCCTTTTTAGCCAAAACCAGGCCGGCTCGATAGTGTTCAAATCTGGCGAATTTCCAGGCCATACTAGTCACATGACGGTGTGAAGATTGTAGACCTCGGCTTGGTGAAAATGAGCATGCGCTGGCGCGTTATCTTCCATTACAATTGTGCCTGGCCGGGTACACTGACATTTTTGAGCGAATGGAATCAATTTAGTAACTAACACCTCCTATATAACGTATTAGATTTGAGATCAACTTTATATAGAGATTAGTAGACCTTTTGATAACGATACCAATCAACACCGCCCTTACTCTTCCGAACTAGTTTGCCCTCTTTAGATGTAAAACGGAACTGAGGCTTCCTACCCGGTCATGTACGTAGTTGAAGCCTTGAAAGACTGTTAAGTAGTCCCCATTCTTCTCTAGCTCTGGCTTCCCGCTCACGATTCACGATTTGTAACTCTTTCTCAGCCTTTTTCTTACTTGCTGCATTCTCTGTCTCGTAGATATGGCAAGGGCCCTTGAAGTCATACGAAAAACATCCCCAGAACATGAATTCGCACGCGTTCTTATAACGCCGGCGAATAACAGTAGGATCGTAGCATTCAAAGGTCCTGCGCCATACACGATTAGAGCCCCTCCGGTGGCCTAAGATTACTGAGGTCTCGTCTGTCCAAATCACGTTTTTCCAGTCCTCCAGGGTCCAATGCTGATGTCGTAAGGCGAAAGCTAGTCTCTTTGTGTTGGTTTAGCTACGTCCCGTATCACGAAGCGTAGGATATCGTAAGCTAGGGCGATCCAACTGTCCTACGTGGTGAGCCTTGCTATATAGCACGAAATGTAATATTAAAAAAGACTGACCCCCGAAACTAGGGGGGGCGGGGTGCCTAGATACATTATATGGTGTTGGTCGCTCTAGCGCACGGAGAATAGTAATCCCGACCAGTTCGCGTACGAATCGACGGCGTGCTACAGCGCCGTATAGTGATACGTAAGATCGCTATTCAAACACTTTGATTTCATATCATCTGTCAGACCAGGTTTCCAAGTTGGCTTGCATTTTTTAAAATTCAAGAGCTTCAAAAGACGTAAAACAGAAGTAGTGGAGATACCAGCTTCATAAGAAAGATACTCAGCAGATTTCTCACGTCCAGCGCGATCCTTGGTTATACTATTGACAATTGAATCCTCAATTTCAGGAGTAATGGTCTTCGGCCGCCCAGAACGTGGTAAATCAATTACATGAGCATGCTCAACCCGGGGACTGATATCAGGATCAAATCCTCGGGCCTTTGCACGCTTAATAATCTCATATACAGTGCTCAAGGGCAGTCCTAGAAGATTAGTCACATCTTGAGGCTTCATTTTTGCAACCATAACCAGCGTTACGACCTGAACGCGGAGCTCAACTGGAATATTCGCTTGCTTTGGCATTTTGATCGAAATGTACCATTTGGTGGTAAAATCAATGTACAATGTATAATAGACACGAATCCGGTGCCTAAATATTCAACATTAGTAGGTTTGCTATCAAAAGGCGGTGTAGAAAACAGACTACCATTCGTGTAAATCTGACCTGTTGGGAATAGCTTCAAATTCGTAAAAAGCAATATGTTTGTTGGGCAAAGAAATGGGGTGTCTTCAGTTCACTAGTAAAGTACTAGGTAATGTGAGTAAGAGGTTTACGTACCAATACAGCCCAATTGAGGCGCTACTTTTATTAGCCCCTTTAGCGCATTCCAAAAACTTTTGGTGTCAACCTCCGTACAGAAAAGTTCCTTTGTCCCACGAGCAAGTCAGACACAGATCCCGGCCTTAAGCTAGAGGCTTGCGCCACGTCATCAGCTTTTATGTGCCGTTATCCTAACGCCAAAGCCCAGCCTTAATCTGTCGGATGCCTACAGGCCAATCACCACTTAATATTGCTCTATCATTCACTGAATCGTTCCTGGAATCTGGAACACTAGCAAGTTAACAACTTAAAATCTAATATCTGGCGTTTATTATAGCTTGCTAAAAATTGGCCAGCCGACAATCGTGGAAATGTGGAAATCCTGGAGTCTCGCCCGTTATTGCCCGTATGGGAAAAGTAAGAGAAAAGGAGATGTATACGGAAATTCCAGGTAGTGTAGATATACAATTTTCGCGCGGCAAAGGTATACCGGCCTTGGGTTCTGTGTATGGTTTCCGAGATGACCCTTTTCTATACATACGCAGGTGACTATTTGTACGGAAATCTTAGATAACGATACAATTTACCTCGTTGGCTTGATAATCCGCATTTTCTAATCAATATTTAAAAAAGTTCCAGAGGTTTGATAAACTTCACAAACTTCATATACACAATTTTCACCGAACACAGCAAGATGAGCACTTCTAGTACTTTACAGACTCCAAGCACATCAGTCACTGGTGGCTCGGAGTTTGATGATATTGCGGTTATCGGCCTTGCATGTCGCTTTCCGGGTGGTGCATCTGATGCTGAGAAATTCTGGGAGCTGCTTTACAACAAAAGATGTGAGTTGGTTACCCTGGAACCTATCAGTATTCGAATGAAGTGTTACAAGTGTACTGACGAGTTAATAGCTGCCTTTTGCAGAGCTCCCCATACACGTTACAATGTCGACGCATTCCATAACTCATCCAGAAACAGACTCAATACCCTAAGCGCACTAGGCGGTCACTTTCTCGAAGAAGATGTTGCCGCTTTTGATGCGCCTTTCTTTAATATTACCGCAGAGGAAGCTAAAGCCATGGACCCGACAGCTAGAATGTTGCTTGAGGTAACTTACGAAGCACTAGAAAACGCCGGTCTTCCCATAGAGAATTTGACTGGGAGTGACACCAGTTGCTATGTTGGCTGCTTTACCAGGGATTATCATGAAATGCTGATGCGAGATGCCGAAACCTCGCCCATGTATGCTGGCACAGGAACAGGATTTTCACTGCTGTCAAACCGAGTATCATGGTTTTATGATCTTCGTGGTCCTAGTATGACCTTGGATACGGCCTGTTCATCCAGTTTGGTTGGCATGCACCTCGCTTGCCAGGGTCTTCGCAGCAAGGAGTCGAGAATTGCCGTTGTTTGCGGCGCCAATTTGATTCTGAGCCCAGACCTGGGCATGTGGTTATCGAATTTAAAAATGACTTCCATTGATGGTCTTTCTCGGTCCTTTGCAGATGGTGTTACCGGTTATGGGCGCGGAGAAGGCATTGCTACTGTGATTCTAAAACCTCTAGCAGATGCCTTGAAAGATGGTGATGCTATCCGGGCCGTGATTAGGGGAACTGGCGTAAATCAGGATGGACACACCACCGGTATTACACTGCCGAATAGTGAAGCGCAGGCGGATCTCATTAGAGCGACATATCGTGCTGCGGGGCTGGATTTTTCACAGACATCTTATTTTGAAGCTCATGTACGTATCTCTTCAGATGACTATGCTGCTTCGAAAACTAGCTAACTTTCATCGCGTACAGGGCACGGGAACAGAGGCGGGAGATCCTCTAGAACTTGGAGCAGTGGCTCGCACAATAAGCCAGACTCGCAGATCTGAAGATAAGCTATACGTTGGCTCGGTCAAATCAAACGTCAGTAACCTTCAAACCTATAAGATGAGAATTTCTGCTTACTTAAACTCAGATTGGGCATCTTGAAGGCGCAGCAGGCCTAGCCGGTGTAATCAAATGTATCTTGATGCTCGAAAAAGGCGCAATCCTACCCAACATTCACTTTGACCGGCCGAGCAAGCGTATACCATTTGACTCGTGGAACATCCAAGTACCAACTGATATCGTCCCTTGGCCCCAGAATCGCCTGAAGCGAGCCAGTGTCAATTCGTTCGGTTATGGAGGGACCAACGCACATACTATCTTAGATGATGCGGAACAGTTTCTTTCTGGGTACCAGGATTGGCAACTAGTTGAAAGACAAGTTGCGGCCGATGAAAGAGAAAGGCTTTTTGTCTTTAGTGCGCCAGACGAGTCGGCTTTGCGTCGTATGATTCAGAGGTTCGACGATTATCTCTCGATCAAGACATCCATTGCAGAGCTGCAGAATGCCCCCGAGAGAAATATATTTCTTGACAAGCTCTCGTTTACATTAAGTAATAGACGGTCAAGGTTCAGCTGGAAGGCCTCAGCCACGGCTACAACTATTCCAGAGCTTCAAGAAGCTTTATCGATCACGAATTCAGCACTTATAAAACGCACGCCAGATAGCGCCCGTCTCGCATTTGTGTTCACCGGTCAAGGAGCACAGTGGGCAAAGATGGGAATGGAATTGATGTCTTATACAGTCTTCAGTGATAGCGTTCATGAGGCAGACAACTATCTCCGAACTCATCTAGGCAGTGAGTGGTCTGTTATAACAGAGCTTCAAAGAGACAAGGAGGACTCCAACGTTCATCTAGCCAAAATCAGTCAGCCAGTCTGTACAGTGCTCCAGATCGCTCTTGTAGAGCTACTCAAGTCATGGAACATTCAGCCATCTGGAGTTGTAGGGCACTCCAGTGGTGAAATCGCTGCTGCATATTGCTATGGTGCCTTGAGCCGAGAAGATGCCTGGTCTGTAGCGTACTGGCGGGGTAAGATATGCTCTGAACTCAACAAGGACGCACCGCATCTTAAAGGAGCTATGATGGCCGTTGGGCTGTCAAGTGAGGTAGCGGAAGAGTACATTGGAAAAGTCAAAGGGAAGATTGTGGTGGCATGTATCAATTCTCCTTCCTCTGTGACAATTTCTGGAGACGAAAGTGGAATCGACGAACTCCAGAAACTACTTTCTACAGATGCAGTATTCTGCCGAAAGCTAGTCGTGGAGAATGCCTATCATTCTCACCATATGGAGCTTATTGCGGAGAAATATCTTCAAAAGATCTCGACCATCTCTACGTCCGAAGCGGCCACCAAGGACAACGAAGTGAAAATGGCATCAAGCGTAACCGGGGAGTTGATCAGAAGTGCTGCAGAACTTGGCCCAGCCTACTGGGTGAAGAACTTCGTATCTCCGGTCCGGTTTGCTGAGGCCGTAGCAGTCATACTCAAGGATTCGAATACTCGCAGACGTCGTCGGGCTAGAGCGGGCGAGTCTGCTTTTGACTTGTTACTTGAAGTGGGACCTCATGGCGCTCTAAAAGGGCCCCTTCGCCAGATCCTACGGCATCATGACATTTCAACCGTGACATACACATCCCTTCTCAACCGGGGCGAGAAAGCAACCAAGTCTACGCTCTATGCTACAGGAGAGCTGTACATTCACGGAGTTCCAGTGTCTATCTCAGCGGTGAATAAGCAAGCATCACAGACTCCACCACCAACGCCCTTGGTTGATCTACCAACTTACGCCTGGAATCATTCTCTACGGTACTGGGCAGAATCACGTCTGAGTAAAAGCTATCGTTTCCGAAAATACCCACGGCATGATCTTCTAGGAGCTCCCGTGGCGGATTTCAATGATAGGGAGCCACGATGGAGGAACATTCTTCGGGCTAATGAGCAGCCATGGGTGAGAGATCATGTGGTGTATTCCAGTATTCTATATCCTGGCTCGGGTATGATTACGATGGTTCTAGAAGCTGTTCGGCAACTTGCCCAAGAACGCCAGGGCAAAGGCATTGAGAGTATCAAGCTGGAAAATGTACGCATCGGCAAGGCGATTGTTATACCCGATGACCAGACAGGAGTGGAGACTCTACTCCAACTTCGCAGTCAAGAAAGCGAACTGAGCAGTCACGCGTCATATGAAGCGTGGGACTTTACAGTATCGAGCTGTCATGAAGATTCAAAGCTCGAGGAAAACAGTTCTGGCACGGTAACTGTTCGTTATAGTGGCAACTCTCAAGGGGTTATCTCCCAAAACACTGGAAAGAGTCTAATCAGCCAAGTAGCAAGACAGGAGTACAATACTGCCAAACTGAGCTGTACTCAAAGCATCAATCCTGTGGACTTTTATGATGCCACTCAAGCCGCTGGCCTCAAATACGGCCCTTCATTCCAAGGCCTGACTGAGATTACTGCTGGGTCCGATCGCTCTGTGGGTATAATCAAGATTCCAGACTGGAGGAAGTATCACAACGTTCAAGGAAGTTCTCATCTGATCCATCCTACTACACTGGATATCATATTCCATTCAATGTTCGCCGCCATCGTGGAGAAGAGTAACAAAGGTGAAGGCAAAGTCGACTTCAAAACAGCAGCCGTCCCTATTGCCTTTGACAGTTTGATTTTTTACTTGGATAACTTCCCTCCATCCTCTCCTTCACTCGATAAAAGTGCACAATTTAGTACTTGCTGTCGCGTCATTCGAAATGCGGATCAGCGAGACCTCGTTGCTGATATTTACGTCTCGGATCTCGCATGGCAAGAGCCAAAGATTGTTGTTCAAGGAATTCGGTGCAGAGAGTTGCCTGGAAAAGATGCCGGTACTTCAAAGGGCCAAGTCAAGGCTCCTCTTGGTACATTGAAGTGGAAGCCGGATATTGATTTCATGGGTGAAGTCCCTGTGAGACAGTATATCGCCAAGTTTTTGTCAACCAGGGAAGATTTGCCTCGGAATTATTTAGAGAATGACTCTTCTGTAGAGAAGTGGGAGAAGGAGGTTTCAGCGGTTAGTCTTCTATTTCATTGCTTCATATAACAAATAATCGGACTGACAAATCCTCAGATCGCAGACCTTGCAGCACATAAAAACCCGTACTTGTCGATTCTTCAAGTCGGTAAATCAGATTCCCTCACACGCTCAGTATTTTCAGCTCTATCAGCGCACGATCCTTCAAATCCTTCTTTAGCGAATTACATCATTATAGATGGAGATTCTGAGGCCATTGCACATTCTCAATCGACTTTTCAAAATTCAAGTGATCTGATAACATTTTATACAGGTGATATTGAGTCAGGACGACAGAGTGGAAACCTGAAAGATGATGCCTTTGATTTGGTCATTGCGGTTAGCGACCTCAGCTCTGCCGACGAGATAGACCATGCCATGGAATGTCTTCATGACAGAGGAAGTCTTGTCTTGAATGAGACAAATCAGGAGAAAGCTTCAGGTTTCCTTTCCATCAACCATGTCAAGTCTCTTCCTAACACCTCCATCTTGAACTGTTTCTCGGACGCGAACCATTATCTAGCACGGAAGCTTGGTCCAACATATTCCTTCGAAGATAATGCAATTTTTATCATTGAGCCAAAGGACAGAACAACAGAAGTCCTCGAAGTGTCGCACCTACTCTCGACCAAATTGACTAACCATGGCCTTCAGGTCAAGACCGTACAATGGTCCTCAGCGAACATGTCTGATTTCCATGGAAAATATCTCATCTCATTGCTTGAACTTGAGACCTCTTTTCTCTCTAATATTTCAGAAGATGATTACCTGATTTTGAAGACAATAGCGCTGAACAGTTCCCGCCTCCTTTGGGTTTCTAGGGGCACAGACCCTGCCATGCAGGCTCCAGTGGGATATCTTCGCACCCTCCAAAATGAGAATGTGAATCTTGATCTCAGATACTTGCTTCTAGAGGGACGTGCGAATCGTTTAGCGGATGAAATTGCCTCGACATTGGCTGAATTGGCCCTTGCGCCTACGACGGACAGAGAGTATATGGAGATTGATGGCAATCTTTGTATCAATCGATGGCTTGTGGACAAGCGACTGAAGCATTTTATGACGAGTAGTGGTGAACAACATGGTGGCTCCACAGAGTTAGTGGCACTTCGAGAGATTGGCATTTCAACGCTTAAGCTGCACCATATCTCCGATAAGGAGAGCAAGTTGGTCTGGTTCACCGTGGATCATGAAAGTCAGCAAAGAGAGCTATCCGCGGACGAGGTAGAGGTGCATGTAAAGGCCGTTGGACTGAAGTAAGTGAAGACTCAGGTCGTGTCCATTTACAAGAGCTAACAGAAGCTTTCTTCAAAGCCATGATGATACTGTAAACTCCAACATCAAGTCGGTCAAAGAGTTCAGTGGTATTGTTACCAACGTTGGGAATTCATGTTCTAGGCTAAAAGACGGCGACCGGGTGTGGACATGTGCTTTAACAGACTCTTATAAGATATCGTTCAGAGTCAAAGAATCCCTCTGTCAGGTCATTCCCAATAGTGTGTCTTTTGAAGATGCCGCATCTTGGGCAGTCACTCATAGTACCGCCTATCAGACTGTGGTACAGATGGCCAAGATACAGCCAGGTCATAGGATCTTGATCCAGTCTGCTGCAAACGGTATTGGGCAGATTACAATCCAGATAGCTCTTCGTCGAGGAGCACAAGTCTATGCTACTGTGAATTCAAAGGAGCAGAGTGATGTTGTGAAAAGCATGGGCGTACCTCGAGAGAACATTCTGGGGGACAATGACCTGGATCTTGCCGCTGCGATATCTCAACTTACTCATGGAAAGGGTTTAGATGTGATCATCAACCAAACCTCAACAAGGAAATCTATACAGCAGCTATGGAATTCAGTTGCTGCATTCGGTATGTTAATTGATATTAGCAATCCTGAGACAACACCTGATGAACAACCTGCTTTGGCCATGACTCCTTTCCACCGTGGTGCTTCCTACCGATTATTCAACTTGGCAAAACTCTTCGAGGAAAATCCATCTTCGATGGAAATTATTTTACAGGATGTTCTCCAATTCGGCCCACACCGCCAGAACATACAGAGACCGACACCTTGGAAAGTGTTTTCTGCCACCACCGTGGATGAAGCCTTTGACTGGACATCAAGCCATGGACATGAAGGGAAGGGGATTCTGACGTTCGGTCCTGACGACAGCATTTTCGTAGACCGCCGAGCTCTAAATCCACTTACACTTGACTCCAACTATACATACCTCCTAGCTGGAGGACTAGGAGGCCTAGGAAAAAGTCTCGCAAAACTGCTTGCACAAAATGGTGCCCGCCATCTCGCTTTTGTCTCGCGATCAGGTCCAGCGTCCAAGAATGCTGTCTCGTTGACCCAGGAACTGGCAGCCATGGGAGTCAAATCAGCCATCTACGCCGGTAACATCTCCGACCAAAGCGCCGTGGCGGATATACTTGTTCAATGTGCCGCTGAAATGCCACCGATACGCGGTGTCATTCAGAGCGCTGCTGTCCTTGAAGACTTCATTTACGACAATATGACATACAAGCAATGGGTAGACGCAACACGACCCAAGATTCAAGGATCATGGCTTCTGCACCATCTTCTTTTGGAAGCCAAGAACGATTTGCAGTTCTTCGTGATGCTAAGTTCTATTGCTGGAGTGGTCGGAAATCGTAGTCAGGCAAATTACGCAGCCGGTAACACGTACCAGGATGCATTGGCCAACTATCGCCGTCAGCGCGGTCTACCAGCTGTCAGTGTTGACTTAGGTCTGATGCTGGGAATAGGCCTTATTGCTGAAGAACGTGGCGGAACAACGAACTTGAAAAAATGGGAAGCCGTAGGGATCAACGAACAAGAATTCCACGCCATTATGACAGCAGCCATTGCAGAAAACAAATCTCTCCCAGCACAGGTCATATGTGGTCTACCAACCGGTGGAATCTTGCAATCAGAGGACCTTGACAGGCCATTCTACTTTGACGATCCACGTTTTTCGTTCCTAAGAAAGAAAGATGTTGATGAAACACTGAATAAGCAAGACGGAGATGATGCAGCAGATTCGCCATCGTTCCAATTGAGCCGCGCAGAATCGATGCGAGACGCCATTGATATCATTACCACTGCTGTCTGTCAAAGACTAGCTCGTGGACTGCAGACTGCCGCTGAAAACATTGATGCCAACAAACCACTGCATAGTTATGGGGTTGATTCCTTGATGGCGGTAGAGATTCGCACATGGATTACTGCCAATCTCCAGGCGGACATCAGTCTCTTTGATATTCTTAGTGGCGTGAGCGTTGCAGCCCTAGCGGCCAAGATTGCTGTGAAGTCAAAGGTTCTTCCAGATGGTATCAACTGATATATTGATGGTCATAGATTTGTAGGTAGCCTAATGAAACTGTCTCTTTGAGTTGGGGGTACAGTAGAACCTGGCTATCACGAAAGGAAGGCCTTTCGGTAACTATATTGATCCCAACTCGAATACTGTAATTTGGAAGTGAGTAGTATTCTGATTGCTGATACTAAGTTACATTGATATAGTAATTAGAGCACCCTTCACCTTGGTCTTGTGGAGTGAATTTCGGACTTGGGGAATTGGACTAAACTTGTTCACCAACTCATCGTCATTATACTTAGAATTAAAACCAGAGCCACGTTCGGAATCTAGGCCAAATGGGATGGCACTGTAGTGTAAGTAATCAAAATTCGAGAATACCGGGAGGATGGCGTAAGTCGGTGGAGGGTTTTCATGTTTGAGTTGATAATGGCTGAGAAAAGGCTCGGATTCTGTCTCTGAGAATGCACTGGTGAGGGTTGAGGGACAGATACGATCGCGGGGTCTATCTACCTGGCCAAAGCCTTCGTCGATGTAGCGGATAAGCGTTGCTGTGCAACCTCATCGACAGCGATATCAAAGGCGTTCTCGACTGTTGACCCCTTAATCTCGTCTATCTCTGCCTTCCTCACCCCTTTAATCTCCTTCCAAATGAAGTTTGAAGGGAGGAAGGCGAGATTTTGAGATTTGAGTTCCTTCTACTTGTTGAGTGATTGTAAGCCTTATTTCAGCTGGAATTTGAACATACATAGAAATTTGGCCTGAAATATAACAGTAAATGTAGTTCAGCCATGCTCCTCTGAATATATCTTTATTACTGACCTAAAGCCTTTCTAGATTCAATCAAACTGGATTGTGCGCCCTCATCTGAGGTACTTTCATCTTCTAAATGGATCACAGGTCATAGCTCGTGACATCGATGATAACAATATCTAGAATGAGGTTAATTTCAGGTTCCGCAATGACTGGGGAATTGGTGATATGGGATAAAGGATGCTGGAACTCTTTTCATAATGAGCTCCCGCCTTACCTCTAACGTGTAGATCACAGCCTGAAAAGTCTTTCCAAGGCCCAAAATTCAGAGCGAATTAATGCCATTCGTCCAAAAAGGCCCCCCTTCATGGGTTTCCTGGTAAATCGTTTTGAGCTGTTCTATAGTTTAAAGAGCTGATGTATTATTTCCAGCAAAAGCAGAGTAATGTCAAGCTCAGCACGACGAAAGGTTTTCAATAGAGGAGGACAATTGGGGGAGAAGGAAGAATCGACAACATCCATGATGGTAAATTTATACTCCTGCACCCTGGAAAGTACCGAAAAGAAATAGTTCCTGATATGTCATAGTAAAGGTAAACGAATCAGTCAAATTTTTCTTTGTGGGCTTGGGGTTTGCCCTGCCACCTTACCATCTGGGCAACGGGCAACGGGCAACGGGCAAAATGAAGAAAGAAGGTGAGAATTTCGATCAGTATTTTAAGGCTCCTAATTCTCAGATAACCTGGATATCCAACGAGGCAGAAGATAGGCTATTCGATCAGGTCAACCAGTCACCTCAGGGCTACTTACATTTCAGTAAATAAGAAGCCATCTCCTTATCAGGGCTTAATATAGCCCTCAAGGTTCATTCCTCGTGATAGCACACAAATCACTCCACTAAAAGACCTGGCATTGAAACCTGATGTATTCAAACAGAGAGAGACAGACAACTCAATACACACAATCTTGCTAGTCACTTCTTCTTTTCTCATCCCAGTAAACCACTATTCAGGATTGGCCTGGAATATCTACCAATCCGCACTAATGATACTTGAGTATTTTTGGGAGGTACAATCCTCTATTGGAAGCGAGGATTCGCTCGAAACCACGCCCTACATCAGGGTCACTCGATTGGTGGTTTGCGTTGGATCTCGTATGGAACTAAAATTTCCTCTCAAAATCTTTCCTATAGTTACTGAGAACTGTACTCCCGAATCAGTACAATAATCTTGGAGGTTTGCTTCGTACACTCCAGGACTAAATCTAGCAATGTAGGCTCCATATCTGAGCGAACAGATAGTATCTCGTCATATTGAAGTACTCACGAGTGACGAGGACCTTTTAGCCGTGTAGTAGAATCAACAGAGAGAATTGCATTTCTAGATTTGTATAAAACAGTAATAGCCGAATCATTTACTCCCCACATATGTTCATCTTTACGAACTTGGTATTTGAAAGAAAACGAAAGGAAAATCCAAAGAGAGAGAGAGGATCAACATCCATCAACAAACGAGTTCTTGGGCCATTCGTACCCAGTCTGGGACCTGTACAAAACATGTCAGTGACTCTCTTGTTTGTACAATATACACTGAGTACGTACCACAAAGTCAAATTAGAATTATGATACGCCTTGGGATGCTGCTTAATATACTCCGTCGTCGTATACCCCGCCGGATCACACGTAATACTGATTTCGTTCGGATTCTGATAGATCCGAATATAATCGACTCTCATTGTAGCTGGGTATGTCTCCGCGAGCCCCGTCCAATTGAGCATCGCAAATGAGCCAGACATACCAAAGTTGAGGATTGGATACATAGGTTCCATTGGGATCACTCTTTGGCCAACGTTTCCGTTCGGGCGTATGGCTCGTGCGTCTATCGTCCATGTTTTTTCGCTGCCAACGAACCAGGTCACATTACCTCGGGCGCCCGGGGCGTACTCAAACGCGTATATTTGGTATTCTTTGCCGTCGTACCAGTTGTTATTGAGGTTGGTGAGGCCGGAGGCTACCTGTTGGAAGGGGCCGCCGCGGTATTCGTTGATGGATGTGATGGACGGATTGTAGACGGCGGTGAAATCTGTCATTATAAGCTTGAGAAAGCACAACTAGAGGGAGAAGACATACCATAATCTGGCAGATACCACAAATCATACGGTGCCAGCTGCAAACTTTGAGATACCACACCAATCCGATCCTGCATCTCATCGAGGACAGTCACACTAGCCTCGATAACATCAATTTCCGGAGCGCCCCTCGACCTCCCAGGCGTAGGATGATCTGTTCCTGGACAAGTACAAGCCGGTAAACGCATACCGGGCAAAAAACTCAGTCCATCCGTTGCGCTTTGGTTGGCAGTAATTCCCGAGTCGCAAATGTCATCATAACTATACGGCCACATTCCATCCGTGGTTGCTGCATATCCAGCTCGTCCTAGGTTGCCCATAGCCCAGAAACCGGGCCAGAAGCCAGATGTGTCGCCTCGACCAGGGAGGGAAATACTAGCTTCTAGTCGTCCTCCTGAGAAGCACATTTGGTTCCAGGATTGGAGCATGCCGGATCTGAAGCTGAGGTTGTGATTTTCGTAGCTGTCGAAGTGAATCTCTAGAACGCCATCTGAGGTTGAGATTGCATCAGGGTCGTACCACTATACATTATAGATCAGTTCTCTGGTCAATAGTTGACAAGGCAGCGGAAATACCTCTAAATCCTCAGTCACCCCGTACCACAAATCCACTCCCTGAAAGAATGGATCATCGCCTTCATAAAATGTTCTCCCTGGTGTATTGAATTCGTCCGAAAACTGCTATCATTAGTAACTGAACCCCAATAGAAAAAAGACATAGCATACAACAAGCTGCCACTCGGTTCCGTCAGCCGACATCTTCGTCATAGCTGACTTTGGTGTGGTAGGGTCGATCAGACCGGTCCTGATATTCTTCAAGAGTGGCCGGGTTATTGAAATACACATTGGGTCTAATGTGCATGGATCTCGTGAGCCTTGGACAATGCCATCGACAAATGACCTGTGGACAGTTAATGATAGTCTTCCAGTGGGAGTGAAGAGAGAACATACGTAACAGGATAAATAATAAACAGTGCCACAATTCCAACCACCAACAACGCGAGTCCACCCACATTAACCAACCCCCTCGTATTACATATATCACAATCCCGGTCCCTATCTGCCGGATCAGGGTTATGCAAATAATCATCCTTCTCAACGTCCTCGGGAAACAGAAGTAATCCCTCCGTCGGCATGATATTATATTTTTCCGAGACCGTTTGCGTATTTACATATCCCTCCTCACTACTGGCATGAGACGGCGCTCTGGAATCTGCAAATGGGTCGAGGGGGTCCCCGCGGCTGTCACGACTCAGGTCCGAGTGTGAATCCCAACTGTTGCTGCGTTGGTATGAGATCACAGATGGAGATTTGGACCGGTCTGGACTCCCTCTTGAGCGACGCACTTTCCTTGGTAGTGGAAAGAGGAGTTCTGAAGATTCAGTGGGCGATATCAATGGAGGCGAAATCAACCCATCTCCGCTGGGGGTTAGTGCTGTTGTTGTTGGTGCCGCTGAATGTCTAATCACTGATGGGACAGGTGATGGACGAGAAGATCTTGTTGATAACGTATGTTTCAGCCGTTCCCTCCCATCTTCTTCCATGTCAACGAAGGGTTCATGGCGACCTGAGTTGAGTCGAATATGAGGAGTACTTCGGGTACTCAGAGTTGTGAGTTTGTGTTTAATATTATCCTCCCCCATTTCCCTTGCCACGCTGTGTGTTTTGAACTCAGTCGATAGATATTAAATAGCCTGTGTTTCTTCTGGTTCAAGATCAAAGCGCGCTGCGTGACTGGTATTACCGACTCTTTTTGTTGACCTTCAAATCCTCATCCCATACGATATAGTTGGATTCATGAGGCGATTCCAGGATTAAACAAGAAAGGTAAAGACTGACCGAAACAAACAAACCTGTAACAAAACAATCACAGCGAGTGGACGGGATCAAACTCTTTTGTCCCTAACAGAATAAAAAGCCCGTGTCACGATATCGTCTACCACACGTCGCGCTGACTGATTGGAAGCAGAGAAGAAAAGAAGATCGCACAAAAACAGAGTAGGGCAATGGACGTGGCTACTTTGACCGACACCTTGTTTTACTGTCCAATGATTAGCATTCGAAGTATCCAGGATCTTCCAACGAGCAATGAGAATGGGGGAGGGATGTGGAGAACGTGATGGGCTACACACTTCCAAGGTTGGGACTTGAGAATGTTGGTAGTTGGTATGTACATTATTACGCGCCTTGGACAAAGTACAAGCAGGACCCTTCTTTTGGCATGGACCCATGGGGATTTGCAGTCAGGTACTGGCCGAGTGACTCTCATTCTAAGAAACGAACTACCTGTTTTCCAACCATCAATTATTGTTATAATGAGTGGGCTATAAATTTAGTAGAAACCTGATCGGACCTGATATTCTATGGCATCTCAAGTGTATGTGTGAAAATAGACGTGGTCCGGGGAGGAATCCGTTGCCCGAGTGAACGGCCTGTGGAATGCGGTACGGGCGTTGGTGACGCGGAGGGGCTAATGTAGGAGATGCCAGGAATCTGTGAACATTGGACACAGTACGTAGTTAGTCGAACATCAAAACGAGATGCTATCAAGGAAAGAAGTTTATATTAAACGATATTCAAGTTTCCCCATAAAAGGTCCGTGGAGTTGGTGCTGACTATGTGATTTATCATTTTCCCTAATTACAACCTCAGGCAACATCTCATAACATGATCGAGGAGACACGAGGGATAACATTAAACAAAAACAAACCAGGTCAGCGGCTTCTATATGCCCAATCGAATTGAGAATAACCCTTCGGTACAGGTTCTACTTACCGAAAAGTAGTTTTCATATGGGGTAATAAAGAGACAGCCCTGCAAGGGATAAGAAACAAACAGGCCTAGTTTTCCCCACCAAGACTTCATCAATTAACTATAGAGGGTAAACAACGTATAGCTTCACATAAGAGTACTAGCAATGAATATCCATTCCCTGATCTAGGGAAGGCTTTCTTAGCTGACTTGTTCGACTCCGTCAGGTTCGTCTCAGTTTTAGCGCTCACCCATCGCCGGTGTGCCCACTAAGTAGAACTCAGCAGTCTTAAATGTTGTTACAGTTTAAATGCTAAGATGAGTGCAAAACGAATGAGGGACACAGGATCATGGGCTTATATCATTTGCTACACTAGTTAACTAACGTAATCGGTAAGCGAGTTAGCCATGTAAGCGAGCTGGCCACCCGTGTTTTCCATACAAACGGTCATTGTTCATGATCTCTATATCTCAACAAATTTATATGTATAGTATGTATCAAATTAACTCATAACGATGAGAATATAGAGTATATTGAGGATTCTGAGTCTGAACTTATTCTGATAGATATTCGTGAAAATTACTAAATGTCGACTGTAATTATT